GGATCCAATTCGTAGGACCGAAGAAGCCAATTAGAATACCCTTACTCCTGAACCGCGCTCGAGGCGATAAACAAATATACCTGGATCAAAGCCGCTGCCTCGTTCCTCCCTTTTCTCGTTCCCGACTGTATGAGCCCGGCTGCTGAGGCTCGCAACTCCCCTCAATTCTCTGTCCGTCGTCTCTTCCCTGACGCAGCATACCTATCATTTAACGACCCATATTGATCTGGGAGCTGACGCGGTGTCGTCGTGGAAGGCAGTCCTATCATAGCACCGCGTCGATCCGGTGTGCAGAACCAGGTATAAGTATCCGGGAATCCCGGTCGTTTCACTACATCTCCCAAGGATATTTGGTTCCCGATAGCTGTTTGAGCGGTTAGCTTGTGCTTTTTTTGGACCATCCGAGCGCCAGAAGCATGTCCTTACTCAATTCTTCCGTCTGCCTAAATGGGACACTGTTTGATGGCGCAGACGGCGGCATGGTGCCACGTGGGTGAATGAATAACTCCACGGAATCATCGTCATCGCCTTCTTCAAATGGCGTTCCGAAGGCTGGCGGACTGGAAGTATCTGAAGGAGCGCTATGGTAGCTCTCTACATACGGCGCTTGATAACCGTGAATTGACGTTGAAGAGCGTGCTGACAGTGACGGCTCTTGGCCTGCTCGCCGGGTTGATCGGGAATCAGTTTCTTCCATTTGGGAGCGGTTGGGCGAGACTGCTGGAGGAGCAAGCCCGTAAAACGATGTTCCTTCACTTCTGGCGACCATCGGAAAATACAAGCGTGAAAGATTTGATAATTGCATCCTTCCTATGCGAAGATGAGCTTCGTCCAAGCATTGCAGCAGACGTATGCTAACCAGTTCTGATAGAATTCTCGGAACGCTTCATCTCCCTTCCAGGACGGCTGATACTTCGTCTCTATGCCCAGTTGCACGGTGGTGCTGGATTCGACATCCTCCAAATCGTTGCGATCGAATAAGTCACCCAAACTGCCGTCATCCTCAAATGCATCTGATGCCACCCCTTCAGACGCTGAGTCGTAGTCAGTTTCTTCGCTGTCACTGGCGAACAGTGTCGGATTGCTGTTCACGAAGTCCATCAGGTAAATGGACACAATTTGCTACAGAATACAGTCAATGACCTGGATGGCTTTGAGATGTTGAAGAGCGTGTGTTGTTGAAGAGTGTGTGTTGTTTGGGATTGCGTCTACGGACGAGCTGAAACAGGGCAGCAAACTACCCTTCATGCACAGACCAATGTGAAACGGGAACATGAAACTGGGAAGGTGAAACGGTGAATGTGAAATGGTGAGTACGAAACGGGGATGCGCCTATGTTACCTAAATTGCGCAAGCCCCAATAGTGCTCTTGTAAGAGACAAGTTACACTAGATCAACCAAATCAACAAAACCCACCAGCTGGGTGGAGATTGAAGCCGCCAGATTAGGACCTTCGGCTTATCACGTCGGGAGCATGGACCAAATCCTTTGGAGAGTTTGCGGTCTTTCCAGTCTCGTCACTGATATGCAGGAGGCTCGAGTAAATAGGTACCTAGGTAGGCGGAAAGGCGGAGGAACTCCTGCAGATCTCCCCACGGGGGAGCGATGATATCCGCACCCCCCTGCGCCATCGACCCTCGGCATTGCTGGCAGCGTCCGCACGGAATTTCTCCGCACCACAACCAAATGGATCAAGCAAACACCCTTCTGCTGTCCTCCATGCCGCCATCTTGGAGACATGTCGCTGCGGATGGCCGTTCGCAGGCGACTCTGGGCCACATCATTCCTCGGGAGGAGCTTGTCGCGGCGCACTCTTCTTACCCAGGCGTATAGCCAGGGACCAACGGAGGTAGACATGCGCCGCTCCTTACTGAATTATTGTGCTTTCCTTGACACAGCTCCAGCCCCCTTTACTTGAGCAAACGGTCGGCGAACACTTTGCATCCATCGTCAGTGAGCATGGCGACCGCACGGCGTAAGCATGGCCTACGAAATCGGAAGTGTCGCAGTCTGACGGATGGAACAGCGTGATATCACGGCACCAGCAGGCGCAATTGAGCTACGACAAACTCGACCGGGACAGCAATGCTTTGGCGCGCGGCCTTGCCAGGACTGGCGTCAAGAAGGGCGATCGGATAGCGGTATCTCTGGGGAACAACGTCGAATTTGCGACTGTAGGTCCACCGAGCAGTGTGATTTGCAGAATCACGCTCAAACCACACAGGTGACATACGCTCTCTTCAAGCTCGGCGCCATACTCGTGCCGCTTAATCCAGCCTTCAACGCCCTCCAAGTCATCTCCGCCCTCAACCACCTCACCGCCTCTCATCTCATCATCGGCACAGAGACGAATCTTCCGCGAAAAGACCCGCGATCCAACGTTCCGCTTCTCACACACTTGGTACCCAATCTTGCCGGCCATAAGGTAGAGAGCGAGCTAGTACCGTCCCTGAAGAGCGTTGTGCTGGTCAACAACTCGAATGGGCGCATAGATGTTTCAGACTTCAAGTGTGCCGCCCAGTATCCGCATGTCTTCGAGGACGGCGGAGACGGAAGCCGGCCACTTGAAACCGAAGCATTGAGTCCCGATGAGATCGTCAACATCCAGTTTACGTCCGGCACAACATCCATGCCTAAAGCAGCATGTCTGACACACAGAAGCATCCTCAACAACGGCAAGAGCATCGGCGATCGAATGCTCCTAACGCCAGACGATGTGGTGTGCTGTCCACCACCGCTATTCCAGTACGTCTTTCCCCCAAGTCCCACAACCTGACCTACTCACCAACCCGCACAGCTGCTTCGGCTGCATCCTAGGCTACATGGCAACCGCCACCCACGGTTCCGCCATCGTCTTCCCAACCGAAGCCTTTGACGCCTACGCCGCTTTACAAGCCGTCCGAGAATACAAATGCACAGCGCTCTACGGCGTCCCGACCATGTTCGTCGCAGAGCTCGAGCTCCTGGCCAACGGCGTTGTCCCCTACGAAGGCTTCCAGCACCTGCGCACCGGCATCGCCGCCGGCTCCAGCATCCCGAGCGAACTGATGCGGAAACTGCACAAAGTGCTCAACCTGACCGAGCTGACCATCTGCTACGGTATGACGGAGACCAGTCCCGTGTCCGCGATGACGACGACAGACGACCCGATGGAGAAGCGCATTGACAGCGTTGGGCGACTGCTTCCACACGTGAAGGCGAAGGTGGTGGATCCTGCGGACTGGAACCGTACCCTAGGCATCGATGAGCGAGGCGAGTTGGCTGTTTCGGGGTACCTCGTTATGAAGGGCTACTGGGGCGATGAAGCCAGAACCCGCGAAGTCCTCGTGCCGAATGAGGCCGGGGAAATGTGGATGCACACCGGCGACGAAGCGAGCATGGACGCGGACGGGTACATCAAAATCACGGGCAGGATCAAGGACCTCATCATCAAAGGCGGCGAGAACATCCACCCGCTCGAGATCGAGAACTGCCTCTTTGCCCACTCGGCCATCGCGGAGGTCAGCGTGGTCGGCGTGCCGGATGAGCGGTACGGCGAGGTTGTCGCGGCGTTTGTGATTCCGCATAAGGTCGACGGGAAGATGGCGGAGGTCACAGTGGAGGATGTAAAAGAATGGGTGAGAAGTAGGCTGAGCAATCATCTCGTGCCGAAATACGTGTTCTGGACGGATGGGTATCCGAAGACAGCCAGTGGGAAGATCCAGAAGTTCAGGCTTAGGGAAAGGGCAATGCAGTTGATCAGAGAGGGTAAGGGGCTTCAATAAGGCCACCTACTGCCATGTATGGATGATCTCAAGATAGGTAACTGTAGATACGGCTTGGTCTGGATAACTGGTGCGCGCAGCTGTAAATCTATTGAATTGTGATGTACATATGCCCCAAACGTAGCCTCACGGCAAAACTCTTGGGCAAGGTGCCTTAGCTGGGTATCGTCTCGAGCTAGTCGGGCTGCTAGTGTAAGTCTCACCTCTGTGGCTGAAGCTGAAGTGCATCATCTCCAGGACAGTCATGCAACACAAAGCCGTCGAGAAAGACTCTCTACATCCTGATCTCGAAGAGAAGATCAAACAAGTGATATCAACTGCAAGGCTCTCGTATGAGGTCGCCAAGACACGTTTCTCCGGAACGTGACCTCCCTCACCTATCCGCTTCGGGACGGCGGGAAACAGCGGTCATCACACCTCAAAGCAACGGGGCCCAAGAATGCCACAGAAAAAGCTGAGGTGGCAGTCTGGGATAGACGCGGAATGGCACGGTAAGCCCGCAGCTTCGCGCAGGTGGAGGGTCAGAGGGTCCCTTGGACGTCAACACGTCCATTCATCAGAGCCGACGGAAACCGGGCTTACGCACCGTCAACAAGATACAAGAAGGCCGCCTGGCTGCAGCCATGATCTGGAAGCTGTTGGCCTGTTTAGAGTTGAATGTCGAGTTCGTAAAACGCAAACATGCCTGCCGTTCGGATTGAAACTGCAAGTGACAATCTGTCCCTGTCCACGCTCGCTGTTGGCACGTTCCTATGCTTTGCGTCGCTCTATGTAAGTTTATGTCCCTTCCTCTGTTCCGTATGTCGGATTCTGATATACGCTTCGCCACCCAGCTTGTTTCTCTCATAGTATACCGCCTGTGGCTTCATCCTCTCGCAAAATTCCCGGGACCGTTGCTCGCAAAATTGACGTCGTGGTATGATGTATACCATGCCTACAAAGGCGACAAACATCTTCATTTCCACTACCTACACGAAAAATATGGTACGCCGGGTTCTCTCTCTCACCCATAGTTCCACTTAGTGAGTCCTGGTGGAGCCTGACCGAGTCTAGGGACTCTCGTGAGATATGCGCCCAACACGCTCTCGATAAATGATCCGCAGGCACTCAAGGCGATTTACGGCCACAAAGCGAATGTTCGCAAATCTGACTTCTATCTTGCCTTTCCGGCCGCGCCTGGCGTGTTCAGTACTCATACGGCGCTCGACCGTCACCAGCACGCTCGCAAGCGGCGTGTGATGAGCCATGCCTTCTCCGACTCAGCTTTGAAGGGCGTGGAGGACTTCGTGCTTGTCCACATCCAAGAATACATCGAGCGTCTCACGACCAAGAGCTCGAATCGCCATGGTCCTTCTCTGTCTAGCGAGAAAATCGGGTGGACCGACGGGAAAGATCTGTCGAAGTGGAGCAGCTACCTCGGGTTCGACGTAATGGGCGATCTTTCCTTTGGCAAGTCCTTCGGTATGCTCGGGAACCATCCTGAGAACAGAGAGGCTTGCTTTCTGCTTGAGCAGGCGGCGCGTCGCCACAATATTGTACGTGGCAGCCACCTGGAAACTCCATGAAATGAAGCTGATCATCTAGGCAGACAGGACCGATGCCTTTCCTCCACCGGAGTGGCATTGACAAGATCCTCTTCCGGAAGATATACAACGACCGCAAGGCCTACCTGACATTCAGCAGGAAGCAAGTCAGCGAGCGCACAAACAGTGACGTCTTAAAGTCCGAGCGTAAAGACTTCTTCTACTACCTCCTTCGCTCAAAAGATCCCGAGACTGGCGAGGGCTTCAGCATGAGGGAGCTGTGGGGCGAGAGCAACACATTAATCATCGCCGGTACGGCAACCCCTTGACCCCTGATCTGGCCACTACTCACATAATCTCCAACAGGCTCCGACACGACATCCACGACACTCACGGCGACGCTCTTCTACCTGCTCCACGATGCCTCTGTCCTCTCGCGCTTGAACGCCGAGATCCGCAGCACGTTCGACTCCGTCGAAGAGATTCGCTCAGGCCCCAAGCTCAACGGCTGCACCTACCTCCGCGCCTGCATCGACGAAGCAATGCGCATGTCTCCGCCCGTCGGCGCTATCCTCCCGCGGACGGTCCTACCAGGCGGGCTCGAAGTTCTGGGCCACAAGCTCCCCGCAGGCACGGGGGTAGGCTCGCCAATCTACGCTCTGCATCACCATGCAGCTTACGTACCCAACTCCTTCATATACAACCCCTCGCGGTGGCTAGCAGACGAACCGGGAACGACGCCTGAGAGTCTGGAGGCGCTTCATAGTGTGTTTAACCCATTTAGTATTGGGCCGAGGGGGTGCATTGGGAAGCCGATGGCGTATCTGGAGCTTAGCCTTGCGCTTGCGAGACTGGTTTGGGCGTTTGATATGAGGTTGGCGCCGGGTAAAGAGGGGAGGGTTGGGGAGGGTAGGAAGGGGTTGGGGTATGGACGGGAAAGGGAGCATGAGTTTCAGCTTGAGGACATCTTTGTCAGTGAGAAGAAAGGGCCGATCGCTGAGTTCAGGCCGAGGAGTTGACCGGTTGGTCGTAGGACTGGTTGGACAGTTGAGCTGCAAAGTTTATCTGGGCTGAGATTATTGAACTGCCAGCAAGCGACAGCTCCCGACGAAAGCAGTAGTGCATCCATTGCAAACACGGGTTCATTGCCTCTACCCACGACTATTTTTCTAGATGATAAGGTAGAAGTTTGTGCGTGGGATGGTGGCGGGCGTCCTGTGCCTCCGGAGGGGTTGGAGCTTCCCTGGGGGGGCAAATCGACTTGACCGTCGACGAGACTTCCAGTAGCTTTGATCGCCTTGACTTCTTGAATGACACTCACTACACTGACATCTGCCTGAGAAGCTTGAGAGAACGCAGCGGCGTTGCGAAACCGCAATCTACCCTGGCCTTCTTGCATTACTGCTACTGTAATTACCTACTCTTTGATCGGCAAGTGACTCAAACCAGACAGGATACAAGGCCTACTATACTGTGACAGACGCCAACCTCTGTAGAGGCGCATTATGCCAAAGAAGCATCATCAGTCCTTCAGCAAACCAGCCAGCAGCTACGTCCATCCATCACTAGGCGGCTCAAAGCCGCAGGCGCAGGCAACCTCGCCCTCCACCCGTACCGTCAACGAGCGGCTCAGTCAGCTCCGACACGAGGAGAATGCCAAAAACGGTCCTGAAAAGGTCCGAGACTCGATACTGGACCAGTTGTCGCAACGCTCAGTGCCCCCACATCTCCGTCATATACTCAACCTGCCTGAGCCTGCGCCGCTGCAACCAAAACCAGGCGCCAGAATACGCAGACGAGGGCCACCAGGACCGGCACCGCCGAGGAGCTGGTTGGAATCGAGTGTACACGCACCGGCACATACACGGCCGCAAGCAGAGAAGCGGAGGGCCACGCCTGCTGGGCCGCTGCAAGGCACGAGATGGCGACCGCGAGGGTTCAGCGCTCTTTGTGCGCTTGACAATGGCTCGCAGAGGTTACCGAGGCCACAAAGTCTCATGCACCAGACGTTGAAGACTATAGCTAGGAATTGGGAGTTCCTTGTGGAGTATGAGCAGCATTATCTGGCAACTCTGCCCATTTCATTGAAGAGCTCGCTGCTGAGCTATCTATCGGTATACGGTCCAGAAGAGGGAATCAACATTAGCTCGCTTAAGTTGCTCTTCCTTACCGAGCTAGAACTCGTAGGAGCGACAGGTGGTACGGAGCTCATATCCATGGATCTTTCGGGATTGATTGGACCCAAGCTGGGCCTCCATGAGCTCCTAAAGTACTTCAAAAGTCCAGCGACAGAAGGCACTGCGCACCAAGTGGAGAGAGGACCGCTGCAGAATTCAATAACCACTAACGGACCAAGTCATGGCACGGAGCAGATGAGGTCTGCCACCAATGTCGTCGATTCTTGGGAGGAAGAACTCGAAGCAGAGACCCAAGCAGTGACTGTACCAAGAGCGCTTCACACAACTCGCTTTCCAAACCTGACACACCTCTCACTATCGCACCCTACATCAGCCTCATGGAACCATCTTCTTAGTCTATCAGCTCACCTTGGGCCCTTGACGCACCTGTCGCTCGCGTACTGGCCGACACCTTCCCGCACACCCAACTCCCTCACCACCTCCCTAGTAAGCAAACACCGCAACCCCGTAAGCATGGGAGCTACCTCGTTCTACTCCGCCCTGGACAACGACTGGGCCGAAGCCGCACACATCCTGCGATGTCTGTCCAGCAACACCTACTGTCTGCAGTGGCTCGACCTCGAAGGCTGCGAATGGCTTCCAGCACTAAGCTGGGCCTCGTGCACCGGACACCGGTCAAGTACAAATGTTTCAAAAGCAAGCGGGAGAGAGGACTCATGGAGCGCCTCCGACGCACCACTCGGCATCGACTGGAACGGCAGCTGGCGCGACCTGACCTTCGTGAACGTCAGCCAAGGCTGGACCCCGCGCAATGTTCGTGCGATACGTAGTCTGCCGTCCGGCCTCATTGGGTGCGACCTGCTGAGCTGGCTGCGCGAACACGACGCCGAGTATGGCGAGGATGGTCTGTGTGATGAGGAAGCAACTGTTGCGGAGGTCAACGGGTGGCTGGAGAGGGAGAAGGAGGCGAGAGCTGTAGCGGGTAGGGTTAAGGCGGTTAGGAGAGCGAGGGGGCTGTTTTGTCACTTTGACCATGGGTGGGTTCCGCCGGTTAAGGGGAAGAAGGCCCTGGAGCCGGAGGAGGGAGTAGTCTTATATAGGATTCAGTAGTATAGTAGAGCCATATTAGTAGGTCTGCGTTCTTTCGAACCAAGAAACTGGTATCCCACTTTGATTCCTGATTCTGTAACATGCGTGAATGGTATTGTGTATACATTACTGCCAACTTTCCCTTTGGGAGAGAGACATTGTTCAGATGCAATAGAACGCCTTATGAAAGAGCAATGAGAGCGTTTTGAAGAAGTGCTTGTAGCGATCAGTCTTGATAGTGGAATCGCTAGCGACAAACCGGCAACACAGGTAAGATACGATCCAATTCAGTTAACGGCTTCTATCTTGACGGCTCATTGACCGGTTGAACGTCAATCTGCCATATTATTTGACTTATATGTATTGTTTTACTCTCCTGATCCGTCGTCAAAGCGTTGGTGGTTTAGTGGTAAAATCCATCGTTGCCATAAGATCACCGCAAGCTCGATGGGCCCCGGGTTCGGTAAGCTCTTAGCTCAAATTCAACCAAATCTGGCGATTTCTGACTTTCGCAGATTCCCGGCCGACGCATTATACAACTTAATTTTTCTACATCTTTCCTTTTTGTCATCAGCCTCGTGTGGGTGGAATCGTGCGACGTTGTTTTTGTACGCGCATGCCTGAGCGCCTTACTTTTACTGGGCATGGGCATAGCCATAGCCTGCTCTCCTATCCTTCAGTCGTCAATGGCTGTAAGTGAGGCCTGTTCGAGACATAACACTGCTAGCATTGAGCTTATCGTATGAAACGATCGATTCCAATGACAGACCGTGCATTTGAGCGCTTCACCCGCCTGTTATGGCGTAGTACACTCTTTGGAGCAGCAGACAGGACGCGTTACATGGCAGGAGTGCGAGCAGTTTCCGAGTGTCACAACACACAACATGTGTCAACAAAATACTATGCTAGCTTGGCGCAGGAAAGCTTCAGCACAGCATACATAACGGTAGCCGAATGTATGCCCGTAGACTGTCACAGGTTCTAGCAGTTCATGGTGTTTGAGTCTTCGTCCTTCGGATGTTATGTGTTGGAAGAGTGATTAATTCATGAGAGTGATCTCTGCGCTTTGTCTGATTTTGGTCTAACAAGAGCTGATCTTCTCCACCGCGATCATTCTTTGCTTTCGGAGGTCACAAAGAAGGGTAAGTTGCTGTGGCCAAATCGAATATACATGCCTTGAGTCAGAGATCAGTAAAGAGTGAGTGAAGTGTTAGCTTGATCAAGGTATGGAGCACTCATCGGACATCGCATGCTCAATTAGCATGGAAACGGATAGGAGAGGAAGATTAAGAGTTACGTCTATTAACTAAAAGAAACCTGTCGGTTTGCCTCGTACACGTGACAGCCATGCTTTTGTTTCCCCCAAGTCCTGAGTGGCCATTCGCCATTCTCATAAGATCCGAATGTCCGGTATCGTGACTCCTTCCAGCAATCCGACGAGGCATTCACCAACGTGGCGATCGCTCCAAAAGTCTTCTGAATCGGTGTACAAACAGCGATAGATAGCGAATGTGATCGTGCTCAAATTCATTGAGAGGAAGATCTGCGATCAAGCCAGAGTTAGCAAGAGTGACAAACTAGGAGTTCAGAACCTCGACATACCATGCTGCTCCTGACTGTGCTTGAGAACAGTGGCACCTCGATCGATGATGTGTCATGCGTTGGAAGACCCAAGGCGGTGGTCGACCCAGTTACCGAGTATACGGTCCGTCCCTTGCAGCTTTGCAACGCGCGCTCTTGTTGAACTCTGCCAAAAGTGCAGCTATTGCCGTTCACGCCTTCGGCTTCGCCGAAAACTCCACCAGAGAGTCCCAGGGTATCGCTCCCTTCCCATACGAAGAACATGAAAAAAGGAGTGCTGTCAGAGGTTCCAGCTAGCAGTGACGGCCAGCCCGACGTCTGACATTGTAAATGGAGATTGAGTGTCTTCGCTTCCGTGTCGACAATCCATGAAGACCATCGCGTGCAACAGAACAACGGGACATCAGGTTTGGCCGTCGTTCTCGGCGCCGTTTTCGCCGCCGTTGTCGTCGCCGTTCTGGCCGCTGTTGTCGGCGCTATTATCGGCGCCGTTGTCGCCATTTTGAACGCGCTCCTGCCTCTCCTTGCCCGGCGTGCGGCGCCTGGCATTGATAAACCAATTGCTGACCTGGAGTCAAGTTAGCGGACTGTCAAGTGTTCACAAGGCGGTCCAGGCAGTTCAGTCTCATGGCGAAGACGTGCTTCGACACTTCACAAGATAATATTACCGAAGAGTAGAGCAAGCGAAAGCAACTTACTTGGTTGAGCGTGAGCTGCGTTTGATGCACAAGCATCTGTTTCTGGTCCTCCGTCGGGTAAGGCGAAGCTCTGTGCGCATCATACCACTGCTTGAGAATTGCCGTCGCGTCCTTCGGTAGGTTTCCTCGACGCTTCCGGGAGGGATAGCCTGGATAAGCGCCGTCGCCATGATGGAAATTGTAGTACTGAACTTGTTGCTGGCTCGCTCGAGGGTCTTGAGGAGGTGGATAGGGTTGATAATGAGGTGGTGTCTGGGCTTGTGGCGGATATGCATATGACGGACGACGGTAATCGTAATACTCCTCTTGTGGCTGATGAGGAATGGATGAGCGGTGATACGCCTCTGGCGCAACCCAAGTCCCTGGTCCCGGCCCTTGAGGATACTGGTAGTACTGCGACTGCGGATGCACGGAAAGTGGGCTTTGTAAAGTGCTCTCTCGGCGCGAGAACGACGACGCTCTGGGCATAGAAGGCCCGAAGTTTGTAGGTGGTGGGCCCGCCGACATGGAAGGATGGAAAGGTTCTCGGTGTCCAACAGGTGCCCCGGGGTATATGCGGCTCTGTTTGCGGGACTCAGGGTGCTCCTTCGGGTAGAACGAGTCAATGCGAGCTTGCGGTATGATGTCCGGGTGAGAAGGGTATTGCTGTTGCTCATACCGCTGACCTGCTGGCGATGAGGCCTGCGAGCCGCGAATGGGTGTTTCTGGGGGTGAGCTAGGGCCTCCATGCTGTTGTTCAGGTTTGAACAACTGTAGCAAAGCTTTATGTTAGCTGGTGTGGATTGATATGTATCTATGGAGAACGTACATCTCTGAGAGGTGGCAAGTTCGGTCGGTCTCCCTGTAGATAAGGAGGAGAGGGAGCCTGTGGCGAATTGGAATTAACAACTTTCGTGTACTGAGGCGATAAGACTGAGGCTGAATGCATCTTGTGCAATCGCCACGAGTAGATGGCTGTGGTTGTCGCGGCCGGCGCTGCGCTCAGGCTGTTGCAAGTGCGATTATAGATGGGGCTCGCTAATTGAAAGGTAGGTGATCGTCGACTCGCTGGAGTGCACAAGTGGAAAATTCAATGTAAAAAGACTGGTACCGCGGTGGTTGACAAGTTGTGAATACACTTACAGTAGAAATAGAAGGTAGCAGCAGCCTGTCCCTTCTGTTCTCGTATGCGCTATTTGACATCTTGTACAGGTGTCGGGTAGGAACGTCGCGGACGCTGAGATACTCCATGATTGAGGAAGGCGCGCCTCTTAAATCACAATGTCAGCCCAGTGCGAAGTCTGGTGGGTAACTGTCTCAAACTCGAAGCAGTGTGGTTCAGGTAAGCGGCAAGACCATGGTCAATGATGAAATCGTGTCCGCGGCGCAGCAAGTCGACACTGTTGGAGATAGATGGAGACAACGTACAGTCAATCGTATGATGTGCAGAAACCGTGGTAGGATCAAACCGCAGAACCCACTGGTCGCAAACGATGATTCTGGGTTCGAAAGGAGGGGAAGGTCGATGATCTGAGGATGCCATCCAGACAAGCAGCACAGAACACTTTGTCCGCAACCGACGCTATGGAACCATGCGATGAGCTGGAGGAGAAACAAGTACAAGCCATCAGGATATTGTCTCCATTCACAGGTTGTTTGAGCAAATTCTCAATTGATCGCGACGCATCAGCGCACGTAGCCGCTCAGCTGACATGTTGTAAGATTATGTAGGTAGATGATTCAAGATGCGACCTCGACGGAGTGAATTCAGTAGCCATCACCCGGCAAGACTGCAGCGGCCCGCATCGATCAAATGGCCCTTGTCGAGCGTTGGCCCCAGTGCTTGCCCGGATCCAAGGTTCGCGAGGTCCTGCATGATAAGTTTTGAGGGGTGGTGCGCTAATGGTTGAGAGTTTTCGTTTACCCGCTCCTAGTGCCCCTAGAGGCAGCTTCCAGCACGAGCATCGTTTTGACATGGCTCCGGTTGCTTGCGCGGGCAAGGCCGCCGTGGGTCCTGATCTGCGCTCCATGGAACAGAGCCAGGATGTGGGCCCGGGTTGATTGGCACGCACTAACGGTTGACTCGCTGGAGACGACCACGAATGGTCTGGGCGTGTCCCAATCCTGCTGTGGCCGAGCTTATGCGGCGTCTTTCAGAGGGCAGCCCCGGTGGTCAGCCGTAGGCCGACTTACGGTGGCTGAATTCACCAGCATAAAAGAAGCGGGTCCCATGCTGACACTCACGCACGAATCCAACAATGTACCGCCAAGCCTTCGCAGTAGCGACAGTGCGGCGGTCCTGGGAGGTCCACATTGCAGCAGCCCTGCCGTGCCGCCAAGCTTAAAAATGGCCCTAAGATCCGTGAGCCCGGGATCGCGGCTCTAGGGTACCAGATGCTGGCACAAGCTCCGTCATCGTAATTGTCGGAGAGGGAAGAAAACAGATTACTGTCATTGAGTGCGGCATGGCCGTACATCGCTCTGCTGCAATTTGACTCTTACCAAGTGTGCCGCAACGCAGGACTCATCTAGCCACGTTGACAGGTAGGGTTGTATCTTCCTCAAGGCTGATGCTCATGGTCATGGGTTGCCCTAGACTGACAGCGAGCGTTATGCCGGCCTCGGATATGTCAAGCTCGTTGACAGTGGCGAAATCCCCGCCAACGCTGCCTAGATGTCGTATGGATTTTTCCGTCCAGGCCCTTGTTAAGAGGTGTTGCACAGAAGACATGGCTCGCATTTCGTGGCCTGTGCATGCAGTGCGAGACTACATAATTACACACACAGTAGGGATTGTTCGAGTCTACCCGGCCTAGCCATGCAGTAGTCAGCGTGGACAACCAAGTGCGAGTAGGGATACTTAAGTTGCACAGGCTAGTGGAGGTACGGTAAGTGGCTTGGAAAGTTTACTCCTCTTTCGCGGATTATCAACCCAGACTGTCCCGCGCGATGACTGCGGCAAAGCAGGTGTTTTGCCAGAACATGCAGACTCTGGCCGGTCTTTCCTCAATATTCCAAAAGCGGAACGCCTTTGGAATCCTTCGTAGACCATGTCCTTTCACACTCGCAGGCGGCACGAGCTGTTGTATCTGGTAACCGCGCAGGGGCTGCCGTTCCCGGTCAGATACCCCTTCTTTCGTATTTGACAGCCGCTTGACACCGGGCCCGGCCTCGCCCCATACCTACTCGTACATAGATGCAACGCCGGGCGATGGCGATGGGGGGCCAGGATGGGTGGGTGGTTGGACGTCGCGAGTGATTCGCGCAGGGATTCGCCTTCCTAGCGCGCTGTATGGCGCACTTCAAAATCATCTGCCGCTCTTCGCTCCATCCCAGATCGCCAGCTGCCATTGCCGGCAAACCGCCTCACAGCGGAGGGGGCCCAGACGTGCGGCGCTGCGATCGCGATCGCTTGCGAGCGCTGAAGATATCGTGGTGGTCTAAACCGATCTGTCGTCTTAAGGGCCTACGCACGAGGGATCTGAACCACTTACCGATCTCGAGACGTTCGGCCCCGCTACTAAGAACCTGGAAGCGGCACCCACGGCCCTCTGCGGCAGATGGACTCCGGCAGGCGTCCCGAATTACCCATCTACCCAGGACGGAGCCAGTGTCGGAAAGCCACAGAGACTAGGGGAGCGGGAGGACAGGGGCCTCCGCATTCGTCTCCCTGGTCGCAGAAGTTTGATAAGTTGTCCGAGCAACTCCACCAGATGGTTAATCAATCCTCGGCAAACGCCGACAAAGGGGCGTCGCTCCGCCTTCCCGCATGCGTGAGGCGGGAGACGAAACATTAATGGGACGAAATATGAGAGCCTCCGTACCCCTAGCGCACTTGCGGCGCGTGCGCCAGGCCTAACCCCAGGTCCGAGCTCATCAGCACGGCAGAGGACGCGGTATGCATGACAGCAATGCTCCGAAGTGTCATCTGTCAGGCCCAATGAAGCATTTAGGGGCTTGCAGCACAATGTGCCTAAGAGCGTGACCGGCCTTCGCTTGACGCATTCCGGTACTTAGCTCCTGCCCGGAGCACTATTAGTAGCAACAGCTTGCGTGATTGACAGTCTTGTTTTCCAGGATGGTCGTTGTCAAGCTGTCAGTTTACTGTAGTTTAGGCGATCTAGTCCCATCGTATGCTGGGCTGTCCCTGCTGCATGCTCCACTGCTTGCCGAAAAGCAATATTACTTACAAACATCAGTCCTGTGCCTTTGCCGCTTCCGCTCAGCGCGGCGAATCAGGGCTTGTTTGCGACGCTTCCAAGTTGACGCGGTCTTTGTGAAGGCGCAGTTGATGCGCGTTGAGCGCCGAGATGGAGCTGCTGTACTGCCCAGGTGCATGTACAAGTTGATGAACACCATGCGCACACACGGTGAGTTCAAGCCATTGTAACAAGAAATGATCTTGAGCAGAGATTGCATGGCTTTGATTGGTGACTGCTGCCACAGTACTCTGCATCGCAGTGGCATCAACTGGGAGGCTCATTCATCCACTTTCAGCTTACGGGCCCTATCATGCCTGGAGCGACAAGCTTCCAGGATTAGGGAGCTGCCCATGGACTTGAATCGGCAATAATGACGGTAGCTATGCTCCTCTTTCTGAGTTCCTCGCATGGTTGAGAGCGGCCCTGCTGAAAGGTCCCACGTTGAACAAGCCGCAACATCCGCTGTTTCTGTTGAAGCTGCCGCCTGAGGATCCATCAGCTGTCTGCCGACATTCCGACTGCAGGACAGACCGATCGGGGCCATGTTCAAACCCACCAGAGACGGATGGATGTGGTCCAGTTCCTCTTGCATCCGCGATTTGAGCCAAAACGTCGAATGTGCTACAGCATTCTAACGGCAGCACGAGCACAGCAAATTTGTGGGAACTGGTGGGCCTGTGAAGCGTTACTCTACAAGGCGACGAAGCGTTACTCCGCACGGCGCTCTCAACAGCACTAGATTCGCTGCACTCAGCTCATCAGTCACCGCTCTTCAACGTACGATATCACTGCTACTGCTTCCCCTTAGCCTTCCGGCCAGTGATCGGTGTACAAGGAACACATAATCGTGCTCGTGTCTCCTCGAAGGCGTAGCAAAGCTATAAAAGGGACGACGAATACCCCTCACGATGCAAAGCACAGCAGATGACGGACGGCCCAGCAACCGGGTACGGGGACTAGACTGCGGCTTCCCGCCTTGTGGAATTGGATCCCGGCCCGGCCGCCGGATAAGGAAGATGAAAGGCCATAGCTCTGAAGCAACGACACGCCCTATTGCTCGGCCATCGTCTGCATAGCGCAAAAGCAGAGGAAGGGGCGCCTCTCTGGTACGCTGTAATTTTTCAATCAAAGAACGAGATCTGATGTTTTTAGCAGTGGTCGCCCAGCTCCCACCGAACCAAAGGGGCAACTTATGGAGTACCAAGCCGCAATCCAACGGTCGGGACGTCGGTACTGCGACGCGCAGAATCTGGAGATTGCTCCTCCCGCCGATCCTTCAGTGACAGCACGGGCATCTGCCGGTCCATCCGCCTTCCATCACATCGCGTGCTCGCAGGACCGGGGAGATGGTCTTAGGAGATCAAAGAGACGCGATTCGCCAGCCGTCCTGGACAGGGCTTGGAGAGCAAGCCACCAGGGTCACATCTGATTGACCCGAAAGCATCGTCGTTTCACAACGAAGACGCATCCATTGTCGGCCTAATCAACTGGGCTTGGCTCTTTAATGCTTCAAACGATGGATCTCTTCTTCACAGAGCGCCAGTAACACGCCACGTGACCGATCGCGGTGGGGTGTTTCTCCTCGAACGCCATGCACCCTGCAGCATCCGTATCAAAATGTTGTTATCGGCGAAGCCTGATCCACGGCCACCGTTTCCCTTGTTTTTGCCTGTTGAATTACTGCTGTCGTCAAAGATTCTCCATTCTGAACCGTCCAACCGTACTGTAGGTCATTTGGGGTCAAATCATTGGTTCTGAATCACCGGCACCAAAACGAGCTTCACGAGCGTGGGTTTCTGGAGTGATGGCCTCCCTGTCACGCTCTACGTGCCAATAAAAGGAACTTTCAATACGAGTCCGTAGCGGCCACGCTGTTACCGGCCGCTCGTCGTCATCATCTCAAAGGCATCCAAGTCCGAGCCTACCGGCCTTCATCAACATTCAATTTTTTGGAGTGCTGTCACGAGATGAGGATGGTGTTAATCATCACGCTTTTACAGCGATCTATTGGTCACTCGAGGATAAAACGCGCAATATCGTGCAATTAGCCAAAGCGGTACCCTACACCGTCTACAGCGAGTCTACCTCTGCCATAGCAACGCGTACAGCACATGACAGCCCACCCCACCTGGTATACGAATTAGCAGCAGCGTAATCGTCCGCTTCCTATGGGTGACGCGATCGAATGCGCATGACGACATGCTTTTCTGGAAGCTCCAGCAATTACCAGCAGCCTATTGAGGAACCTTTCCACTCGGGTGGAGATTACGCACCTCCTGCAGAAACGATTGTTGCAGCATTACGACCGAAAGGAGGTTTCGTGTCGACGTCTGTGAGGTTGTGTGAACCAAGGTTAGGGGCGCCCCGCTCCGCACGGCTTCGTTACCCACAAATATTTTTGGAGGGACGTTGCCTGCCATTGTGGTGCCTCCTGACTCTGGCCGTGGTTGCGAGCTTCTAGTAGAGTCTAGTGGATCACCGGTTGTGTGTCAACGAGTCTGGCAGCCCCGCCCGTGGAAGGACGACCCGATCATGGCATTTCCTAAGCCCCTGCAAACCGCTGACGGTTTCAAGCAGAGTCAGCACATCACACACATAGGTCTGTTGGATCTATCAATCAGGCACGTCATCCTCAGTGTGATGAGCAAATTATCGATCCCCGTCTATCTTGCCGTATTTCCGAGTCTTAGCTCGTAACATACTGCTGGGCGAAGTGGCATCACCCGGGTAATATGTCCGTCTCCGTTTGATCCCGCTGAACCAGTTGCAGCTATGGTGTTTTCGCTGACCGTTTCCTGCTTTGTGATGCTACTGATTGTTGGAAGCTTCTTGAAACCCCTGTCTTCCGCTGCTATTTAGACTTAGATATTCGCAACCACCTCCATTTTGTTCCAGCATGGGCTCTGCCACCTTCAAACGCCTGTTACAGCTATTTGCCCAAGTCCCTAATACTAGAGTTGTAGGATTCTTTAGGCCGGCCATACACAAGTGTACCATCAACTCTCGTAGAGTGCATCAAACGATTCAAATCGGCCTTTCGAGTGAATTAATGATCAATGCTTTATATTTCGAAGTGACGACGATCGTAGTCTCTTCTTTTCATGTCATGTTGATCCATAAGTGGCGGAACTGGAAGGATGGTCGGTGTATTCGGTTGATAAGAATTGGCCTTTGGTCGAGTGCTCAAGAGTGAAGACGGTCCTGCTGAGATGTCCTAGCCAACCAAGTGTCATCACAATTTCCCGCCGTCTGACTGAACACCTCTAAGACAAATCTGAAAGCCTTTACTATGGCTATAGTTTATGCTGATCCCAAGGATGAGCATCCTTGAGAAATGGAAATGCCTTGCAGTCTCTATCCACCGGAGCAGTTCTACTACATTCGCAGCAGGTCTCCATGCACAAATGCTAGAAAGTTTCTATTCAAGTCATAAGGCCCATCGGTAGATCGGAAGATGACTGACTGTCTCTAAGCGTCTTACTGGGAAGCCTGTAGGCTTGTGGTCCAGCCGGAACAGGTTGGTATTAAGCAGCACTTCGGCATCCTTTTTGTACTCAGATATCTAGCTGAGCGTCCGAAATTTCGGAAGAAAAGTGTTAAAAGCCAGCTTCGCTTGCTCCTTATGCCTCACCAGCAGACGGCCTTCATACCTGTTGCTAACTGTTATGCCCCACCATCTTCGGGTTGGCGGCATGTTATGCCGGGGTACAGGAGACAGTTCGACGTTCTTTCCCTAGCGAGCGAGCGTACGAGCACAGTCACCCAGAAATTGATAACAGGTGATACTAAATCCGCTGCGCCATCACTTGACAGCCGGGCGAAATACAATATGCGGCAGAAAGGTTCATCTCACAGTCCGAATCCGCGAGCATGCTAGCCTTTTCTTAGTCCTAGTGATCAATCAACGGTACTGAGGGGTACCAGCCGCTCCGCAGCATGAGATAGATAACTTCGCGGTCTGCAACGAATGCCTAGCAACCGGAGTATGTTTCTGTGTGCTTTGCCCTACGCTGATGGTTTGGCTGACTGCAATCATAATAACTACAGACTGCCAGGAGCTGATCAGGAGTTTGACAGCTGAGGGAAGGAGCATGGAAGCGCTAAAGAGAGAGACCTGCAGGACACCCCGGGAAAGCGCATCAAGTCACCGAAGCAGCTTTATTCAGTACTAACAAGTATCGAGCAGAACCGTGTGGCAGCGTAGCTTGCCTCCGAGGATTGTTGACAAAGGCCATTGCTGCACGAGGTGTTATTTCGAGCAGCTCCAAGACGTGTGGGAGACACCGAGCGTTCATCTCAGTCCGACGCGCAACAGACTACGTTTTTTTTTTTTTTTGACAAAACTGTGCCTCAAGACAACAGGTGGGTCTCCAAGATTTCCTCTTAGAAATATAGGACTAGATATATTGACAATAATGTTGAAACGAGGTCGGTCCCCACGTTGATGAGGCTGATGGTTCTAGCATGAAGTGGGTTGATGACAGCATCCTTGGTACCTATGTACCTACCAAGAAGGCTTTGCTGCATGGATCCAACGACGCGACCGCCGCATCTAAGTTTTCTCCGGATAACAGGTTGAGCACGAGCGTCAAGAACGTCTGTCAGTCACCATACATTCAACTCGAGGGGGATATCCAGGAGCTTTCGCCGAAGCCTTTATGATCTTCATTGATGGGTTCGATTCTAGAAAGGATTAGGACTTCGGTAGGCTGTATCGGAATGAAGGTATCTATTACGCTTCGAAGGCGTCCATTAAGTGGACAAGTAAGGGCTGTAAGACGGATTCTTTAGCCCAAGGCGGGTTGGATCAGCGTAGAACACGCCATATCTGTAGAAAGGCCTGAAACGCTCGTGTAACGGTCTAGGTATCTTGTGTTAATCTCCGGCTAGCCTCGATCTTTCGTCCGCTTCGCAAGGGCATCCTTCAGGTGATATAGCAGCAGGATACCTTAATCTCAGCTGCTAAGACTGCCGGCGAACAACTCCAGCGGCGGCCGGCAAGTGAACAGAAAAGCGCCATGTCTATTGAAACCACTATTGGGGCATCCATGACCATCTTCTCAGCTTCAACCAGTGGCTGGAGGATTGTTGCCAACTGCATTAAGAGTCACGGCCATTCAACATTGTATTCGTAGCCGTACCTCAGAATGTGTTGAACATTGAGATGGAATCGATGACCGGATCTATTGAACCGGATCTGATTCTTTGAGAGCTTGCAGGTGTTCTTCACCCGAGCTCCGGTTCCAGGATTGTCAGAACTGTCGCATCCTGGAGCCGTCGTGAGCCGCTGTTTGCTAAGTACTCCTGGGCATAGCTGCCCACAGGTCTACAATTCGTTTTGGGCGTCCATATTACTGTCCTAGAGGTTCCGGGGCGTTTAATGGGGCTGTTGAGCGTCTATTGCTGCAACAGGGCTATGATGCGGCGACTTGCAAGGTGGTTGTACCTTCTTGGATCCGGATATTACCACGTCCCTCGGATGCGGGAGGGCAGTATTCACGTCTACGGCATACGCGGATCGAACTTGATGAGGAAGGCGGACAATACTAAGTTGCCAATGGAGCTTGTTCTTGCTGAAGAAAAACGAAATAGAACAGAAACAGAAAATGCACAGCTGATTGATGCGAGGGTTAAAACCTGGGATAAAGCCGTTTTGTCGAAAGTCCTCTCTCCGGCGCAATGATCAGTACCACAGCAGCGACGCCGCGGTGGTGACCTTGGAGATTAGGCAGCGTATGCGGTTGCTCTTGCTTTGGTGGGTAGCAATCAAAATATCCGTTAATGATGGAGACGGAATGGGATAGGCTGCGCACGTACGGCTTCACCATGGAAAGGATGGGTTGGTATCGTGCACTCGTTGTCTGTAAAAACGCAGTTGCATTTTATATAGGGCGAGGCACTGACTTGAAGATCTGGCATAGCCTGAGGGGATGCATTTGTTACTGGGACGGTTGAACTAGCGAGTCTTAGAATACGAACAAGGAGGGGGGAAAATAGCAGGTTCTCCCGGGCAAAGCTTGATGTTGTTCCAGGCAGCCTGAATGCTCGTATCTTTTCATACCATCGTCGTGCGCCTTTGGGCTCATAAAGAAAGGGAAAAGAAAATTTCCCCGATCGGATTATGTATCCTGCGGCCCTGTGCAGCATCTATCCCGCTTCTTCTCGTACGCCCTCATTTGCTTAATGCCACTTACTCTTGAGAACGTCAAACGCCAAGCCATTGAGTTCCCGCATGGTGGCTTCCATCTCCGGCGTCTCTAGCAGGCCCATGTGGTCAGAAATGGTTTGGACTACGATGTCCCGGAGATCTCTGTCCTCGTCTGGGGTAGACGAGTAAATAATGTGGATAGATGGCGGAAAGCCTTCCGTATCCCAGTACTTTGAGGCAGCGTTTTCATACTTCTCGACAGCGAGCGCTCTCAACCCACTGATGTTGTACTTGTCGGCTATGGCGTAGACCTGGGCATGCGTCGAGAGGCTTGCGTCAGGGTCAGCTTTCAGCTGCAAGCGGGATGAAATGTCGGCCTTTTTGCCCTTCTTTCCTTTCTTTCTAGTCGGAATAGCCCAGAAATCATCGACGGCAAGTTCAATGTCTTGTGGAGCGGGTGCAGGTTCCACGAATCCTTCCGGAGCGGCGACAGGTGGAGACTCGGGCGAAGGGGCTCCAAGCCCCCTGGAGACGGCACGGTTTCCCCAACCGAGAACGCTCGAAGCCTCGGGTTCTGGCTCGGGTTCCACGAATGGCGGGTAGTCGAGCTTATAGAAATACTGTATCATACATCGGACAATGTATGGATTATCATGCTCAAGAGTAATTTCGCCGCTCAACGCCTCCTAAGCTACCTCGTTAGCTACAGCTATCAAGTGTTGTGTTATCTGTAAGGCCTCTAACTAACCTTGCCGAATCTACATGCCGCCGCAAACCACTCCGAGCGTGGACATAGGACCGCTTTGTGCACCTTGTGCCTGTCGATGCCTGTGACGATAGTGAGGTCGGAGTAATCGGTAGAGTCGTACAGTCTGGGCAGCAAGCTTTAGCACTACCCGGAGGTAAGAAACTATTAATACGCGATAGCCTACTTCCTTAGAGACTTGACTAGCTCCTCTTGCTGCAGACGCCCCATCTTGACTCGTTTCAACGGATGCGCTACCGGCCAAGGTGAGCTCGGTGGATGTCAACCACGCCTTTGTGTCCCGTCTGACCACCCAAACTCTTTCTCCTCCAACCAGATAGCGAGCGTCTGTCTTGCTGCAGAGATTTCGGTGCCACACAGCGTGTTCAAGTGGACGGGGATTGCAACACGCCCTGCGAGGCTGCGGAAGGCGGAGACCGCGGGAGAAGTCCTTACATCTGTAAACCTGGGGACGCAGCATACGCCTCAACACGTCCTCCGGAATCTGTGCGTTGGCGTCTTTACCAGGGCTGGTCATTGGTTGTCGGCGATGCTCACAGAGCGGTCAGCGGCCCACACATCAACTGAAACGTGATGGACAATGTGGATGCCGCAGCGGCATTCAAACGGACAGTCCCGCAGCGTGAGTGGTCTTACATGCAGGAAGCAGTCTCAGCCTCGTTGCCAACCAGCTAGCCGCAGGAAATGTGCATGTGGTCGAAAGCTGAACCGCAGGGCTGCAGCGGCTGTAGGGTTGAGTTTCTGCTGACCGTCCATTCTGCTGCTACGGCACGCCGTTCCCCAGCTCTTTCATGCACAAGTGGCGCATACGTGGTATTGGATGATATTGGTATCACTAAATACAGATGAACATGAGGTGAGCCGATGCGCTAATGGACATACAGAAGAGCAGAGCCTCAAACACGTGAGACGCGTCGGATGGTCACGTGATGCTGTCTTCCCAGTTCGCCCTGCCGCATGGTCCGGCCCTCCGGTTGATCTTGTCTCACGACCTTCTGTGATATGGAGGTCGTCTGCAGGCGGGCGGTGTTGCAGTAGGAACACGCGTCGTGGCCGCTCTGCAGGAGATACCTCCTTAATCTACCACATGGCGGATCTTGGCCAGTTGCACGAACTTTTTTTTAAACCTGCATCATCGGAGTCCCGACGAATTTTCCCCTGACGGGGCCATTCTGGAATATCTTCGATTGATGGTGAGACTTGGTGCAACATCGGGCACAACAGACAGGTCTTTGCAGCCACCTCCCGCCTAGATCATCATTGTGTTGGCGAAGGAAGTGGTGTATAGTGAGGAAGCGGACTGCTTAGCGTGTGACTATGAGACTCTCAGCATAAAAGTTAAGCGCCTTCTCAGAAACAGTTCCTGTAGAGTACTCCTCTAACGGCGAGCGAAGATCTATAAGTCTCCCTACCGAAAGCAAATCTGGTGTCATTCGCCTCGATTCGCAAAACGAGCGGTCTGCGAAAATCCTGCCTGCACCCTCTTTCATGCCCAGCGCCCAGCCATGCATCTCCCCTTTCGCCCAAACGCCATGCTACCTGTCCAAAAAGACCTGATCCGAAACCGGGATTTCCCAAGCACCAAATCTAACCCCTCATGCGGTAACGGGCATCCCCCAACCCACCCTAAACAGATCCCACGCCACCCCCGGCGTCTCCTTCACAACCGCCTCGACATCTTTCCGCCTCGCGAGCTCGGGATGCGCGCGGAAAGTTTGAACGACAATATCGCGTAGCCCGCGGTCAGAGTCAACCGTCGTCTCGTACACGTCCTGAATCGTTTCGGGGAACTCGGCGGATGACCAATGCTGTTCGACTTGCGTCGAGAATTTACTGCGGGCGAGAGACTTGAGGCCTTTGATGCCGTATCTGATTCGTTGGAAAGACGGTCAGCATTGTGAAACAGAAGATAACGCAAGGCGCGATTCTGGAACCATGGGTCGATGCGGGGGAGGGGTGAGGGGTAGGGATGAGGAGGTGAGGGGTTGATGCAGGGGGTAGGGGCGTGCGTGGGTGCGTGCATCGCTCGGAACGCCACCTTTGGGACATGCAGGGAACAAACTTGGGAGGTTGAGAGGACGCGTAAGTCGAAAGAAAAAAGCCCAACGTACTTTTCCGCGATTGCGTACATTTTGGCGTGGAGGATGAGATGCGGCACCGCTGAGTCTACCTCCTGCTCAGGCATCGCAAGACTGAAGTAGTCGTCTGCCTCCTCTTCCATCTCATGTGGCGTCATAGGGGTCTTCTCGTTTAGAGATAAGGACTCAAACCGGCTGGCAGCCTCGTCTGGTGGTGTCAATGGTATTGCGTGCGACGGAATGGTGGTATTTGCGGCTTGCGCCAACAGCGGGTCCTCAACGAGAGCGAGATTAAGCTTGCGAGGTCTTCTTGGGGAAGGGCTGCGCGCTCCTCGTGCACGCGGAGATGACGGACGAGATTTGACCAGGTAATCGAGGTGGTAGAAATCTGGCTGTGATGTGAGCCAAGGCCTCTGACATGTTGTTGGTAGAGTAAGTCGTACATTTGATCATATGCTCAACAGCGTCTTCCTCGTCTTCGCTCAGGTCAATAATGCCGGTCTCGGCTTCTCGAAAGCGATTGCTACATGCGCCGTCGAAGAAACCGGACCGCGAACAGATGACAGCTCTGTGGACGGCCCATCGCCTCTCTCCACACACAATAGTGAGGTCTGAATATTTTCCAGCTTCGAGCAGCGTCGCCAAAGCGGACATCAGCTCGTTGTGTGGTGCGTCCATGCTGGTGGATCGAATGGTGTTGTGATATTGAATGAAGGTGGACGAGTTAAGCGTGTTGATAGATCAGCTGGAAGTAGGATGATTAGCAACGATTCTACCTCGACAGCGGTGGTATGCCATACTTGAAGGGTGTTTATAAGTAGTAGATCGAACACATGCACACAGCAACAGTCCTGGTGTATTACAGCCGGGTTGTCGATTGCTGGGCAACAGAAGAGGGGTCGAGGAAGAGTGACTGGTTCTGATGGTAAGAGAAGGCGAGGATAAAGCTGAGTACAAGGATGGGAGACCTCTGCCTTTGTACTGGAGTAGGTATGTATACCCCGTGCCATATGACGAGACCGAGAATCACGCGGGAGTATAAGGTCGGCCACCGATTGGCGTGGGGGGGTCGATCATCTCCCAACTCAAACGATCCCTCAGCCTGAGCAAGCGCCTGCGAGTGCCGGTCCACACTTCCAGAGCAGCTCAACATGCATGCCTTACGCAACTTGGCTCAGGGGTTCTTCTGTAAGGCTGCGCAGGGAAGTGCACGACACCCGACCTCAGCCGCTTCCAGAACAGGATGAAACCGCAAAAAACGTGGGCGGCCGGCGCGCATGGCACCTTAGCGAGCAACGCTTGAAGCTCTCGAACATGGCCACTATCGCCACATCGCCGGTGGAGAGCTGAAGGCTAGCTTCATCTGGGGCGCATCCCTGTGGCGGCACCGAGAACCGACTCATTGGCTTCCACGAAGCGTCCACGGGCCCATGCGTGGAACAATTGCAGTGCCCGGGCTCGCGAGCGCCAGCAGATCGGCGCTGCCGAGGAGCGCTGAGAGAGGTCGAGCCCTCAACATTGGCGTTGGACAGACACTGACAGACCCTGACAGACCACTCTGGATGGCTGTCTCAGTGCGAAAGAAAGAAGCTGACGTGTCCCAAGGTAGAGTAGACCGCCGGCAGGACCGCACAAGTCAATCTTAACCTTCCTGCACGCTAGCAAAGCCGCAACGACTCAGAGCCTTTGAGAGTTCCGAGAGCTTGTATATTCAAGAGCGAGGAGTCTAGGTTGGTATCTATAAACAGGAACCTGGGATTGGATTCTCGGGATTCCGTTGTGTCGCTTCCAAGAACAACGGCATTGGAAGTGAATGTCCTCAGAGCAAGTTACCTTTAGGGATCCGAAAGCAGGTGATGGTTAATGCGAATGCCTGAGGCACGTGAACTAGCCCTGAGTGACGTTGCATGGTGTCGCGTTTTCTAACGTAACTTAACCGCGAGCCACGCCTTCATCCAGCCGTCGCTGCCGCCATTGTAGATACCTACACCGACCTGCTCGGCTAGTCACAGTCTCGTCAACTGCGCGGTCCTTTGCTTCGCTTTGACTAATTAAATTAGCACTGGCTCCGTTTTGATTGACCCATGGGCGAATTCAAATTATCTGCCTCGCTAGAGGGTCATGAGGACGACGTAAGCACTTGTCTGCGCGTAGCCTCTCCCTCATCAGGGCCAGCACACTGTCGCGGAGCAGCTCGAAATGACTGTGCGCGAGACACATCCCCGAGCCGTGACTAACTTTGGCTGGCCTTGCTCCTACGACACAGCTAACACGGCTTCTCCCAGGTTCGCGACGTTGCTTTCCCCCATCCCAAGTTCATCCTCTCAGCTTCCAGAGACGCAACCGTCCGGTCATGGAACTTGTTGGCCCCCAAACCGCCAAGCTATGACTGCACCTTGATCTCACACGGCTCTGCCTTCGTCAATTCGCTCACCTACGTTCCGCCTTCACCCGCATACCCCCAAGGCCTGGTCGTATCCGGCGGCAAAGACACCATCATCGAAGTGCGGCAGCCCGGAAAAGCACCGCAGGACAATGCGGACGCGCTACTACTGGGACACTCCTCGAATGTCTGTTCACTGGACGTCAGTGAGGATGGGCGGATTATCGTCAGTGGAAGCTGGGACCAGGAAGCTCGGGTTTGGCAAGTGGGGAACTGGGAAGCAGCGGTAACAGTACTCCAAGGACACGAGGCGAGTGTATGGGCGGTGCTGGCCTACGATAGGGAGACCATCATCACAGGTGAGCTACGCAGATTGGGCAAGAACCGCTAGGGATGGTTCTGTAACTCTTGCCCCACTGTATTACTGACATGGCATCTCATATCAGGCTGCGCCGACAAGCTCATACGCGTGTTTGACCCATCGGGCAAGCTGCTGCGTTCTATTAGAGGGAGTTCGGATGTTGTTCGAGCCTTGTGCAGGCTTCCTCCCAAGCATTCGTCCGGGGGGCAATTCGCATCAGCAGGGAATGACGCGGTAATCCGATGTTGGACGTTGGAAGGAAGACAGACCGCAGAGCTGCATGGCCACGAGAACTACATCTACTCGCTAGCAGTGTCGCCAAGCGGCGAGCTAGTGAGCTCTTCAGAAGATCGGACAGCTCGAATCTGGAAAAACAATCAATGCATACAAACGATTACTCACCCAGCGATATCAGTGTGGTCCGTAGCAGTCTGTCCAGAGAATGGAGACATTGTCACGGGAGCCAGCGACCGGGTTGTACGAGTATTCAGCAGATCAGAGGATCGACAAGCGAATATCGACACAATCAAGGCTTTTGAAGACTCGGTCAAGTCCTCTTCAATACCCCAGCAGCAGGTTGGTAACATCAACAAGGAGCAACTACCCGGCCCGGAGTTCATCCAACAGAAATCAGGGACAAAGGAAGGCCAAGTGCAGATGATCCGAGAAGACAACGGCAACGTTTCTGCGTATCAGTGGTCGACGGCTGCCAATCAGTGGATCAATGTTGGCACCGTCGTTGATGCTGCTGGCAGTAGCGGGCGAAAGATATCGTACAAGGGTCAGGACTACGATTATGTGTTTGATGTTGACATAGAGGACGGCAAGCCGCCGCTCAAGCTCCCGTACAATCTTTCACAGAACCCATACGAGACCGCGAACAAGTTCATCGCTGACAATGAGCTCCCAATCTCTTACCTGGACCAGGTGGCAAATTTCATTGTCACCAACACCCAAGGGGCCTCTCTCGGCCCAGGAGCTGGAAGCCAGACGCAAGCTCCTGGCTCAGACCCGTGGGGCTCAGAGTCGCGTTACAGACCGGGTGAGGTGGACTCGGCAGCGCCTCAAAATATGCCGGCTGAGTCCAGACCAAAACTACTCCCCCAAACTCAATACCTCTCGATAACAACCGCCAACCTAAAAACGATCCAGAAGAAAGTTCAGGAGCTAAATCAGCATCTTATCGATCAAGGATCAAAAGACCTATCACTCAACCCTTCGGATCTCCAGATTTTGTCAGCAATGACCAAGCAGCTGGAACAAGCCTCCGCAAAGCCCGAAGCTACCGCCCCCGCACTGAACGAGGGCATAGATCTCGCGCTCAAGCTCGCGACCGCCTGGCCGCAAGACAAGCGCCTCCCCGGCCTCGACCTCCTCCGCCTCCTCGCAGCCGCATCTCCTAATCTGGCGGCTCACACCAGCTCCTCCGACCAAACCATCGTGGATCAGCTAGCAGTATCCGGCGTCTTCTCGCCAGACGCACCCCCAAATAACACAATGATGGCGATCCGGACCTTTGTGAACCTCTTCAACACCGAAGAAGGCCGCTTCATCGCCGACGGCGAGTTCGACAAGATCCACGAGCTCGTCCAGCCCTTCGTCGGCTCGAGCAATCGCAACCTGGTCGTGGCGATCGCGACGCTGTATATCAACTTCGGCGTCATGCTTGCTGCGCCGGCGCATAATGCGGACCGGGCGCTTACGCTGCTGGATGATTTGACGAAAGTCGTCAACAGCGCCACGGACTCTGAGGCCCTGTATCGGGCGTTGGTTGGGGCGGGCACGCTGCTGTGTTTGGGGGAGGACTTCAGGACTGCGGCGAAGGAGGTGTTTGATTTTGATAGGGCGCTGCAGAGGGCGGAGAACGTGGGGAAGGAGCCGAGGATCAAGAACGTGATCAGGGAGATGAGGGATGAGTTGGCTTGAGTACCGAGGGGAGAGGGCTATAGGTAGCGGGCTGCATTGCACTTGGCGTTTAGATGAGCCACCGGTCAACGTACAGGAGGCACAGGAGAAGAAAGTCGTGAGACATTGCCACACTTCTAGATCCTGAATCAAACAAGTTGATTTGCAGGATCACCGCCCATAAGCTTACGAGAATGCTGTAGCATCATGATTGAGGCATTCGAGTAAGGAGCAGTCCTGTAAAGGAGGCGAATGCTTATGTCATCTTAGTTTACACGTCGCGGCCATCCAATACAGTACCGCATGACAAACGCGGTTAGCCTCGTCCCCACGCGAAGCTTGACCCCATTTCACTGCCGAGCCCTCGAGCTTTCAAGTCCGCAGCTCGAAATCCTCCAATTTCCGTAGCCGCGAACAATTGCCTGCTACTGTCTGTTACAGTGGCGCTGTAAAATCGCAGCAACAATGGCAGACTACATCAAGGGCCTCTTCGGTGGCCCCAAAGCCGCCCAATCGCCAATACCGGCGGCACATGATGCTGGTAAGTCTGCGAAATGCTTCCACCTACCTATCCTCTCCCTCAGCCGTCGACTTTTTGCCTAACACACTGCTTACCCTACCAGACTTCGCCGACTTCGCCGGAGCTCCCGATCCCTCTCCCGCCTCCATATCCCCGGTAACAGCTGCGCACATCAGCCCCACACCGGCCCCCTTCGGAGGCAGACCCGGCGTGCCCTACACGAAATGGTACCGAGTCTGGGAGCGCACCTCCGCCGCCGACTTCATGCAAGAAGCTTTCATCCTGCCCTTCATCATCCTGATCGTGCTAGTCCACCTCTGGGGCACGCGCACGAACCGGCGCAAAGCCAAGGCCTGGATGCGCGCGCACGCGCCGGTGCTGCAGCAAGAGTTCGCAGTCGTCGGCTTCGGCGGCCGCAGGGCACCCGGGGCGGACGACGTGCAGGCGTCTGGTCTCGCGAATGCGCTGACGAGCGATGAGCTGATCATTCCGGAGACCCTGATGAAGGAAAAGGCGGGGAATGAGTTCGTTACGTATGCGACTGGGCGCCAGAACGTCGCGTTTGTGGATGTTAAGCTGAGCCTGCTGAAGCGGTATAACCCGCTTAGCCAGTATAGCGAGATGGTGCTCGGGTTCTTCTTCGATAGCTTGAACGCCCCTGTCGAGCGCATGGAAGCGACAAGCTATTGCTTTGATGGGAAGGAGAGCCAGCTCGTGCCCAGCATGGGCGGCGCAGAGACAAAGTCAGCTCCCAACTCGACATTCGACGGATTCGTGTGGGCCATCGTCCACAAGAACAGCATGAGGCGCCTCAGAGACGATCGCTACGACATCTCCCTCACGAGCACCAAAGACAACCCCAAGCTTCCCGCCTGGGCGACCGTCATGAGCGAGGCAGCCGAGATCACCGACGCGCTGCTCACGCCCGAGCTAATCAGCGCGGTCGAAAAGGCTGGCGAGGCGCTCGAGGCGCTCATCGTGACCGATCAGCCGCTGGAGCAGCCCAAGAAGTACGTCTCCCCCATTACATCCCCATCTCCTACCCCGTACCCGCTAACCCTAATTCATCTTCAGACTCGACGAAACCGTCCCCAAGAAGCGCATAACCCTCTCCCTCCACCTCCCCTCCTCCTCTACCGCCTCTGCCTACGACTCCACCCTCCCGCTCTTCCACTACTTCCTGCGCATGCCGGACCAGCTCGCCGCGCACGCGCACTTCCGGCCTGAAGCGATGCGCAAGGTGCGGGCGACGCGGGAAGAGGAGATCAGGAAGATACGGCGGGTAGATGAGGACGAGAAGGCCGAGGAGAGGAAGCTTAAGAGCGATAAGGAACGCAAGGAGAAGAGGGATCAGCTGCTGAAGGGGATGAGTGCCAAGGAGCAGGAGAAATATCTTGCGAAGGAACGGGCGAAGACGCAGAGGAAGAGTGAGAAGGCGAGGACGATGAAGGGGTAGGGGGGTGGCGGGATGGGGGATCGTGCATAAGGTAGGGGGAGGGTTTCAGGATTGGATGTACAGGCTGTATGGAAAAGATGTGCGGATTGGCAGAGGAATATCTAGCGCATCAAAAATCTTCTGCGCCAGCGGCCATGAGGCTTGCCGCGATGTCTAGACTATCTAAACTTTGATCCATCATATCGCTCGTACATGGTATTCGTCTACGGCTTGGACGCTTGTGATATCTAAATCCGTTCTTCACACCGAGATTACTCAGTGATGTACAAGGGAAGCACGACCTCCTCCTGATGCGTATGTGGTATTGGTTATCGACCCAATCTCGTGTTCTTGATTGACAGACATGAAAAATGTATGCCTACGAGGAAGGAAAATACCGTGTACAGAAAATTGGTAAAGACTCACATGCACCACCTACTCCACGCCATGCTGTAACACTTGATCACGCCGTATATGTCTCATCTCGACCCCACTTGGCCTCTTGTCTATCGTTGACTTGCACTTTTTGCACTCTTGCCTGCTATAACTGAGCAACAACCTTCTTTCCCGAGTCCACTCCTGACGAGACGGCGGTATCCGCAGACATCGTCGAGCCCTCGCTGTGCCGCTGCGCCATCCGCAGATGTTCCTTCAACATCGCATCTCTCGTCCTCTGTGTCAGGTCATCCACATCCGCCGGCGTGAGTCCCGTGGTCTCGATCGGCGGCAATACTATCCTCAATCAGCTCCCTTTCTACAAGCCCGTAAAGTCCTCGCCGACAGCAACGTACCTGAAATTCTGATCGTCCCCGCCCTAAACACCCTCCTCTTAACATTTAGGATGTGCGCATAATTCTCCACCACAACCGGCACAACGGGCACCTGCGCCTTAACCGCCAGATGAAACGCCCCCTTCTTAAACGGGAGCAACATCGGCTGCTCCGCGTAACTCCTCGTGCCCTCGGGGAAGATGAAGACGCTCTGCCGCTCCCTCCGCATCACCTCCGCCGCGCCATCGAACGCGTTCCTCGCCGTCGCCCGATTCGTCCGGTCGATGAACACGCTCTTGCTCAGCACCATGAACCAGCCCAGAAAGGGGATATACTTGAGGCTCGACTTCGCCGTCACGCTCGTGTAAGGCGCGAAGATGTGCCCGAGAGCCGCGACGTCGAGTTCTGTCTGGTGGTTCCCTACGAACACCGCGGGCCGCGTTTGGAGGTGCTCTTCACCCTCGATGGCGAACCAGACGCCGGTCGTCAGGTACATGCTCCACTTAAAGGCTCGCGCGACGGTCCATTGTGAGAGCCCACCGTGGCCGGCGAGGCGCAGCAATAGAGAGGCGATGACGCCGTAGGTTGCGCAGAGGAGGAGGCTGAACCAGGAGGCAAGGAGGCGCGCGTAGAATGTCATGCTTGTGGCGAGGAAGGGGGGCGAGATGAGGGAGAGGGCGTAGAGGGCGGCGGTTAGGCTGATATAGGAGAAGATGCCGAGAAGGGGGTAGGCTATGAGGGCGTGCATCGTGGGTTTGGTGGTGGGGTGGTCTGGTCTGGTCTGGTGACAGGTGGATGGGGAGTGCAATGGCAATTGAGGGAGCTGTTTCTGTGATGGAGGCTTGTGATCCCTCCTGTATCCAGAAGAGAGCGGCGGTGGAGGAGGATTGCCCTCAGGATGGGAATTCAAGCATCAGGTGTGCGGATGTTTTGCGGGCTGTTGTTGAGGGCGGGCGGTGAAGGTGGGGGGACGAATGCTCACATGGCCGCATCAGAATCCCTGAAATTCAACCACTGCGCAGCTGCACGACATCCAAGCCGCGGCAGATGCATACTCAGCTGTCAGGGCGGAAGGTAAATCCATGGATAAGGCCCGCTGAAATGGACGTCATGGGTATTCTCCGATATCACAGACTTTCTTGGCAAGCCAGGAACCCTATCACGGTCATACATTGCACACAAACCCTCAAGCGCACTCCAATTTGACTATGCCTTCGTTATCGCTGGCCTCATTCATCCACCATGCCCAAAGAAGTCCGCTGATGGACACGGATACCATCCAGCCAGTGAGCTCCAAAGCTACCTATTCGTCCTTGGCCGAAACCCGGAAACGCCGCCAAGATGCACCTCCTGAAATGCACAATGCTCGCTAATCCTAAAACTCCCTAAAGTGCTTCGTTCAACGAGTGCATACGTGGTATCGTGGGGTATAAAACGCCAGATGACGAGTCAATAGTACCACTATGGAGAAGTGAAGCGGTATCAAGGTCTGTGAGGATGCGGACGGTATTAATAGGCGGGATACAGGTCGAGGGGATATCATTACACGTCCCCTTCCTCGGGATCAAAGTCGTCGTCGTCCTCTTCGAGCGATTCCATGGCTTCCTTGATGTATGAGGCAGCCTGCCATGATGATTAGCCTTGAGGCTTTGCAAACACAGAAGGATGGGGAGTCACCTTTGGATCCAGGTTCAACGCAATCGTGAAGTGGCGGAGCGCGGACGCCCTGTCGCCCACCTTCTTGTACACTCTGCCGAGCGTGAAGTGCACGTTCGCTTCGTCCGGCGCAATGTCCTTCAGGATTTGGAGTTCCCTGAGGGCTTCTTTGGGATGATGTAGGTTCATCAACGCTCGTGCCTTCTTGAAACGCGACATCGCCGACCGAGGATCAATCTCGCACGCATGGCTGTACTGGATCAGTGCCGCTTGGGGCTTCTTCATCTTTTCGAGGACCTACTCATCATTAGTTCGCTAGTCACATGAGCGGAGTTGAGCAACTGACCATTCCTATGCGTACAACGAGTACCGAGTTGGATGAGTTGATCTGCGCCGCGGACTTGTAGTGCTTCTCTGCAATTTCGTACTTGCCCATCCTCTCGTAGACAAGACCAAGACCATACCAGCCATTGTAGTGTCGATGATCTGCAGAGATGGCGCATCTGTAAGCGTAAAGAGCCTTGTCGAACTCCTCATTCGCGATATGCTCATGGCCTTGCAGTGTGAATGCGTATGCAAACTTGGGGTCTAGCTGCGTCGCTCGCTTGAAGCACTTGATGGCCCGCTCGTGCTCTCGTTGAAGCGAGAATGAGTTCCCGATGGCACACCAAGCTTGCGGACATAGTCGATCGGCCTCGATCAACTCATGTGAGAGGTAGGCCAAGTCTGTCTCTTTCTTCAAGTGCCACAAAACGGTTGAGTAGACTTCCATGTCCTCCATCCGCGAAGGCGCCATCTTCTTGATCCTCTGGAACACTTCTTCTGCCTCCGCGTATGCATTTCGTTCGTGGTATGCTTTCCCAATCTGAGCCAAAACCCATGGCGTTTCTCGCTGTTGCGGCGCCATAGAAGCAAATGTCTGCAGAGCGGCTTGGCATTGGTATCGGCTCAGAGAGTAGTAGCCGCTTCCAAGCTTAGCGAAGAGATCCAGAAGCCACTGCAAAGCCTCTTGATCCCGCTGCGGCTCGGCCTGCGGTGCTGAAGTTCTCTGCGACGCTGTCGATATGCCAGAAGCGACGCTAGGCGGGCGCAATTCCTTCGCGTCTCGATCCGAAGGCTCTAGTTTTCTGTTCCCACTCACCACTCGTCCCACAGTTGAGCCTGTCGCGGACCGACCCTTCGTCCCCGTCGCCCTAGCTTTCTTCAACTCCCCGGCTTGCTGAGCTTCCGGATCTTTGGCGACTGCCGAAGCCAGCTTGCTGCTTGACGGGCGAGCTAGTTGACCCCATATTCGAGCACTCCGACGCTGGGGTGCTGCGGTCGGATCTAGCTCTAGAGCAGAACTCGCTTGTGATGCGTGGCCGGATATCGTTCTTTTGTGATTACTCGGCATTGCCAGTCGTGAACCTTCCGATGTCTCGGTAGTCTCCGAACCTGTTTTGATTCTGCTCCTTGTCGAAACTGACCGCATCTTTGGTGCTTCTCTCGGCCCCCCAGGTACAAGATGCTGCAATGGCCTCGTCTTCGTTCTCATCGGAGCGTGTGGCGGCTCCATCGCCTGCGCATGACTGACGGGGCCGCCGGCCTCTCCCATCATAATGTCGTCATCATGTGCGCCTCCGTTCACAGCCGGACTATCCCAATCCTGCAGTTGCGCGTAGCCTCCGTTAGGCGCTGGCACGCTACCATTGAGGCGAGAGAGCAGATTCGGTCCTCCGAGGTTGAGTCCCACTTCGCCAACGTTTCGCACAGTTGGGTTGAAGGGGTCGTTTCCAGGTGTTGCGAGACTTTGGTTGCTGACGTTCACTTGTGGTTGTAGAGGGATATTTGGTGGAGAGCCTTCCAGGCTGCCATTCGAGGCTGTGGATGTTGTAAGAAATGCAATCATCTCCGGTGTCATTTTGAAGATGTTGGATGGCCGGATAACGATGCCTGTACTGCTGTCAGTCCACGCACCCAATGCAGTGTGATCGTATATACCCATGTCGCAGAGGTCAAGGAATGCGTCCCACATGAACGGGTTGAGCTTGAGAGCCTCAACATAGCAGTCCACAGCCTTTTTGGTGTCACCGTAAGCTCTCCATAGCTTCCCCAGCAGACAGTTGACCGCTGCTGCATCCGGTAGGTGTCGCCTTGAGCTCTCCGAGTGCTTATCTACCATTGTGTCAGCACCTGACGTGTGCCCTAAGCTCTTTTTCACAGTCTTCCAACTCACTCCAGTGGTTTCTGCCGCCCCATAGTCCGCGCGCTCGGTCTAGTGCTCCGATTCCGTCGGTGTACCGCTCGAGACCCAAACATGCCTGCGCAAACACGTATGCGCATCCTAAATGCTGCCCTCTCCCACCCTTGTCCCGGCTGTAGTCGCAGGCGGCTTTTAATCTTCCTAGCCGTATGCAGCAGAGGGCCACGAGGTGCGACGCCTCCGGACTTCGAGGCTCCAAAGCATGCAGTCGCCCAGCGAGGAAGAACGCGTTCTGGGCAAGGTCGTTATCGAGGTGGTAGTAGATGAGCTGCCGGAGCTGTGTCGCTATTGCAGGGTTGGGTGACATGGTAGAGGGCCGTGGGCGGCGGGGCTTCGTGGAGTGGCGGGTGGGCCTCCACAGACTGCGATAGAGCTACAGAGGTGAAGGGAGGTTCGGACAGAGGGCGGGACGCGTGGGCTGGTTTCATGTAGGCAGCTCTGGCGTGTGCTGCACTCGCGGCGAGATGTCTTTGACGGTTTCGGCAGTCCTACAAAGCTAATTGCGAACTGGGCTGGATCTTGCCATGGAACAGGTGTGCGGCTATGAATGACGCGCAGGTTTGATCGCACGGAGGAGATTGAAGCCGTCGGAGGTGAGGTAGGTACGTCCCAGTGTACACGGGCTTTGCATTGTCCCTCTTAGTGCTGCTGTCGCGGTTTGGTGTTGGTGTTGGTGTTGGTGTTGGTGTTGACTGGCCGGCGAAAGTCCGGAAGCAGGGAAGCAGCAAGCGCTGCCCTGGTGACGAAAAGGGCCAGTCGGCGGCTCGGCGCGGCTGACGGGCGAGCACAGGAACGAGCACCACCGACAAATCAGTGGTCCTATTCAAGATTGCCGCAAACCACCTGTCGTGTGCAGCGAGGATAGGGCGCTCTGTGAATTTACGGGGCGGAAAAGTGATGTTTTGTAGGAAGACAGTTTAGACTTGGTTGCGACAGCAGTACAAAACTAGAGGCAGCACCTCTGTCTGTCCGTAGCCATTGAAGATACCAAAATGGCACAGGTATGTAAGTTTCCCCCAAGATCACTTGTGCATGAGCTGATCCCTCCCAGAAAGCGGCCAAGACACTTGCCGCGCGCAACACTCAGACCCTCAACCGCACCCTCATTATCACAGCCGCCGTCCATGCCGTCTTCATCTTACTCCGCGGTCTTCTCTTCCGGCACTCATTCACCACCCGCTCACTCACGCTCTACCTGGTGCTCTCCGCACCATCCCTCATCATCCAATTCTGGTTTGAGCGCATTGGCCGGCCGACCTATGGCGCCGCACCCGGCGACCTTCGCCGAAGCGGCGAGGATCTTGAGGCGAAGGGGCTGACAGAGTGGATGTGGGACGTGCTGTACTGGACCTATATCTGTCTGGGGTTCGCAGCGATTCTAGGCGATTGGGCATGGTGGTCATGGGTACGTTTCATTCTGTTCAGTTACCGAAGTCTGTTTGAAGCGACACTGGGGATACTTGCTGATACGTGTGCATTGCAGGCTGCTGTGCCGGCTTATTCAGCTTGGCTCGCCTACACGACGTTCGTTGGTGCTCGTCAGGGAATGGCCGGTATGGCAGGCGCGGGTGGCGAGGGTGGAGATTCGGCGCAGAGCAAGAGACAGCAGAAGATGGAGAAGAGGGGCGGTCAGAAGATGCAGTACCGCTGACGCGAGGGAGGAGAAGTAAGTCTGTTAGCCTTCTGTAGATTTTATTGACTGCGATGACACGAATCCTCCAACACGTGATTGCGCGCGACATTTCCTTCTCACATACATAAGGTAGTTGTGCTATGCATCGAGCGAGCACATTGGGCTGAGGTCGCGGCTGTTTTGCCAGACATCGCGAGTTGCAGTTTGCGGCTGATACCTACGCGTCATCGTTGCAAACACCTCGACAGAAACGCTCGCCTCTCACTGCCCAGACGTAGCCGTAAGGTGACTAGGCGGGACTTCTAATTACTACCGTGCTTCAGCTTCTCGGGTCCAGAACCGCGTCATTTCAGGCGATTCTTAATGTCGGCTGTCTCTGACACGCAGACGGCGGAAAATAGTGTCGGAATCGTTAGTAGTGACATGGACGCGCACACGACGGCTCAGACCGAAGCTAGCGACGTGAACATCGTGCAAAGCACGCCGAGAAAGATTCCCGCCGTGGAGACTCGCTCCAGCGGTACCTCAACGGAAGAAATCAAGCGGCTCGAGACTTCGTAGGGACTACTCCTCACCGAAGTTCTACTGCTTCTACACTGCTGACTCAACGATATATATAGCCCTTACATCTCAGAAGTTTGTCTTTTACGGTTCGGCTCTGCCAACGAACCGTACACTGTTCTGGAGACGTTCCTTCAGCAGCATCCAGGATTCACAGCTTCGGGTTGGAAGGGATCGGCACACAGCTCCAGGCCGATCAAACTATCCGAGGTAGATCAGGATACCGGCCACACATTAGTGCATTACCTTTACACCGGCACCTACCAGACACTCAAGCCGACAGACGTCTCGCTCGATGCCCCAAAGGTCAACGAGTACAAGAGAGGTGTATTTGCGTATTGCGCCGGCAGGAGACACGGATTGCCTGGCCTGGCATCATTAGCAAAACGCAAGATCAAGAGCCTCAATGAGGAGATTTCCATCTTCGAGTTCTTGGACATCGCTTCCCAAGCTTTTCAGAAGCTCTCAAGAACGGACCCCTGGTTTTCAGATTTCGTCCAGACGCGGATCAAGGCCGTGCTCGAGGCCAACGAGGATTTGTTGGCGGATGGGGATTTGTTGGACCGCATCGGCAAAGTCGCGGTCTTTGACAAGGTTTTGATGGGCGGCATGGTGAAGACGTACGTCGAGAAAATTGCAGAGGTAGCCAGCAGGAAGCGCGCGTTCGAAGAGATTCTTGACGACGAGGCTGTCATCTCGGCCTTGCGGAGATCTACCGCTTAGCAAGGAAGTGATTGTCCATGGAGAAGGACTTCTACCAGTTGCAAGTCAAGAGGAAAGAAAGAAGGGAGAGGATGAAAGTCAGCGCTTCAGCAGGGTGAAATGATCTGGTTGGCTCTGAAAGACTTGAGTTCTGTAGCCAGTTCAATGGCTTACTTCGCTGTCGACTCTCGTATGACCATTGTAGGCTTTCCTACCTTCGCCTGGAGATTTCTGAAGCAGTATCTAACTTGTTCATAGCTACTGCGCCACGGTATGGCCAGGAACGAAGCTAGCGACTATTTGATCAACTCTTCAGCATCGAGTCTGGGATCTAAGCATACGCTGTTCAGCTGAATCATCGGGCCAATGGTCATGAAAGCGGACGGAAACTCAGACCGGCTGTGGCAGAAGTGGAATTATTGCAGAATCGCTCATTATAGAGTAAAGGGGAGGAAATCGGCCGCTTATACATCATTTTAAGAGCTGCGCACTTGTTTAATAAACATGCGCCATCCTCACTCCTATCAAAACTCTTCTCAGCCTTCAAAGCTTGCTCTTCGGGTCCTTGCCTTTCTCATAACCTGCCTTGATCCCTCTTTCAGCTCCCGTTCCAAAACCTGCGCCCTCGCTTCCATACCCTTCACCTCATGCTCTCCATCATCCAACTGCGGACTTCACTTGCCTTGGCCTCTCGATCTTCTTACCCGTACGTTCCTACTCCTGCAGCATCGCCCGCCACTCCTCCGGCTCCTCCGTGCTGCCTAAATAAAGGCTGTAGTCGTCACAGTAGCACGCGTGCGTGACGAGGCAAAACTTCGAGTAGCCGATGAACCGGTACTGCCGACAGTGCCTGAGGATGCGGCCACTTTCGAAGTTGATGAGCGAGCTCTCGAGCAGCCAGTGGCCGATGTGGGTATGCATCTCCAGCGGCGCTGATCGGACGCGGTTACAGCAGGCGGCGAATTGGCGCATATCGACACCGACAGAAAACATCAATCATCGGTGACAAGGCGGATGTAGGCGAAGAAGCAGCTGTATGTGTTGTGCAGCGGACATCACGCCTGCGCAGCCACTTCGACGATATGAAATCTCTTCCCGAGCGTCAAGCGTACTGCTTGTATCATCTCACTTCTGGAAGGAAGCAGTACTCCAAGTGGGTATGGAGAAGCCCTGAGGCCGTCCCTTGCGTTGCGCACAAGTTCTGATACTGGACAGTACGCAAGAGAGCTATTCAGACACGTTCTACCACAGTTCTACCTAATGTATATAGATGAGTCTAATACGTGTAGCGTTGCCGATACACGCTATCTGACGTAACAAACCGTTGTGAGTGAGTTGTAGGGACTCCAGAATGATACTGTGAACGGCGGTCCCTGTACCACACCGAACGCGTATGAATAAGATAGGTGCAATGAGATTACTGGCAGTACTAAGATAGGCACCATTCGGCTGTTCTTCGTTCGGACAGTTGTTTGATGCAAGATAAAGACAATCTTAGTGACTCGAACGGGCGATCCTTCAAGTGGAGGTCTTAGACCATCCAGCTTTGCAGCTGAGCGAGACTTCATATACTCTCATGATGCCTGTTCCCCTAGGTAAGATGCTCTTTCGGTTGCCGCGACTGTTCATTCGCGTGCTGTCGTTCCCAAGCCAAGAGCGACTCAAAATAAAGGTTGCCGTATGCCAGATGCTTTTTGAACCAAAACATACGGCAGCCTCCAATTTAGATCATCTCGGAGCGCATCTAATCTAATCGCGGGAGCGGAGAAACTGCGGCGAAACCTGCGAAGTTCGACGAATTTCAGGCCAACCAGGCAGGAACGTCACAGAAGCTTACGAGTGCCGCTTTCCAGCACTCGTAAAGAGCATCTTGTGCTCGGCTCTGGCAGGGTGATTTCTGATGTTCTTCCCGCCCCGTGCACCCATTTCGCCGTGCCAGAACGGCTTAGCGTACTTTTTCCAGGCAGTTGCAGTCTGATCACTGATTCCCTTATTTCATTGAAAGCCCCGCTCGTTTTCCTGCTCTTCTTTCTCCTCTTCTCTCACACATATCTCACGAAGCATCAACGCCATCAACTCCAACCATCAATAACCATCACATCAGCCTCTCAACACCAAATCCATCGAACTTCAACACATCTACAACATGACTGGACGTAAGTACATTTGTTCCATCGTCCTCGCCATCGTATACGGTACTTTGGTGATGTTGTCGTCGCCTCGACGCGGTCACGGTCGCTGCATCTCGTGATGCGTGACCCGACGCGTTCAGCCTCAACACCATGGCTGCCACAACGTCTCACCACCACTGCCTGCACACAACATCATCGATGCTGTCGCTCAAAACCATGATGCACTGTGCTAACATACTGTCACCACAGGCGGCAAAGGTGGGAAGGGTCTCGGAAAGGGCGGCGCCAAGCGTCACCGCAAGATTCTTCGCGACAACATTCAGGGCATTACCAAGCCTGCTATCCGTCGTCTCGCTCGTCGTGGCGGTGTGAAGCGTATCTCTGCCAGTAAGTCATCCACCAGACATCACTTCACTTTACGTATACTAAAACGTCTTCCTACAGTGATCTACGAAGAGACCCGCGGTGTCCTCAAGTCCTTCCTCGAGGGTGTCATCCGTGATGCCGTCACCTACACCGAGCACGCCAAGCGGAAGACTGTCACCTCCCTCGATGTCGTCTACGCCCTCAAGCGCCAGGGCCGTACCTTGTACGGTTTCGGCGGCTAAGCATCTTCGCCTATCTTCTCCCCGGCGCTCCATGAATCCGTGGGCATTCTTTTGCGCCTTGCTAGCTGTCACGGCCTGATTGCTAGAGGTCGGACACAAGCGTGGCGTATCTAGGGATCAGGGATGGCGTATCTCAGTGGCTCAAGGGTTTCGGACGGGAGGATGGTAAAGATTGGCGTTTGGGATTGCTTATGATTGCTTTATGAATATCTTACGAAGGGAGAATTGCGGAACGTAGCTACCATCACTCACGATAGACTCAACCACAGCAGTCTATTCCCATTTCTCGTCCTCACTGTGATTTAAGTTTGCTCAATGCTTTTCAGCTCACACATGTATGTCTGTTTCTCCTGGTTACCGATCAAGGCCAATCCATGATCGCCGACAATACCACGTCCCTGTCGTCCTGCTGGGTATAGAACATCATTTCAATTTCCCTACACGCCACCACCTCAAACCTCATCCGCCCCAGCACGCTTCAGCATCTCAATCACATCGTCTACCCTCCCCACCGCCCCAAAAATACCCCCCTCCATCTGCACCCCCCTAACCGTCGCTTCATGCAACTCCTCCTCAGCCGCCGCACACCCATCCTCGAGTAGCAAACAGTCAAACCCCCTATCATTCGCCTCCCTCATCGTGCTACTCACACACACATCCGTGGTAACCCCACAAACAACCAGATTCCTAATCCCCCTAACCCTCAACAACAGCTCAAAGTCCGTATGCGCAAACGCGCCCCGCCCGGGCTTATCAATAACGGGCTCCCCTGGCAGCGGATACAGCTCGGGGATCGTGTCGTGGCCCTCTTCGCCGCGGATAAGGAGGCGACCGAGGGGCCCCGGGTCGCCGATGCCGAGGCCGGAGGCGTTGTTGCGGGAGCGGAAGGCCTCGCGGGGGGAGAGGGTCGAGAGGTCCCGGCGGTGGCCTTCGCGGGTGTGGTAGATTTGGTAGCCGGAGGCGCGAAAGGCGATGAGGAGGCGCTGAAGGCAGGGGATGATGGAGCGCGTGGCGGTGATGGAGTAGCCTTGGCTGGTGAGGTAGCCGCCCGGGGAGCAGACTGTTCCTGGAGGGGTGGGTTAGAGTGGCGGAGATGGGGATTGGGAAGGAGACAGGGAATGTACAGTCGCGCTGCATGTCTACAATGACCAGCGCAGTGGTCTCTCGGGAGAAAGAGGCATCGTGAGGCCAGGCGTAGGGCCTTGCTGCTGCCATTTGGTTTGGATTGTTGCTCGTGATAGGATTGCTCAATAATAAGTGAGCTTGACCTGTCAGAAGCTTGACCTGTCAGCAGCTTGACTCGAGTGAGATGATGAGGTTGGAAGCTCGGGACATAACAGACGCCCAAGCTGACTATTGATAGTGGTTGAGACGGTGCGAAGGACTACATTCTACCTACGCATCTCCCGCTAATGCGGGATTTGACGCTTGTCATTTGACAGACATCTGCGAACTCAACGCCTACTATATTCACATTGCTGGCTGCATGGAATCCTCTACAAGACGGTAGCCTGGATTAAGCACCAGATACCAAGTCCTCAGTTTTGCAAATGCTCGGATACCTAGTGGATGACTGCCCGATGCTAGAAGCAGATATTGATTGCGTCACGTGGTTTTCCCTCTCATATCTGTCAGCGCCTCTGTATCCCAGGCAAGTCCCACCTCGCGATGTACAAATCTGAAGCCGGTATGCCGGTTCACTGGGGACACTCGCGCAGGCGTGACTGCGATCCTCTTCAGCACCATGAAAGAACTAGCAGCAAGAGAGAACAACTGGTCACCTCTTACAGCATGCTACGAGGTCGAATAGCCCGTCGATCAATGGGATGGAACATGCAGACAAGCCATGAAGACACACCACACGCGACAAGATGCGGCATACATTGTGATCGAGAGATGCTCAAGCAAAATACATATGGTTTTGGGCCCAATGTCCAGCGTTGCGCCCGAACGGCGGCTGCGAATGTAGAACGTAAGCGCAGTGTTCTATTATTTAGGTGCTCGAGAATCTCTTTTGTCAACGCAGTTCAACGGGGTTCTAATCCTTCAAGTCGGAATGACTATTTCTGTCGGGATGAGAGATGCAAGAGGTTATACAAAGCAGCTGCTCAAAGCTAAGATACAAGTTAAATATGCTCGAATCCATCGGATTCAGTTTAAGCATTCTCACTGCTAAACGGTCCTGAGCGGCATTCACAACATTAGAGTGAAGTCTTGTAAGCCTTCTATCACAGTTGCATTGGATGAGTTGTTTGTGCATTTAATTTGACCGTACTGTTCAGCATGATCAACGTCTAGTCCTACTCATCTGTTTGCTGATGGTGATACTCTTTGTGTTTATATCTGGCGATTGCCTAAATGTCGCCTAGCCGTCGGCTGCTATTGGCATGATCATGCTTGTCACTGTCGTGACCTAGAATATGACGGGCAAGAGGCAACCCAGTGGTCTGGGATGGTAGAAGTAGCAGTCAGAGGATGTAGTGCCCTCTTGTGGTGAACGGTCATCCGGCCTTGTGTAGGACTAGGCGATCAGTGCCGCCTTCGCCGGGCGTTTCTATTTCTGCATGGCCCATGTACGGAGTAATACTTCACGCACTTGTAAGCGACGCGTGGTTCAATTAACGCTGCCTAAAAGCCAGTGGAGGCAGCAAAAAAAACGTACAGTACCTCAGTTTGCCCGTGACCGCTAGTGCCAAGCACCGCGAGCGTCCTGCAACACCGCGCGTGCGTAATCACGAAGCAAACAACCTGAGAACTCGGCAGCTTTGACCTTCCTGCTGTGCCTGCGGCCGCAAAACACCTGCGCTGAGTTTACCAAGTGCCGCGGCGTGCTGCGCAAAGCTTGGTGGGGATAGGTTTTCCGCTTTGTGCCTGTGGCTGAGTCCCAAGGGTTGTCGTCGCGGTCTTGCAGGCAGCAGCATTTTGGACCTCATCTACCTTAAGCGCGGGACCCCCAACAACTGCCAACATGAAGAAAACCGCAAGACCATCAATGAAATTTGACAAGTTCAACAGCAAGTGTGTACTATAGAATGGTCGCCGATGCCAATCTAAGACTGAGGATGGAGTCAATCTCTCCTGCGCCTGGGAAGCTTGCGGAGCTCTTTACAGACACCAGACGGTCCTTCGACGTCGTCACGGGACCAGAGGAACATAAGGATGTCCCGGAGCTCAGTCCGCTGCAACAGAGATTCCGGATGCAGAAAGACAGATATCTCGCCTGGGCGCAAGAGTGGAAAGATCAGGTCGCAATTGCGCAAGGAAACACCGATGCTGCCGAAACTAGCAAGTCTGTATCCGACACTCTCAGTAATATCAGAAACATCCTCGACGAAGCAGAGAAGACGAAGCTCATGTCTCCTACTGCGGCAACACCTCAAGCCGGGAGGAACTGGCGGAAATCCAGCTTGTGGACTGGAGTGCAGAGCAAAACGCGGGCAACGAATTACTCGGATTACAGGACGCTGGAAAGACAATTGACAGGCTCTGTGGACGATCTATACAGGATCCTCTACTCTCAGAAGGGACACGTAGGTGTAGACCCTCAGAGCCAAAAGCCGAGGACGATCCAACCCTCTCATGGTCCGGTCTCACAGAAGGCAATCTTCAGCACCGGTGATTACAGCGCTTCGGACTTGACGCTTGTCAACCCTCCTACCATCCGTTCTGTCAGGTCTATGTCCATCGCGACACTACCGCCAAAGATTGATCTGGACTGTCTGGACCTCCCTGAGGAACAGCCTCCGCCATACGAAAGCATCGAGAGGACCTCATGCAGCCGTCCTGTTGGCCGCCTCCGTGACAACAAGGGGCCTACACAGCCATGGAGCAGGACTACCCCAGTCCTGATCGAGTATGCGCCCTTTGATCCGGCGTACAGAACTACGGGTGTTTCACCGCCCATGGATCGTCTCGAGTCGCTCGTCGCCCTTCTTGACCGTGCTTGGAGCGATCTGAAGCCGCCACTTTCCGCGACACTCAAATGCTTGGGCTACTTTGAGGATCCAAACCAGCCGCGCTTCGGCGTCGTCTTCGAACTACCCATCTCGGGGCGCAGCGGTGTCACAGATGAGTGGAAGGACTTGGAGGAGCTTCGGCCTGGGACCCTCTTGAATGTTTTGCAGTCCTCCTCGAAGTCGGTCGCTCCCGCGACCGCTGCACCAGTTCCAGCCGTGCCAGCATTAGAGGATCGTTTTCGCCTGGCCCTCAGCCTCGTCTCTACTTTCAGTAAATTCCACCATGAAGGTTTCTTGCACAAGGATGTCAACAGCAGCAATATCCTCTTGTTCCGAGGTCGGGCCTGGACTCCGTACCCATACAATAAGACGCCTGACTGGAATATTCGCTCACCCTTCCTGGTTTCTTGGGACCTGTTCTCCGAATTCAATATTGAGGCGTCTTCCGTTCCATCAAAGACAAACATCTACCGCCATCCAGCTGATCCTCGCGCCACTGGGGATGCACAAAGCAAATACGCATTTCAATTCGATCTCTACTCCTTGGGTCTCATCTTGGTTGAGATCGGCCTCTGGGTACCCCTTGCGGACATTTTCAAACCGAAGTACACCCTTGAAGATTGGAAAATTCGGATTGAAGACATCTGGGTGAAAAGGCTGGCCGCCAAATGCGGATCTGCCTACATGCGTGTTGTCCGTGACTGCCTCTCGGCAGCAGACCAAGTCCTGATGGCTAGTAGTGTTGGCGCCGAACACTTTCCGCCTGCTGAAGTTTATCCCAGAATACTCCGCAGATTGGAGACCTGTTGTCTCTTGGACGAAGTGGACTTTATCAATGTTAACGATGACTCCACCTTGTCTGTCAATCACCTGGGACTGCCCAGTCCCTTTGTCGAACCAATGCGCCGCACGGCACGCTCGTCCTTTAGCGGCGTGGCAGACATGGGAAAGAAGCGTCGAAGCTCAGAGAAGGACAACAGTATTGCCGAGAAGCGTCGGTTCGACCTCCTATCTAGCCTCCGCTCTGGGAGGCCATCGATTTCTAAACCAAGATCACCCACTATCTCTCAGCTAGTGCGGCCTCTCATCCCACCGATCGGAAGCGAGGATATGGATTGGCAAGGCTCTCAACCCCAGGAGCAAACTAGTCTACAACATTGGCCCGTACTCTACAAGAGCAAATCCAATGATGACGCTGTTGACACGGCCTCGTTGTACAGAGAAAGGGTAGCTGCTGCTACAAGCACAATCCAGCGCGCATGGCGTGCTCGAAGCGAGGCACTGGCTTTCCGAGAGAAGAGGCGCAAAGTTACGCTTATACAGCGCCAGTGGAGAAAGCAGCTACAAGCGAGATCCACTGCGGAGACACGCAGCGTCTGTCGGTCGCAGACTTGGTACCCTACCCCCGAGCCAGAACCTGAGGAGTATGTTGTGTCAACAGAGCCAAACCCCAGTAATCTCCTACAAGAGAAGAAGGAGAAGGCCAAGCTGAAGGTGCATCCCAAGGTCCATTTTGCGGCCGAAGTCACCGAGGAATGGCACCAATGCCTTGGACCGCGCGTTGCCCGCATCGTTGAGCGAATACTTAAAGATGAGAAGGAGAGCTGTAGCATCAGTCTCTTAGCTATAGGAGAGACTGAATCCATCACTCGACCAACCATTGTTGTCACTTGCACAAGTACAAAGAAGGTCAAGGCCGCGCTGACCCGAAGACTAGCTTATGATGCAAATGTCTTCGACCTGAAGGTGTTGAGGGGGAAGATCAGACGGTCGAAGGCAAACAAGTCAGCAAAGAAGCGTCCAGTGCCTCACCGCTCGATGGGGAATGAAAGATGGTGCTCAGATGATTCCGAGCCTGTGAACCGTTTTCATCAAAAACGTCCGCTATGCGGTGCTTCTATCGGTGCTTACAGGAATGGAGAGCACTTGCCTCCAGTATCCTATGGCGGCGTTATTCTTGTGGACGATAGTCCCTATGGGATGAGTGTGCACCATCTGCTTGACGCACCAAGCGACGACGAAGACAGCGAGCACGAAGATGAACCAAGCCATCGCCAGGATATCACGGTGAGTTCCACTTGAACAATTACAGGCACATGAATCTTTCAATCCGCTTTCGTCATGCGAACCGCGTCGTTCTCAGTAGCACATGAGTTCCCACTAATACGAAATACGTAAGAGGCGGAGAATGACCACCGAGCACACCCTTTCTTACAGACCATGCTGACGTTTCGTTCAGGTGCCTGAGCTAGACCAAGAAGCTATTCGGTCCAGTGGCCGTCCAAGTAATCACCCTTGGCTAGCAGGCATGGGCTCCCAACCCGCACTTGACTGCCCCGAAGCTCTATATCCGTTCGAAATCTCAGACGACGAAGATGATGAAGGATACGACGCTGAAGAGGTAAGTCCACCGTCTCCGCCTAGTACGTTATCAGCATCACGCTGCGTCTGCAGTGAGTGCACCTTTCAGGAGCCAGTCAACTTCTCGTTCCCGCTTCTCTGACTTTCCAAAGCAGGCTTCCGAACATGACGATCCCGCCTACGACTCAATGGACGATACGCTCTCCGCCTACGAACCCGACGATGCTCTATCAATTGCAAGCACCGCAAGCTCCTTCGGCGATATAGACGGCGTCGACCCTGAGAATGATGAGGAAATCATCATCACGCAGCCCGCCATCGATGATGTCGACGATGACTTTTTCCCCTGCCCCGAAGACCGCGACGAAGACCACCTCGACTCGCACAAGCTTGGTTACGTGCACGCCTCCTCCGGCATCCGCCGCTGGACCCGTAACGGCATTAAGCATGAGATCGACTGGGCGCTCTTCAAGCTCGACGATGAGCGCTTGCAGCCGTATAACCTAGTGCAGGGCGGCAAGCGCTACTGCCCGAATGGGGGGCCGAAGTTATGCCCGAAGCTGGAAGAGCCGATCTGCAGGGGTGTTGCGTACTCGGCGGATGAGGATGAATATCCCATTCAGCTTGCAAAAGCGGGGCAGCTAGGTGGGCTAAAGGTGCATTGTCTGGGGAGAACTAGTGGACTGCAGGAAGGTGTAGTTAGCCGGACTATGAGCTGGGTCAGGTTTTACGGGAGAAGGAGCTTCTCCTCGAGTTGGCATGTTGTGGGTCGGTTCGGAGGTAAGTCACGATGCACTCTCACCTACAGCGGCAGCATGCGCTGTGTGAGTGCTAGCTCGGAAGCTGACATTTTCCCAGTCGGCGGCGATTCGGGAGCCTGGGTCATCGACAACGAACACGGCCGCGTGTGCGGCCATGTCCTGGCGTGGTGCAACAAGAACGCCGTTGCGTACATCTGCCCCATGGAGGTCCTGATGGAGGACATTAAGCGTACCCTTGAGGCGCAAAAGGTCTCCCTTCCTGGAGCGGACGAGGAGGAAGCTGTACCACTGAGGTCTCCGCTGGAGGAGATGCAGCTCAATGCTCTGCAGCAGCTTAGGATAAGCGACCCGAAGGCGGACAGACCAGCTCGTCTCTCCATGGCCACTAGTTCTTCGGCAAGGCTGCCTGTATTAGGCAGCAGGCCTCTGGCGCAGGCAGGCGGACTGTAGTGTCATCCTTATTGGTGTCAAGTTAGATACCCAGCGCATTATGAACATTTCGTCCCGGCCTTCAACACGAAGTCATTATCGTTTCCCGCTGGAAAGAAGATACCAGAACGCTGTATCATTTACAGCGATACAGAGTGAGATACGTATGCTGATACATCCGTGAACAGCGGATTGACCCAGACTGGGGCGCTCCGGAACTCCACTAGCAGCATTTGAGTGCGAACAGTGCCAGTCGGTATGCAGCAGGCTGTTCAAGCGTGCTCGTTAATAGCTGAATTCAGAGGTATTTTGGAATGCACGAGTCATGCAGGGCTGACAGTCACGTGGACGTGGGTGAGTCTGGGGTCGATCGCCCCTGTCGCCCGTTCAGCCTTCCGTCAAAGTTTGTTCGGATGAGCTTGGCGGGCGGCCTGGAAACCTGAAGCATTACTTGTGAACGGCATCTCACGCCCTCCAGAATACTTTTTCCTTGCTGTTCCTCGCTCCCTCTCTCGCGGCTCCATCTCGAACATGCCTTCACAGCGATGAACCTTGTGCCAGTGCGACCCACCTACAGTAGCGCGGCGAAAACAGCGCAGGGTCTAGGGGTCTTCTTCTCACGATGACGGCAATGCTAGCATTCCCAAGACTCGGAAGGCTCAACGGCCGATTTCTCCAGTTTGTACTAATAGCTTCTATCATATCCCTCGGAGGATGGCTCTATCTAGAGTCCTTTGGGCCTCCGAAGCAGATGCACCTTCCTTCCTTTGGACACAAACCGAACACACAGGCAACTGCCTCGCCTACTACAACCACTACATCAGTTTCGACACAAAAGCCGCACCCCATAGACACGCTAGTACGAGATGCGGGAAGTGAATGGGCGGCGGTGCTGGAGAAAGAGACGAAGGATCTTAAAGGCGCTGCGGAAGCGTACCGGTTGCGCCGAGGCCGACATCCTCCCCCGGGGTTTGATGACTGGTTCGCATTCGCCCAGAAGCACGACGCCATTATCATCGAAGACTTCTTCGACCAGATCTATCACGACTTGAACCCCTTCTGGGGCGTGGAATCAAGTGTCATCCGGCAGCAAGCGAGGACGTTCGAGTTCCGTATCAGTGTCCGCAATGGCACGGCGAGCTTCTTTTCCGACGACAACGACCGGCCGTGGATGCGGCTATGGCACGAGCTAATCTCGACAATTGCCAAGCAGCTTCCAGATGTCGACGTTCCTATCAACATCATGGATGAGTCGAGGGTTGTGGTTCCATGGGAGACAATCAAAAATTACACAGATGTCGGGCTGCAGAGCAGGCGGATAGTCGACCTCCCAAATGTTGTATCAAAATACACAGGATTGGCGGAGCTGGACCAGAACCCCGGCGAACCGCCTGACCCGCAATGGATCCGCATGGGCCCTTACTGGGACGTCGCGCGCGTAGGCTGTCCCCCAGGCGCCCCTATGCGCGAAACCCCCTTCGACGGCGATTTCTCCGGCCCTCCTCCCATGCCGACAGGCCACCCCATAAACTCATACGAAGGCTACGTCAAGAACTGGACCCTCGCCAAAGACCCCTGCATCATCCCCAACATCCTCGGCCTGCACGGCACCTTCACTGAACCAATCTCGCAATCCACCACCCACCAATTCTTCCCCATCTTCGGCGGCTCCAAATTGCCCATCAACAACGAGATCCTCCTCCCGCCCGCCATGTACTGGACACGCGACGAGTTCTACTCTGGCGGCGAAGCGCACGGCCCCGCCTGGGACGAGAAAAGCGACAAGATGACGTGGCGCGGCGCCGCATCTGGCGGGCGCAACAAGGCCGAGAACTGGACGCGCTTCCAGCGGCACCGCTTCGTGGCCATGGTGAACGGGACCGCGGTACGGCTGGCCGAGAGCGCGGACGCGGCGCCGAATTTCGTGCTGCCGGACTTCAAGGCGTATCCGCTTGCTGCGGCACGCGAGGCGCATCTGGGAGACTGGCTGGACGGCTTCAGCGACGCCGCGTTTGTCAATCTGCTATGCTTCCCCGCGCCGGAGGGGGATAACCGCAAGTGCGACTACACGGGGAGCTTCTTTGAGATTAAGCAGCCGCAGCCGATGAAGGAGCAGTATGACGCCAAGTACCTCCCGGATATCGATGGGAATTCGTTTAGTGGGAGGTACCGTGGGTTTCTGAGGTCGACGAGCTTGCCGATCAAGGCGACGATCTATAGCGAGTGGCATGATTCGAGGCTGCAGCCGTGGCTGCATTTTGTGCCGATGGACAACACGTTCATCGATATATACGGCATCATGGAGTATTTTCTGGGCTATGGGGATCTGGAAGGACATGATGAGGTGGCGAAGAAGCTGGCGCTTGGGGGAAAGGCGTGGGCGGAGAAGGTACTCAGGCCGGAGGACATGGAGATTTATGTCTTCAGGCTGTTGCTGGAGTTCGCGAGGATTTGCGATGATGCGAGGGACCGACTGGGCTATGTGGGGGATGTTCTAGAAAAGGGGTGAGCAGATGGGAGGGGATGGGACAAGGGAGTTTGGGCGTGTGCATTGGGATTTGGATACCCCTGACGCTTGCTGGGGCCGGTGCATATATTAGCATGTTGGTACTCGATTGATCTTCGTCTAGAACCTGGAAGAGCTTTCTCGTAACCAGTGTCGGACGTCAAAAGGCGCACAAATCGTGCCTCAGGCCACAACCAGGATGCTTCGACCAAGCCGCTGCCATCACACTTCAGCCCTACGAACCCGACCTGCATCCAAAAAATCTCATGGCGAGGTTTAACCGACCATCTCCACCCCACAGCCAAATGTTATGTTCAGAGCTCTGACTCACCCGCGCAGAGCTCTGAATCACATCTCCAGCCAATCGCCCATAAAGCCATCTTGCCATCCGCGATTCCTTCCCACGCAACCAGCGCGCTTCCTCATCACGACCACCGCAATGGACGACCTCACCACCACGCTTCAGTCCCTGGGCGTCTCCGACGTCCCCAAGGCCCCGAATACATATCCAGAACTTAACCCCTTCGACCTCTACCGCTCGCACCTCGCCACCCTCCTCGCGCCCCTCAGCGGCCAAGACGCGTCCGTAATCTATCCCGCGCTGCAATACACCAACACGCTCGACAAAGGCGACCTCGTCCTGCCCGTGCCGGCGCTGAGGATAAAAGGCAAGAAGCCGGACCAGCTGGCCAAAGAGCTGGGCGAGAAATTCCCCGAGGATGACAAGCTGGTCGAGGCGCCGACGGTCAGCGGGACGTACCTGCAGTTCTTCTTCCGGCCGGAGCCGTTGAAGCGGGTCGTGCTGCCCGCGATTCTGAAGAGGGGGAGCGGGTATGGGTTCAACCCTGCGTTTGGGCTCAGGGATCCGCGGGATCCTAGCAAGGGGAAGAAGAAGGCGATTGTGGAGTTCTCGTCGCCGAATATTGCGAAGCCGTTCCACGCGGGGCATCTGAGGAGTACGATTATTGGCGGGTTTTTGGCCAAGTTGTACGAGCGCGCGGGGTGGGAGGTTGTCAAGATGAACTATCTGGGAGATTGGGGGAAGCAGTATGGCGTCCTGGCGGTGGGATTTGAGAGATTTGGGCAGGAGGACGAGTTGGTGAGGAATCCGGTGGGGCATCTTTATGATGTGTATGTGCAGATAAGCAGGCTGCAGAAGGAGGAGGATGAGAGGAGTAAGCAGTTGGCGGTGGAGATTAAGGGGCTGGAAGGGGAGGAGAAAGCGAAGAAACAGGAAGAGCTGGATAGAATAGTTAGCGAGGGCGTGGACGAGCAGGCGCGGAAATACTTCAAGCGGATGGTGGATGGTGATGAGGAAGCATTAGGCGTATGGCGGCGGTTCCGCGACCTAAGCATCGAGAAGATGATGAAGACATACGCGCGCCTCAACATCGAGTACGACGACTACAGCGGCGAGAGCCAGGTCAAGGACGAAAGCATGGAGAAAGCCGCAAAGATCATGGAGGAGAAGGGCGTCTCAGAAAACTCGGACGGCGCTATCATCGTCGATCTCACAAAGTACTCGAAGAAGCTAGGCAAGGCGATTGTCAAGAAGAAGGACGGCACCAGCTTGTACCTCACCAGGGATATCGGCGCGATAATGGAACGGTACGACAATTACCACTTCGACAAGATGATCTATGTCGTGGCGTCGCAGCAGGACTTGCATCTGGCGCAGCTGTTCAAGATCACGGAGGCGATGGGCATGAAGGACATTGCTGAGAAGTGCCAGCACATCAACTTTGGTGTGTATAGGGCTGTAACTGTTTCGCGACTTCTGCTGACTCCTTGTAGGGATGGTCATGGGCATGTCAACAAGGAGGGGCACGGCCAAGTAAGTCGATATTCGTGTTTTATGTGTGTCCCTGATCCGAGGCTCACAATCGACCCTCCAGATTCCTGGACGACATCCTTCGGGACGTCGGAGACAAGATGCACGAAGTCATGCGCACAAACCAAGCAAAGTACGAACAAGTGGAAGACCCCGACAAAACAGCCGACACCCTCGGCATCTCCGCCGTAATGGTGCAAGATATGTCCGGCAAGCGGATAAACAACTACGACTTCGACATCAACCGCATGACCTCCTTCGAAGGCGACACAGGCCCCTATCTGCAATATGCGCACGCGCGGCTGTGCTCCATCACGCGCCGCGCCGAGATCCCGGCCGCCGACCTCCTGGACGCCGACTGGTCGCTGCTCAAGGAGAAACACGCGATTGATTTAGTGCGGAGTCTGGCGCAGTGGCCGGATGTGTTTATCAATACGCTGAAGACGCTCGAGCCGGTTACGGTGCTGACGTATCTGTTTAAGATGACGCATGCGTTGAGTTCGAGCTATGACCATCTCCAAGTCGTGGGCAGTGAGTATGAGATCAAGAGAGCAAGGCTGGCGCTGTATGAGGCGGCGAGGACGGTGCTGGGGAATGGGATGAGGTTATTGGGGTTGAGCCCTGTGGAGAGGATGTAGGGGGATGTTTTGGGAGGGTGAAAATGAGGGAGCGCGAACCGCTTAGCCGTCCAGAGCATGGTTCGTGTTTCTCACTGCATTGGTACACGGCGTTCTCAAAGGGAGTTGCGCTGGCTGATGTGAGTCCAGCTAGACGAGTATTTGCTCTGTAGAAGGGAAATGTAGAGTAGAAGACATCTCGTCCCCGAGGTTCGATACGCTACGGTCAATCGAGACATCCCAGTCTGTGGGGGTTTCACAACATGACGCGGGCGCGCGCCTTTCTGAGTCACTGGCTCCACGTGCTGCGCGTGTGGGCCTGTCAGGCTGTCTACCAGCCCGCTGGATACTCGCTCGGCCCGTGGACGGTGGAGGAGATCTTCCGATGGTGACGTGGAGTCTATTGTCTTGCTGAGCTGTCGATTGAGGACTCACTCGAGTGTCGCGCACGGTGGCGAAAGAGACGCGTTGGCCTTCTTCGTCTTCCGTTGACGCATTGCAGTGGTCAACCATCGGGCCTCGACAGGCGCGAGAGGGCTGTTGACATACGGAGGCTCGGCGCGTCGGGTCTCACCTGAGATCTGGCTTGCTCAGTCGCGACTGGGGTGAAAACTGGCTCTGAGATCTCTCCCTGCGCCGCTTCTTTCCGCTGACGGGGTCCCCTGAGCCCTCAGCCGCAGCTGTGGCCTCAACTGGACGGCTCTTCCGGATTGGCATTGATGGCTGACGGAGACTCCTTGGGTGAGAGATCGTTGAGGGCGCACAAGAAACTCGGCAGTCGAAGATCTGGAAACGAACGGGACGCTGCCTGTTGCCGTGATCGGAGATAAGCGGGAAAGAGCATAAGAAATGCATCTCTTATCCTTTTGCATGGCGATATTCCCAGCTCATGGGGCTAATACATCGATCCTGTTCATGGTTTCTTGGCCCTCATCGAAGAAGGTCTTGCGTGGCGGGATACGAGCAACTCTTCGTGACGCAACGAGCCATTTCCTTGGTGTCCTCGGATAGAAAGCGAGATGCGTGTCGATGCAGTCGATGCAGCCGGTGCCAGTCTTCTGATGGCATCGGCGCAGCTTTGTACTCACACCTCGCCCATCGACGTCCAAATAAGCACCGGCACTGGCTCGATGCACGTAAAGAGCGGTGAGAAGACAGACCTGGAGATCTCCATTCTGCATGGACACTTGGAGAAGTCAATCTTCTGGACAGAAACGGCGAGATGCGGCGGGTGCTCCCATAGTGCCCTCTGGGGGAGCGCGTGCAGGCCTTTAGATTCGTCGCTTTCGACGGCCAAGCCGAGGGCAAGTTTGGAGAAAGCTTCGTGGCCAAACGATCGCAGCACTGCCGGGGGGGTTTGGAGACGGTCCATGGATTGCGTCTTGCAGAGTGCATGAGCCTGCACTGTGCCGCGGCTTGATTCAGTAGTGCGGCCTTGGGGCCTTGGGGCCTTGGGGCCTTGCCCATGGATGCCGGCTCCTCGCTCGAGAAGGACCTGCTCTCCGTGATGGATAGCTCAATTAAGCAGTTCACTGATGCAGACTCGGACAAAAGCCCGCCTCGACTGTCTGGCCGAGTCCTGCTGTCAATCAGCACCGAGCTCTCACCCGACATCTTCCGCGCGCTTGAGAGGAACAGCGCTCAAGAACGCAGCCAAGCAAGGTCAGCTCAGAGAACCACAGACGAACTGCACCTGCGGGCGCCATCAAGCCTGCAGTCGACCAGGGCTTTCCCGGGTCTTGCTTGTGAGCCGGACAGGTTTGTGAGCGCAGAGTGCAGGCGCTCCCTGCTGACCAGTCGACGCCGGGCTCCACACAGCTTCGGCGTCTGCCTGAGCTGCGCGCGATGCACGAATAACAGGCAGCAGTGGGAGATGCTGAACTGAAGCTCTGTCAGCGGTGGGAAGCTGGACTCTTGCTGTCCCGCAAGCTGTTGTCAACCACCTTGGGCGCGCCTCGCACCTCCAATGACTCCCCCACTGTCAATCCCCCTCTATCCGCGGCGAATTGCTCGCTGCCAGTGGTGCCCATAGCAGTGCCCATAGCAGCTAGTACGCCGTTGTCTACCTAGTAACCATCCCGTATGGCTCTACCTAGGTAGCTGTGATCCGACGCCCACCCGCCTCCGCTTCGTACCCAACGGGGCCGCTTGTTAGGCACTTTAGGCCGCAACGTGCACGTTCACGACGTTCTGTAGGCTCTGCATCCGAACTCATTCGTGCATCGGCCCTACGCAGGCTATTTAGTACGACTGGAGAGCGGACCAAAGCCCATACAACGTCGGCCCTGCTCGTCATCTGCGCCGGCAAGGATTTCTGCGGCGCTCAGCGAACGGTGCCTCGTCTGTCTCGCTGTTGCACCATGAGTCAGCGGCCTTGATGCGCCATCACTGCGACTGCGACTCCTCCCGCACCTGTCAGACAAGCCTCTCCACGGTGTCTACTTGACGTTTCGCAATTGTCAGTCTGACAGCCCGTCGTCGCAGCCCTACGAGACTGCTATCGATACTATCCCGCCCGCCGCCGTTCTTCGCCCCGAGCGGCCTCGTCCTCCGCCGCGACTCAAGAGCGACCCACGCTCCCCGAAATTCATCCACAGCGCTGACGATCATCAGCGCCCCACGATGCCTGGAGACATGGTGCCAAAGCCCGCCGCGGTTGAGGACTACTTCTCAGATGATGAGAAGGCTGCCGACGCCGGCGCGCAAGCCAATGTCGCCGTCAAGCGCACCTCGCACCCGTCCGACTTGGGCAAGAGCAAGGAAACCCCGAGGGAGCCAGTTCCCGCGGACACCTTTAGCGACTCAGGGTACTCGACCCATACCACTGCCACCATGAGCAGCGCTGATACCGCACAAAGCGCGCAAGCGGGCGCAACCGAGTCTGTGAAACCTGCTAGGCCCGAAGCTGCGGGCAGGACGAGCCCGGTCAAGAAGCAGAGACCAGCAGTGGTAAAGCAGCACAGCAGCCGGGACAATCCAAGCAAGGTGTCTTCGGCCCCTTCGAGGACGGCGTCAACGAGGCAGAGACCGCGGCGAGACACCAAGTCAGAGTGCAATGACCCGAATTGTGTATGCGAGGAACCAAAAAAGCCCCGCAGGCCGGGTCCCACGCCAATTGAGACCGCGCCAAACACAACCTACCCTTCACATGCCCAACCCCAGCCTTCGCCCATCTCACCACCATCTCCCCAAGCAACAAGGCACCTAGGTTACAGCTACCCGCCCGCTCCTACTGCCCAGCCTGGCCCAGCTCCCCGCCGCGCGACGACTTCCGCTGGTAGGCCAGCAACCGTTTACGGCGGCGCAGAACATGACGCCCAATGGCAGCAGTATATGGCCTGGGCCGCTGCTCATGCCGGTCAACGTGGCCCTCCGCCCGCGACCTACAGCTATCCGCATCTGGCGGCGCAGCCACCGTACCCTCCAGGAACACCGATCACCCCACCTGGTGGCTACTTCCCACCGCCTAGCGCTCCCCCTGCGCCATTTGCACCGCCATATGAGCGGCCTGTTATGCAAGCACGAGCTGCGACGGACAGAGACCTCTACAACGCACGTCGGCCGGTTACCATGTACGGTGCCCCACCTGTAAAGATCACTTATGACCAGTCTAAGCCAAAGACTGAGCTGCCGTCGGCGCGATACCCAAGCAACAACTATTCTGCCCAACAGCCTACATCGGAGGAATCGTCTTCCGAGGAAGAGGAGGTGAAGCCTGAGCGAACCAAGCGCGCAAGCAAAGTTATTATGGGCCCCCCACCCGCTCCAAAGCGGTCAGCCAGCAACCGTCGGGCGCCTGAGGTCGATCACTACAACATGCGCTATCCTTCGCTGCCCCACTACGACTCAATGGGAGTCAACTACGACGCCGAAGAACTCGAACGACGGCCACGCCCAATTCAGGCCGCCGCCTCCCGCAACTCTTCCACGCGCCGCAACTCCTCCAGCCGGCCCTCCCTCGCCTCCTCCGGCGCGAAGTCCTACTCTAATTCTTCCGGCAGCGCGCGCATCATCGTGGAGTCCAACAACCCCTCCCACCGCCGCCTCTCTTACATGGGCCACGAGCGGCGCGCCGAGCTCGAAGCCCAACACAAGCAACGAGAACAAGACGCGCTCTACTACGAGCACCTCGCCAACGCCATGCGCCCCGAGCCAGGAGCTCGCCGCCGCACCCTGGACGTTCCCGTTTCACGCTACCCCCCGAACTTAGCCGCGGAACTCGCGGAGCTTGACGCCCGCCGCAAGCTCGACGAGCTCAAGCTCCAGCAGCAGCAAATCGAAACCTACCAGCGGCTCGCTGGCGGCCAGCAAGCCGATCCCTTCGCAGGACTCTACGGACAGCAGCTCCAGCGCGAGTCTCCCTTCGCTCCACCCGTCCAGCCCGGTCCAGGAGCACGTCTCACAGCCGATGCGCTGCGCGGCCGGAAGCCAGATCCGGAGACAAAATCCCAAACCTCGCAGCGCAGTCGCTCGAGCCGGCTCAGCCAGACAAGGACGACTGCGACGGAGGCGACGAGGGCGCTCAAGGTCAACATCGACGGCGTCAATCTCGAGTTTCAGGATATGGGGAACCAGAATATCGTCATTAGGCAGGGGGGCGAGGAGGGCAACACGCAGGTTGTGGTTGGCGGTGGGAGTTCGAGACACGAGAAGACGTATAGTAGGGTTGGGGGCACGACGAGGGTCAGTGAGAGGACGAGGCCGGTGAAGGACGATGGCAGCAATAGGAGCAGCCGGAGCGGGAAGGAGAGGGAGAGAGAGAGAGATAGGGACAGGGACAGGGATAGGGAGAGGAGGAGGAGGGATGAGGGGTATGGGGGTTAAGTGCGCGTCTGGTGTTGATGTCCCCCTGTTCTGGTCTCTGTTGAGATGGTTCTATGTTTCTTTCGTCGTATTCTTCTTGCCGTTTTCGCACCGCTTTTCGCGCACGTGGGAATACGTCTTGCGTTATCCCTGGAGGAAATTTCGCACAAAAGTACGGACACTCTTGTCGCGCGAAAAGTTATCATCATCATCTTCTTCTTCTTCTCTCTTGCCTCACTTTCCGCGCCCTCTAGCGTTCTCGTTAGGCGTCGCAGGGCAAAAGTCGGGTTTCTGAGCCAGCTTGTTCCGTTTCGGTTCCCCGTTCTTCGTTCGAAGCAGCTTTCCGCATTCCCTCAGCAATATACGATGGAATGAGTGTATGAGTTACGCCGGAATGATTTAGCGTTGTGTGCCAGCGATATAGCGTCTTTCCAATCCTTTGCTTTGCGCTTTACCTTTCTCTCCTTATACATTTGCGCTAGTATCCCCCTTCTTATCGTTCTGTTGGCCATCTAGCGTTTCGGTCTGGGCCTTTCCCGTGTTAGCGATTCACACTTAGGGTCAGCGGACTTGCCCAGCACAGTACGGACGCAGCAATGACGGACGCTGTGAGGGGCTTATGGAAGTCATTCTGGTAGCGGCTGAGGGCCGGGTTGCAGACTGTCAGTTGTCACAGGTTGGGATGTCATTGTTCCCAAAAAACTGTTCGAGGTCACTAGATAGCTTACCCCAAAAGACAAATCGGCTCTCCTCTGATGCAGCTCCCTATGATGCAGACCATGTCTTCTATGGCTGATGGTACATATAGCAGGTATTCCATGCCTTGAAGCTGCTACTTCTGCTGAGCCAGTCTGCTACTAGATAGCTTGGACTAGCCACGTGGCCAAGTGCCTCCTTGTTCTCACTCCAGCTTTTCGGGATACGCCTCCAGCTCGTCAGCATGTCTATCGTCCAAAACAGCAAGGTTTCAGCACCTTGTCCAGCAATCAACAAACCGAGCTGCCCCATGCCCCCTCCCAAGCCACGCAGCAAATGCGCAGAAACTCCCATGCCCGTATGTCGCCTGTGTCGGCCTGAATCCTCCTACACACTTCAATCCCGCCCCAGAAGGTCAGCAACATCGCTATCCAGCCCTCCAGACGTGAATTCCGCGAAATCATCATCCACTTTGTTCACGCTCATCTTCCTCCTTTTCACCCCAGCGCCCTCTCCATTACCATTCACCCCCTCGTTCCCCCTCCGCCGGCGCGGATCCAGCGGCTTGGACTGCTCGTGTCCATATGCCTGCCTCTCGCTAGGAGACTGCTGATCCGGCAATTCCAGCCCGGGCGGCATATAACTCGGCACCCGGTCATCAAGAGTAGGCGCGTGCGTCTCCGTCTCCTCGACAAAGTTCGCAGCTGCCGTCGTCCCCGTCGCATCCAGGGGCGGCGGTGTCCCGACCGGCGTCAGACTCTCCACAGGTGGCGGCGTCAGCGCCTCGATATCCGGCCGTTCGGGCTCATCCCCTACGATGCCTGCCTCAGGGGTAGACTCTGCAGGAGTCGTCTCAGACAGTCCCCGCATGATGCTGTCCTCAACGTCGCGTTTCCTGCTCTCGACGCTCTCGCGCCGCGCCGCGAGCTCGGCGGCTTGGGCAGCGTCCTCGGCTAGCGCTGCGCGGTGTGTGTTGATGAGTGTCTCGAGCCCGGATAGTAGCTCGCGCCGCGCCTTCAGCGTCTCTGCGACAGCGCCCTCCGCGTTCGCGAGCCCCTTCAGCAGTGCAGAGAGGCGGGCCGCATGCACGGGAGGCGTGGGCAGCGGCGTCGCCGGGTCGGTCAGTTTGTGGTACTCGGCTTTCGAGTTCGTGACAGCGGATTTGGAGGTGAGTTCCGCCTTCGCGAGCGCGTTCTGCGCCTGCACAAGCGGCTGAAGCTGCTGCGGCACCGCCGCCCCAGCCGAAGACGACGAAAACAGCGATCCCCCCAGCGCAGGCTTCTTGGCCTTCTCGCGGCTGCGATCAAGCTCATCAACGCCCCTCTCAATGGCATCCTGGATCGCGGGCTCGAAGATCAGCCGCTGGCGCCAGACCTCGATGACGCGGCGCAGTTTCTGCTGCACGTCGTGGGTGGCGCCTTTGTAGGCTGTGGTGGTGGCCTCGGCGATGATGGGGGAGAAGGCGGCGACGAACTCGTTCTTCTTGCGCGCTTTGGATTGCTGGACTACTTCGTTGGCGAGGTAGATTAGGTTCAGCCGCTTCGGGGGGGAGGAGTCGCGCAGGCGGTGCATCCAGAGGGTTGCGGTGCGGTCGGCGAAGCGTCTGGTGGGGGAGGGTTAGCTTTAGTAGGGGGATTGGTGGGGAAAGGGGGAAAGGGGGAGGAAGAGGTACCGGTGGAACATTATCCATTGCGCTACGGCGACTATGCCTTCCTGCGTTTCATTGAGGGCGGAGAGCTTCGCTTTGACGGAGTCGTCGGTGTAGGACATGGCGGCAGAGGCTAATCTCAATCACGGCTATATATAGTGATGCATGTGCTTGTACCTCACTGGAGAGGAGGCGGTGTTGTGTTTTTATGCCGGTGGTCAAAAGCAGAGAGCCTTGTGTGAAAGAGGCTCAATCCGAAGCTCTCCAGAGCTGTTTGTGGTGACGGGAGAACTTCGGCACGTGTTTGCGGCCATCAATCACGGAGGTCTTGCAAGCAACTACGCTACCTACAAACTCACCACATCCCCCCCCGATCACTACCACTTGCCTCTACTACTACCGAGACCGAACGTCCAAACACACCATCCTCAGCACAACAGACCTCACCACAATGGCCGACCGCTTTCCCTCCTTAGACGAGATCGATGCCGGTACGTCCCATTCACTCTCTACGCGCCTCAATTAACAGGAACCCCTCACTAACACCCTCCCTCTCTAGGTCAGACCTCCGCCCGCGGCGACGCCAACTTTGATCTCGTAGACGACAGCGGCAATACTGACGACTTCCTCGCCCGCGAGCGGGCCGCGCTGGGTGACGACGCAAACCAATTCGCTTCAGGCAACGACAAGGGCACCACAGTTGAGGATGCTGGTGACGACGACCTGCTCGGCGGAGACTATCAAGATGCCGCGGGCGGGGAAGAGATGTCAGGCTTTGAGAGCTCGTTTCCGGCGATAGATACAGGGAACCAGGTGAGTAGGGCAATCGCGCCAGCTTACCGACAAGCCCACCAGACAGCGAGGGTCAAGCAGGGCAGGAACGTCGACGCAGTGCGCTAATACCCCTCCCTCCAGCAAATGGCCCCCGGCGGCACCATAACCGGCACCGGCGCCCCCTACCTCCCCGGCGCACCCCGGACCCCCCAACCGGGCGGCGCCTCCTCCTACGCGCCCTCCACCGCCTTCGACGCCTCCGAATCCGAGCCCGACGTAATCCGCGAATGGCGCGAACGCCGCGACCTCGCGATCCAGCACCGCGACCAAGTCTCCGCCGAGCGACGCGCCGCGACCATCAAAGCGGCGCAGGAAGCCATCGACGACTTCTACGAGAACTACAACAACAAGAAGGAGAAGGGCATCGCGCAGACGCGGCGGGAGGCCGAGGAGTTTCTGAGCAAGCGCGAGGACACGGCGAGTGGCGGCACGAGCTGGGAGAGGATTGCGAAGTTGGTCGATTTGAGTGGGAAGGGGGTTAGGGGCGGCGCGAGCGGGAGCGAGAAGGCGAGGTTCAGGGAGCTGTTGGTCAGTTTGAGGAAGGATGAGAAGGCGCCGGGCGCGACGGGGTATTGATCGAAGGTGGGGTGCTCAGGATTGTGGAGACGGCTTGAGGGGATGGGTTGCTGTGGGGCTGGGGCATGTTCCTCCCGAAAGACAGTCAAGGCGCTTAGGGGGTGCCGAACTGGGCTGCGGCATATCAGCGAGGATTCGTCCGAGATTGCGTTTTTGCCATCTAGGATGCATCCAATATCTGTAGTATAAGCATTGGCGTCAAATAGAAAAGCGCTGGATCCCGGGTTTGATACAATCATATTCCTGATAACCTCTGCTTTTTAGGCCTACTAGGGACAGTTGTACCATCGTAGCCTTCCGGGGCAGCAAAACAAGTGCGGAACTGCTCCACAGCCCACTCACTTCTTAGCATCCTATCCCCTTCCCTTCGCATTAAACGTCTTCAACGGATCCGCCCTCTTCGTACTAACCTTCCTCCCTTTTTCCCTCATCCTATTCTGCATCCTCGCCTTCCTAATCCTATTCCCACTCCTCTCATCCTTCGCAAATCCCACGAACCCCACATCCTCCGCTACCTTCTGCCGTCCCCCCGGCAGCAAATAATCCGGGACATGCTTCAAATGCGGCTGCGTCCTCACAACATGAGACTCCTGGTCATGCCTCAGGTGCGCCAGCTCCTCCGGGTTTTCCTCAAAATGTCGCTTCAGCTTCTCGCTCTTCAGCAGCTCGTTCCGCAGCTCCCGCGTCCGCGCTTCGCGCACTGCGATCCGCGTCACGTGCCGCAGGGCGTCGGCCATGCGGTAGCGGAAGCCTTCGAGGCGGGCCATGTCGAATTGGAAGGGGAGGACTTTATTGCCTTTTTTCTCTTGGCTCTTGATGATCTTCGCGAGGACTTCTTCGTCGTGCTCGGCGGACGGAATGGAGGTTGGTTTGTGCTTGCGGAACTTATCTTTGGGAATAATGAAGGAGATGGCGGTGCCGGTTTGGCCTGCGCGGCCTGTGCGGCCGATGCGGTGAGTGTAAGATTTGGAGGAGGAAGGGAGATCGAAGTTCAGGATCGTGGAGACGCGCTTGAAGTCGATGCCTCGGGATATGCCGTAGTCTTTGTCGCGCTTGGCGGCTTTGCGCTTTTTCTTGGGGGGTTCTGCGGGTTCGCTGGGCTCGTCCCGTTGGAAGTCGTCGGCTTCTTCGGCGCCATCCCGCTGTGCTTCGCCATTCTGCTTGTCCTTGTTGAGCTGCACTGAGCCCTCTGCCGTGATTGGGATTTTCTGCTCATCCTCGCCCTCGTCCTCATCTTGTTTCTCCTTGCTTTTCCGCTTCTTCCCCTTGCCTTCGTCGCCCAGCACCTCATGCTCATCCGTCGCAATGATGATGTCGTAAACATTCCTGTTGAACTCTTCCACAACGTGCAGGCGGGAGGAGACTGGGAGCTCGCTGTTAAGCACGCAACTCTTGATCCCAAACTGCTCGAGAAACAGCTTCAACCGGTAACAGCGATCGATATCCCCCACAAAGACGATGCATTTGCCCTTGATGAGCTTTAACATGAAGATGGCGTAGATGAGCAAGAACTTCTCGTCTTCTGCGCACTTGATCACGTACTGGCTCACCCCTCCCGTGCCCTTCTCTTCCTCATCCAGCTCCAGCAGGACTGGATCCTTGCAGAATAGGCCCTTGAGTGTGTCTAGTTCTGTCCGCAGCGTCGCGCTGACCAGGAAGGTCTGTACACCCTTTGACAACGCCCTCGAGATGTTCTCCAGGTCCTCGTCATAGCCGTATGATAAAACTAAGTCCGCCTCATCGATGACCAAGTGACTCAGCCCGTCGAGCTTCAGCGCGCCGCTATTCAAGTTCACAATTGTCCGTCCCGGTGTCGCAACGACGACATCGGGAAAGTCCGCCAGCCGCGCGCGCTGCACCTTGTCATCTTCCTTGCGTGTCAGATTCTCGGTGCGAATGGCTTGGCCGCAGAACGCTGTGAAGGAGTCTGCCGCTTTGGTAACCTGAGCCGCTAACTCTCTTGTCGGCACGAGTATGAGGGCGGCGGTGCATTTTGTGTATGACGGCGAGGACTTGCGCTCGAGGATTGAGTGGAGGATCGGGAGGAGGTAGGCTGCTGTTTTTCCGGAGCCGGTTTTAGAGCGTGCTGGGTTGTGTTAGTGGGTCGAGTGAGAGAATGGAGGACGACAACGCTGTACCAAGTATGTCTTTGCCCTCGCGAGCAAGCGGTATGGCTTTGGCTTGCACAGGCGTTGGTGTGGACCACTTCTCCCGAATGATGCCTTGGAGAAGGCGGGGGTCTAATCCAAGATCTTCGAAAGATGGGATGGTAGGTTTGACCGGCGCTGCCGTCACCGCCTCCGGCACGTCGTGTTCGTTCAGTTTGCGCTTCATAGTTGGAGGTGGTGTCAAATGCGATTTGATGCTTGCACGGCTTGCTTGAGCTTTTTCTGATATTCGGCCTGTCCCCGCTCCGGTGTTCTCCCGAACACAACACTGGGACGCTATTGGTGGCTTCGATCACCTAAGTAGAATATCTCGACTACATCGAAAGGCATTTAATTTGCAACTGAATGTTACTTCAAACTTAGGTAGCAGAAGCTTCAATAGTTGGTAAGAGTATGAATTGGGGAGACGTCGGGTCCGGGAACCGCGTACACCGAGCATCCCCCAACGCCCACCCTCTCACAATAAGGTATTCTAGTCTCTTCGATACCTGTAGAGTATCAATTGACTTCTTCTACCAGCTGAAGAAGTGGAAGTCGGAAAGTCTTCATTTACTCTAGTATCGCCAACCCTAATCGAGCACTCCTCGATCTGGGCAACACACCAGGTCAATCATTCCCTAAAGGAACTATTCAGCCTTGCAGATGCTGTGCGCCTGCATAACGCCCCGCATATACACCCTCTCATTGGCAGCCTCAAGGTGGGTGGACGCCATGTCGAAGCACTTTGCTGCACCAAGCCGTATGTACGATAAGTTAAGTTTCAAGCTTCTGGCGGCCGCAGCTTGGCTCCGGGCTGAGCCTCTGCGCAGCCTCATTTCTGTCGAACATCTCTTCCGTCCGTCCTTTCTTCATCTCCTGTCGCAAATCCTTTGCTTTACGTCCCAGCACCCAAGGCACAGCTTTGTACCTTCGCCAGCTTGGGCACTTGCGTTACTGCTAGGTGCAGAGAGGGTTCAGATCTAGCCGCAGAGGAAGAAGGGCTTATTGCTGATGGTACACGATGTCAGGCTTAGAGGTAAGGCGCCCATACTCGCTCCTGCGTAGCTCGTCTGAGCTCCACTCTAGGAGTATAGCATGTCAAGACTGCAGCCCTGTTGTCGCAAAGGTCTGTCTTTCGTATTCTAACATGTCTGCCACCCAGCCTATCGCCATTGTGTCCGTCGTGTCGGCTGTTGTATCGGCTTTCCACGGTGGTTCTGAAATGGTCAAAACCTTTAAGAAGAGGAGGGGCAGGAAGTCAGCAGAGCAGGCGCTGAAAGAGAAGGATTTACAAGAATCACTGCAGCATGGCCAGCGTGCGGTCCAGCAGCGCTACATCGCTGATTATCAACAGCTTGGGCAGCGATTTCTGACTGGCGACGGTGAGTGCCTACTCCGCGCGTTGCTCTCTTGGTTTCCGCTCCTTGTCTGACATGTAGTAGATATCGCTCGGCACCGCCTACTCCAGATTGCCGTGGTAATACAAGCCGAAATCATACGGAGCCTACAGTTCGCTGTCAAATACGATAATGCGATACTCGATCTAACGGTCCTAAGAGATACATCGGCTGTCAATCGCGAGGCCGCGCTCACCACGCTTAGTGAGCTCCGGCAACGGATCGTTCTCGCGAGCCCCTTTCCTGCTACTCTACAAATACCTGAGATGAGGAGGCCGCCATCGACGGAGTCAATCCGAGTCTTCATTGAAGGGCAGACACCACCAGAGTTTATCCCTCCAGGTGTGACCCTAACCCCGGAGCCGGAATCAAGAGGTGGATTGAAGAGGTTTCTGTCGAACAGGCGTTCATCGACGGGAAACACGCCACAGAGCGCTCCTTCGTACACCGCTCCGATCCCAAGATTCGACTGGCTTCAAGCAAGTAGTCATGACCGTAGGCAGACAGAACCCACCCTCGAGGACATGCTAGCCCGGCTTGGGTCGTCGCCGATCGGCGGTGAAGCACATGGCGGGACAGGACCCGTACGAAACAGCTCGACATCAGCCGGCAGCACAAACTCGGTCCACTCTGGGAGGGTACCGTCTGTCGCGAGCGCCAGCGAGACGACCGACAGTGCCTCCCCACCAAGCACTAGCACGCCGTCAACACCAGGCGTTCGCAGTCCAGTCAGCGCTCCCGACCTTTCACCTTCAGGTTTCGCAGGCTGTCTGCAGTATCAGCACCCGCCTGATCCGCGCCCAAAGACCTACACCCGCGACACGATTGAGAGGTCTAGTGACCAAGAGCTGCTCGGATGTCCGTGCAAGGAAAATAATTTCTGGGGCTTCTGCCAAGGCGCGTGGTCGACGCGCGTGAGCCCGGCCAAGGGCCTACGAGTCAAGACCCGGCCCGAAGGGTACTACTCGACCGTGTCGTTCTGGGAGTGCCGGCACTGCCACTTTCGCGGCGAATTCAACCGCATAAAGCCACAGCTGGTCGACCAGACCGTCTACACGACGGCATGCGGCATCCGCTACCGGTGGCTGTTCCTGGCGAAGAGCCATGCCCGTGTCACTAGTCTGGCGCAGGTAAGTCAGCGCGGCGGGGGCGCGAATTATGGGTGCGTCTTCTGCTGCGCCGAAGGCAAGCCCACCAGCGTGTACGGCAGCGTCGAGACGCTCATGAACCACATCTATCCCACGCATGGCAGGCAGATGAGCGCCGATCTGCAACGGAGGATGAAATGCGTCGTCGGCTGCATCGCGGATCCGGCTGGGGATTGGGATCTCAACATCCCGCTCGCGCCGGAACCGGAGGGGTCCGGTCTGTACGAGATGCCAGCTGAGGACAACAGGATCTCTGCCCCAGTGCCAGTGAGCAGAGTCGAGCCGGGCGGTGCTGCTGCGATGCGGGCGCCCAGCTTCGGCCCTGTGTGGTGCGCTCCCAGCGATCCATGGAACCCGTCCGTAGGTGGGCTCATGTTCAGGATTTAGCCGCCTTCGAACTTGTCGTTTCTCCATCAAGACCATAGATAGCGTGTGCGGTAAGCCTCGAACTCACCTTGTTTAACATGCAACACATCACTGACTTCAATCATTTCAGAGAGACATCGTGCTAATTCGACAGTTTGTAGTGCTACTTGCTATGAACGTAATCTGCAAACGACAGTACGACGTAGTCTATGATTACCCAAGTACAAACCGAGATAGACGCGACCAACTACACACAACTATGAAGGAGGCAGACCGTCGAACCTAGCTTCAAGGGCAGTGAGAATAGTTCTTGACCGCTGCGTGGGTCAAATGTTGTATGCGACCCGGTCATCAACTTTTGTATGCGTCCTTGATCCACCGTACGACTCATTAAGAAAGACACGATAACAGCTCCGCGGTAGTCCACTGCATCAAACTTGCAGACTAAAGAAAAGGCCGAATGTCAGAGATGAGAGGCCGACCGAACAGCAACAGTACCAGCAGGGAACATTCTGGCCAATCGCTGTCCGGAAAGTACGAAAGAGAGAACGTTATGCGGATATCCCATGGTATTTGCGGGCACGTATACGGTTGCATTGCTTCGTTGGTGGAGTCTATTGTTGGCCCCGTTGCATTTCCATGTTCCAGTAATTAACCGCGTATCGGACGTGATCCGGGTGGATCATTCCCAGGTCTTTGACTTTGACGTTGTATTGAATGGGGTGGCACAGCGCGTAGTTGATCCGGGAATCTGGCGACAGCCATATCCTCGGGTCCGAGGGAATAAGCTTGATCGCACCCTTAACGATATTCGTTTCGCGAGGCCTCAAAGGTGCTGGATTCTGTGAGGTATAGATGACCCCATGAGCTTGTTGATCGACACCTTGTTTCTCGCATGCACGATTGCCGTACGTGGAGATAGGGCTTTGACAAAGTTAGCTGCCCATTACTCTCACCTAGTGCTAAACTGACCAAGCGTAGCAGCTCCCTCTCTGTGGGAGGACAACCACGAAACGTCTAATAGTAGTGTACACCCGCCCGCCGAATCTCACCTCCGTAATGTTCACGTCCACATTGTATGGGTTCACTGGTGTGGTCTCACCCAAGCCTTCGGTGAAGAGAACAGCGAACACCTGCAGGTGAGGTCAGCTAGGCCTTAACTGGGCTTCTACTACAGTTTTCTTACTCGTCCTTTACTGAAGAAGCTGTCATGCCGTACCTGAAAACCTATGGGGATTCAGTAATGGCCATATTGACAACGGTTCTGAAACGTACTCGAGTCGAGACGCTCGTAATTGCCTTGTGTGCCTTGAATGACGGGCGTACCGTTTTGTAGAGGCGGTTGTTCCGTGTCTTTTCCTTTAGTCAGCCTAGTCACCTCGCTTCGGAGAGCATCGAGAGCTTCCCTGTGGCTTGAGCTTGTTGATGAGCGCTTAATAAAGAGTCGTGCCGAGAATGGGATTGTTCACTGGCGAATCAACAGTTATACCCGCTACCGATATAAGGAAGGGATCGGTTAGACATACCCTTCGGCCCATACGCGTGTATCTTCGCCTGTAACTGCATTCTTCATTAGCTATAATGGTTGTCCGTAAGAATGTGTGGCCCATACCATGATTGTGTGCGATCTGGTAGTGTCTATTGTATTCGGCGCTCCACATCCATTCACTGTAAGTAATCGTCATGCTTGCGATGCTTCCCATATCTGAGCAAGAGCATCTCTGGAACAGTAGCCCTACATATACTACTCGATGTGCGGCGGATCTGGTGGAACATCATGCGGCTCTGCGAATGCAATAGCAGTGATAGAGGAGTTCAGCAGCTCCAGAGCCCCCGCATCTCCGCTGAACCACATCGAGCGCCGAGCGATTACTGATCAAATAAGATATCGAAGTGCACCCCCTTCTCCAACGGCGCTCTGCGAGCCGGAGCTAGGATGATGGGATAAGGGGACGGCATGTGCTGGATGGCGCACGGTGCAGGCATGTTGCGTCCCGTCTCAGCCTTGCATCTGGACAACCCTGTCCACGGGCAACTTGCACGAGCGCACGGCCGTCCTCGGGATTTGCCTGTTATACTCTGAGACCGCAATGACGCTGAAAGCGATAAGATTGGGTAAAGGGAGCGTTGCTGCTCTTATAAGGTCCGCCTTGTTATCACCTCTCGTCACTGAGAATACAGATGATACACCAACACAAGGATGATGTGAGGATGATATGCGGAGCGGCCCTACCTTAAATGTCAGGCACAGCAGAGCAGCCACGTTCTTCTACTTACAACCGTACACGTAGCGGCGGTGTGTAACCTACCACGAAGCTAAGCAAATTGGGCCCGTACTAATATATTCCAGTGGAATGTGAGGTGCCTTATAATGAAGCCGGGACTGCAGAATACGGCCAGTGGCCTTGTCGTTCCCTATGTCCCAGTCACAGCAATTCGAGAAGCTCTCGTAGTGGATCGGTCAGCTTTATCAACTCATCACGGCGAGTATTGGTGTCCACTACCAGCGGAGATCCAGATGCGGAACCGGCCAACCTGGATATGCAGCAGGAAGCTTTTCCGCAGTCGCTTGAAGACTTCCCGCCATTTCCACCATTCCGTCTCGAGGAAGAGCCTCTCTATGGACGGATACAACCGGAACAACAACCAGCAATCGGAGGGGCGCTTCGCGGTTTGTCCCCATCCAAGAGGGTACTCAAGGATTCTGATGAGGCCAGGAAGGAGCCCAGGGAGCGTGAGGAACTGAGGGAGAAGGTCCTAGCGAAGCGTCTTCTCCTCCGCGAAAAAAGACGAGAGTTGCGCAGACAACGCGAAAAGGCGGGCACAGTGGAGGCCCAGCTTGCTTCCAGTATCCGCCGATTCTGCTTGCAGGCTGAGCCGCCAGGGCCTGAAGAGCTATTTGTCCAGTTTGGCGAAGTACAGGCAGAAAGGGATGCACTAGGCACCCTGGACATCGATTATGATGAGGCCGAGGATGAATATGATGCTCTCGAATGGACTCTAAATCACGGCGACGACAAAGCACCTCTTGTAGCCAAGACGGAGGTACCGTATGGGGAGCGTTTCCGAGTACCCGTTGTTCAGGATTACCTCTCCCACATCGGCGAGGCCGAAATGCTCAAAGAAGAACTGAACGATCTTCGTATGGAGATAGAGGTCTTTAAGCCGGATCAGGCTTTCATTGAGGAGTTGTACCAGACCTGTGCCGATAAAGAAGAGCGCCTACGCCAGGTTGAGGAAGAATCGCGGCGTCTGATGCAGGAAGTGATGATTACCGATCCGCGTCTAAAGGAAAAGAGGAGGCAGTCCGAGGGATGGGTGATGGTCTCCAAGGACGAGGTGCTACCCGTTGGCGCGGAAGAAGGCCGACCTCACAGTGAGTTTGCTGTGAAGACAATCGCTAGCCAGTTCATGAGTTGGAGGACTCGAATCAGTCACTGGATCCTCGATGCGTTGCACGAGTCATCTCTAGAGAGAGCACAGCACAAAGCTATCCTGGAACAACCCAGCCTAGACAATAAAACCTGGTGGTCGCTTGTTGAGGGGAATTGGTCCCCCGAACGCGGCTCTGGCAACCAGTCTCACCCGGCGGCGATTAGCCCAAGCCTTGGTCCTGCCCATCGTCACTCACCCGCATCAACGAGTACTTGGTCTTTGACAATCGTCAGACCCACGGATAGGGTCCGCTTGGGCAGTGCTGTAACTATCTCGCGCCAACAGGATGCACCTAAATACACCCGAACAGTAAAGACGGTCTAAGTAGGCTGAGCTACTGCGGAACTAAGCAACCATAACCCCAGCGCACCGCTTTCGACTTATGGCTTCGAGAATGCTCCGCTCCTTTTGGACCGGCCTTTTCCACTGTAAACCTTATTTCCTTCGGGCCAAGTCTGTCAATTGGGTACATCTAAAACCCTATGCAGCGAGACTTGCTTTACGTTCTTGCCCCTTGTGGTCTTCTTCGAGATCGCCCTATGTAGAGATTGTGTTTAACTAGATCTATTGTTTCCGTTACTCCTATTTTCTGTTCTGTTTCCGTCTTTGCATACTCCGGTTTTCCCTTTCTACATTCCCTCAGTATTTTGCCACTACTTCATACTCCTGCAATAATTTCTGGACGTCGGTGTCAAGGCAATAGACCGTAGTCGTATTGTGATTGTCCAAGCATCGAATACCCGGGGGCACTTGTTATGTACAATGTATATCTGTCGTTCTTTTTACCAATCAGTTTTTCATTTTCTAATTCACTCATTGCTTATTGGGCCTGCTGTTTGTGCGCGTAACCCTGATCAGGGCTTCGTTGTTTGGCAACGAAGCGCCCGAGGCGCCGAGGCCGTGGAGACTGCAGACAGAAGCGAGGAAGCAGGCGTTGGTAGGCTTGATACTGGATACATTCATTCATCAGACACTCCGATCTCATGCCCCCATACGAACATTGTGGATAGGGGAAGTCTTCCCATGTTGCTTGCTATTAGCAGACCAGCGGCGGCGCAGTTCCATCATTCCATGCCAACTAGCCGACCACTTCCGGAGCCTTACATCGCAACAAGCTCAGTGGTAGACATAACTCGATGACAGCAACATCTTGCATTAGGCGAAACGTCTGCAGTGTTCCTTTAGCCTGTCAGTTTCGGTCTGAGAAAAGCTAGCTCCCAGCGATGACGGTCCTGTGACCCCTCAGCTGCCATGATGCGGCTCTGCAGGCTCTGCCTTGGCCAATCAAGTACGTTTTCAACTGAAGGAAGGCATGTGGCTTACAAGCCGTCGGCGGATGTCATGATAACGCACATTGTGACAGGCCGCAGTGTGGAACAGGAGAACCCTCCTAGCACAAGTCGATTGCTTTGGAGACTCGGGGGAGGAAGGCGTCTAATGTTACTTGCTGTGTGCACGATCTTGAATCTGTAAGGCCTTGTTGCCTTCGCGTGAAACTGCGCTCAGTAGCAGAACAGTTGCCAGACCCACGCTCCAGTACTCCAGCCTACACAGCCGTGATAGCGGCCCCGTCCCGAAAGTAAATTCAGCTGCGGAATGAATGCAGCTACCCTTGCGTAGGAAGGCGCTCAAACTGGCGTATTTGATTGGGATTTAAATTGAGCTGAAACCCGAGGAGATGGACCTGCCTTGTCTCCCGCACGGCCTAACATTAGTTGTCCTATCCGAACTGAGATCAAACACTAGCTTGTGCATGAAGTTACCCGCACCTATCCAACTTCATGTTGATCACAATCAGCGTTAACACCCACACGCGCGTTATGCGCTTATTCAACGGCATCTCAAACCACGAGGCAGCCATGCTTGCGCGTAAACCAGAGCATCTCTAAATATCATCTGATATCGACATAGCGGGGATAACAAGCCACACCAGAGCTGTAGTGACATTCTTCAATGCACTGGTTCGCCCACGAAGCACTCACAATCCCGCCATTCAGGGCATTGGCAGGCCCTCAAGCAGTGCCTCCTTTATCTCAGACTATCGGCGTCAGGCAAAGTCCAAGAGCACCAGATCAAGGTAACGCCAACATTTGCCTTAATCTCCCTCGCGGTTCATGAGACGCCCCTGCCCGAAGTGGTATCCAATATCCGTCTTGGTGGCTGCATTAACCCGCCCGTGAGAGTGTGAGCACTGCGATAAGAAACCAAGCGTTAACATGAAAGGATGCTACCACAAGGCTGATGCCCTGTCACAGGGCTCGGCCGGTTGAGGAGAACCTTGGAATGTATCGGTTCGCGAGGCCCGCATCGACGCCTAGTGCCGGGAAAGCCGCTGCACGCAACCCCCGCAATCTTGCGTATGTCAGGGATGCCCCCGTCGTTCGAAAGGGAAGGCGAATGCAAGCTTAGGTAGGCAAGCTTCGGCCAAGCTTGGCGGAGCGGACTGGACCATTCTTAAATTTACTGTAGGGTCACGTTACTATTCGAACTGATATGTTGGATTTGGGAAGTTCTGGATTTGTATACTGAGTCATAGCATCATGACACCTCCAATGACTAGTCTGAATTGGTTTCCGGGCAGCATTCTGATTCTCTCATTCGCCGAAAAACTGACTTCCGTCAATTAGCTTCCGTTCCCACAAGAATGAGGTTGCAGGGGTAGTCACCGGCACTGTCAGGGTGCTGTATACTGCAAAGTTACGTTTTCCGTCCGGATGGAGTTGCTGGCGCCTCTCCTCGCGTACGCTTGTGAAACATATAACACACAGGAGGGAGCATCCCTAATCTGTGGGCAAGGGACTAGCCGTATCAGCGTGTATAAGCACATACACTGCCTGAGGCAAGAGCAGCTAAGCAATACAGAAGAAACAACTCTCTTCGAACCGACTGTCCTATGTATCATCCGGCAAAATTGCTGTAGACGTCGAGGAGAATAAGGATTGCTGCGACTCAGAAATGCAAGCAGGTCGACATGTCTTTATAATAGGTCCATCAGGGTATCTGCGTTGGGGAGTTCGAGAAAATATACCCAAGGATTTAAGTGTCTACGTTTGGAGCTTAGAGTGACACTGACTGCCCAGAGCATTAGTGGAGGGGAGAAATTAACAATGCCTATTGTGAAGCCCTGCGTATACCCACATCGTGTTGGACCGTTCTCCATATAAGTATAAACGATATCATATACGGACCGATCGAGCAACGTGGTGGCGAGTGCGCCGGACTGACTTCGCTCTTTTTGAGGGGTGTTACCGTGAAAGCAGGTAGAGTCGAATTACAGAGCTGGCCTGCAAATAGCAGTCAGCTTCTAGTTATTTTTTTCCTGCCAGCATGTGACTACAACTCTGATCAGTTCCGGCCCAGTTTCATCATGGACTCAAGAGGTCGCCGACGTACAAGGTCACGTTATAGACAGCGGGCGAACAGGGTATCGGATGACTGAAATTGATTCTCACTACGCCGAAAGTAGAGTATGTAATACTATCTAAGCCATGAGGCACAGCAAATGTTGAGGACCAGCTCCCCTCCACTTGAAGCAGATGTGCTCATACTAAGCCCTTTTGCCAATCCTCATATGTTCCGAAGAATCTTACTGCCACTTCTGCTTGCGGCTAAACGCCGTGACCCATGCTGAGGGTATCTTGCTTGCAACCGCCATGAGCAAATCCAACGTCAACTCCAACTCCAGCCCTAACTCCTACTCCTGCTCGGCAGCATCCGTTCGATCCGTGTCTAGCTCAAGGTTGCCTGCGCATGGCACCAGACGCTTGGCCTACTCCAAAGAAGATAAAGAGAAAAGAAGAAGCGCGGAGAGACGCGCACGCCCTCGGTCTGGTGATTCGGAATGCGCTTGGCATAATTAGAGAGAAGGGAGAAAGACAAGAACGCGGAGGAACATGCATGTCCTCGGCGAGTGTGGTTTACATTCAGCAGCAATCGATTCCACTTCTCGGATCTCGATCAGATCATAAAGAAGATACGTGTTCGCAAAGCGAACAGTGGCCGTAGTATAGTCTCTTGGGACTTTTCTCCGGATTGGCGTGGCTCACAAAACGAGCACCCTCGAGGGGTCCTTCAGAAACTGACGGCGGTAATTGGCAATAGCAGTAGCGACGACGTCCGGGTCACGCGTATTCAACTGCCTCAGGTCTTTGAGCACAAGCTTCAAGCCCTCGGTCCACTGGTGCTTTTCTTCGGGAGTACGGCCCGGATTCGTGGTACCGAGCTGTACGAGGATTTTGTCATCTGTGGGTTAGAAAGTGCCTAGTCAGCCTGCGGACAGAAGGGTAAAGAGAGTCAAAAGGATAAGCGAAAGAAGATAAGACAAGAGAAGACAGACAAGAAAGATAGAACACGTATAATAGAGAAAAAGAAAAGAAGCTCTGATCAGCCAGGCTATTGCTTTGAACGCACCACTAAGCTGCATGCTTCGGAAGTGCTGGTCTTGGCACTGTTGGTCGTTGCAGACGCCTCCAGCTGCTTCGTACTTGCATAGCGGCTTCTCAGCATTAATCTGATGGCTGTAAGTCAAGGAGCGGAAGCCGCCGGACACATCTTGGGAGTAGTGCGGATGGTAGCGGTAGGCTTTGAAGGACTTCAGTGCGCTTTCATATGGTGCAAAATAGGCCTGCTTGGTCAGATGGGGCTTGGGAGGGTCCTGTAGGGTTTAGCGTAGGTCCTTGCTGGAACTAGCGGAGGACGTACAGATTCAGCCACAGGCTTTTGAACTTCCAGTTCAGGTTGTAGTTCAGAAGCTAGATCGTCAGCAAGTGCGATACTCGGAGTGTCTGAATCTGAGACAGGCGGATGAGCCGAAATGGTAGAAACCACAGTGTGCACTAAAGTGGAATTGGTGGCAGGGGGCATTGTTGGAGGGGCGTCCGCGGGTTCGTAGAAGTCGTCGTCAGAACTGATGAGTGACGAGTCGTCATTCGGCTCCGCGATAACGGCGTCTGGAGGTTCGTACTCCTCGGGCTCGTCTGAGGTATCGCTCTCTGTGTCCATCTCGCCCTCCTCTTGCGAGACAGAGCCTGATCGCTCCAGGCTTGTTGGAACAGCGATGGAAGACTCGCCAGTCGTTGGCTGCTGCGCCGCCATGCCTTCCTCTGGCTCTGAAGTGAGCGGAACAGGATCACCTTCATCCGCCATTTCCTCATCTACAGACTCGAACTGGGCAACGGAGATGGCTCGGTCGTCCGGACTGTAGCTTCCTTCTGCAGATGAGAATTTGGACACAGGTTGAGTGACCCGCGGCGGCGAATTCGTACTGATGTTACCTTCGCCGCCATCAGCTTCACTCGACAAGTCCATAACATCGTCGAAAGTGTCCGAATTGGCGATTTGACCTTCGCTAATTGATTCGTCCTCAGTGTTCTGTGCTATTGCTGAAGCTTCGATAGCGTGGGTCTTAGTCTCCTCAGGGAATCGATCAGAATGCGCACCACTGGTAACAGCGGCTTCCTCTGCCGAGTCATCCGCAGCAACTGACGGAACTCCGGAAGTGGACTGCCGAGTCTCTTGAGAATCAATCACTTGAGATGGGTCAGCTTGGTTCTTGCGGGATCATGTCACCCAATATTCTAGCAAATGCTGACGGCTATAGACTAGGGATGATGATAACTTACGACTAGCAGTGGCAGCGTCCTCACTCCGCTGCTGAACTATTTCGTCCTTCTTAGCCTGAAGTTCCTGGTGCGATAGGCCAGCCGTATCGACATCAAGTGCTTGGAGCTCCTCCAACAACTTGGCTTTGTCCTGCTCCTCTCGCTGCGTGTCGGCTTCCAGCTGCTCCATTTCACGTTTCATTTGCTCGTAGCGCTCCATTTCGAGCTTCAGCTGCTCAAACCTGGCTTTTTTGCTAGCAATATCAGCATTCAAGGCGGCTTGTCCCGACTCTATCTCAGCTCGCCGCCGGGTCCGCCAGTCGGGCGTTCTCATCGATGGAGAGTTCAGATCGATAGAGGCGGCCCTTTCCTGTATTGCAGTCGCTGTAGGAGTGATCTGACGATCCTGGCGAGCAGGTACCGGCTCTGGGGGGTCATTGGCAACGGTTGCGGTAGTAGATTCGACGACTAAGGCTGAGGCGCTGCCTGCCTGGCCTTCAAGCCGTGCAGGTGGCTTGTGCGACATTAAGGGTATAACCGCTGCCGGTGCTGGCGTCCCAGGTGTCTGACCTCGGCTAGCACTAAGTGCCTTGGCTTTCCGACGTTGTTCAAGCTCCGCGATTTTCTTCTTCATAGCAGCTATTTCTTCTTCTTTCCGCCTAACATGCTCAGGATCCGCAGAAGGCGTGTTGACAGCCGAGTTGGATACGGCGGAGCCCGGCCGGACAATTGGCGTTTGAGGTAGAGAGAGATTAGTCAACTGTCCTGAGCTCCGAAGGGTGCTTTCTTTCATTGTGGCCTTGACAACCGAAATGGTGGTGAGCATAGAATTGGTGGTCGCCGCAGCACCGGACTTTTCTTCCTCTTCGTCCATGTCCATAGCACTCTCAACAGTCTCGTCATCACTGGCTTCAATGATCAATGCTTCATTGCTCTGGTGGAATCGCTCCTGCCCAAAAGGACGTTTAGATGCGGCCAGCAACGAAGCTGGGCCGAGATCGTCGAAGTCTGATGCAACAGGTCGCTTCCTGCCTTTGTTGGAAACGGCGAGACCCGTGGCTGAAACATTAGGGGTACCACTCGTCTGTTGAGTAGCCATTATGGGCAGTGGAGCATTGTTGGCTATGAACAAGCCAGGAATTACCGGAAACGAAGGCTTACCAAACTGTGACGGAGCGCGTTCGACTGTAACCGGAGTTGGGATCTGAGGCGACCGAGGCGGCGAATGTACTGCAGTAGGTGGCTCGGTCGTTGCATCCGTAACAGATGGTGTGGGGGGGCTACATGGTTCTTCAGTCGCCGACACCGAGTCTGTTGCACCAGCCGCGGAAGAGGTCCACAGCGAGGTAGCGGTATCTGCAGGAATACTCGTGCTTGCCGGCGGTAGGGGATTAGCCGTTGCAGCCAAATTTGCAGCTAACTTCTTCTTTGCAGCCAATTCCTCCATCCTTCGACGAGCCAGTTCCGTCTGAGCTTTCTTCTTCTGTATGGCTAACGCATCCACGTGGGGTGATGCTAGTGCCGTCGATGGTAATGGCCCAGCGAGATTGCTTTGCGGTGCAATAGGGCCATTAGAGGACACTCTGTTTTCATGCTCCGGCAAAGCAGAAGCTTGCTGGGCTGGAGGTACGGCCTGGGGACTGAGCTCCTGTCTCGGCAGGGTTGGAGCATCCGGCTGAGCTACGGCTTTCGTCCCTGATGCAGACTTACCGCTTCTCGCCGCCAAGAGGCGCGCAAGATATTCTTGGCGGTCCATGGCCGGTTTCGTTCCTGCAGTTGCAGGTTTCATAGGACCAACTGGAGCCCTTGCACCCGACTGTGCAGAGACGGTAGGCTTGGAGGCGGCTGTACCCACTAATGCTGTGACAGTGGTCGACGCAGGAGGCGGTGCAGTAACCTGCGGTACCTTTGCTGAAGCGTCGAGAGAAGGCGGCACGGTCGGAGTCTTTCTAAGAGCGGCCTCTGTCGGACCACGAACAGTTTGATTCGGTTGCGCATCCGTCGGCTGGGATGGAACCTTCTCATCAGATATTGTTGCGGCCTCGGGGATTTGAGCTAGTGAGGGGAGTTTTGCCTCGTCATATAGCTGGCGCAGCAGTTGTAGCTGCGCGTCGGAGAGGCTGAGATCAGTCTCTTGGACTAGATTCGGATATCCGATGTTGCTCTGATGCAACGCCGTAATGAAGCTCTTGACCTGTTTGCGAACCTCTTCCTCTGATTGGCACACTTGATTTTTGTCGAGTGCAGGAGTTCCTGGGTTCGAGAGTAGAAGCTGAAGGTTGGCAAGGGTTTTTGAGATAGCGGACTCATCTGTTGATCGAACTTTGTTCGCATTGCTTGATGCTGAAACATCAGCTCGCAAGCCTGATGATGATCTCGGAGTGGGGTGCGAATTGTTGCCGAACCCGTCTCCACTGCCTCGTCTGCGCTTGCTCTGAGGTGCGATCACTCGAACGGGCTCGTACGTGTCCGCACTCCCGTTTGTGTGACGAGGACCGGAATTGTCTGATCGGCTGGCCGGAGGAATACTGGGATTATCGCGAAGAGAGCTGTTTCGCCGGGGCAGAGGCCTCGCCCCTCGATCTGGTCGCGTTTGTTCATGACGCTGATCGGGTACATACTGGTCGTGGCCTAACAAAACGTCAGTCGGGTGCAGCCTAGCGACTGTAGAGTCTGATAAATCGAACCTCGGCCGGTCGAAGAGAACTCCAGTTTGTCAGAATTACGTCGGTGAAACCTCCCTTGACTGGCCATACGTTGGTGGCCTGGATGATCTGGGAGCCTGGAGCCTGCCACGTTAGACGTCCTACCTTGCTGCGACGCTGGCAACCGAGAGAGTTCGCCGTCGCTCACTTCGCCTTCTTCCCTATCTGCTTCCATAATCTCCGCAACCCTGTTGTTCGCAGGCAGGGCAGCTCGGGGTGCAAGAACCTGCGAGCTCTGAGGCTGCGGTTGTGTTTGAGCATGACGGGGCGACGAGGACGAGATTGCCTGCACGTTGCGGGGTGGCGCGACGGATGGCAGGATCGGAGGAGGCGGCGGCGGCGGAAGGATGGGTAATGTATTCGTACCGAGGAAGGATGGCGCAAACGGCGGAGGAGGCACGATGCCACTCTGCGCCTGGGCTTGGATGTGGCTCAGCATAGCCAACAGTTGCGCTTCGCTGAAGCCGAACGCTCGTGGATCTATGGGCGGGAGGATAGCGTTTTGCTGGACCGCAGTCGCGGGCTGTTGCTGCGCCGGTCCAGCATCATGCCGTGGACCCGTCTGAGCCGTCTGATAACTCCGACCGTTGCTGCTTTGCGACGGTATGGTAGGTCTCTGACCATTGTGCGCTGGAGCTGAAGAATAATCCATTTTGACACAGCTCTTTCGGTGAAGTGAAGTGATGGGAAACGGCCCTAAAAACAGGAAGTTTCTTCACATTGACGGTCAGTTTAGAAAGGAAAGCGATTGTCAACGAGAGCGATGCATCCAGGAGCACGTCGACGTTTATGTATGCCGCGCGCGACGGATAGCCGCTGTCTCGGACGCTTCAAATTTGCAGAAGGAACGATAGGGGGACCCGTCGGGGTGATGGCGAGACTGGACTCTATCAAGAGAGCAGTGAAAGCGGTCCGCACGGTGAAAGAGGATGAAATACTAAAGGCCGTCACGAGCGAGGGCGTCGAAGATATGAAAACACTTGGGAGAGTCGGAAATGTGATTGAGATGATGGCGCTTCCATGACATGTGCTAAGCCGTAGGTGGTTAGCGCGCTTTACTTCACGCGCGCCGTGTCGTTGCTGCCAAGAGTTGTAGTAAATAACCCAACACCAGCGATTTCTCTATCACCGTCCAAATCACCATCCGCCGGTTGCGGAAGCCTATTGCGGCGATTGTAGGTATCGTCTTGCGACTCTCGCATTCTGTTCTTCTGGTCTACCTTTCTGTTTCACCAGTAATGCGCTGCTCATCCACCACCTCACCTCGCCGGCCGTAAACAACATAGCAGCGACAACCCCTCGACTTCTTCAAGATGAGCGCTCCAGCGCAAAGCGGCCCCAAATGGCGCAATAATCCCTTCCACAAGACTTCTGCATCCACACCACCAGGGCCGCTCCCCATCCGAAGCAGACCGCAGTCCACGGTCCTCTCGTCCCCGCTGTCTCCTTCCCAAACCATCGGCCATGCTCGCAACCAGTCGTTCTCTCCATTGGGCAATGTGGGATTACCCGCAAGAAACAACTCGGTCCGCACTCGATCAAATTCTCAGCGGGCCAGCACACCCGCAACCGGCACTTTCGAGCCAAAATTTATCAAGTCGGAAGAGATGGAGAATGGACCGGAGCGCGTGAGAGGGATAGAAGGGGAGAATGACTTCTCAGGCAAGAGATATGTATGGCTGAAAGACGCGAATTTAGCCTTCGTTCGTGGTTGGGTGGTTGAAGAGTTGGAGGACGAGAAGCTACTTGTGCAATGCGACGACGGCAGTCAACGCCAAGTGGATGCTGAGAGCGTGGACAAGGTCAACCCAGCGAAATTCGATAAGGCGAATGACATGGCCGAATTGACGCACCTCAACGAAGCGTCCGTCGTGCACAATCTCCACATGAGGTATCAAGCCGATCTGATCTACACCTACTCGGGATTGTTCCTGGTGACGGTCAACCCATATTGCCCTCTACCGATTTACAGCCGAGACTATGTCAGTATGTACAGGGGCCGAAATCGAGAGGACACAAAACCGCATATTTTCGCAATGGCAGATGAGGCTTTCCGGAATCTCGTAGAAGAGGGACAGAACCAGAGCATTCTAGTCACGTGAGTTCCTGAGTCTGTCTCCAGGAAGTACCTCGTTCGCTGATGCAATCCTTACAGCGGAGAATCCGGTGCTGGAAAGACAGAGAACACGAAGAAGGTCATCCAGTATCTGGCAGCAGTTGCGACCTCTGACACACCAAGAGCGAAATCGGGTGGCAGACAGTTTTCCAACCTTTCGGAGCAAATCCTACGAGCAAATCCGATTCTCGAAGCCTTTGGAAATGCGCAGACAGTGCGTAACAACAACTCTTCCCGATTTGGAAAATTTATCCGCATCGAGTTCACTCGATCAGGTCAGATTGCTGGAGCCTACATCGACTGGTATCTGCTAGAAAAGTCGAGGGTCGTTAGACTGAACTCTAGTGAACGGAACTACCATGTTTTCTATCAGCTGCTGCGCGGAGCCGACCAGAGAATGAAGCACGATTTCCTCCTTACCGGTCTCGACATCGATGACTTCGATTACACTAGACACGGCAACGACACTATTGCAGGCATTTCTGACCGAGAAGAATGGAACTCCTTGATTGAGGCGTTTCATGTCATGAATTTCTCCGAGAAGGAACAAACCTCAATCTTCCGGACGATAGCCGCTGTGCTCCACCTTGGAAACATCAATGTGTCAAAAGAGAGCTTACGAGGCGACCAAGCTGCACTGGATGCTGAAGCAGTGGAACATGCCGAAAAAGTCTGTCACCTTTTGGGTATATCCGTAGACCCCTTCATCAAAGCCTTGCTGCATCCGCGCGTGAAAGCAGGAAGAGAATGGGTGGAGAAAGTACAGACGCCGGACCAAGTCCGTCTCTCAATCGATGCCCTAGCCAAAGGTATCTACGAAAGAGGCTTCGGAGACCTTGTGACGCGTATTAATCGTCAACTCGACCGATCCGGAACAGGTTCAGATGACTCTCACTTTATCGGAGTCCTCGATATTGCTGGCTTCGAAATCTTTGAAGAGAACAGCTTTGAGCAACTGTGCATCAACTACACAAACGAAAAGCTGCAGCAGTTCTTCAACCACCATATGTTTGTTCTCGAGCAAGAGGAGTATGCTAGGGAGCAAATCGAATGGAAGTTCATCGACTTCGGACGAGACCTTCAGCCAACCATTGACCTCATCGAGCTGCCAAATCCTATCGGTATCTTCTCTTGCTTAGACGAAGATTCCGTCATGCCCAAGGCAACCGACAAGAGCTTCACAGAAAAGCTTCACTCGCTCTGGGATCGCAAGTCACCGAAGTACCGTCGGTCATTGCTCAGTCAAGGCTTCATGCTGACTCACTACGCGGCAGAGGTTGAGTATTCGACTGAGGGCTGGCTAGAGAAAAACAAGGACCCGTTGAACGACAACGTCACTCGTCTGCTCGCAGTCTCCTCAGACAAGCACATTGCGAGTCTTTTCGCCGATTGCGCAGACCCAGAAGACGAAGCTGCTACGAACCGGAGCCGCGTAAAGAAAGGTCTCTTCAGAACGGTTGCTCAGCGACACAAGGAACAGCTCTCGACACTCATGGCCCAACTCCACTCCACGCACCCTCACTTCGTCCGATGCATCCTTCCCAACCACAAGAAGCGACCTAAGCAATTCAGCGCACCGCTAGTCCTTGACCAGCTCAGATGTAATGGTGTCCTCGAGGGCATCCGCATTGCCCGTACCGGCTTCCCGAACAGACTTCCCTTCTCCGAGTTCCGCTCGCGTTACGAGGTCATATGTCATGACATGCCCAAAGGCTACCTCGAGGGCCAGGTCGCCGCCAAGATCATCCTTGAAAAGCTGAATATGGATCGCGCTTTCTACCGTGTCGGCCTCACCAAAGTCTTCTTCCGCGCCGGCGTCCTCGCAGAACTAGAAGAACAACGCGACCAGCTCATTCGAGATATCATGTGCCGGTTCCAATCCGTGGCGCGCGGCGCTATCCAGAGGCGCATCGCTCATAAGCGTCTGTACCGCGTCGAAGCAACCAGGATCATCCAGCGCAATTTTCAAGTTTATCTTGATCTGCAGGCTAATCCTTGGTGGAGGCTTTTTGTGCGGATGAAGCCTCTGCTTGGAGCAACTAGGCAGGCTGCTGAGGTGAAGAAGCGGGATGACATGATCCAGCAACTGAATGAAAGGATGCAGCTTGAAGCCGAGGACCGCCAGAACCTGGATGATGAACGTCGGCGCGCAGAACTCGAAATCCAGCGCGTTCAACAAACACTGGAAAGCGAACGTGCCCTAGCTCTAGATAAGGAGGAAATTTTTAAGCGACTGCAAGACCGTGAGGCTGAGCTTACGGAGAAGCTCCAGGAGGCTATCGAAGACCAAGAAAAACTCGAGGACCAACTCGATACGCTCATTATCGCAAAGAAGAAGATAGAAGAGCAGTCAGAGGTATGGCGCGTTGAGCTTGAACAAGCGGGTCAGATCGTCAACAAGCTGGGGGTTGAGAAGCAGGACCTCGTCGAGAAGATGGACCAGCTTGATGCTCAACTTAGTGATCTGGAAGACGCCCAATCACAGCGTAGTAAGGCAGAAGAGGGCTTACAACAAGAAGTCAGGATGCTGAAGAGCCAGATGGGGCTCAAGGAGCGGAAACTGCAGGAGCTGGAGCAGAGGGTTCTCAAGACTGATCAGGACATCGATGTCAAGCTTGCAGCATCGACAAAAGACCTGAATGCCAGCAAGAAGCAGATTAAAGAACTGCTGGACGAGAATCGTCAGATCCGGCAGCAAATGTCCGATCTCTCTTCCACTTCGACAAGCTACGAGGACCTTATCAGGCGAAAAGAGAGCGAGCTGGCTATCCTCAAGACGGACGTAAAGCGGCTTGAGACAGATCGGCAGGCTTTGGACAGCGAAAAGCGGACCTTGACCTCGAAGCAGGATAGCCTTCAAGCTCGTCTGCGAGAAGCCAAAGCGGAACTGGACGCAATGAAGTCCCAACATATCCAGCTCGAGCGCGAAGCTGCCGACACCAAACGACTTCTTGAAGCCAGAATCTCTGAGGAAGCGATGCAGGGACGCAAGATGCTTGAGAGCCAGATTGCTGACCTCAAGGCTCGCTTGTTCGAGGTTCAGACAGACTTGAGCCGGGAGAGGCAGTCGCGAGACGATGTTGAGATGCTCGGTGAACATAAGTATGAGACTCTCAAGCGTGAGTTTGAGTCTCTCAAAGAGTCGAAGATCACGATCGAGAAAGAGATGTACGTTCAGGAGGATGTTCTGCGTCGGGCCACTGAGGCACGAGCCACCGCTGAAAATGAGCGCAAAGATTATCAGAACGAGCTGCGCAGTCTACGAGAGAAATTCCTTGAGTTGCAGGAAGCTAAGCTAGAGGCCGAGTCAACAGCTGAGCGCAATCTTGCAAAGTTAGCTAACGAGCGGCAAGCGGTGCTTCGGAAAGAGATCGCCGCTAAAGACCAGCAGCTCGAGCAGGTAGAAGCCGAGCGGGCTAGGCTCGATGATCAAGTTCAAGGCCTGACGCAGATGATTGCGGACTCCGACAATTTCAGGTTGAGAGACGATCAGCACAAAGAGCGTCTAGAACGTGAGCTTGTTACTGTCAAGGGGCGCCTAACAGCATCTGAGAACGACAACCGCGCTCTGCTCAACAAGATTCAACAGAAGAACCTCGATATTGCTCGGTCAAACTCGAGAGCTGGAGACACTCAGCGCTCACGCATCGCCCAGCTTACGACGGAGAAGAGCAAGGCAGAGGAAGAGAACAAGAGGCTGTTCCGCCAGCTGGAGGATGCACAATTGACTATCGGCTCTCTTGAGAAGCAGAAGGAGAAACTTGCGTTGAGCTTGGAAGACCTAAATCATGAGATTACTCGGGAGCACAAGACCACTCGCAACGCAGAAATGGCCCAGTCAAACGTTAACCTTCAGCTCGCCGAGGCGAACCGTAAGCTTGAAACCGAGCGGCAACTACGAACACAAGCACAAGGGAATACTCGTACTATACAGACTACCCTTGATACAGCTAACAGTGAACTCGCCGAGTGTCGCAACCAGCTCATGCTCTTGCGAAGAGTGTTTGATCCAGAGGCCGCAGACGTGGCAGCAACCTACGAAGCAGCCAAGCCGGACATCTTCAAAGCAGTTGATCTCGCCCAGAAGCTTGATGCTGCCCATCAGGCTCTCCGCATCGCCACTGAGCGGCAGACTAGAGCAGAGGCTCAGGTAGACGAGCTGCGCAACCGATACGAAGACGACTTAACAGAGCTCGACGCTCGCCACACGAACTCCAAGCGCGCTCTTCTCGAAGAAATGAACCAAAGCCAGATCAATGCAGCCAGCTTCAGGCCGTCTCCAATGCATTTCCGCAAGGATTCTGAGAACCGCAGACCCTTTTCACCTGCGGGAACTCCTATCAATCAGCGCCACATCAGCGACGTATCGCATGGCTCCGCTCGTTCAGACCGCACTGTTGACACGGTAGCCTTCAGCAATCACCTCGATCTCCAGGCTGAGCTTGAGCTTGTCCAGAACCAGCTCCAGATGTCCGAGATGCGCAACCGGCACCTCCAGACGCAGCTCGACCGCTCGCCAACCAAGCGAGACTGGCAGGACGAGAGTCCCTCTGTGCGAAGGATGCAGAAGCTCGAGCGGGAGAACTTCCGCTTGCACGACAAGCTCGACGACTCTGCAAAGAAGGTTTCCGCGCTGGAGAGCAGCCTACGAAGTGGACAGCTAACGACGAAGGAGTTGATGACCAAGTCACACGAAGAGATCTATGACCTGCTCAACTCACAAGAGCAGGCGCGGAAGTCTTTGGTGAACTCCTACAACACAGCCATCAGCGACCTCGCAGACACTAAGACCGCCCTCGACTACGTCAAGCAGAGCAAAACTGAGCTCGAAGTCGAAGTCCGCGATGCCAGATCTGAGCTTGCGGAGCTGAGCTCCGAGCGCGAGCAAGAGACAGCTAACCACAGCCAGCTACTCCAAGAGTTTGCGGATCTGCAGATCCGACTTGACAGCGAACAGTCCAAGCTACTCGATGTGACTTCCAGCCTCAACCTCTACAAGAGCCGAGCAGACGAATACTTCAGCAAGCTCGAGCAAGCCGAGATCGCAGTTCTTAAAGCCTCGCGCGCTGAACAGTTCGCCAAGACCCAGGCGCGAGAAGCAGAAGACACTTGCGCGACCATCATGGCGGAGCGCAAGACAATGGACGGCATGGTCGAGGACCTGCAGCGCCAAACGCAGCAGTACGAGGAGCGCATCGAGGACCTCTCCGCTGACCTGGACGGCGCCCTGCAGGCGAAGAAGCGCCTCCAGAACGAGTTGGAAGACTGGCGGAGCCAGCGTGCCATCGACATCGAGGACAAGGAGTCGAGCATGGAGCAGACGCGGAAGAAGTACCAGTCGGAGCTCTCGAGCTTGACGCAAGAGCTCGATATGGAGCGTGAGAATGTCATCTATGTACGCGAGGAGAACGGCCGGCTGAGGGAAGAGATCGAAGAGCTCCGCTCCAAGTGGGACGATGAGGTGCTTAATGCCACGACCTGGTCGAAGGAGAAGGGCAGGTTGGAGATGACACTCCAGGACCTGTCCAATTCCCGCGACGAAGCAGTAAATGCGCACAATGAAGCCCAGAGCAAGATCGTCTCACTCCTGTCGCAGGTACGCAGCTTGCGCACCTCAGTCGACGATATTGCGGCCGAGCGAGACATGCTGCACAAAGAGAAGAAAGGCCTCGAAGCCCGCCTTGTCGAAGCGGCAGAGCGTCTCGAAGATCTCGCACGCGGCGAGAGCCCAGCGATGCGCAATGCTGCGACTATGGACCGGGAGATGCTCGAGCTAAAAGCCGGTCTAGCGCAGCAGGAGGACATCGCTGCCGCCGCGGTTGGCAAGATGCGCCGAGCTGAGGCGCTGACCCAGGAGATCCAGAAGGACATCGTTGCCGAGCGCGAGACGAACGTGCAGCTGCACAAAGAGAAAGCGGAGTTGGAAAAGAAGGTTAAGGACTTGCAACTCCGGCTCGTGGATCTAGAGACGAAGGGTTATTCGAATGGGAGTCAAGACGTGCGATTCTTACACGGCCGGATACAAGAGGTAACCTTCCCCATCTCCTGATCTTTCTCACATTTCCAACCCTAGCTCCCCACACTAACACTCCCCAGCTCGAAAAAACCCTTGAATCCCTTGAATCGACAAAGTCCTCCGCCGCCCGCTCGACCCGCCACATCGACCGCACGCTCAAAGACCTCCAATCCCAAATCGAGCGCCGCGACAAGCAAAACGCCACCATCTCGGAAGACCTAACCAAAGCACGCGACAAGATCTCGACCCTCCTCGCCACAATCGACGAGCTGCAATCCTCCGACTCCGCGAACCAGCTCGCCGCCAAGCGGGCAGAGCGTGAGCTGCGCCAGGAGCGCGAAAAGCGGCTCAACACCGAGCGCGAACTCGAGGGGTGGAAGGGGCTGAGGATGGAGAGGAGAAGCGCGCTAGGGGTGCCGGGGCCGGGGAGTGAGGTCGGGGGTGGGAGTCGGAGGGCGAGTTCAATTGGGCTGTTGGCGGGGGAGGGGGGAGAGGTGCCGACGGCTGCTGCGGGCGCCACGAGAGGGGGGCTGAGGAAGGTCAGCGCTACGAAGGGTTTTTTGTAGATGGATCCGCTCTTGGCTGGGGGAGGGAGGGGGCCAGGGGCGGGAAGAAGGTAGCGGTCGGTGTATTGATCCGGTCGCAGGCGTTTCTGTGAGCGTTGTGGAGGTCGGGGAGGCAACCCTGTTATGAGAGGGCATCTTTGTGGCATGTGTTAGGCGTGAGGCGCAGCGTGGGTGCTGCTTTGGCCGACGACTTGGAATGGGACGCATTGCTTGTATCATACTATTCTAGTCAGATATGTCAACGCGAATGCATATAATTGTAACTCAATAATGGAGACGGTTCTTCTTGTGTGCGTTGACATTTGGCTAGCACTGTTAGGTATCCTTGGGCCTACAGCCCGACGCTTGAACCTACTCCTATATCAGTACGTACCGCTAAAATCTCGAAAATAGTGGTTTACGCTTCGCTTTCCGCAAAAACGCGCACCAGACCATCCCACACTACCCCTCAAGCGCCGTCAGCCTTAACCTCAGCCCGTCTCTCGGCTTGATCGTTACAACACCCGCAGGCATGGGGACATAACTCGGGTCCTCCAACTCAATCTCAAACGCGCTCACAAACGCCGCAACTAGCGCCCTCAGCTCTGCCTTCGCAAAGCTCTGCCCAATGCAACTTCGCGGCCCGTGCAGGAAAGTCATGTTGCTATAGTTGCTGCGGCGCTACGTCAGCACAACTGATACTTCAAAGAATTGCAGGAGAGTTAGAGTCACCTGGTCGCCCCGCCATGATTATTGGCCTGCCCCGTGGCCTTATCGATCCATCGGTCTGGCACAAAAGTGCACGAATCCGGGCCCCACAGGTGTGGCGACCGGTTAATCGCCCACGGTGCGATCGCCACACGGGTCCCAGCTGGCACAGTAACGCCGCACAGCGAGGTCGTGCGAACTGTGTTGCGTAGCGTCACTGGCACAGTTGGGTAGAGGCGGAGAACCTCGTTGCAGACGGCGTTGAGGAGGGGAAGGGATTCGAGGGTTGCGGCGAGGTCCGGGGGCGGGGATGTGGTTGAGGGGATCGCGGCGCCGATTTCGTCGCGGAGGCGGTTTTGGATTGAGGCGTGCGTGGCGAGCAGGTAGGATGTCCAGGTGAAGGCTGAGGAGGTGGTTTCGTGGCTGGGGGATGTGAGTATAGGGGCTTGGTGGGGGATGAAAAAGCAACGCACCCAGCTGCTAGAAACGTGAGAGCTTGATCTACGAGCATGTCGTCTGAGAAATCGTTTGACTTGATCAGTACAGACAGGATGTCCTTGTGGTCATCGCTTTGGAGTCTTATGAGCTCCTTCTTCTCTTTGACGAAATCCCGACCGATGTTCCGTACATTGGCAGCTGTAATTTTCCGCCGTCTTGCGATCCTCAGTGGCAGGTTCTCTGCCAGCCATGTTGGAAGTGAGATGTATGCCGCGAAGTAAATTACCTGCTCGAACGTCGGCGCAGTAATTTCCTCGAAGTTTCTCATAAGCTCATCATCGGGGTTGTGCAGCGAGTTGATGTTGCGGCCCAGACCTGCGACGCCGATGATGTCCATCGTGACCTTATTGGCGTAATGTTTCATCTCTATAACGCCTGAGTTTCTGGGGGGCTTTTCGCCACCGGCTTCTTCAGTACACTCGCGTACTGCCGCAGCGACGACTTCATTGAACTCGATGGCTTTCGACCAGAACAACGGATACAGGTCTTTGATATGGCGGAAGCTGAACGCGGGCATGATGTGTTTCCGCTGGAACTTATGCTCGTCGCCTTCTACAAGGACGAGCCCATCGCCGAGGACACTGGCCAGGAAGTTTCGTGCCCTGACCGGCTTCTCAAAGTCATAGCATTTGTGAACCAGGACCTCGGCGATGGTCTTTGGGTCCGTGACGAGGAGTTGGTCTTTGTAGAGATACCCACGGCAGTTGACCAAGCCGTCGTTTGGAACCTCAGCTACGGCTTCTTGAATACTGCGGCCGGGTGGCTGATCGAAAATTTCGAGTCCGTGGGCGATGATGGGATAGCCGCCCTAGGTCCCTTAGATCTGTAGAAATGAACGGTCAAAAGACTCAGCTTACCTTTGGCATTGGGAGATGTCGGAGGGGGCTGAGATAGAATGGATAAATGAAGACCCGCCATATAGTCCAGAGACCGAAGTTCAAACTGATAAAGCGGATAAAGGTCCACGCGAATGGATTCTCAGGTAGAAATTGCGGAAAGACTACAAGTACGAGGACAGTTTGTGCCGCCGCGAGGAGCACCACAAGTAGAGGAGCAGGGACACTAGGAGCCATGCCGAGATGATAGAGAGAAGCTAGAAAAGTAAACCACCAGCCAGAGCAGAAGGAGAACGCAGACGTATAAGTATTCCGCTCCAGTTCAAAAAGTTTACCTCACAAGCTCGAGGCGGTCGTATTTACATACCTCGGATAGGCCCGTTTAGGTCTTACTTGCGAGGCTGTGCACAAGGATATGCGGTCAGCAAACCTGATCCTTCAAGCGCCCATGCCGGGGCCAAAATATTGGGAGGTAGCGAAGCTACAGGCATACGGCATCAAGAGCGGTGGCTGGTAGGCGAAATTGCGGAGGCAGGAGATGCGAAGAATGCTCGAGTCAACTCTAAATAAGCACGTGATATCGCAATTATTACTAGATGTGTGACATCATCCATCGCGACTTTCCCCAGCAGCGTTGCCTTCGCCTCTCCGAACCTTGATCCCACAGCTATACGAATCTGATCGTCCTCCCATCATGCCCTACTTCCCCGTCCAAACAAATCCCACCACCGACCCAGCGTCTCTACCCTCCAGCAGCCCACCCGACCCACAAACCGCCGACGCCGCCCGCGCGCACCGCATCCGGATCAAGAACCGGCGCAAACGCTACTTGGACATGCATCCGTCCTACTTCTCCCCCGCGCTCGAGCTCGCCGATCCCCTTCTCTACGACCGACTAGTGCGACGCTTTCAAACCCCCGCAGAGCGCGAAGCCGAAGGGCGCAAAAAGGGCTACAGCGGCGTGCTAGAAGCGGACCTGCTGCGCTCCGAGGCGAAGATCGAGGCGCTGGCGCGGCCAGATCCGGATGCAATGACGAGTTACAGGCGGGGGCCTAATGGGGAGATCCTCGCGGAAGAGAAGGAGGAGGTGCCGCTGACGAAGGAGGAGGGGTGGGAGCGATGGAGGTGGGAGATGGAGCAACGGTTTTTGGGGGGCAGAGATGAGGAGTTTGAGTATGCTGCCGTGGATGAGAGTGAGGAGTGGGATGACAAGCGCGAAGAGGAGAGAGAGAAGGAGGAAGAGTATTTTGGGGAGGAGGAGCCCGGGTGGGTGCTTGAGGATGGGAGGAAGATCACCGGCGAGACGGGGGTGCAGGATTTCTAGTGCGATGGTCGGACATCCTGATGGTTTTCGACAACAACGCTACGAGTCGTATATCAGGCGGCAAGGCGACGTTGCTACGCTAAGTTGCGAGGCAAATGCGCCCGTCGGAAGCAGTCTATGATTACCTGAGATCTAGAGCTGCGATCCTCATCTCTGATGAATCGCACATCGCGCATCGGACAACGCCACGGCTACTACCCCAGCGACAACGTGCAGCATGCTACCCCTAGGTCTCTAGGACGCTGCTAGTGTTTAGCCTATCCGCTACGGCATCACATCACGGCCCTGCGGAAGGGAGTGTATCCGCATTGTTCGCGACTGAGGCCCAGCACAGCATGGTTGAAGAGCTCTGAGAGTGTAAAAGAACTTCGCAAGAGACAGGGGTCTCAAGGAGCAACAAAGGGCGCTCTCGAGTATAGCTTGGGCTATGGCGCTTCAACATCGGCACCGCGATCTAATGCACAGGCTCTGTACGCTAGGCGCAAGCATATATACTCGAATGTACATCTACATATATACACATAGTTAATATACCCTATGTCACGCCGGTCATGCGGAAAACCTCAGCATGTATCAGGCAGAAATCAACCTGTATTGCACTCGCTCTACTACCCATCTCACATCAACAGTGATCAACCATGCCTCCTTTAGCGTCTCCCTCGCTGTATCGCCGTCGTCGTCACCGCCATTCCCGGTATATTTCTTCTATCATAAAATCTCCTCCGGCAAAGATCAACACGCCTTCCGCTTGCTACACAGTAATCCCCTGTTCACATATGATAAGTTATGTCCCCTTTACATGTCTTACTGTCCGTGTTATCGTCATCGCCGCTGTTGGTTTTTTTATATATTTTTTCACCCGTCTAAGTCCTCCAATCATCGTATACGACGGCGCTGTGGCTGAGTGGTTATAGCGATAGACTAGAAATCTATTTCCTTCGGGAGCGCAGGTTCGAGTCCTGCCGGCGTCGTTTTGCCCTTTTGCTGCTCATTCAAGTCATTTTTGGATCCGTGGTGTCGTTCGTGGTTGAGTTTTTGCAATTTTCGTGGATCTTGGGGCCCAGAACGCTGCGGGGTTGGAGATTGTGCGCAGGAACCCCATGAAACTTGACCAAGACAACCCTGTACTCTTCACATCTCACGCCTCTATCATGCTGGCGGTTATCGACACCATCTTCTGCAATTTCACGCGATATCGCCTGGAAATTTCTCACTCGTTCAGGGGCTGCTTTAAACCTCCTTGATGTTATGTTTCAAGGCTTCTTTGGAGACAGGATAGTCACCGCAGAGCCGTAAGGCGCCGAGCAGCGGGTCGCTCGTTGACCATATACTCGACACGGAATTCGAGTCACGGCAAAACATACCAGCCGCAGAAAAGGGGTTCAGGACTATACACAGTTTTGTGCGGAGCATAGCTCATTCTCCGTTTATACGTCTCTGCCTATCAAAGCCTCCCTTAGGTTTCTCCCCCTCGTCCGTGTCCTTTCTCAAGGAACGCATTACCTCACGAAGCCCTCGGACTTATGGGAGCAGGGCGAATGGGGCTGAGGTAGTGGCCTTTTCCTTTTTTTTTTTTTTTTTGAAAGCAAGTGCATATTCAGTCCTAAGCAAAGTCTACATGCTTGACCACAGTCGGCTGAGGACTATATACAAGAGGAATCTCAATCTGTAACTCCGGCGCAGGCTTGTAGAACACCTTAGATCAGAAGATGATATCTTGAGCTTGGGTAGAGTTCTGTTATCCTGAAGATAATGGGCTAATCGCACTACTCTCTGACTACATCTTGCATGGCTCTGGACACGAAGGTAGCGATCACTTCAGATTGAGAGAGAACGGTTTGGATCTGGAACTTTGTGCAAAATGATTTACTGCATCGAAGACAATCTGCCACTCGCTATGCACCCTAACCACTCGCTATGCAGCCAACGCATCATCATATCCAGAGTCCCGCCCCGTTCCACCCATCATCACGACTCAGCACCTGCCCAGGTGTAATCTAATCCTCCGTCAAATCACCATACTCCCACATCCCCTTCCGCTCGCCCTTCGCCTCCTCCTCCAGCGCCTGCAACTTCTTCAGCCCCTCCGCATGCGCCCTCTCCCACCCCTTCAACTTCCTCGGCACCATCGCAAACCCACCCGCAACCACCTCAGCATTAACACTATTCTCCACCGGCGGCTGCTTCCCCTTTTCATACAATGTCACAAACAGCGTCCCATCCGGGCCCACAAAGTCGACATTCGTCGCAAACTCGCGGCCGGCGATGGTGTTCCCGACAAAGTCCACCGCATCGGCCAGATAGTCCGGCTGCGTCGGGAACTGGCAAAACGACAACACCGCATCCTGCGCCTGCGGCTTGAGGTTCTGCGTCGAGAACTGCGCGGCCAGCGGGCGGAGACGGGAGTAGGGGATCGTCTCGCTGTTGCCATAGTCTATATACACGACCTCCACTTTCTTGGCTTCGCGGTCGTTGCGCCGGATGCGCGCGCGGTACCACTCGCCGTCCTCTGTGAACTTGGCCGCGACGAAGTCGCCTGCTTTTGGCGGGTTGGGGAGCGGGGTGTCATTCGCCTTGTTGATGTGGAAGTTGCGGAATGAGGACATGAGGTCTGTCAGGCGCGTGGTGCCGGAGCCGATTTCTTGGACTTTGAGGTGCCCGGTTGCGTCGACGTGCGTGACTACTGTATCGCGGAAGTCGATGCGTGGTTTTTCGGGGGTGGAGGCGCCGTTGGTGCCGTTGCCGTTTGGCGCTGCGGCGGCGTCTGAGGTGTCGTCGGCGTCCTGGCTGGGGTCCCAGTCTTTCCAGAGGCCTTTGCGGCCTTCTTTGGCTTTTGCCTCGGCGGCGAAGAGCTCGGTCGCGTTGCCAGACTTCTCGGCGGAATAGGCGTGTACGGAGGCAAGGCCTTCCTCGACGAGCAGCTTGGTGAAGTTCTCGCGGTTGACGTAGATGGTGCCGATGAAGCCGCCGACCTTGTCGACGTCCTCGACATCGATCTCCACGTCCCGCTGGAGACATCGTCGGTTGGCGAAGTCGTGCGCTTCTTGGCCGAATGGCTCGCCTTGTTCGGTGGGATTTCTTGCTGACCTCGGGGCGCGGACCCCGGAGAGGACGAGGGTGATTTTAGCATTCTCCCTTGGGATCAGCACGGTGAATCGTGAGCCCGACTTGACAAAGTCGACCACGGCGGGTATCTTCCGCTGCCGCGACAGCATTGACATCTGCCGCTTCGCCTTCTCTAAGCTCTCCGAGTAGTCGACGTATTGTTTTGCGGCTGGTGGCTTAGCACCGAACATGCCGCGACCTTCCTTTTGAGCCTCCTCTTCCGCCAGCAGAAGCTCATCATAGATGTTACTCCTGTCGGTGTCATCTGCGCGGTGCCGTATCACGGACGCAAAGCCATTCTCGACAAGCAGCAGGCCAACATTCTTGCCATTGAAAGTTACTGTGGCCATTTCCCTCTCGTCGAAGCCCTCCGTAGCTGGGCGCTTACCGTCTATCGTAACCTTGACGTGCTTGCCGATGAGACGCTTGCGCAGGAACTCCTTGGCCTCCGCGCCCCATGGTGACTGCTTCGGGTCCGTCGGCTTCGGCTGCCGGACGCTGCTGAGGTTTACGCGCTTCTCTCCGCCGGCTTTCGTGCGTAGATACAGCGTGTCTGCGCTCTGTACACGAGTGACTACAGCCTCGTCCTCCCGGCCCGTGGCGCGCGGTGCAGCTAGTCCTTGGAACAGGCCAACCCGGTTGTCCTTGGCAACTTTCTCAGCCTGTCGTAGGTCGCCCATCTCTGGTCCCAGCATTGTTGAGTGATGATCTGTGCAACGCGCCAATCCGGCTTTGAGCAGGAAGGGAGCGATGCTGCCATTCTTCGGGTGCTTCACTGACCCCACGAGTTGTCCTTGAGGGCTGACGCCTAGTACGTTGACGAACACAGTGCGCTGGAGCAGTTTGCTTTCGATGAAGTCCCGCGCCTCTTCGCCGAAGGGTTCCGCGGGTTGCTCTTTGCCATCCGAGGGATTGATTCGCTTGGTAGACGGTGCGCGGACGCCGGCGATCAGGAGCATCGTCTGGGTGTGCTTCGTTGGTGACTCCATCAATCGCACGATCAGACGGTCACCGCTTAGGACCTTCTCGACGATTGCTTCGCGCGGTCAGCTCCTGTTTACGTCCTGCAAGTCTCCAGCCATATTCACTCACCGTCCAGCTGTTTGCCCTTCCATGCCTCCGCGAAGGCCTTTGCGTCTGGCAGCTCATATGTCGTCTGAACCTTGCCTCCACTCCCAGCCCACAGGCCCTTGGAGTCGGCCTTCGCCCGCGCTTCGAGCACCTGCAGCTTGTCGAGTATTGCTTGCGATTCATCCGAGTCGTCTTTGCGGCCTGCATCGTCGCGGAGTTTCGCCCAGCCTTCGGACACTACGAGGTCGGGCAATTGTGGGCCGTCGGGTAGCATGACGATGCCATATTCGCGGTTTACGCCCGTGGGGATTTTGTAGAGTACTTTGAAGTATACGCGGCGTCCGACAAGTCTGCGGAGGAATTCACGAGATTCGAAGGCGAAGGGCTGTAGTGATCGCCATTGTGTTAACATTCCGCAATCCAGTCAATACTCGAATCAAATATTGTTTGAAACGCCCAGCATGGCCATTCAGCGCAAATTGGCGCAGCGCAGAACCCCATATCCCACGAGCACAGGGTCGGAGATTGTAACCCACCTCATCGCCGTCCCTCTTGATTCTCGGCGCAGACACAAAGGCAAGACTGAGGGTCCTTTCCAGCTTCGGGTTATTGACGTTGTGGAGGACGATGGTGTCGCCTGACAGGACGCTTTTTACGTTCGCCTCGGAGAGAGCCATGGTGGAAGCGGGTTTAGATGTTCTAAAGAGCAGATTAGAACCAGCACCTCTAGATATGCCCAATTCAGGTTGTGGTGGTATGGTTCCTGGTAAGGGCAGCGTACCCGAGGAGGGGTCTTGGGACTTAGCGGTGAATGTGAGAATTGTGGATTGGTGACGGTATTCACAAATTCGGCAGGCGTTCTAAGAGTTCTTCAGCGAAATGGAGCTGCGTGCTGAGGGTCGGGCAGTGGAATTATATGCGTAAGTGGCACGAGGGTTCAGGGACTCGATGGTCGTGTGGCTCGGTGGGGTTGGAGACGTGGGTGGCCTCTTCCAAGCGAAACCCTGGGGAAGCTCTGAGCTCGGTACCAAGACTTCCTTACGCACACGCCGTCTTCCGAATTCGTTTCATCCTGTTGCATGCACATCTCTCTGGCAGCTCTCACAGCCAGGAATTGCATCGCAGAGGGCAAGGAGAAATCATCATGCGAGAACGTTCGAGGACCTCACGCGATAAAATGGCATAGAGTAGCCGAATAGTAACATTGTTTAACGATATGTCCCCCGGCTATCATTTCACTACGCGTAGCTCATTACTCTGCGAGCTCTCTTCCTCCTGTTTAGGTTTATGAGGAGATACCGATAACACCTGCATCACACGAGTTAGCCTTTGCTCCTTATCTCTTCCTACAGCCCATAGTATGCTTACCGCAAGCCGGACGGGCACCAGCGTTGCCAGTCTTCTTCGACTCCTCAGTATCACCCTTCCCGAGATCATCGGTGCCAGCATGGACGACAATCGTGCGCTATCCATCGTCAGTATAGCAAACCCCCCAGCTGAACTTTGCAAGTGCTTACGCCAATAACGCTCTCCTGCCCAATCAACTTGATGAGCTTGTCCTCGTGTGTGCCCTGCGCATTGCCCTGCTCGTCCGTCTTGAAGTTGCCTAAGTCACCGACGTGGCGCTCGTCGTCTGAGGGGGCGCCGTGGGTCTTGCCGTGTGGGTTGTCTGCGTGGAGTTGGCTCTAGTCAGTACATCCACTTCTGCTACGACGGTAGGTAGAGAGGACGCGTGGGGACTCACAGTGAGGGCCGGCAGAAGTGCAGCCGTTGGTGTTGTCGCCGAAGGCATGGACGTGCATGCCACGCTCAGCGCTGGCGTCGTGGCCCGTGATGTTCCATGAGATCTTCGTGGGGCTGGACTCGGACTCCTGCTCGAAGGTCACGGTGCCCTTAACATTGGAGTCACCGCGGAGTACTGCGACTATCGATGGCGAGGTTGGTCAGCGAAAGTATACACAGAAACCCACGGTACAACCGCCGTGAACAGTAGATGGCTGTATAATGTCCTTGGCTCCCCAGGGTTGCTGTTTCCTGAGTACTATCCTGCGGAGAAGCTGGAGTAGTGAAGTCTGCACCCAATTGAGCTGCTTTGGTGCTCTCCAAGGTATTGCTCGCATATAATAAACGTGCTCAATCGTTCTTGGGATCTTGTACCCCTCTCTCGATTGGCTAAAGCACAAGGTATAGAAACAAGCTTACCGGCCTTGACCATTTTGATGGGTTTGATGGCAGTTTGAGCGTATACAAAGCTAGGTGTTCCTGGTACGTCTGAAGCAAAGCAGAATTGTAGAGAAACGGTGATGGACTTGGTCGGTTTCGCCGGCACCTCGAGTGGTATATTGACATGCGGGGCACTTGCGTCATACAGTCCAAGCATCGCTGACCAAGCACGTGCAGAATGAGGACCGTCGTTCGGGCGTTTTGGGCGACCCGAGGAGCGACTTCGGGGCGTTCGAGCAGTTTCAGCCTCAATACGATTCGGGTCACTACAGTCACATCCCTTGTAGTACGAAGCAGAAACGGAGGTTATCATTTTCGGTAGATACAACGCACTAACTTCCAGCACAGCTCGTTCGAAATCCAACAATCTGGCCATCATTCGCAGGCGCATGGTTCAAATTATCTACGCCTTCTCAATCTTCTCCCTAAGGATGTCCTTCAGGGTCATTGCATCAGCAGCGAACTTCGAGATACCCTCCCGAAGCTTCTCGACGGCCATCTGTTCCTCATTGAAGTCGAAACGGAAGGTGGCCTCGTCGTTGAGGTAGCTCTTCTTCTCAATGTCCAAGTTTGTGGCATCATTGGCGTCGAGCTTCTTCGGCACCTCGTCCTTGGAGTTGTAGAGAGCCTCAAGAAGATTGGGCTGCGCACAATCAGACTTTCGTTCAAACCCAACTTTGTATATCACTTACTGCAATGGTCAAGTAATCGCAACCGGCCAGCTCTGTGATCTCACCGACATTCCTGAATGAAGCACCCATGACGATCGTCTTGTAGCCGTACTTCTTGTAGTAGTTGAAGATGTTCTGCACGCTCTTGACACCAGGATCCTCGTGCGGCGCGTAGTCCTTCTTAGTCGATGCCTTGTACCAGTCGAGGATACGGCCGACGAAAGGCGAGATGAGGAAGGCACCAGCTTCGGCGGCAGCAATGGCTTGCGGGAGAGAGAACATGAGAGTGAGATTGCAGTTGATGCCGTGCTCGCTCTGCAGGATGTGGGCGGCCTTGATGCCCTCCCAAGTCGAGGCGACCTTGATGAGAATGCGGTCCTTCTCGATCCCCTGCTCCTTGTAAAGCTTCACGGAGGTCAGTCAATCTGCGCAGACGGTGTTTCGCCAACAGAGTCAGCGTACGTCGATGATGTGGAGAGCTTTGTTGACGGATTCCTTGGTGTCGAAAGAGAATCTCGCGTCAACCTCCGTCGAGACCTTGCCGGGGACGATCTTGAGGATCTCCTTGCCGAACTGCACAAGCAGGCTGTCTAGTGTGGCATCGACCTTCTCGTCCATCGAATCGCCATGGCTCTTGCCATACTCAACAGCGGCGTCGATGAGCTTCGCGTAGTCGGCCTTCTTCGATGCGGCGAGGATCAGGGACGGGTTGGTGGTGGCATCTTGTGGCTTGTATTTGTCGATGGTCGCAAAGTCGCCGGAATCGCATACAACGACCTGAGAGTAAGAGATATCAGCTTCGTTTCGCAGGTTGAGACGGCTTTTGATTGAGCGCGCAGCATCCGCCTGCGGTGCGTCCGATCTGGTGGGGTAGTCTGTAGGGTGAACTCACGGTCCCGGTCGCTTTCAGCTGGTCAAGAGAGTTTGACATTTCGAGTTGCGTTTTGAAGTTGAGCTTGGAGTTGATCGACGGAGCTTTAGAGTCGGGTCAGTGTAGTTAGAGAAGTTGAATGGTGCTGTGTAGGGCTTGATAATATTCTGACAAGCGCGGGGCAGCATGTTCAACCAAAACACGTCAGATGCGGGCGGCGAAAAGCAAGGCCCACATCATCGGCCCTTGACTCGGCCTTCCACTTCAACCGCTCCTGCGCGAGTTCCTATCAACCGGATAATTTCCCGCACGAAGCCATCCGTGGTTAACAGCTTCGGTCGACACTCGTGGCTCGCACTGTCACCTCATGGCAGAGCCGAACTTGTTCCAAACGGCGAAAGCGGTAGGGAATTCCGGCGGGGCTCCTCGGAGCTGCTCCCCGCGGCCCCTCTTACGGATTAGTTCGCTCAGCGCATTTTCGGATAGCTTCATCGAGTAACCCGCCTGTTGATTAATCGACGAGAAAGACGTTGGTGCGCCTGACAAAGAACGCTCTCCGCTGAGAAAGCGCAGCGCTGACACATCCATTGCCAGGGCCATCTTAGACATGATATCAGCAGGGGTCTCGAGCTCTAATGTTGCTTAGACGGTCTTCGCACTGCTTCCATCATGGTTGTATGGTTGCTAAGCTTGAAAAACGGGCGGCAATGACCAAGCAGGGAAGACTGAATTGCTTCCTTAAAGCCCACTCAGCGGTCACCAGCATCTAAGATAAGATGCCACAAGCACAAGCTTCGACGTCCGCAAAACCGCTGCCTTCTAGTGTCACTGCCAGAATGGGGTCCCAACTGTGTTTGCACGGGCATCAGCTCTGACTCAAGCTTGCTCTTGCCCTCAGTTCAAGCGCTCTTACTCATAGTTCTCTTTGTACATCGTATTCGGGGAAGAAACGTTTTGCTCCAGCATCATCGTATCTCTTGTTCGATATTTCCGGCTCGGCATGTCCAAGAGCTCCCCTTTCCAGCTGAAGAAGGACATATCGGAAGCCAACTTCCGTCGACCTAGGCAGTCTGGGCGTATAGGATGAACCGCCTGCTACATGGCTTTTGCCCGACTAGAGCGCCTAACCCCCTACTTTCCACCCTTACCCCATCCATCCTCCTTCAACGACTCAAACACCTCATCAATCCCCTTCTGCATGTGACTAACCATATGACCCTCCCCGCTCGGCCCTGGATCATTCAGCATTCCTATCATCCTCGTCTGCTTGTGTCCAACCTCCAGCACCGTTCCCCCTCGATACCGCTCATCCTCCACACAGGCCAACATGGCTTCCGCCACCTCCTCAGGTGTCGCCCACGCATCCCTACTCTCGTCTACATACTTTATCTTCTCAGGCGACTCAGTCCAGAGCGGCGTCTTGATCAGCCCCGGCGCGACGCCATTAACCCTGATCCCAAGCGTGGAGTCCAGCGAGTCAAGCGAGCGGATGAAGCCGCTGATAGCCCATTTGGATGCATGATACATCGGCGCTACTAGACTCGCTAATTGGCCGGCAATACTGCTAATATGCACTATCCTCTTCGGATTCGTCACGCTAACCGGCCCGCCCATCTTGCTGCCTTCGCGCGGCGAAATAAACTCGGCGATCGCGAGCTGCGTCACCCGGATAGGGTGCGTAATGTTGATGTCGAGCAGCGCGTAGTGGCCCAACCCGCCAGCGCCTTTCTCGCCGGCAGCAGGGTCCCGGGAGGAGGCGCTGCCAGGCGGGTGCCAGAAGTTGGACCAAGGGGGTTCGTAAACGCCAGCACCCGGGCAGACAATGTCGAAGCCGTCGAATTCGGCGTAGGCGGCGTCGAACATGCTTTGAAGGTCAGGCCATTTTGTGACGTCTGTTTTGACGAAGACGGCGTGGGCTTTGTCCGTATCTTTGGCGGAGTGTTCGTCCACCAGTTTCTGTGCTTCAGGACGCAAGCTGAGGTCTGCTATGAGGACGTTGCAGTTACGGGAAAGGAGGAGGCTGGCGAAGCAGAGGTTAATGCCTGTTATGATGTGTTAGGTCTGATTGTGGAGTTGCTGGGATAGACAACGCTAACTCACCAGAGCCGGCCCCTGTGATAATTGCTGTCTTGCCAGAGACGCTGAGTGTCGTTGGTGGAGCTGCCATGGTGTTAGTGCAGGCAGCTTCTCAAAGCGGCGGCTGTCTTTAGCTTTCTAGTCGTTATTGACGCGTACCAGTTGGGAACGAAAACGAGGGTGAAGCCCCAAGAGGGGATTCCTCTGGTATATACGCAGCTACATGGCCGGATACGCGCGTATGTAGCGGGGAAGGAGGGGTGTCTGGTCTGGAGAAGCTCTTCGGAGTTCACAACTGCCCGAGAGCTCTCTTCCGCACGCGGAAGGTTCGCCGAAGGCAGACTTGGTAGGTGAACCGAGGGCAGCTCGCAAATCTTCAATATGTGTTTGGTCTAGGTATCTTGCCAAACCATTCTTTGCTACATGTGACTCTGTGCTTGCTATAGCTGCGAGTGGCGTAGAACCTCCTACCATAAGCCCTCTTATACATGGCGATTGACCAAGTGACCTGTCGTTAACCCTATCCTTGCTCATTCACCTCGATGCACTGAGTCTTTCCCATCGAGTCGTTTCTTTCAGCTAGTCGCTAGATTCGACTCGTCATAGGCCTGGATACCTTCTCAACTCCTCAACGCTACAAGGGATTTCCAGCCGTTCTGTTCAACTCATCGGTCTTGACCGTAATGCCGCCAAAGACGCCCAGAAAGCCGGTGACGGCCAGCGCGGCAAGACCACGTTCTAAAAAGCTCAATGGACACTCTGGTCCCCTCAAACTTCTTCCCAAGGTTATCGCGATGCTATCTCTGGCCGCTCTGTCTTCTTCGGTATCTCAACTGAACCTCTCACCCGTTTATGGGGTAATACCTTCATACCTCTATCATCAGAAGGCAATCACAGCGACAGCCTTCATAGCCTTTATGGGTAGATCCGCGCTCAACATATATCTGCCCAAAAACGTGGAGAAGTACATCCCTGTCTTAGCATTCTGGATACCGAATATACAACATGTCCTCTTCAAGTTCAGCGGCCAACTGGGTCCGACGTACGGACCAATCTTGACTGAGGCTCTCACGTTCGTTCCATTACTAGGCCTTGTCTTCTATACTGTGAGCTCCATGCTCGACTCACTAGACCTGAGCGAGCTCAATCCAGTCATAGCGGACATGCTTCCACCGGTCGGATCCTACTTCATGTTCTCCATTGTTGAGAAAACCATCTCGTCGTCTATATCTCAATGGATGGGCAGCACCGATCTACTCACACGATCTGGGCTAAACTTCCTCATAGCTGCTGGCTTCGCCGCTCTGAGCCCGTCGCTGTTGCTTCTGCTGGCTGCACCAGCTCTATACCATACCATTGCATTCAATCCGCATCAGTTCCCGGATAGGACGATACCGACGCTGAACAGCGCACTTCAACCTCACAACTTCACCCTCCTGGCGCGCCACGAAAGCCTGACTGGCTACGTCTCTGTTCTCGAGTCATCATCCTCTCACTTCCGCGTTCTGCGATGCGATCACTCTCTGCTCGGCGGCGAATGGCTTGTTACGCCTCAGCGCCAGCAGCATGGCCAGAGGGTACCTGAGTCCATATACCAAGTCTTCACAATGCTCGAAGGCGTGAGACTTCTCGAGACCGGTGACAATCGGCCTGAATCCGAGAAATCCGCGCTCGTTATTGGTCTTGGTGTCGGGACCGCACCAAAAGCGTTGATCGAGCGCGGGATCAACACCACCGTAGTGGAGCTGGATCCAATCGTACATGAGTATGCGATGAGCTATTTCGGATTACCAGCGAACCACACGGCCGCGATCGAAGACGCTGTCCCCTTCGTCGAGCGCACGTCTGCCAAGACACCGGGCGCGTTTGATGTGATTATCCATGATGTCTTCACGGGAGGTGCGGAGCCAGCCTCGCTGTTTACTTTGGAATTCCTTGAGAGGCTGAAGGCACTCTTGAGCGAGAAAGGTGCCATAGCAATCAACTATGCAGGAGATCTGGCACTACCGTCGACACGGCTTGTTCTCAACACCATCTACACTGCCTTTCCCAACTGCCGGCTGTTCAGAGACAGTCCACCGAATCCAGCCGTGCCAACCGATTTCATCAACATGGTCCTCTATTGCGTCAAGAACGATGAGGGCAAGGGAAAGGAGGCTGTCCGGTTTAGAAAGCCAACCGAGCAAGACTTTGGAAAGAGCTTGGCTAAAAGACAGCATTTGGTGCCGAAGGTGGAATTAGAAATCGACTTTGTATTTGATCCAGACGAGAAGAAGGATTTGCTCAAGAAAGGCAATACGCATGAGCTGGAAAGACATCATGCGGATAGTGCGCGTAGCCACTGGAAAATAATGAGAACGGTGCTGCCGGATGCAGTGTGGGAGAATTGGTGACGGTATGACGCAAGACTGACAGCTGATGTCCGAAGATTGGGCTGGTAAGCCCGTTTAATCTCTTCGTGCAGCAATGTCGTAGACTGGGAGACTCCCGATGCACTCTCACGAAGCGTTCGAGATCACCTATAACCACTGTAGCTGGCAGAAAATAGGATGACAATTCTAACTATCCAATCTTGAAGAGGTATCCTCTAAGGCCTAGAGTTATAACGCCGCCTGATGCATTCTTAACGCCATTCCTATGCTGCTGTTGGCAGCACCCTCGCTTCGGCCGTTATGACGCACCCGTACTCTGCGCACCTTTGGTCTTCCTCGCCGTCTTCCTCCTTGACTTTGGCTTCACAGCAGCCACAGGGACATCTTCTAAACTTCCGATAACATCTCCCTCATCCAGCCACCCCTCCCTCAACGCCATCCCCACCAAGTCCTTAGCACTCCTCAGCCCACTGGCCGGAAGGCGTCCCGGATCCAACAAATCCTGCAACCGCACCAACACCTTCTCAATCCTACCCGCCTTCCTCGCCGCAGCCACCTCATCCACGCCTTCACCAAGTCTACTCAGCACGCCAGCCTCCCCGGAACTAGGCCACACCACCCTCTCCAGCATCTGATACAGGATAAAATGCAGCCAGACCAGATTCGTCTGGGGATGATACCCCTCCCAGGTTCTCCCACTCTGCATCGCCTCCCCCCACCGCGCGTCGAGATCCGCGAGCGGCTCATCCAGGTACATGGCTGCGCGCATGAAGCGGTAAATATCGTATTGGTACTCGAGCTCCCCATCGCCTTCGAAGAGCGCTTGGTCGGCTTCGAGGTTGAGGTAGGCGACTTGAGGCGAGGCTGCGCCGTTGGAGAGCGGGGATGCGGCTTCCATATCAGCGCGCGAGAGCGTATAGTCGATTATTGTTGTTTCGAGGCCTGTGAAACCGAGGTTGTGGTCTAGGCGGCGGATCTCGGGCGCTGAGATGATCGAGTCTGACCCTGCGTGCGTTGGGCGGACACAGACGTTGCCGAGGTGGAGGTCGCGGTGCTGATGCGCTGTTCAGTATATTGCTGCGTGAACCGCGGACGGGTCATACTAGTACGCACTTCGAACCTACACCCCTCCTCCCCCTTCCCCAGCGCCAGCACAACCCCCCAAAACACATCCCAGACACCCCATATCCCGCCGATCGCCTCCGTCCCCTCCTCGATCAGCCGTTCAAGATCCGTCCCAGCATCTTGCATCTCGATGACCGCCCACAGCTGCTCGTCGTCATAGCTACTCTTCCTGCTCGGGTCCGGAAAGATACTCTTCTGGCTCTTCCGCCGGCTCTTGTTGAAGCTCTTCCAGGCGGTGCAGAAGGCTGGTGGGGGCCGACCCTGCAGCACGCGGATGTCGCGGAAGTTGGTGAAGCCGGGGATGCTGGTCATGCGCTGCAGGAGCTGGACTTCGGAGGCGACTTGCGAGATGGTGCTCATCAGGGCGGCTTTTTTCTCGGCGGCTCGGGAAGCGGGAGGGCATGGTGGAGGCTTCAGGGCGATGATCTTAAGGACCGACTCGTCTGATCTAGTGAGGCCGGGCGTAGGAGCTTGGAGGGAGAGGCGGTAGACTTCGCCGTAGGAGGCTTCGGCTATCTTGACGATGTTGAAGTGCTGCTGGAGGGCGTCGGACCAGCTTGAGAAAGACAGCGGCGCTGTGCGGGCGGCTGGATCGCTGCATAGGTGCAACAAAGGTTGTGTATAGGATAGGAGAGGATCGGAGGGCGGTAGAACCGGCGACTTAGGAGGGGTGGTTACGCCGTGTTCGGGGCCTGCTACCAGTGTTTCATTGGTAGTACGGGGTGCTTGACTTCGGATAGGGAGACATTCTGGCATCTGACTCGATGGTGGAGGATCGTGTATAGGTATATAAGGGCGTATAATCTCCGAACGATCCACCTCGCGCTTCGTGGTTTCCTTCTTCTTCAATGACGATGTTGTTCTTGCCTCCTGCCTCTCTCTACCAGCATCTCTGCTCGCGGGGTGACTATCAGTCTCCTGCAAGTTTTTGTTTATGTCTGCTGGAGGCGACTCCATGGGAGCCCTCTTTTCTTTCCCATCGTTATGACGTAAGGCAGGCTTTAACGCAGCGTTGGCATCCTTTATCCGTAGCGCCTCGTTTTTCTTTTTTGCATCTCTTGTGCTATCCCTGGGCTCTGCCCCGACTTGTAGAGCCTCTAGTGCTTCAGCCGCTTCGGCAACTTCAACATCGACCGCCTTGTCTGGATGTATCGTCGTAGCAGCGGGTTTCTGTGGACTCGACCAAGCGAAGGAAGTTGAAGAAGCGAAAGTCGAGGGATTCTTCGGCCGTTTCCCGTAGACAAGCTTGTTGCGAGGCATATTTGGTGATCTTGCGGGATCAGCACAAACGAGCGAAAGTGTAGAGCATTTAGCTAGCTTGTCTGCAAACGCATAAAACCTGCTCACGCTGGTGATTTCATGGTGTTGATATCCTTCCTATCGCGGCTTAGCGTCAACCATTATCGATAAGCTATTGCTCCGGAGCAACGTCCGAGTAAACTGATTCTCGTCCTCCCGTGACGGGACTTCCTTCTTCGTCAAGCTGTGATTTCGGGGCGACGCATGGCAGGAAGGCCTCTCCAGGATGCACCTACGCTGGGCTGCTTGGAAGGAGACGTTCTCAGCTGGTTACGGGCTCCACTCGAGAGAGTTTGAATATAGAAATATCAACAGTAAATCGTATCGGTTCCGCACATATATATCTTGTGAACAACTCTCCAGTCATCGCCAAACAACAGACGGCTTATGTCGAGTTGTCATGGTACCCAGTTCAGCCTGGTTTTATATCACAGTCAAAAATGCGAAGTACAGAAATTCCGATATCACAGTCACGGATCTATGTGTTCTCCAAGACAAGGGTCATGAGGGATACCTTACAGCAAGCAACCAGCCCAAGATCTAATTTATGTTCTATCGTCTGTGGAGTAACACGTCGAGCCATGTATCATAAAGCGTCAGCGATGCTTCAGCGGCGCCGGAGCAGTCCGCGCTCAGAGCTTCCCACTCGTCATCATCTCCTCGACCTTCTTGATAGCCTCCGGGAAATCCTTCCAGTGCTCCATGACAACGATAGCGCCGCAGTCATCCTTGAGCACCTTGCGCATGTGCTCCTTCTCGTCCTCGTCATACGGCCCAACGTAGCCGATCAGCGGGATCTTGGCGTTCTTCGCCGCCGTCGCGCCACTCTTGCTGTCCTCAACGGCAACGCAGTTCTCGGGCTTGGTGCCCAGCTCCTTGCACGCGTGCAGGTAGATGGCCGGGTCTGGCTTGGAGGTGGGCTTGGGGAGCGAAGACGCGGCGCTGTAAACGTGGCTTGGGTCGAAGAACTTATCCATTTCGACCTTGCGGATCGAGGCCTGGACACGCGAGAGAGCCGAGGAGGACACGACAGCCATCTTGTACTTCTTCTCTGCGAAGACCTTCTCGAGCTCGTCCATGACGCCAATGCACGGCTCGGCCTTCTTCTCGAGCGTCTCGACGACCTTGCCCAGCTCGCGGTCGACGTAGGTATCGAACTCCTCGTCGGTGAGCGTGAAGTTGAACTTCTTGGTAAGCGACACCATCATGCCGCGGAAGTTTTGCCCGACGAATTCTTTGAGGAGCTGTGGGCCGGTATAACGTTCGGATATGCCTTGCTTCTCGAGGATCTCGTTGGCGAGCTCGGCGCAGGCTTCGAAGGCAAGGGCTTCGGAAAGGACGAGCGTATTATCGCAGTCGAGGAGGATCCATTCTAGCTATGACTGAGGTCAGTGAGATAACACGACAGGGCGAAGGGTAAGAGGGAAGAAGTAAGGTGGATTGGAGGAATCATGAGGACTTCGCAGAGGAGCGATTATCTTCAATTGACACGTACTTGAGGCATTTTACCGGTATTGAAGGCTCGATGTGCAAGAAGAGTTTCAGAAGCTTGAAGTTTCCAGAGAGTGCTTGATGTGAAGAAGCAGAGTTGGCAATTTGGTGATTGTGGAAGAAATTTAAGCAGTTGAGGACACAGCTGTAGCGGTGGGGACCAAGGGACGCTAGTGCAGCGGCTTCCAAAACTTCCAAAACGGACAACCATTCGATTTGCTCGAGTAGGTACGACTAAACAGTGCGCTGTCCACATCTAAAGCGGCTCCCCAAGTGCAAGGAGTAACCCGCGTGCGAATCTGATAGGTTCTGATTTGGTCCCGATAGCAGCCCACCGCAGTAACAATGACATTGCTACGCACTCACGGATCACCCTCTGGGCTGGGCCTGCGGGAAGGCTGCCGTTGAGCCCAGACGCCGTCGCATCCATGGATCTGAGAAGGGAAACCGGGGCAGCTAGCGTCCCCGGATCAAGCTCAGGTATAGTGACTGCGAGGCATCTACAACTACTCACGGAGGCACCTAGGTAGGTGGTGCCCGTTTCTCATATCGTTTCCCCGCTTGAGCAGCATTTTCATGGTGTTGAGGACAACAGATAGTGCACGGCCAGGCGCTGGATACACTTGACACACTCTCTCTAACTATTTCTGCTTGTCAATGGTCATGCGCGTCTTGCTGCCACTCTCACCGACTTCTCGTCTTACATAACACACACTACCTAAGGAACTAACTCTGTGGATGGCCCGCCTGGATCGTTAGCTGGGCTTAACTTGTGTCAGAGGCTGTGCCCTTTACGAACAAGGTGCACGGCCAACGAGCAAGGACCGCTCAAAATAGACGTTGCGGCATTGAAGCAGCTCTTCAGCCTGGGCATGGATAGCCCTCGAGCACGATTCCCGGACCAAAGACACCTTAGGTGATCGATGCAGCAAAAGGGTGAACTGCTGAACACCATATGCCCTCTATCGCTTGAATCGGGCTAGCTGCTCTACGATCAACAAAATCGCGAGTCCAGTTTAATTGTCAATCTGGTATTAAACATGCTGGAATGAAAATTCAGCAACAGACTTTTCGAATGGTCCTTGGAGGCTGTAAGGCGCTCGGGGATGCCGCCAACGCCTTGCTCGCACAGCCGAAGCACAGCCATCGCCATGAGAAACCCTCAATTCGTCTTCTACAAAACGCAATCGCCCTAAATATGCAACGCAGGCTTCCAGACGAGCTGAGTGGATCCTAATCGATACTAACTGCTCATCGGAAACATGTCCTCTACAGATCTATCGGCGCGAAACAAGTCTGTACAGCTCGTCGCGGGGCAAGCTGATGGCCGGCGCTCAGGCAGCCGTGGCCGAGACGGCGACCACACTCCTACGCGGGTTACTCCACCACGTGGCAAGAAAGGAGACGACGTTAGAGCAAGAGATGTGACGCCCAAGTCCGGTCACAGAGAGTCGTTGCGCCGGACCAGCGAATCTACTCCCGCAAGAGTGCCTCCTGCGATTGGCAGCGAGTTCATTATCGGCGGCGGTGCCTTTACACCGACTGGTGCGAGAAGTCCAAAGCCGGACCTTGGTATCGATTCACTGTATCGATTACTTGCGCGTCGATGTCTTACTAACTGTTCTCGCAGATGCCGAAGCCCAGAACGACTGGCAGGTTGTCAAAAAGAATCAGAAGACAGCGAAGAGGCGGGCTTCCCAAGCCACAGTCCACCATTTCGCAGGCCCGATTTTACAGGCTAAGATCAAACCCACAATTTCAATCAATCAAGATAGAGCAGCGTCTCATGCCGGCGCGCCCAAGGTAGCGCCGAGGACGAAATCCGTGCCTGCAATCGTTTTGAGCAGAGAATGCAGCAGCCAGAGCCCCTTTACCTACGCAGATGCACTTACCGGCAGCGGACTCCTTGCACCCAGGGCCACCATTGAAACCACTCCAGCTTGGGCGGTCCAGCGCCTGGAAGCAGCAAAGACTTTACCTGTGACTCGCCGTGAAAAGAATCGCGCTGTAATGCATGACGGTATAATCCAAGGACCAAGCGCACAGGCAAAGTCGCCCATTTCCCGTCCATTGGAGCCGGCGCCCGAAGGAGCAGGAAGTATTGATGATGGGTCTGATGATACTTCGTCCGAGTCTAACGCCGCATGGAGTGTCGTCGACCAATACCCTGACTCCGCTACGGACGGGACGTCTACCTCAGTCAGCATGGAAAGCCTCCGATCAGACATTGATCCCGATGAGAGGCTTGTCAGCCCCCGGCAATATTTCCAGGAGCTTGAGAGTCTAGAAGCCACCGTCGCGGGCAAGTCGAGTCTGTTCCTGATGCGGAAAGTATATCGGACAGCCTATCCTGAAGCATCCGGCTTCAAGCTCAAGATTAGTTACGTTCACTTCGGCGAGATGGACGATGCTGCCCTTCTCCGCAAGCAAGAGGACACTATTGTTGAGTTCTGTGCAGCATTTCACAAGGCATCAAACAGAGCCTCAGGAAGATCACCAAGATCCGCTAAGATGCAACAGGCCGACCTGGCATATTGGGCGTTCCACATGCTCGAGTGCCGCAACCTTGTCCACGGCGTTGTATTAAATATTAGACGGATGCGCAATGCGCACTACTGCAATGAAGCGTTCAACGTACTGACCGTATCTCGCACAAGGCGAGGAGTAGCTACACTTGTCCGTTTCGATGTCAATAATCTTGAACGCCTGCATTCAGCTTTCATGGACGCGCTCGTGGCTTTGACATCCGAGTTAGAGCGCCCGCAGCCTAAATGGACTGCGCGACTTGAGGAGCTTACACAAGGCATCTCACGGACATGTGGCCAGTTCATGGACCGGCTAGATCTCGCAAAGAGTACGGACGAGGTAGGAGAATGGCGTAAGACCATCTTTGTCCTCGACTTAGCTGTGGTCTCATACTGCGGCGCTCACATCGAGCGATTCGATTTGAGTCATTTCGGCGAAGACCTCGATCGGGCCAAAATCGCTGCCGCTTTGACATACATCACCGATGGCAGTGAAGGCATCATGCTTCGCCGCAGAACGTTACGATGCTTAGACGCCTTCCTAGGCGGCCGGAGAGTCTGGGTTCTACAAAGCCAGGCTTTGTGGGAGGACGATGCTGAGCTTTATCTATCTACGGGCATCGCGGACTTCGCCGACATCTGGGGACCAGTATGGGGCGTCAAGAAGAAAGAAAACAGCACGGGCATCCTGAGGTATAACGCTGGACCCGGCTCAATTTTACCATGGCCAGCTGATGCAACCACGCCGCTGGCACCGGGCGAAGAGTTTTGTCACTGGGTCGGTCTTGACGACCCCCAAAATCGGAGCGATCGTTCCTTGCACGAAAACGCCAAGCTGTTGATAGGAGCTCCCTCGTCCTCCACCGTTACCGAGCAGAAGACTTCGCAGATGAAAGAGAATCTAGCCTGCAACAACAAGCCGCAGAAAGTCATGCAGCAGCTCCGTTCCGCGAACCAGCTTGAAGAACTGGGTACGTCCCCCGAATCAGTTGATTTGGCTGAAGAGATCTACGGTGCATCGGTCGGTGCGTATGGCATGTCAATAGGGGGCGAAAAAGTGTACAAGCGGCGTTCCGGCGTATACCTAAAAGACGCCATCTGTGAAGCTTGGCGGAACGAAGGCATGAATCGCAATCCAGCCGTATTGGAGGAGTGGCTTGGAGTAGAAGTTTCATTCTGCAGTCGCAACGCTCGGAGACGGCGTCTCAAGTCTATCTTGGACTCTACGACGGTACGTAACTGGCTCGAGGCTTGCATGATCAATAGCGAGCCTTTCGCCTGTGAGAAGGCTTTCGATGAAGCGCTCCGGAGCCCTAACAAATATGCGTTTCGTGAGCTGTACGAGAAGAACAGGCAGTGGAGAAAAGGTAAGATGTACTCTTTGTAAACCCGCCTATGAGATTGGCTTAGCTACGGTAAACTAACAATAAACCGAAAGACCTAGGCCAGCTTGTCTCGTGGTGTTTGGATGGCCTGCGTCACTCCAGCGTAGACAAGGATGGTACACTCCGTGCGCTCTGGATTCCGGAACCCTATCGGCGCATCCGAGTCAAACTGCCGCAGAGTGTTCACAGCTGGACAGGCTTCCTAGCCGACACCGAGTCATCGAGCACGATGGCTGTCATGTATGATGGGTGCTTGCACACCGACTACCGAGACGGCTCGACTTGCCAGGCCAGGTATGCGGATGTCCGTCATTCTCTACACACCATTCTGGAGACGGCTCTGGAAATCAACCCGGATGCAAAGATCCCGAAAGAGCTGGAGTTGCGGCGTAGTAGGCACGAGAAGGTAAGCCATGTGTTCTGCTAGTCCACTAGAAACACTTGACTAATGTTCCACGTAGCATGACTTGCCTCGCTACAGCATCAGGAATGTTCGCCGCAACGAGAAGTTCCAGATCCCTCACGGACGCCTGCGAGTTGTCGAGCCTTTCCGGAGTACCCGGCTGGTCGTCACGTGGGAGGGCGGCGTCTCCAAAAAGCTGCATCAATACGCGGACTTGGTCGTGAGGACTATCAGTAAAGAGAGCCCGCCACATTGGGAGCTACGCGTCGATGATTGGTGCGAAACTAAACCGATCCCGCTGTTCATCAAGTCGGAGTATCCGTTCGAGTGTAAACGATGAAACATGTCGAATGCCTTCTTGTGATATTTGAGTAACATCCCTTCGAGCACCTCAAGAGAACCATTGGAGGTTTGATGCACCCATCATTGGAGGTTTGATACACCCATCCTGAGGCCGCTGACGGACACCACGTACTGTCAGGGATCCAGAGCGGAAGGCAATTGGAACTTGCAGATGCGACGTTCGTCCTCGGCCTAACGCTTCAACATCCAACGCGTCTCCATCTAGTAGCGTCTTCTATCTGGGCAGGCCAATCGACCGGATCGCCAAGGCAGTGCTTTCCCAGAACTCTTAAAAACTGCTCGATCGACGGCATGTCAAGAATAGGATACAGTTTGGCGTCAGCCAAAAGGGGTTCTCTGCTTCGTCCCAGAACGGTGGGATCCGAAATCATGTTCGAAGATGAGCCGAACCCTGCCGACTTCTACACCAGGCCCGAGAACGAGTCCCTGCAGACATTGGTGGATAGTGCATTCAGCGCGCCTCATCAAGCCTAGACAACGGGCCGCGACCCAAGAACCGATCAGAGGGCGACGACTCTACCACCCGGCAACCCTGACGTCCAAGCAAACCGGAAGAGACTCCTTCCCCCGCCCTGTTGCGGTCTTGGTAGGCCGTTGCCGTTGGCGCTGGTCGTTGCCCGTCTTCGGGGGTGAGATCGTTGCGATCGGGGCCTATCGAAGCATCCAGCACATCGAATGCAGGCCTGAGCTTAACCTGATGAGATGGAGGGGAACCCTTCGTAGATTCTCGGAGCGTTGCCGTGGTACCATCCGGTTCGATATCTGAGCCATACTTGCAAGATGGTCCAAACATATCTATTCCCCTAAACATGTCGGTCTCTCAACCCACGGCTTGGAGCCAGAGCTACATGTCGATGTTGTTACGAATGTTTTCAACAGTGGCAGGAGACGCTCCTGCCGTTCTCCTGTTTTCTAGGGGAGCCTTGGTCGGTATGCCCGGGCCCAATGGCGTATACCACGGCACCGACGGGTGATAATAGCTTACGTGCCGCTTGCTTACGCTAATAAAGCAGAGATGGAGATCACCGGGGTCGTGGTGGCGCAGCCAAGACGCGTTCGGCGTTCACCACCTTACAGGTTGGGGTTCAGAGCGTACGGTGAGGGACTCAGAGCTGCTTCGTTCGAAAGGATCTTCATGTGAGTGGAGGTGGAAAGTAACCGGCCCGCGCTATTCAGCAAAGGTCGTGTGAACTAGCATGTCGGACGATGCAACAGAAGCCAGTGGCTGCTAGGCATGGCTAGTTTGGTGACATCTAGATTGTATATAAAGGATCAAAGTTGGTTTGTTGGATGATGGCCAACTTACCGCGAAGCCGTTCCACTGAATTAGCGTAACGAAGCATTTTTTGCGTTACACATGACTTCGTATGCGATTCACAACTTCAAGAGAATTGATTACAGGACCTCAATCCATTGTTGTTACAACCCTGATATATGTACAGCTCCTCCCGAAACGCCTCTCCCATCTCCATAACTCGTAATAATAAAACACGCTCACGAAACCGATCCGTTACTCATGACAGCTAATCTACACAGACGAGTACGCGGGCGGCGGCATCTCCCAGAGCCCAGCACTATCACTCGATTGCCGCCGTTTCTCATCCTGCACCTTCCGCGCGATCTCATTCGCCATCTTCATCATCCAGGCCTGCTCCAGGATCCCACCCGACGACGACGAAGCCGACGGCGAAAACAGATCTCCCTGCTGCGAATGGGCCGTGAAGGGCAGTTTCTCCGCCGAAAGGGTGCGCAGAAGCGGAATCGCCGAGGTCGAAGGGGTTGGGTGATGGAGGCGGAGGGGCGGACGAGACCGTCCGATGTTGGAGGGAGCGGCGTCGTGGACGGGTTTCGCGTCCGGCGAGAGATGCTTCTGCGGCGGTAGGGAGAGCTTTGTGTTCTCCTGCGCTGGGTAGTCTGCAGACGCTGGCCGCGCCCGCGGTGATCGCGCCGGCGAGTCGGCGGCGTACTCGCCGCTTGGCCTCCGCGCGCTGAACCGCACGTTCTTTGCTGGTGAGCGCGGCGGCGTGACGAGGTCTTCTTCGCGCTCGGGGAGGGGTTCGGACACGATGACGCTTGGGGCGGGGGTGCTGGCGCCCGTGGTGGTGCTCGCGGTGTCGCTGATATCGTCCTCGTTTCTGTCTTTCCGCAGGTTGACAACGCGCCTCTTGCGCTTTCGCTGGGCGTGTGCACGGGAGCGGTTGGCGCCCAGTGTCAGGCCGTGGCCGATAGCGGAGCTGAAGCTTGAGAGTGGGGGTCGGGAAGACGAGGATGGCCCGGTTTCGGCGCTGTCGGAAGCGCTGTAGGTTGATGGGAGCGTGCTGAGTCCGAGACTGGAATGTGCTCTGGAGAGGCTGGAGAGGGTGAGAGCGGGTGTGGCGGTGCCGGAGTGCTCCCTGCTTTCTGTTGTGCCAGCCCAGGCGCGGAAGACCGCTTCCCGGATGCCGGGTGTGAAGAGTGAGAGGGTGCGATGTGACTCGGCGAGCGCGGCAAGACGGACGAGGTTCTTCTGCGAGAAGGAAGCGTGAGTTTGAGTGGGGTCGTCGAGGAAGAAGGCGGAGGTTTCGGAGTCGGTGATGGGGTTTCCGAAGCCGTCTACTGGATTTTGAGGTGGAGATGATAGCGGGTCGATTGGAATTGTGCCGTCTTTGTTACCCTCTTGCAGCCCGTTGGAGTTGTCGAGCTCTCGGTAGTCGGGCGACCATAGCCGGAGAGATAGCCGATGCAGGATGGCGGGCAAATCCTCCATAAACAGCACGCGCAATTGTCCCTCAATCTCCTTCTGGAGGTAGTCGCGCACGAACGGTATGGAGTCGAATGTCGACGAAACCTTGAGCGATTCGAGAGGGTCGTTTCGGAAGACGAGCGTAAGGCCCTTCTGCCGCGAGAAGACAAGGATAACGAATCCCGACAAGCGGATGTCGGATAGGGTAATCTGCAACGGTATGGTCAAGCCCGATGAAGCAGCAAGCGGCTGCGGCGATGCGAACGACGGCTTTGTCGATAGGTATGTGTTCAGCGGATTTGCTTGGACCCTCGTTTTCAGGGTCAGGAAGGCGTCCCCTGTATACGACATCTTGAATATTCCTCGGAATCGGTCCTCTGCCAGATCGCCGATCTCCAGTATCTCGAGCTCTGGCGGCACGCTGCCGAGGTTCAGCTCGGTGACGAGGATGTCGTCGACGATGATGGGCGGCTTCGGAGATTTGTTGAGGGCGGTGGTGAGCATGTCTCGCGCGCGCGAGGTGTCCGCTATGAGCGGCGACCAGTTGAAGTTGAAGGCCATGATTTGGGAGGATGGGGAGCACCGGTATTGGATGGCAACTCTATATTGTGGTTTCTATCTCGAGGCTGATGCAGCTGGTGTCGCGTGCCGGGTCGGTCGCCGGGTGAACAGAGGGAGAAGCTGCCATGCGCCGGCAGCTGTCAATTATCCCGATTTTTGATATTGTTCCAGCGTGTACAGCTGTTGTTCGGTTCTTCGGTCTATGCGACTCGGTGAGAGAGGATGGGGAGGATGGGGGAGGATGTGGTGGTGGTGGTGGTGGTGGTGGGCTATCAGGAGGAAGATTGCGGAGAGAAGGGCTCGTCTGGTTTGATTTTGCGTCGCCGCCAGCCCGAGACCAACCGTCATCCCGCAGGCCCATCCTAGACCAAACACGGGAAATCACCGTGTCAACCACTCTTCCGTTGCGAATAACGTTAGAACATTCCGAAGCCCCTCTTGTCCGCCAGCCAAGACGGTTGTCGCAGCGAGAAACCCGAGACTGAAATGGACCCTTTGCGTTGCCGTGGCACTTGTCTAACCATGGAACCTCGCCGCGGGAGCACTCCGTGGAAAGCACGATGCCAATCATTGATCACCGACAGCCAGGCTATGAAACTCTGTATGAGATGAAACATCACGGCTCTGATCCTTCACGATGCTGGGCTTGCTTGTTGCTCATCCCGTCCCAAGATGGCCTCAACTGCAGCGACCTTGTCTGTGAACGACTGCTTCTTGTCCACCCTCGTGCCTACCCGGATATCGCTCTGGATCCTCACCACGCCGTTCGCGTGCAGCATGGCATGTGCCTGTCCAATGACCTTCATGACTTTATCCCATGATCCTTCTGTGATGCTTCGTGTCAGAATGTAGCTCGTTTGCGTGCAATGCTCTGGAGCATAACGTGACCGACAAAAGACGCAGCTTACCGACCGTCGTGCCTGCCGAATGCATGGAATAATGCAACCCGGACTTCTTCAGAAGTCGCTGCACCTCGGCCACTTCCTTCGATACGGATGCCGTGGGTGTGCCTAGCGGGATGAGACAGAAATCCGCTACACACGATGGCGGCGTTGCTAGAGAGGTGGGATCGGAAGCCGACATCGCGTTGTGTGCAGGCGAATAAATCCGTTGATTGCGCTGAGAAACTCCGAACGCGGGTTGTCGTGAGATTTGTATATTTAATTGTGAAAGTTCAGGCCAAGCTCAACACGTAAAAACGGGGCGGCCTTACCAGCAACCGAGACACGCTCGGGAGTATACCTGACGAAATCATGGCAGGCGCGATGAATACCGGGAGCTTGAGTATTTGACCGCTGGCAAGCTTCGCTGCCATGACCTCCACCGCTCGTGACCAACAATGGCCGTTGACGCTGTCGTGAGTATCGCCAGCGACCTCCGACCCAAGCTCGACGGCAACGATATCGTTACCGGCGACACCGTTCTAGCCAGGTACCGCATGCTCGCCGAGGTGTGTCACAGTGACAACAAGTCCGCCAGGATCTGGAAGAAATCTGACATCTACCAGGGCGGCGCAAACATTGTTTACAAGCTCGACTCCCTCGGCAGCGACGATGAGAAATACGCCCCCCTGCGCAACCGCGTCCTGCGCGTGCGCAAATCCGTTGACGACACCACGACGCAGCAGATTGCGATCTGCTTCAGCGGATTCATCAGCAAGCTTCTCGAACCCAGGTTCCTCGTCGAGATGAAACTGGTCCACCTCACCGAGGACTTCATCGCCTCCCTCAACCTCGACCTGCACCAGCTTGAGCTCAGCGGCTGGCGCTCGACCAAGCATGTCGGTGCCCGCGTCAAGCCCGACGCGTGGGGTCTGCTGCTCACGGATATGACGTCCGATGGAACCTTGCGCAAAGAGGGAGGGGGTGCCTATGCCATTGAGTTCAAGCCCAAGTGGCTGTCCCAGTCGCCCAACGCGCCTCCACTCTCACGCCGGTGCCGCACATGTGCCATCCGCGCGCAGCGGGATTCCGAGAAGCAGTCCCAAGGACAGTCAGATAGACCAGCTGTAGCAGGAGCAGCCAAAGCGACGTTCTGCCCCCTAGCCCTTCTCTCCGACGACCGCGCCACGCTCGCCACGATTGCGCGCTCTCTCTTCGCAACGACAGACTACGCAGCCGTGGACCTGCAGGACCAACACCGGACCTTCTTCACCACGCGCTTCGTGGATTTCTTCACCGCGCAAGGCGATGGCCTGCGGCTCCTGCGCCGCCTCCAATTTCTCCAGCAGCGCTTGGACCCCTACGGTATCCTCGCCACCGGCATAAGCCCCCTTCCCGAGCACATCACCTTGATCCACTTGAAGAGATTCCAGCTCGCAATGACTCTGAGGGACTGTTCATTGTTGATGAAGATTCCGCTGAGTGCTACGGAGCCCGTCGAGGCGCGCTTGGCCGACCTTGACGTCAAGAGTAGTAAGAGAAAATTGGAGGAGTGGCGGCTGAAGGAGAGAAGCTTGTGTATAGGAGGTTGGTATACGTGTCGGGAGGAGGATGGAGAGGGGACCGGCGGGGAGGATGTGTGTGTGCTTAAAGAGGTGGAGTGGTGGGTATGAGTCGAGGTGGATTACAGATTTGGACGACGGATTGTAGGGTGTTTGAGGTTTGAACACGAGCTGAAAGATGCGTAGCAAGGGCGTTATTGTTAGGATGCAACTTTGATTCTGTGGCTGGTATCGTTCGTGCTAATCGACGCAAGTATAACAACGCGTCCGATTCCAAGTAGCAAGCGGTTTTGCAACCAGATGGTGACACTAATATTAGCGGTAACTCATAGGCTTTAAGCTGCAGATACGAGAAGCACTGCACCCTGCTGAGGTGCGTCTAGATTGCTAATGCGCTTACCCTAACAATTTCAAAGTAGAGATTTGATAAAGCGGTGTGCTTCTAGTCACAACTCTGCAACACCGTGCCGGTTACATCTCGAAGTCGAATACGTTACTCTAGAACGAAGGGTAGCACGAGACGGTCACGAAACTCCTTGTTCGATCCACAGTGTATTTCGAACTGTGCAAACGACTATTCGATGGCTATTTCGGTCGGATTGTCTAATGTCTCGTTCCGCCAACAGCGAGGCCTCCCCTTCACGGAAGATGGCATGTCCGTTTAGCACGCCTCGCAGCAGCCAAAGCATCACCGCTACAGAAGAAGCCCAAACATGTGCTCTCCAACATTTACGACCCCCAAAAGAGCCGATCGCGGCCGAGCTCTGAAGTTACGCCATGGCCAGTAGCGGCACTTCTACAAGCTTGCTATACCATCCAGCTCGAGGCCAGTATGATCTCAGATGCCATCCCCTACGCCTCTCAAGAAATCTACGCCCACTCTCCCGGGCCTAAATCTACCGGCCTGCCGTTGTTCATGTCGTCCACGATCTTGTCCATGCTCCAAGGCTCGTACTTGTAGCCTTTGGGGTAGTTCGGCGGAATGCTGTCGTCGTCCTCGAACGGAATACCCTTCTTCATTGACTCAACGACCTTGTCATAGTTCTCATACGCGTATGCCTCCGGCTCATGGCTCCAGACCCATTTTGGAAGGGCCGGGGCCGCGACTCGTGGATCGAGCTTCACTTTCTCCCAGTCTGTATCTTGCAGCCGCGCCGCGTTGGCAAAGCCGAGCTTTTGAGCGCAGGCGTTACGGACGAATCTGCCGTCATACGAGCCACATCAAAACCTGCTCCTTTACAAGATAGACGGCTTTTGAAGTAAATATTGGACTTACCGCATCCTAATATGCGCCCTCACCGACTGCGCAACATTCTCCCTCCCCCCAATCTGCAAACACGACGCAAGCGACACCGCATCCTCGATCGCTTGCGTCGCGCCATTCCCCGAGGACGGCAAATACGAATGCGCAGCATCGCCAATCTGAATGACGCGCCCGCCGGGAGACGCCCAGCTCGGCTGCGGATCTCGCCACAGCAGCGCGAAGTTGACGATGGTGTTTGGTGGCGTGCATTTGACCAGCTCCTTGAAGACGGGAGCCCATTTTGCGGGACCGCGGACTTTGTCCATGTCGGCGAGCACTTCGGAGGAAGAGATGGTGTTGTGCCAGGATTCGGCTTCGGTGCCTGTTACCTGCGTTCGGGTTAGTGGAAATTTCCAACTGGCATCGGCTTGGAGCGGGAAGGAAAGGGAAGATGAATCAAATGGAGAAACGAAGGCTGTGTGGTGCGGAATAGAAACTCACCTCGTGGTTGAGGAGCCAGACCATCACGTCCTCCCGCGTCAGAGTCATAGCATAGGTCATGGGCCTTAGATCAATCAGCCCGACATCCTCCTCGACACCACACCCCCCAAATACTCAGCATCAGACTTACCCCAGCCATGTCCTCACAATCGGATCCGTCCCATTCACCAAGCGGAAAAACTCCCTAACCTCCGGATTCTTGTCAAGACACTCAATCGGGAACGCCGCCCTCCACATCGCCCTCCCCGAGCTCCTCGCCCTAACCTCTCCACCCACAAGCCTCTGACTCTTCGACCCAACCCCATCAGCAGCAATAACGACATCCGCCTCATACCTCTGCCCATCCTCCGTAACAACCCCGCCCTTCCCTTTCCCCTCATCCTCAAAATAGTCGACAACCCGCTGGTTGAACTTGATGCTGATGCCCAGCCTCTCGACCTGCCGCACAAACATGCGGTACACGAGCGGCCGGATCTGGAACGCGCCGGGCGGGGTGTTGGGGTCCAGGCCCTGGGCCTTCAGCCGCTCGGCTACCTTCAGGGGCGGGATGATCTGCTCGCCGCTGTGCTTGAATGTCGCGATATACGCGTTGTGGAGGGAGATGGTGGAGTATTCTTGCGCCATTTCTGGCCAGTGCTTGAAGAAACGGGTTGCGGAGAGGCCCATGAAGTACATGTCGCCTGGGGAGGTGTTAACAAGGGTCAATGAAAAGAATGGTTGTTTAGCCATGGCACAGGGGAGGGGGGTTTTTTTTGGGATGCATTACCTGCGGTACTGATATCTGCATTTCGCTCGAGAAGCCGCACATTGTGCCCTTTGCGTGTGCATTCGATGGCGGCTGTCAGGCCGGCGAGTCCGGTGCCGACGATTAGGACATCGATACCTGTTTTGGGGTACGGGTCTGAAGCTATGGAACCCATCTTTGAAGATTTCCTTTTTCGTTTTCTGGGCGTATAGGATCAGGTGTAGTCAAGCCTGATTGTCGAGATCTTAGATATTGAGAATTTGGAAACCGTGCCTGAGGGTTGCATGGTATTCCGACGTGACCACGAGTCGAAGTTACTTCTTCCTCTGGGATGAAGCGCGACTTCTCGCCCTTTGTGTAGAAATCCGTCTCTTGCCTGGTTTGGCATATACAAAACAGGAATGGGAGTGTAAGTCTTAAGTACCACGTCAAATTGAACGACGGATGTCCGGGGCCCATATCGGGTCTCCGCCACCCACCACAATATACCCCAGAGTATGTTGTCATGACTTGAGCGGTTCAGTGATTCTATCCAGGATATCGAAGAAGCATAAAAGGCTCACTTGGAAGGGGTTTGTGAGTAACCAATGTCAAGCTCTGGCCTCTACTTGCATACGCCACTCTACCCGGTGGCTGCATGCAGTCTGCACTTAATCGAGATCGAGCACATCAACTCATCCGGAGATGTTTTGTTAATCACTCGGCCTCTATGTCTCTTTGAGGGCGTGTTTCCTCATATCGACACGAGCGTGCGTGACTAAAGGTGACCAGGGAAGTTCAGCAGCGGATTGGAGTGTGGGTGACGAGCGTGTCTGGTAGTATGCTCAAGCCCAGTCATTGGATTTTGTATTGAATCACCTTTCGCAGAGCTCACGGCTTATTCTGGCCTCAGAGCTTTTGCCATCTGGTTGTAACCAGTCTCCGCCATTCGCTACAACAGAGAACTTATGCAGCTGTCGCGACGGAATCCTGCAGCTGGCTGTAGACGAATAACTAAACTATCCAGATAGTATACCGATGCCTCTGCGGGTATGAGCAATCTAAACGCCAACGTAATGAACAGCCCCGTAGCCCATGCAGTTCCAAGCCCTACCTTGATATCCAAACACCGCCGCTATGCCATGAAAACCTCAACAGGCCGTTCAAACTTGCCGTACACTCCCGTCGCAGTAGCAATACTCGTCCAAACAGAACGCATCATAAGCTCGTGCCACTCACTCCCTCGCCCAAAAGTTCCCACCCTCACACCAGCATACTCACAACCGCGGCCAGCACCACAACCACCCACGCCGCCGCTCCCGCCCTCCCAGCAGCCGCGCCCTGCGCATTCTGCTGCCCACGCGACATGACCACCTCATCCCCAAGATTCCGTCTGCCCACAGCGCTCGTAACCCCATTCAACCGATCCACGCTCTCAACCGCCGGTCCCACATTGAAAAAGTCCACCAGCACAAAACTCGGCACGCGTCCCCAAATCCCCGTACACCTCGTCCCATGCTCCCCCAAACTGCCCACACCCTCCACCGCATTCGTCGTCGTGACGTTGTCAACGGCCGGGATATCAAAGAACGCCTGCGTCTCGTACAAGAAATGGTTCATGAGCGGCAGCCGCCCCGACGCGATCGCGGCCGCAGGATCCCCCGCCAGCGCGGCAGGCCGGTCAGGCAGGCACGAGAAGTCGCTGAAGGCCGTGTTGTCGAAGGGCGTCTCGAAGACGTGCGTGAACTCGTCGAGGAGGTAGGGCGCCACCGTCTCCGCTGCGGCGACGCGGCTGGCGACGAAAGTGACGAGGCGGGTGTTGGCTGCGATGAGGGCTTCGAGGGTCGGCCACTCGCCTGTCGGGCCCGGAACGGCGGGGACGTAGCCGTATTGCGCCATGCCGGCGGCGGCGAATTGGGCGTGCAGGTCGGTGGCGGTCGCGGCGTCGGCGTTGACGAGGAGGAGGGTCACCACGTCGGTGGGGTGGCCGTCCATCCATGTCTTGATCTCCCCGAGCCAGCTGCTCAGTGGTCCGGCGTCGAGCAGGTCGCATGATGAGTGGCACAGATGCCAGGCAGGTGCACCGCCGCCGTTGGCATTGCGGTTGTGGACTTGTGCGCTGAGAAGCCGCACCCCGGCGTCGAGCTGGACGGTGCTATTGTAGAAGTGGTTGCCGGAGACGGAGAAGGACGTTGAGGCGTCGCGGACGAAGGGGGAGTTGTGTGCGCCGAGATGCGTTATGTTGCTGTAGGCGCGGGAGCAGAGAGAGGGGGAGTTGTTGCAGGCGGTTTGGGCGGAGGCGAGAGCGCTGAGGAGGGCTAGGGAGGCGATGGATAGGTAGGAGCGCATGATTTTAAGTAGGATCGAGGTTGTCTCTTTTTAGAGCAGCACAGTGAAGCCTTTGAAATAAATGCGAAGGAGCGACACCGATTTACAGGGGTGAGTGGCGACTCTAGAAGCCTAGGTGATGGTTCTCCAGATACAACGATGTAAGAAATGACAGAAGGACTCCGCGGAAACGGTTGAAAGGAAGAGCAGGAATATGTATCAGCCGTAAGAGAGATTGTTCAAGAAAAGTAAGGGAGACATCGTGCATGTTCCTCGTACTTAGACTCAGCTGCACTGCCTCCATAAGGTGGGTCATCTTGGGCGTCGTCATCAAGTGCGGGCGCCGAGAGACTACTGAAACGACTGACAAACCTGCGGAGTCTCGGGGCGCATTGAACAGTTTCAAGTAAACAATCAGTCCGCCAGTAGCAACAAAGAGTAATGTCTCTTGTTCTCCAACATGCGTGTAGGAACGTCCAAGGTGCAAGCAATGCAGTTTTGAGGGTGGATTGCTGTCGGGAGGACGCGGAGGCTCAGCGGCGGGTTCCGGGAGAAGATCGGGCCTTCTATTTCTGGAAACGCCCGAAACGCCCGAAACGCCTTACCCGTTGGCCTTGCGCCCTGCGTCCTGCGTCCTGCGTCCTGCGTCCTGCAACCACCAATTTTCATGTCAAGGTTCCTGAGCACAACTGATCTGCCACAGCTGTCACAGCTGTCAGAGCTGTCAGAGCTGCCAAAACCTCCAACACTCACCATGGCGAATCCACCTACTCCAACAATCACCCTCAGCGCCTGCGCAACCGACCAAAACCCGCACCCGATCCAGATCTCCCTCCGCGCACCCACAGCCGCCAAAGTGCCCTCGAGCACCCTAACCTCCCCGCCCCTCGCACCCCCTCCCCCCGACTTCCTGCACGGCAAATGGCACGTCACGCACTCGACGCTCCCGATGTGGCGCTCAAAAAGCAACGTCAGCATATCCTACACCCCGCTCCCGTATCCGCCCTCGACAGAAATCGCCTTGACCTCTGCAACGCTGCCGCGGCTTGACGACCTCGTCGAATACCAGCCCCACGGCTCCTCGAGAACGAAGGCTATCCGTGGCGTCTCTACCCCGTCGGACAGCAGTGGCTGGACCTATGATTGGCGCGGCAAGGGCTGGCTCATGGTCGCGACCAGTCGGTGGGAGATCCTTGGGTACGGCAAGGAGGGGGGAAATCGCTGGTGCGTGACGTACTTTGCCAAGACGCTGTTTACGCCTGCGGGGCTGGATGTGTATTCGCGGAGCCCGGCGGGACTGAAGGCGGAGACGATGGAGCACGTACAGCAGATTTTGAAGATGTTTGGGGATCCGGTGTTGAGCGAGTTGGCGGGGGCGATGTTTGAGGTTGACAGGGATGGGGCAAAGGTGTGAGCTTTACCCTCATGCTGAAGGGGTTTGCTGGTTAGGCGTTTTGGCTTGTGAGATACCCCTTGCTGCGAGGTTCTACCCTTGGGTCTTTAAGATGGTCTGCTTGATTGCTCAGCGGTGGATTTCCCCATCGATTCGGAGAGATGGTTAGAGCAAAACCGTGCTGGCATTGCGCGGATAAATCCATGGCATGACTTTAACCACTACCTCTTGATCTAGTCTGTGCGTTGAGTCTATACATTGACTCCTTCAGCCAGGGTCTCAGCACCGTTCCCCTTATGTTCGTTGCCCCCCCTGTCCTCTCTCCTCTGTCTCCCCCTCCTCATCAGCTCTAGCCTAGCCCCCAAATCAACCTTCATCCCCCTCCTCCTATCCCACCACGGCTTCCTCCCGAACAAGCACACAAACAACTCCAGCCTCCTCTCCCCCCTCACCGGCCCCTCCAGCAGCTCCTTTGGCACATTCAGCAGCGCCTCCTCACCGCCCCAGAACTCGTTCACAAGCCCCACGAACTGCTCCAGCGTGTACGGGTTCCGCTGGCGCGCCACGCGGTTGGCCAGCCGGTTTGATCGGCCCGGCCCGTAGAGGATCCACAGGCGCAGCTGGACGGCTTTGCGGACGGTGGACGGGTCGACGTGGACGCCGCGTTCGCGCAGGAGCTGGAGGGAGCGGAGGCCGAAGTACCAGTGGTGGGCTGGTGCCGGCGTGCTAGATTTCTCGGATTTGGTGCCGGCGGGAGGCTGGAGGGCTAGCGTTTTGAACCCCCATTCTACGATCGCGGACTGCAGGACGGGTCGGAAGATCTGGCGAAGAGGATGGTTGGGGTGGCTGGTTGGAAGTAGGGAGGCATCGACGGGGAACACGGGATGGTTGATAAAGTCGCTGGCGGAGCGGCTTGGCTTCTCCGCTCCGGCAGGAGGTAAGGCAGCAGTGCGGGCGTATTTGGATCGCATCGCAACGGCAGTGGCGGGCGAGTACCATGCGGCGAGCCACAACATCAGGGACCGTAACTCGCTGAGGCGTCCGGTCATCCCAAAGCGGCGAAGAATTTCGCGCCAGCGCCAGGGGGGAAGCTCGCCGTCTGATTCAAGGATGCTGCGCCATATGTTTGTCATAAGGCGAAGATCGTCGAAAGAGTGTACCCACTTCGTAGTTGGACGTTTACTCCGGCTGCGGAGTCTAAGCGTGTGGTGATGAAGACTGTTGAGCGAGTGTTCAGTTATCTGAATCCTATTTATACGCATATCTTCAAGGATGCTGTTGAGCTTCGCTAGTTCCTGACGTCGGCTGTAGCTGCGCAGTAGGATGTTCCAGGACTCGGTTTGGGGATCCGCATGGAAAATCGTAAGGATTGCAAGGGTACGATGGACCTGTTGCCAATCTTCTGCAGCTAGATACGAAGAGAGAAGCTCCTTCTGCTTCGCTCGGTCCTCCAGGACATCCGGGTGTTGGTCAGTTACAAGGAGATCGCTCAGCATATCTGCCCGACCCTCTTGTGCAAATTTGTAAACGGCTCTAGAGAAGACCGTTTGTCCAATCGAAATGCCAGCCCGCTTCAAGTGCTCGATCTTCTGCACTATAGTATACGGGTTGTCGACTCGCGCAGCTAGTTCCCGCAGCGCTAGAGGGCCTAGGGCTTCAATGCCGAACATTCTTAATCCACTAATGACCGCTTCGACTGGGAAAGCTGTCGTAGCAAACAATCGGGCGCAAAGCGCATCATCGATCTGTTTAGGCGCTACAGCGTGAGCTATCCCTAGGAGCCTGTTCATCATCTCGCGCGAGAATCGGCCAGTCGAAGCGCCCTGGTCGTCTTTAGGAGGTCCAATACTAGCGGTGGGATGCGATTCTAGTTGTGCGTTATGCCCCTCCTGGAAAGATTTGTCTCCGCTCCTGTTGCTGCTGGGCGAATGCTCTGTCCCTAGTGCTTTGCTGGGACGATCGTTGTTGCGAATAAGAAACTGATGCCACCTTATAGCAGCGTCGTACTGCTCACGCTGACAGAGCGCGGAAATCAAGGTATCGTAGACGTTTCGATCTTTGCTCTCGAGATAAATGAGTCGAAAAGCTTTTAAAGAGGCTCTACTGTGTGTAGCTGCTTCGGCTACTTTTCGCAGTGCCCCAGGTTCGACTAAGTCAGCAGTAGCCAACCGCTTATGCCATGCAAAAGCGTTTTCGGGGTTCGATCTGAGGGCTTGGCCAACGACCGTCGTGTAAAGCGGTCCGTACACTCGACCCTTGCGCTGACGCAGGTCGGCGGCATATTCGATTATTGGGACCTTGAGTCGTGAATGATTGAGGAATGCCCCCCAGAGAACATCAGCATTGGTCCCATCCGTAGGCAGATCAATCTTCCGCGCTCTGAGACCATCCCAGATATCATGTACCCCGTCGTCTCCGTGTATACGCTGCCGGAACTGCAGCAACACGACCCAAAGCTCATAGTTTTCGCGCCGTTTCGGCTGGTCGACAAGCAGCGTGCTCCCCGGCTTGGGGACCCTAACGTCTGATTGTAGGCGCAGCTTATCCCATGTCGAGGCTTTGCCGACGTTCAAACGACGAACTAATGGAGGGCGAGGGCTCTCTTCGTGAGTCGCAGCGTCCGAGTTATCTCTTAACGGTGCAACGGCGGATACGTGCCTTCTCCCATACGCACGCCGGTGTTTGCGGCTATGGAAGCCATCGCACAGCGCGCAGGAGGATTGTGCATCTGAATCGGCTAGAGCGCGGAGGAGGCGCAGCGCCGAGGGCCTGGCGAGAAGCCTGTCCAACGCCGGTGGCATATACCTGGATGAAAGCGGTTCAATTGGTAGTCTGCCGACATGGCATCTGGAAGCCTTTTCTTTCGAGGGTGTTCAATCTCGAGTGGCTACGGAGAAAAGGCTAGATGAGGAGAATTAGCTCAGTGTGGGGAGCGGTTAGTAGTGCAACTCACAGGGAGATTTTGGACAAGCTCCTTCAATGGCCCGTACGGATTGATGAACCTGCGAGCCACTCACCAGGTGTCTGTCATTGCTTTCCGAGCCTGTGCCATAATTAGTTGCAAGCTCGAAGTTGCGGCTCACGTCTGCTGACTAAGCTTTACCGAAGCTCCTCGTCCGATCCAACCGTCAAGCTTGTCTACATCACCCCAAGAACGACCGTCCACACCAAGACACAGCCAGCACCAAGACTCTTCCAGGAGCGCAACCCTCACAATGCCTGGGTGGGTGTCCTCTGCCCCTACACCGAACATTGGCCCACCTCGACTCTGTCCTTCAGCAACTCCCAGCCCCGGCTCTTACCTGTTACGTCCCTCGTACAGCAAGCCAAGCTAACCTCCGCTGCAGCTTTGTCTACCGCGAGAACCGCGTCCCGCATTACCAACGCCTGTATCAGAAGCACGATGGCAAGAGGCTTTGGTGGAAGGTCAGGCCCCAATTCGACCCTGCGAACTCCGCACCTCCCTCCCGCGCTCGGAAAGAGTGACTCGCTCGGACGGCTTGCGGATATTCCAGCTGGGCCATGGGATGTATAATGGATTGAGGCTGACGGGTATACAGAGCCCGCGCAGCAAGTTCATCATGTATCCGTACTTGGTGATGCTGTGGGGAGGCTTTGGCGGTATGTCTTGCAACTCTGTTGGCCCACTTGTTGGACCTTCGCTGCTTTGTGAATCCGATTGTGGGCATGATGCTGACGCGGGTCCTTTTTGTGCAGCCTCGATGTACGCCATGGGTCGTCTTGTCATGGTAGGTTTCCGTGCCTGCACCTCTGAAGAGAGTTGCATTCCAACGTTGCCTCTCAGTTCATCTGCTGACTTTCATTCAAAGGGCCACAAGACGTGGTGGGGAAAGGGATAGAGGTCAATGCGAAGTGGAGCGCGTATGCGGATAAGTTTCCGGCTGCAGTTTGACCAATGTATCTACCACCACGAAACAAGCAGCCTTAGTACCCTGATTTCTCCAAGACGTGTACTGCTCCCATTTGAACTCTTAAACTTCTTCAGTGGTCTGTGTTCCATCGCTCGCTTCCGTTCGTTTAATTCCTTGACTCGCAATGGCTTAATTCCGTTACGTTTTCGAGCAAATGAAAGGTGGAATCGCAGTAAAATCCACGCACTGAACACGAGTGCTCCCACTCTAATGAGACCCCACATGCTGAGAACCTCATGGTTCACCAATACACATGGAACTTTACCATGATTATCTTCCCATTTTAAGCATGGCATGCCGACGAGTGGTGCATGAGAGAGCAACTTAGCCTATATAGCCGAGTACAGGGCGCCTATATGGAGTTCCCAACGCATATGGTAGGGCATCACCACACAGAAAGTGTCGCGTACGTATGTGCGAGTGCCGAACGATAGAACTGTAGCTCCAGAAATTGGGGTAGCGGCCAAGTCGAGTGGACAGACCCTATCCCGAGGTCTAACAACTGATGGCCACATTCCGACGTTAGTTCTCACGCAGCCCTTCAGCCGGGTCGTGCTGGCCGCACAAGACTCACACAGTCGGCATAGCGGAGATTAGAACGGTATCGAAAGTTCAAATCGTCGTTCACACGGAAGGTGCAGTTTCAAGAACGAGCGAGTAGCAGCAACACAGATAGACTCCATGCTAAGTGTGCGGGAGTAGAAGGCCGCGCAAGCCTAAAATGTCGCATGATTCTTATTGTCAGCGTCCAGCTTCTCCAGAAACCTCAGCACACTATCATCCCGCTGCATCTTCTCTTCGTTCACCTGCTGTTCCTTCGTCAAGACATGCTGCCATGCCTCGCTGCAGTACTTGATCAGCTCCCTCTCGGCCTGGAGAAGTTTCCGGCCAGCTTCATGCTTAGGTATGCTGGCCACTCGCGGGATCACAAACTCCGGGATTTCGATCGACAGATTCTCCTCTCCATCTCAAAGGACCCTGCGGTTGACGAAGTTCCAGACGCGCTGGTGGAAGCAGAGGTTCGTGGGGTGGTACGTCTTCTTCCACGTGCAGCCCTTCCCTTCTCCCGCCTTTTCGTTGCGCTCGCGAGAGAAGCCTTTGAGCATGTTTGGCTGGAATTTGCCGCCTCATCTCCCTTGTTGGATGAGGTGTTCCACAACCAGGTGCATGCACTCCTTGGTCAGATCAACAGTGGTATACACGCCAGGGGCACCGCTCTGTTTATCGACAGGTGGTTTGGGATTAGGATACGCGCCCGGCCTTCTGTCCTCTTCGCCCGCAGCCCTATCTTCAATCCCGTCGTAGCTGTCAATAAACAGCCCGGTTTCCCAGCCGGCTTTGCGCTTCTCGTTCGGCTTCGTTTTGCCATCGGCGGCAAGAACCTTGGCAGTGGCTAGCGAGTAGCTCCGAATGGTACCCATGATGTTCATGGGGTTGAAATCGAGGAACGGCTGGCATCAATCGACCATTCAGGCGAAGGTGATGTTTGCCATGCCTTCGAGGTCGCCCAGCCGCTTCTTTGAGTGAGTCTTCGCTGCCGCCTCCGATGTTGACATGCACACCGGGAAACCAGTATTGGATCAGGTTCGTGTTGCCGATGACCTTAGCCTGCTTGTCGATCGGCAGCCACCAAAGCGTTAGTGCGAAGGGCTTACGCCTTTCTTCAAGAGCCAGAGCGTGGAAGGCGTTCTCGATCTCGGGAACTTGTCGGTATGTGTGCAAGTGTTTTACGGAAGCCGACCTACGCGGATGAATATCCGTATTTTGAAACCCATGCGGCGCATTCACATCCGAGACATCCCTCCACGCGTTATCAGGATACCCCAGGCTGCCCGCCGTATCCCACACACCAACCACCTTGATCTTAACATCATTGCTGCACGTACTCAGCTACACATGCCCGCCGCCTTTGCGGAACTTGAGAGGTTTCGCGTCCTCGCCCTCTTTGGAGCTCTCAAAGTACTGCCCCTCCTCTTCCGGGGGCGGTAATCTTCCCCACTCCGTCTCCTCCAGTGATCCAGTGGAGCCGATCGTCTGGTACATGGTCCACATCTCCCGGAAGTAGCTCATGGTCGTCAGCTGGCAGATACCGCACGGCAGACCAGGCCGGCCGTTGCGCGGACGGTGCAGGCGCCGCGCGAGAAGCCGAAGAAGCAGAGTTCGTCGCCCAGCGAGTAATTACTAACAAGAAAATTATACGCTTCGCAGACGTTTTGGTCGGGGCCGTAGCCGAGTGCAGCTATTCTTAATTAACCACCCTGATAGTCGAGAAACGGGGCACACGGTGATAAGTGAGAAGTGTTTACCGTAATACAGTCGGCTCAGCTTCCCCATCCCCGTCCCGACCCCGGCGTCGTATTACACGATCTGCGGCGCCCAGTTCCTGTCAGAGTCCTTGTGTCATTTTACGAACAAGCGCGAGATCTTGGTGATGTTAGAGGGGTCGGCGTTGGTGCCGTGGGCGGAGGACTGCCAGGTCCCGTCGCAGCAGACCATGATGCGTTTTTTTTTTTGGGTTTGGGCTTGTCTTGAACTGCCGTTCTGGATGGAGTATACTTGAGTGGTTGCTATTGGAGCTTGGGATAGCGACGATGGGGGCTATCTTTCCGTTTATGTAGCTGTTGAGATTACCGCATAGCTGCTCAGCTCGTTACCATCATAAGTCCAGAGGTAGATTTCAAACTGAGACCAGTGCGGAGCTATTGAAGCTGTTTCATAGACATGATATTTGGCGCCTCCGTGTGGGGTTGCCCCATCTCTTAACTGGCCAAGTTGGGATGCGGCTGGGGTTTCGTCGCGGGGTTCAGCTCAGCTATAAGGGCCGAGAACTTCAGACAGTGCCGAATTAAGATATGGCGCGTTAAGGAGTCCTAGACTCGAACGTTTCGGGTCTCAGGTGGTTCATATTAGCGTCGGCGGTGTGCACATCTTGTCGTATAGTACATGCGGCTCAGCCAGCCCCAGGTGTGAGTCCCCTGCAGTCGGATACGCTAGGGCTCGGGCGGGCCGGGCACTAGCGCCAGCTTGGAGCCCTGGGTGTGTTGCAGCAGATCTGGCAATCTTGGCTTGAAGGTGGGGCATGTGAAGAGATTATTGAGCGTTGTGGAGCTATTCGTTCCAGCTGATATCTGGTACAGCCTTGTTTTCGTTGCGTTGGGCCGTTCCTGTGGCTTACCTGTCATCGGGTGTCAGACGGATCTTGCCGGTTGTCAGTCGCGATGCTGAGGAAAGAGCGGAGTAGGTCTGGATAGCCTCGGAGCTGGCTAGTCGGAAGGTTATGGTGCCTGTACGTCTTCTAAATGTTGGATGTTTCACGGAGAGGCTGTAGACTAGGTGCAATAACGGAGGCGATTGGCCTTCCGGAGATAGGGCCGTAGAGTGAGCTGAGGTTAGGACTGCGTATCCACAGTTCTAAGCTGAGGTGGCTGCTGTAGTCGCCGTGTGGGGCATCCAACTCCTGAGATGCCGGCCGCCGAACATGTCTTGGCCAAGGAGAAGTGAAGTGTCGAGGGGGTTTCACCTGGCCTTCCTCGTATCGAAACAGCGCAGGAGTCCATCCAATACAGGTACACACCCGGTGACTTACAAGCGCCTGTGTAAGTGGGTCATCCTGGTTAAAGCATCGAAGACTGTCTGTGGTCCCTGCAAAAACGTAAACATAAGTAGATTTATGGCGTGCACGGTTGTAGCTGGCTCATGTTCTGACAGCGTTATTCGGCTGTCTGAGCAGTAAATTATTGCGAGATACGGCAAGATTGGAGGACTTGATAAATTGAGAATTGCTAAATGCTCTTGTCCGGATGCTCGTAAATGCCAGTAGAGACTGATAGCTGCAAAGAGCACGGTCCCTGTATTGCGCGTAGGCGACAAGCACGAAATGGTAAAGCAACATAGCGCCATGCAAGAAAGGTAAGAAAGACGACGAGTCCTTGCGGCCGTAAGTGTAGAACCCAGTGAGAGCGCCGTGCAAATGTACCAAGTATGAGAAGCTCAGGAAAGAAACGCTCCATGCATCAGCGCATGCACCGTGTCAGCATCAGCAGACTCGAAGCGCAGCTCAAAGCGGACAGAGGAAAGGCTCGGGTAAACACCATCATGTGACAGACAGCCAGCCAAGCGCGATAAGGAACCCGCGAAACCTTGCAAGCATGCCTACGTATCCTCCCATCCAATAAGCCGTGACACGTGAGATTGAGATGATCCGGCACAGCTCCTGCTTTTCCCGTGCTTTATCGCTAAAGCACAAACCGCGAATGCCCGCCCAGATGGCGCCCAATAAGCGAAGAACAAACGGAAAAGGACAAGGAAAACTGGACAAACTCCTCTCTGAAGACGAAAAGAAGCTGCGCAAAGGGGTATTCGTCGCTGTATGCGTGTTGAACACGAGATGATGCACCCCATCGTACAGGAATAGCTGATCCACCGACATGATAGCGCCGTGGTCCATGCCCCATACCATGACGAAAGAAAAGATCAGAACACCGCGCAATGTGTGGGAACGACAGGTATAGTGCATTTATGACGAACAAGAGGAGATAGAAACAAGATAACCGTGACGCACGACGAGACGAAACGAAACTCCAGGACTCCCGCTTCGCAGTACGTGAAGGAACATGATTTAGAAACCCTGATCGAATGCTAGGAAAGTCTGTATGGATTATGCTTCTAGCGATGCTTGAAAAGAAACCGGAAACTTAACGCTCGAAGGAGTGTTGTGGTCGCAGTTAATGCGAGATGAAAACTGGATGCGTGAAAAGCTATTCTGGGCGAGGTCCTTGTTATTAGCCTCTCGCTGCTGACACCAGGAGCTTGGCTGAGCGATCGACCTTCGGTGCATCATCTTCCCATCATATAGTCGGCATAGCCGCCCATTCCACCGTAGCCGCCGCCTCCTGCAGAGTTGGCAGCAGAGCCACTCGACATCGCCTGCGCTCTTATCGGCATACCAGCGCCAGGCATACCAAACCCACCGTTGGCAAACGTACCGAAGCTCGTGTTTGCGCCCATACTGGCAGGTGAAGCGAGACCAGGCGGTGCTAAGCCCGGCGGTGGACCAGTCGCGGTGGCGAACCCTGGTGGGGAACCTAGGCCGCTGCCCATGCCAGGCGAGAACTGCTGAGGAGTCATTGGGGTCGGCGGCATGCTGCCATTCTGACCGGTCCGAACTCCGAGGGGGTTCTTTGAGAAGCTTAGCCTGATGCCGCCTTTGACACTGTTGTGAAGCGGATGTCCGTAGAGTTCGTTTAGTGCCTTTGTTGCGAATGACACATCTTCAAATTCGACGAAGCACATGGGCCCATTCTGCTTAGTCCTGAAACACAGACGCTTGTAGCCTCGCTGTTTCGAGAACATTGCCTTGAGCTCGTCTTCTGACGTGTCAATCGGCAAGTTTCCGACGTAAAGCGTGTTGCAAGGTGGATTTTGGTCGGCTGGATTGACAGGAGGATAATTGTGTCGCTGGTAATGCTGTGGCGTCAACTGGTAGTTGGCATTGGGGCCCATGTTGCTCATTGCCGACGCCATACCGTGTTGGGACATGGGAGACATGGCGGAGCTAGCGGGCGATTGCACGGATCCGACAGTCCGGGGAGATGCGAAGCTTGAAAGCGATGGGGATGCTATGCCAGGGCTATTGCTGTTACTTGTGCCAGTTGGGAGACCAGCGAAGCGACTCACGGGCAACTGGGGATTTGTTGTGCGCCGCTGCAGAGTGGACTGGCCGCTTTTCGCGTAAGCCACTGGGTCTTTGAGCAGCTCATCATCATCGCCAGCATCGTCGTTGATGACTGACTTGCCGCTCACACGAGGCCGTTCTCCGAAAGAGGTGCCGATCGGCGATTGGGGCGAGAAGAGGGTCTGGACGTGCAGACCGGCTTCTGGGACCGAAAAGACGCCGTTGCCAAGACCTGGGGTCCCGTTGGGTGGAGACATCTTCTCCATCGACTGAAATGTCCCATTGTATCGCGATGATTGTCGGTTGCTGTAACCATTATTGACCGACGTTCCTGAAGATGTGGTTGAGTTTGAGCCATGGCGGTTCGAGGTTCCGTCAACCGTGTTCCTTCTTGTCCCGATGGGCCCAACTGCAGCACTCTGGATTACTTCAACAATTAGATTCGCGTCATTTGCCGAATTAACTTTCCCGTTAAGCCTCTCCCTCGCTTCGTGTGCGCCAGTCGTGGTTTTGAACCGTGCGACAGCGGTTACGAAGCCGGCATCTTCTGGGTTGTCCGACGGCACAAAGTCCGCATCGAGAAAGTCTTTCGCAAATATGAGTAAACTCCGGAGTGCTTCTTTTCCTGTGCTGCGAGGCAGCTTCCGTACGAGGATAGTCGGTGTTTCTTTCGTGTCGAGGTTGCTGAATGACGTCTCCAGCTCGCCAAGGTATCTTGACTCTGCACTCCTCTACAGCGGGTTAGCTCAGCTCTAGTTTTGTAGGTTCAGGTTCCAATGCGATTGGCATGTGGTGCGCCGAAGGAACGCGTTGTTAGAGGAACACCTTTCGTTGCGGCGCATCTCAAGAGATTCAGACTGACAATCTCTAAAGCGTATATGGCGCCGCGCGGGTGGCTTACCGAACTTGATATGAACGAGGATGAGCCCTTTTCCAGCGGCTTTCTTTCTGCAGTCGGCGAAAGGCCGTACGTGTGCGACAAGTCGCTTGGCCCCCTGGTGAATATTGCTGCAGTCATGGCTTGTTGTGATGTATAGGGCATCGGCGGAGACGCCGAGCTGGAACTACTGAAGGATCCGTGGCTGGCAGACAAAGCGGAAGGACTCGTGCTGTTGGGACTCGGCCCGCTGGCCATGCCTCGCTTTGTGCGATGTCTGAGCTGAGGTCTGAGACAAAGACAAACCGCGCGCTCGGATCGAACGGTCGATATGCGGCACCGCAGAGAGTACGCTGGCTATGAATCTGCCAGTTGCGAGATCTATAAACAATGCGAATCCGACAGGCCAGAGAGCCTTTAGCGAACAGCGATCGGAGAGGGCCTCGTCGAGTGGTTGCGACACCGAACCGCGTCGCTCCGCGTAGACGGTGTTGAGTGGCCTAAAGAGGCAGACCCTCAATAGAAGTCCTTGGCGCGCCGAGGTCTTGATATACTGCTGTCGGAGTCGCAGAACGTAACTTGCTTCTTCAAGTGCGCTGAACCGCGACGGAGAGGCGGATCGGCAAAGTACTCGAGTGGTGGCTAGGAAATCGGACAGCGGATAAGATGCGAGTGTAGGCGGACGCTAGCCGTCGACAGGCTTGATCGGGATTGGAGTAGGCGGTCGAAATAATTAAACGATTGGCGCGATCGGTAGAGCAGACGGAGTGAAGCCAATGGCCTGGAGAGATGTCGCGGCAGAAGAAACGGTGGGTGGACTCGAGGGGATAGTTGGCAGACTCGATAGGCCTTGCGCGACAACCTGCACCGCAACGGATTCTATTGGGAGAGTGGTGCGGCTCGGCCAGTGATAAGCGGCCTGCAGCGCGGTAGGCTGACGTGGAGATGATGAATGGTTGTGGTTCGCTGAGAACGGAGGGCGGCACGCATCGAGAGCAGAGCAAAGTGCGCCAGGCGTGCGGAGGAGAAAGTGGGAGGTTGAGGAGGCAGTGAGCGGGCTCGACAGGCACCGGAGACGTATCAGGCGTAGAGGGCTGCGCTTGAGCAACGGCCTGCGAACTGCGGCGGAGAGACACTCGAGCAGACCGGGTACTCCCAGCCACTTGCGCGATGCGGTCAGGGCACAGCACTGCCCTACTGCAATGGCTGCACGGTGCACAGCTCGACTTCCAGTGGCGGCGGGGACAAAGAAGGGTGCTTAAGATACCTGCTGCGAATGCTGCGAATGCTGCGACCGTTGCGACCGTTGCGACCTTCGGGCGGTGGTGTGAAGCTACATTGCCGGGGCAGAAGAGCGTTATCAACCTCAGTCGGGCGTCGACGGGCAAGCGCAAGTTCTTCGAGTCCAAAGCGTCAGAGGGATGGCTCGTTTTGGCGTCGTTCCCCTCGTTCTGCCGGCGCCCCAGGACGAGCGTCCATCTTCCTTCTGTGGCCCGTGTTTGCGCCCCCAGACACCGGCCCTGCTACTGGTCGGGCTTGGCCTCAGCTCTGCAAGAGAATGTGAAGCGCCAGAGGGAGAGGCGTGGGGATCCTCGTCGGCGTCGCTGCACAAGCCGGCGGGACACTGCCCTCCACCACTCCAGCAGGCTGCTGACTCGCACAGCGGTCGCAGTTGGAGCAGAGGTACAGGTGGAATGCTACCTGTCCGTTTCAACACCCGTGTACCGCCATGTGTCGTCGCTGCTGTGCTCAGTACCCCGTGCAAGGTGGTGCCGCCGCCGCCTAAGAGGGCTGCATGTCTGCAGCGGCATTTTTCGAGACAAGTCCAGTTGCACCGCGTGCTGACTCCCGCAAACCGGAGCGCCAGCGGCCTTAGTGTCTCCCAAGCCATCGCGTTCCTCAAGGCCGGTCTTGCCTTTTACTCACTGGAAGTGCCTAAGGCGCATCCTAGAAGTCCCAGACCAACGGCCAGCGAGTCGGCTGTGATACCAGGTGCCGCCTGTCGTCGCCCACGGGTGCGATGCTCGCGTAGGGACGTTGACAGGCCTTCATCACGGTCACGGGGACAGCCATGAGGATAAGCTCTGGTTAGACTTCACGCCGCTCCAAGCCTTAGGACGCAGATCCATGAACTACTGGAGCTTGGAGAGAAACACTGTGGATAGTCGGTATGCTGAATTCACCATCCGACTGGCTATGGCTCACTCAACCTTCTGCCATCCTGACAAACAACGCTGTCCCACAGTCTCTTCGTAGAACTTGCGCCTGTGATGGACCAGGCTGTACCGCGACGACCACGCCGCCTGCTGTGCCCGTCACTGCGAATGCGCCAATGTCTTCGCTTCAACACCCAAGACATCGACCGATTTGGCTCTATCCGCTGGCGAGGCCCGACTGCCCAGAATAATCAATGTGTTCTACCAACACAGGCAGGCTAATATCCTCTGCTTCACATTGTTCAGATATCTCCGAAATCTTAAGCGTCCGTGCTTCGCAATTGCGCGCTTCGAGCAACAGAATACCGCCACGTGACTTCCTCCTGTCATCCTCATCCATGCGTCCATCATCGCCAATCGTGCCGTTCATTTACTCATGCGGCCGGAAAGTTTATTCGCCAGGGGTCAAAACACCAGCTTTTTTGGTGGTGAGGTCGTTCAACCAGCTGCAATCGTTCAACACATCATGAATTAACGCTGTAATATGACAGAACTGCTTTCGGTAGATTGCGCTTTAAGTTAAAGTAGTTTTTTATAGTTTTTATCAGCGCTGTTATGGTATTCAATAAGATTGAAGCTGTTGAGCTTATGGTGCACGATGAGTTAAACCGGACTTCAAGCGTTCTACTACCGCTTACCGCCCTCTTGGCAACCGAATAAACTTTCCGACGGCATGAGTATGAATCCGAGCCACCTCGCAGCGCACGTCCAAGCATAGTACTGCCTGAAGCTGACAACACCATGGGACGAGCTCCATTGCAACTCAGTCGCACGACGGCAGCGGAATCTTCTGCTCGAGCTACGTTTCGTACAACTAGCACTTGTCGTGCTCTCTCCCGCCACGCGTTCAAGATACGGGTGCCGCGGGGGCAGCCACGAGCTATCAATCCGACTTGGGGAGCAAGCAAAGAGGAACCACAAGCCGGGTGCACCCAGGCATTGCCCCTGTGAAACCTCCCCGGTTATCGATCCGCGATCCTGAATTCTCTTCCCCCCCTTCGTTGGCTCAGATTTCGAATGCTCACAAGTTTCACAGCCAATGCAAACTCCGTAGCCACCTCCTCTTGTGGTTAGAGCACGTCGTGTAACAGCGACCAATGGGATCCAAACATTCCCACTTCCGCGAGGCCGTTTTCCGTCACTTGATCACGATGCCGCAAGGGCTCCGAATCGCAGCTATGAAAGGATGGGAAGCTGCTCCATCTTCGTGCTTCCGCGTGCCAGAAGGAGTTTTGCCACACGAGGACCCCGCTGCCTGATAGTAGCCGTTCTACGGTGTTTAGTCTTTGGGACTTCAACCAAACTACGATATACATACTCTGCAACTTCCTGATCGTTGACAAACATATCATGAACCTCGTTGTCGCGGAACTCAAGTCCTTCCGCTGCAGCTTACCGTCACCTCCTGCACTTCAAGCTTGCACGTTGTTGCGCCCCGTCCACGGCATGGACTGCAAGGTAAGGGGAACCTTGGATGCGGGGCACGTCACGCGGGAAATAAACTTCACCGCGGCAGCAGTCCAGCGCCCGTTCACCGTCAATTTCACAGAGATATCCACGATCAGCCGCTGTAGCAAACCTAAAGAGTGACCGATAGGAGGACAAGCCTTTAGTGAGCTATCTAGACCTTACTATAAAACAGTGAACGGATAACAAAAGGAGCTTTGTTATTGATGCAGCTCTGGGTTTCTGCATTCCCGGTGAGACCTTTTCCCCGTCCGGCATGGCGGGACCGGCTGTCGGACATCATGACTATCCAAGTCAAAACCTAATCCCAAGTCTTTCATTTTCAATGAACAGTCCGTTGAGGAGCATGCGAGTGTGGCCCCGCATCAAATTCAAATCTCTTTTCTGGCCGCCAAGAAGTCTAGAATGATTTGAACAAGTGCCTTGGGCGCTGTGGTGATTAACCGTGTACTCTATCGCGAAGTCCTCGTAGTATATCTAGGCTACTGATAATTCCGATGGCTGGGTCCTCCGCGTTAGGGGTAGCTCGGATGTCCATCCTGCAAATGTCGCCATCGCGTCGGGTGAGATGCTCCTAATACTTCCAACAGATTTCAACCATGCGTCTGTCTCAGGACTTGTTTCGTTCTCTTTCAAATCCACCCGTCCCTGTGTGTTCGTTTGCTCTATGTTCACTATTGTGTCTTCAGCTCTCTTGTCCTTGCCATACAGTTTGCGGCAAGCCACTTCGAGTCCAAGACTCCTTCCGTGCTGGCGCTGAGGAGCACCGCAGTAAAAGCTTAGCCGATAATCCCCAGCAGTGCTTGATAATTGTCACTTCTCCTATTTGTTTCACGATGCTCATCGTAAGAAGTCAGAGGTTTCACTGGTGTGGACATCTGCCTCATTGGACTTTGGCCTCCGTAATCTCAATAATGCCGACTGGACTCATGGACAACAGGTTTGCAGCTGCACGATACATCTGCGTCTATCTATGATAACAAGCGGCGGATGATGATAGTTTCACAGAAGCAGAAGGCTCGCTCAACTCCACTTGTGACTAAGAAGTCCCTTACCGTGAGTATCCCTGGTTTGGAGAAGCTTCTCTCCACCATTCTATAATCCCCTCCTCTCGCGAAACTCTCCGAGGCAGCCAACACAGTGCTAAGCAGATTAAACATCCTCAAAATTATTTCCAAGACTCCGAAGCCGCCGTTGAGGTCCCCCGATGCTCTCGGCACCAAGCGTTCAGGTCAGGTACCAGCCGCTACCTACTAGTACGTCCTCCTTTACGCAAATCAACACACAGCTCTCCACTCCGCTTCCTCCCGTTCTCCCTCACCCACCCCTCAACCACCTCCTCACTCACCCCCCTCACAAGCACATGCACGTGATCAATCCCCCTAACACTCTGCAGCCCCGTCGGATTCTTGAACCACAGCACCTTACTCCCCATCTCCCCGTCCTCCTCCCCAGCCCCCTTCCGAAACACCCTCGTCACAAACTCCTCCACCATTTCCCGACTCCGGCGCGTCAGGTCCCCCGTATCCGGCGTTGTCGGAATCGGCGTCTTGAGCCACACGACCAGATGCACGATCCCATCCTCCAGTCCGTAGGGCCAGTCGTTCCGCAGGATCTTGTAGTCGCGGGCGTCGGCGAAGGGAATCTCGTTCATAAACTCGAATTGCGGGCCCGCTTCGGGGTCGACAGAGGGCAGGAGGATCCAGCGCAGGCGCTCTTGTAGGAGGAAGGCCGTGGTGCTGCCGTAGGCGACGCGGGTGGAGGCGGACCAGGAGAGGTAGCGCCGCAGGTCGCTGGGGTAGCGCAGGAGGTCTTCAAGCCGGTTCTCGGAGATGATGGAGGCGAGGGAAGACCAGCCGTGAGGGGTAAAGGTGCTGTCGTCTGCTTCGAGTTGCTGGCGGTCGCGGGCTGTGAGGTTGAAAGCTGGAGCTTCGGGAGGTTGGGATTCGGGCTGCCGCACGGAAGCCGTCTCTGGAGGTTTTGTTGGCGTTGTAAGGTCACTCCCAGCGTGGGTTGCTGGCGGAGTTTGCTTGCTTTGACTGCTGTCGTTTATCATGATGGTGCGGTTGAGTGCCTATCCGTATCGAAAGAAGTAGTGACTTGTAGACGACTGAGCAGCCGCTTCCCGAAGCGGAGCTTTCTGCGATATCCGGTGCTCAGAGGCGGCTCTTTCCCTCTGACGGTAGCTTAATGCACAGTCTCTACTCTATTCCTCAAAGCGTTGGACACGCTCCTCGGGATCAGCCAGTGATTGATGCCCTCCTTTTGTCTTCAGTGGCTGCCCAACACAATCATTCACGGGCGGTACTCAATCTGGGTATGCGGAGACTTGGACTTTAGGGAATAAGAACTCGACAGCGTAAGACAAACAACACGAGCTCGTCCGCTATACACGTAGACGCGTAGAAAGTACACTTTGATCCAGCAACTACGAATATCTCAGGCATCGATCTATGACGGATCAAGTTGCCTCAAACGGACGCCGTTGTCACTTCGCAGAAATGGCGGAACGGAGCCGCCAGATCGGGGCAAGGCCGCCCTCACAAGCTTCTGGACGAGGGGCAGGGATCAGAGTTTCCCCACGTTCAGGGAATTTTGTCGGCAAATGCAACATTTCCAGAAGCACAATTCAACCGTTCTCAACGCCACATAAAGAGCATCGTCGCCCCGATTGAACGCTTCTGAAAGCTCAAGAGCAAGCTCGTCGCCGACAGAATCAAGCTGAGCAGCTTCAACCCGCCTTTTCCACGTTCTGAGCTTCTCCCACCACCGCCAGCTTCTCACCACAGATTCGACGGGTGGAGAGCACAATGTCGGCTCACACCGTCAGACCGACGTCGTACCTCGCGCCGCAGTACATAAATGGCGTATACATACCTTCCGCGCTCCTGATCGTCGGCTGCGCGATCGTCAAGAAAGAATGGCTGCCCTTCGCCGTGCTGCTGGCAGCCATATTAGGCGGGTGGAAGGTGTACAACAACCGTAAGCCCGGGCATCACGTTCTCAGTGGTCGAGGCGGAGGGCTGACTGCATGATCCTACAGAAGCAAGAAAAGTGCTCAAGCCAAACGAGTTCCAGGAGTTCGAGCTCAAGGAGAAGACGATAATATCCCACAACGTCGCCATGTGAGCCCCCCCAACGCGCCGCCGCCATATCTCCTCGCATGACTGACACGACATAGCTACCGCTTCGGTCTCCCCCGCCCAATCGACATCCTCGGCCTCCCAATCGGCCAGCACATCTCCGTCGCAGCCACCATAGCCGGCCAGCCCAAAGAAGTCGTGCGCAGCTACACGCCCATCTCCTCGGACGAGAACTCCGGCTACTTCGACCTGCTCATCAAATCCTACCCGACCGGCAACATCAGCAAGCACATGGCCTCCTTGATGGTCGGCCAGGCCATGAAAGTCAAAGGCCCGAAAGGCGCAATGGTATACACGCCCAACATGGTCAGGCATCTCGGCATGATCGCCGGCGGGACGGGCATCACGCCGATGCTGCAGGTTGTCAAGGCGATTATTAGGGGGAGACCCCGGAACGGCGGCACGGATCGCACAGAGGTGGATCTGATCTTCGCGAACGTGAATCCGGAGGACATCCTGCTGAAGGAGGATCTAGACGCGCTGGCGAAGGAGGATGAGGGCTTCAGGGTGCATTATGTGCTCAACAACCCGCCGGAGAAGTGGGATGGTGGCGTGGGGTTCGTCACGCCGGATATCATCAAGGTATGGCCACCGCGAAAAGGGTTGGCGGCTGAGGATATATGGCAGTGTGCTGACATGGAGTGCAGGCTAAGCTACCGGCCCCGGCAAAGGACATCAAGATCCTGATTTGCGGTCCCCCGCCTATGGTCAGCGCCATGAAGAAGGCTACGGAGTCGCTGGGTTATGACAAGCCGAGGCCCGTCAGCAAGCTTGAGGATCAGGTGTTCTGCTTCTAAGGGGGTTTCAAGTGGTGGTAGAGGGAGTGGGGGTAGACAATTCGATTGGAATGACCTATGAGACAAGAAGAAGACGAGAATCGCATCTGACGGCGTAGGAGACTGGTTTTGGTCTGTCGATATACGTTCGTGAGCGAGCATTTGTGAACGTAGAGTATATACGGGTTGGATTCACAATGCTGCGATGGCGCCGATGGGGAGTCTCATGCAAGAAGAGTTCAGCACAATCACGATGCATTTCCAGAAGGAAGTGTTCTTCTCGATACAAGTAGAAGCTAAAAGACAATAATCGCATTTATGCCATCCAACGGTGCTTCGTGCTTCGTTGCGAAGAAGCTTGACGTGACAAAAAGGGTTTAGCGCGTCGAGCACCTCCAGCAGAAAATGTTCCTGAGCGACCATCACCACGTCGAAGCAACCAGCCAAGGGCCACACGCACACCGACCGACCTTTTCCATCCACCGCTCCTCCGTCACTCACCCGCATGTAGTCGCCTCGATCATCTAAACGCCCACAATGCCACCCCGAATACGATCGCCAGCCCTCCCATCCTGCATCAGCTCCTACACTCCATCCGCCCGCTTCCAGTGCCCCCATCATCCCAGCCCCCAGACCCGCCCCTTCTCCAACTCCACCCCTCGCGCATCCCGCCTCCGCCGCCGCATGTTCGCCTGGCTCCAAGGCCCCGGCCGCGCCTTCAAAGAGCCGCTCCCAGGCTCAACAAACTACCTAGGCGCCTACGACAGATCAGGCGCCCTGATCCGCGGGCGTGGTCTCGAGCGGCGCGCCCAGGGCCAGCGGGAAGAAGGCAAGCACGCCAGCGACGGCGCCGAGGACGAGGCTGTGGGCGTGGATGCGCTAAGCGAAGAGAAGGAGAGGCTGGAGAGGGAGGCCAAGGAGAAGAGGGAGGGGGAACTGCCGCCGGAGACGCTGGAGGATCTGAGGCCGTTCCCGCTCAATAGGGAGTTTAGGAGCCAGGCGGTGCTGAGTGAGGAGTTGAGGGAGGCGATTTGGGAGAGGGTTGTTAAGGGCGGAGAGAGTGTTAGGGGGGTTAGTGCTGCGCTGGGGGTGGCGATGGAGAGGGTTGCGGCGGTGGTTAGGCTCAAAGAGGTGGAGAGGGAGTGGGTGAAGAAAGTGAGTCTCTGAACATATATTCCTCTTTTCACATCACTCCCTTTTGCGACTCGCATGATGAGAAAAACAAAAATTCGATTAGTCTTTAAGACACCCACATGGTTACACGTTTCAATACCTCTGATTTCAATCTCCACTCCACTCCAACTCGTCTCCGGCCTTTCTCACAACCTCGTACGCGCATCCGACTAACCAGAGCAATGTCGGCGACACAGAACAAGCCCCTCGCCCTTCCCTATGCCCGCGCCGTCCTCGCCATGCTCCCCCAAACCCCCCTCGACACGCGCATCAAGCCGCGCGCGCACGAATCCATCAACGACCTACCCGTGCACCAAGCCACAACAACGCAGCTCTTCCACCCCGTCTCCGAGTCCCGGCATTTCACCCGCGTGGACGCCGGTCTAGTCTTCGACTCCCGCCTCCCGCTCCTTCCCGCCGACGCGCGCATCCCGCACCCAGAGCTCGTGGCGCAGGCAAGTATGACGCGGACGCAGGCCGTGGAGGCGCAGAAGGCGCTGGACGAGAAGGAGAAGGAGGAGAGGAAGCAAAGAGAGGAGAAGAGGAAGAAGAGGGAGGCGAGGGATAAGGTTGTCCAGGGACGGAGGTGGGATTTTGTGTTCCACGAGGTTAGTGTTGAGAGTGTTGGGGAGGATGGAAGGAGTGCGAGGGGCGTGGGGTGGAGGTATGGGTTCCCGCATGAGGATAGGAAGAGGGGGCAGGTTAAAATCCCGAGGAGGGTGGAGGCGTAGGTGTTGTTTCTTGTTGGGTGTTGATGAGTGGAAGGGGGCGACTCTGTCTTTAGGAGGGGTTAGAGGCAAGCTGGTCGACGGCGCCCTGTAACATACTCTGTACTATCATGGTGTATCATATCCGTAGAAGTACAACTGGATGAAGAGACTACCTGGGAACGGGTCTCAACCGCTCTTAACATAGAGACAGCATAAGTCCTCCTGTACTATATTCGTCTACGCAGCTCTGCTTTCAAATGCCGCAACAACCCCCAACAAAAAGAAGCAGTCGATCCTGATGGACTTAGCAAGCACGGCAAAAGAGTCAACAACCGGAGAAGGTTATAAGCATCTGGATTCCAGCCACAATGCCGAGAACAAACACAACGGCCAAGAGAACATATCCAATGACATGCAGCATGAACAACGGTATCAATACAGTTCGAAAGCCATTCTACGCAAAGAAGCAGTCGGAGCCATCAACCCCCATTTACGGAAAAACGTACAGAACCAGATCTGTGAATCAATGTATTTCTGCACGCGAATACTATAGCAAGACGTTAGAAAGCCAGCTTTTACTAATATGGCGCGGCCCCATAACCTAAGACAACGGGAACGCAACAACTTCGTAAAGGAGTTGTCCCTGAGGAGGATGTTTCCAGCACAACGTGACGTGGATGAGTCTTAGCCATGGCGCGTGTATTGCTTTCCTGCTGACAGACCAGCCTCGTGAAGACTAGTCTCTGGCTGCTTCCGGTTTCAAATTGCCATAGCGGCTGGGCATAAAAACCCGGGGATAGTGCTGAGGCCTCACCGAAGACAAGGGATATGGATGGTGTTCTGCAGCAGGATCTGGCGCAGATGATGATAACAGGACTCAAAGATGAAGCGGCTCTCCGTCGAACCGCTCCCGTGGAACTTCCTGATACTCGTCCAATGCCTGGCGGCCGGCACTCGTAACAAGGATCTTTGATGGATGGGCGGGCTCTCGCGCATTTGTGGTCGAGATCAGATGCGTCGTCTGTTGTTGGGAGGCTGTGAGTGTGTGTACTCTGGGACCAGTGGCTGCTTCACCCCGTCTCGTAGCCTTCCACTCAAACGTGGTCCGGATTCAGCAGTCCGCTCCAGCAAGCGGGCTACAGAACCCGCAGCACACCTCAGCGTTATCATCACTCCCCTTCATCCATTCCCCCTCTTCACCAATCTTTTCTCCCTCAGACCCCACCCTCCGAATCCTGCTCCATACCCAACAAATAACTAAACGCAATCGCGCCCGCAACCTTCAAATTACGTGTATCCGTCAGTTGATGTCCCAGCGGATGATCCACAACCGGATGCTGGCACTCGCGCCAGGGCTCATCAGTCGTAAGCGTACAAACCATCACCCTCGCACGATCAGCTCCATACGTCTTCTCTAGCTCATCGCGGAAGTGCCGCCACTGTCTTGCCGTATCCTGAATCGCAAGTCGGACAGCGCGGGCGAAGTTCGTGTCGTTGACATTGATGTTGAGACTGTCCGGGTTGTCCGGGTTCAGGAGGCCGCGGGGTGTAGTCGGCGTCCCGACGGCCCCAGTCACGGGATCGATGTCCCCAGTGTCCTTGTTCAGCGCCGCGTGGTCGATGCGGCCGTTGCAGGGGAAGATGGCGATGGAGAAGCAACCCGTGCTAAGATGGTACGGGACGTCCTCCTCCCCTAGGTCCCCCTTCTTCCTCAGATCCAGGAACCCCGGTATCTCCCTCATGTCCAACCCCGGCGGGTTAAAGACGTCAAACGGCGCCACCCCAGCATGGTCTCCCCAATTCGAGTGGCTGTAAAAATCCTGGACCCCATGCAGCACTTTCCCAAAGCCCTCGAGCACGTTACACTTGCCCCTGCCGCAAAAATCCCCGATGAAATTACAATCCTGGTTCCGCACATCAACCTCGCTCTTCACGATCCTCCCCCACGGATCCAGCAACCGCGCCGCATCCCTGACACCCTCCCGTTGCCTCTTCCGCAGATTCAGCACGCACGACCTCAGCGCCGCCGTCGCCCCCTCCCGCGACTGCGGATACCCCTCCACGTCTAAGAAGTCCGCGTCGTCGCAGTGCGCTTCCGCCCCCTCGGGTAAAGGGTCCGGGATGTCGGGCGAGCCAACTGCGCCGTAGGTGCCGTCACGGCCGGCGAGCTGGTCGAGGGAGAGCGGCTCGAAGCAGTCGGGGGGGTGGTGATCGCGGGTGTGGCAGGCGAGCGCAGCGCGGGTGATGAACTCGTGTTCGCGGAACTGGGAGGCGAGGTTGGGGGTGCCGAAGGCGGTGGTTGGGGTAGGAAGAAGTAGTGTGAGGAGAGCGAGGGCCAGCGGGGGAAGGCTGAGAAGGAAGAGCATTGGAGCTGCGTGCGAAGGGGCGAGTCGAAGAAATGGGCGGCAGTAATTACGAGAAATGATGAGAGGCTCTGATAAAATCGCAGCAACCGTAAGAGCAATATAGCAAAGCAGATCTACCAGCCATACGAAGCGTATATAAAGCGCATGTTAGCGAACAGAAACGTGGCCGTGGTTCACGGCAACGCCATCAGCCCTAAATTTAAGAGGACTCTTTGAGCGCGGAAAAGCTCGTCATGAGACTCGGTTGCGATGACGCAAGGTTCCATAGGGCTCTCCACTTGCGGGCTGCGCCGGCGACAACAGCACCGCGTTGTCTTTGACACTGACCTTTGGCGTTGAAATTCGGGGATCACATTGCCATATCAGGTCGACGACACGGCAGTCGCACAGAGATGAGCATGCCGCTACAAAAGGTCTGTGTCCAGATAGAGTTGTCGCGTGCTGCACGTGTTGCGCGTGGTAATCGATTGGGATTTCGGAAGCTGCCGGGCACACCCGTTTGCAGTTGTCAGTGGACTCTTGACGCTCACCTCAACGGTATGGCTAAGTTCGGGCAAGGAGGCCAAGCACATCAATTTTAAATGCTGAATGCGTAGAGACGCCTAGGTATACTAACACTAGATACTAGACACGTAGAGTGGATAACAAAAGTTTTAAACAGCTATGATTTGTCTATCATAAACGGCCGTTCGTCCCCTCCCAAGGACATCCAGTACCGCATGAAGACAGAAGAACAGCTCTATCTCAACTCAACGATGAAAAACGGAGAAACGAAACGCCGCAATTCCCCCCAAACTCATCCCACTATACAGAACAAGACTTCACACTCCCCATTCCCTTCTACACTCTACTCAGCATCCTCAGCAGCTCCTCCTTCTCCCCAGTCGGCAACATACTCAGCGCCGTCTTGAAGCCCTCCAGCGCCCCCTCTTTATCCCTCCTCACCAAACCCGCCACATCCTCCGCAATACCCGCCCTCTTCATTCCCTCCACCTTCTCTGACACCTGCTTCCTATTCTCTTCATACCACACCGCAACGCTCATATCATCCTTCTCGAAGTTCGGGACATCAGACCACGACTTGAGCAGCTCAAGGTGCGTGGCACGTGCCGCGGTGGGCGACAAGCTCCCAACATCCTTGGACGCGACAGCCGCCATGCGCTTGAGGATGTACTCCTCGTTGAGACGGCGACGGAGGCGCCAGTAGAAGAAGCGCCTCGCCTCCCTCCAGCGCAGCGGCTTGCGGATCACGCCCTTCGCCTCCATGCGGCCCGCACGATCGTGAAGGTCCGCGAACTGCAGGCTGATTTGCGCGTACACGGGCAGCAGCGCGTGCTCGCGCTCCGTCATGCGGGCCTTGATGTCCGCGAGCTCGGAGCGTGGGGTCGCTGGGTCGGCGAGACGGCGCTTCAGGTCGCCGTAGGTGGCGTCCAACCGCGCCATAGTTTCGAGCTGCCTGTCTTTGCGGAACTTGATGCCCACGATGCCTTCGGGCTCGAGAACGCCGCCGCGGGCGTCTTCGTCGGCGTACATTTCCATTACTTGCGGGTTGATTGTTGGATCGACGACGACCTAAATATGTGATTAGCAAGATGTGAGTGTTAATGGAAAGAGAGATGTAGCTGCTTACCCAAGAGCCACCGCGCAGCTCGCCAAACGGCGGGATGTACACGAAGATTGGCTGCTCGTACTTGACGAGCGCGTCGACAATCATGGAGCCATACTTGAGCACCTCGTTGTACATGTCGCGCTGGCCACCGGAGAAGCCTCGCCAGTTGGCCAGAATCATGAGTGGCAGCTGCTCGCCATGGTTGAAGTCGTTGATCGCCTGCGCAGTCTTGAATGCCGAATTTGGATACCAAACACCACCGGCCTCGGACGTGACCTGCTCGATCGAGTCCGGGTTCGCAGGATCAGCTGGCGTGACGTTGGTTACTGAGCGCGTCTCGACGCCGATGACGCCCATTGGGATGCCGCCGAGGCGTGCGCGGCCGACAACGACAGTCTTGGCCCAACCGCCTAGGGTTTCCTCGAAGGAGCCGCGGTCGAAGAGACCAGAGAGGAATCCCTCGTCGTCTTCCTTGCCTGCAATCAGCCACTTGACGTCGTACGGCTGCTTCTGCGGTGGGTAGTAGGTGACATCACGGTCCCAGTTGTCGATGGTTGGAGAGATGGGGACAGGGTTGCCCTTCTTGTCTGGTACGAATCCAAGCCACTTGACGATCTTAGACACACCAGAGAAGTCGTCCTCGGCAGTCATGTGTGAGACACCATTGTTGTACATGATTTGCGTGCCACCGAGCTGCAAGTTGGAGGTGTAAACTTCGCGGCCCAGAAGCTTGTTGATGGCAGGTGCACCGGTAAGGATGATGGGCTGGCCCTCAATCTGAATGGCCCGCTGGCCGAGACGGACAAGGTAGGCACCGATACCGACGGAACGGCAGGTGACCAAAGTGATGGTGAAGATGTCCTCGTAAGCCCTTGAAGTCTCACCAGCGATGAGACCAGAGCCCTTCAAGCACTCGACACCAAGGCCGTCCTCGGCACCGATGATGGTGGTGATCTTGTACCTAGTCTCGCCATCCTCAACAATCTTCTCCGTGATGACGTCGCGCTTGTTGCCTTCTGTGAAACGCTTGTTCTTCTCGGGGGTGAGGTAGAGGTATTTGAAGCCCTTGGCCGGGTTGCTTGGGTCATTCCAAGCGACGGAGAAGTGAGGGATCAGCTCCTCGGCCATGCCTATCCGAGCACCAGAGTTGGCGGATAGATAGATGCGGGGAATGCCAAGTTTCCTTGCAAGCTCAGAGCACTTGTGGAAGAACTTGTCTTCGGCGGGACCAAACGAACCAATCTTGAAGGTGATGTCGTTAGCAATGATGATGAAGCGCCTGCCACGGGGATATTCGGGTGTTTTGGCAGTGACGATCCAGCCAACCATTCCTATTGTGTTCGAGCCGGGGTCTCGGTTGACCTCAGCTAGGTTGTCGTCTTCATCAAGCACTAGCTCGTTGTACTCGATGCACTCGCCCTGCACAGGCTGCTTGTCCTTGAGGTGCCCGTGCTTGGCAACAACCTGGTGCCAGCTGTTCTCGACAGCCTGGCGGAACAGCTCCGGGAAGTCGTAGACGTACTGAGTCCCCATAATGTGAGCCTTGTACCGCTTCGGCTGAAGCGCCCCCTTGGTCGGATATGGCGTGTTGACAGGGCGCAGATGCATGGAGCCAATCTTGGTGGTACCACCGATGCTGTGGAAGAGCCACTGGCCGCCCTTGTCTGACTTGCGCTCTGCGTATAGCTCGACCTGAATGATATAGCCAGAGGTGTTGGTGATGACAACGCGGAGAGGGTACGGCGCACCAGTCTGCGGATCCGTGCAGACAATACGGATCTCAGCGCCAGTGACGCGGAGCCTCCAGGCACGGCGACCGAACCTGTCAAGGAAGCCACCGAGCGCCTCTTCGACCTCGCGCGGCGCTAGAGGGAAAACGGTGGAGAAGTTGATGAAGATGTGATTCATGTCAGAGTTGTTGTTGCCGATGATCTCCATTGCGTCCAGGATGTCAGTCATGAGCCTGTCAGCTTCAGAGATCATGTACTCAGCGGTAGGAATGTCCTCTCGGAGACGGCCGGGACGGACGACAGCCCTTGTGAAGTAGCGCTTGTCATTCTCGGCGCCCTTTCCAACCGCCTCGTAGATGTGAATGTTGCGGTTCTCCGTGAATACTGGCTTGATGTTGAACTTGGAAAGACGGCCAAGCTCCAGCTGGAAAGCAAGGGCAGGCTCGATGTGACGAATACTGGCATCCTCCTCGTAGGCAGGCCCACGGAAGGTGTAGTACCCGGGATAAGTCCCATCCTTGTGGCCACAGATGAAAGTCAGGCGGCGAACGCGTCTGGCGAGCATCTCCTCCTTGTACTCATTAACGATGGGGAGGATGCGGTCCAAGATCTCCTTGTCATCAAAGCTCTCAGCATCTCGAACGGCGACGTTGCACACGGCAGTGAGCTCGTCTTCGTTCTCTAATTTCGGAGGCGCGGGCCGACGGTTCCTTGACAGCTCAGCCATGAGACCAGCATTGTTAGCGCTGGAATTCCGCTTCCGGTACGAGCCGACCGATGGGAACACCTCCAGTGCGCGGGTGAGGTACTCTTCAGCATCGTCAATGAAAGGCACGGGGACTACCGCGCCCTTCCGAGTGGTCTCGCCTTCAGCGGCCTTGCCAATATAGGACAGGTCGCTGATGGAGTGGATGCGCTTGAACGGCGACTCGCCCGCAGGTGTGGACGGCGTCGAAGGGTGAGATGACTCGATCGGCAGGCCGAACTCAGACTCGCCAACCTTGCGTAGCGCAAAGTCCCATGAGAGTATATAGGGCGCCTCGTTCTCCACGTGGTACTCGATCTTCTTGAGCAGGTATGCGCGGTAGGCACGACGGGTGTAGACCTCCAGTGCGGCCAATGCGACCCACGGATCAGAATGGGCGAAGAACTGTGGCAAAACATCAAAGACGGTGTACCTAGAGTCAACAACCTCTTTGATGACATCAAAATTGGGCTCGCGGTGATCCCAACCGCTCTCGCCGTAACGTGACTCAACGACAGAAGAGCGCAGGATATGTTCCATCTGGGAAGTACGCTCTTCCAATGACGGCATGGCGCATTGGATGAGAACCTCGCGGGCCTTGAGAGCAACCTTGGCGGTTGCGCGCGACTCCAGTTCGGCAAGTTTCTTAAGAGCGAACTTGAAGTACTTCGCGACGTTGCCGACGCCCGGCCTGTTCGGTCGGTAGGTGTCGAGGATGGCGATGATCAAGTGGTTCTTCGAGCTTGCCCTAGTATGGGAGAGGACGGTGACCACGATCTTGGCGATGTTGTCCTTGTTCTCATCCCTCAGCTTGAGGATAACCTCTTCGTCTCTATTCGTGCGGGAGGAGAAAAGCGACTCGACTTCGTAGTACTGCTCAAGAAGGCTGACCATGACGTCGTACTCATGCACCTTGAGCCCGTCCTTGTAGCGGTCGATCACCTCAATGAGCGGGACCAGTGCTGAGCGCAGGAGATTCGCATCGCTTGGTTCAACATTCTCCTCCAGGAAGCGGGTGAAGGCTTTCGCAAGCTGCTTAGCGGGGAATTCGAGGTTTCTACTGTGAGCGCGCTCGACGATTTGGCCGAGAGTCGAGTCGAGCTTCTGCGGCATACGAGCGTGCAGTGCAGACGCCTGAGCGTTCCACTCGCCGTACGGGAGTTCGGGGTTCCGTAGAACCTCGACGAGCTCTTTGAGGGTACTCTGCATGATAACCTGGTTGTCGAAGCCCTGCAGGATATCCCGAAGAATGTTGTAGAGGTATGTAAACCGCTGGGGCGGCTTGTTGCCCATCACCTGGGGTGCACCAAGATCCGGTAACTGGCCAAGGAACGGCTGAGCAGACTTAACCTTTGATGGATCATCCAGAGCAAGGATACCAAGAATGTCACCAGCCTCCAGGGTAGCTCCAGGTTGCTTGATGAGGTTGACGATACCGTCTTCCTGGGCAATCAGTGGCATATACATCTTCATGACCTCCACCTCGGCGAAAGCTTGACCTTTCCTGACGTGCTCGCCATTCTCGATGGTGAACTTGACCAGTTTACCAGGACTGGGAGTGCGGAGCTGAGTAGGGTCGTTTTCCTGCTCGAGCACGCAGGTCTTGCTGTCGACACTGAGACGCGTAGCGCCAACCTCCTCTCGCCAGTAGATGTTGTGAGACTTGCCGCCAAGGAGCACAAGGAGACCGCCATCAGCCAGAGCCCTCACGCCTACAGCGCACTTGGAGCCGTTGATGAAGAGAGTGTAGCTGTCGATACTGGACCTAGTGGCCGTGAACTTGTACCGATGGCCTTCGTAGATGAAATCAACCGGGAAGACGGTCTTCAGAACGTCCTTTGACGGCACCTGACCCTTTTCTAAGCTGGTCCGATATTCGGTCATGGCGATGTCGCTGGCGATGTGAGCCTTTGTGACGGCTCCGCAGATGACGGCAACCATAGGATCCGGACGCTCAGCGGTCAGTTTCTTGGAGATCAGCTCGTCCAGCCAGCCGGTGGTGATGGTGTTGTCTTCGAAAGCGGGGGTCTCCAGTAGCTTGATAAGATACTCGACGGTAGTTCTGAAGTCACCGCGAATGCTGAGTTCCTTCAAAGCGACAACCATATGTTTCCGCGACGCAGCGCGGTTCTCGCCGTAAGCGAAGATGTGGCCGAACTGGCTGTCGGAGAAGTTATGGATACCACCGGCAGTACCGACGGAGAAGTAACCCCAGACGTTGGAGCTACTCCTGAAGTTCAGTTCGTGCATCGTACCGCTGGATGGCTTGAAGCCCTCGCCGGGATCTTCTGAGGTAATACGGCAGGCAGTGGTATGGCCCTTGGGTGTGGGTTTTCGCTGATTTTGTAAGCTACCCTCCTTCGTAAAGTCGAAATCAATCTCGGTTGCGCTATGAGGATCAGCACCGTAGAGGAGGCGGATATCCCGGATTCGGCTAAGAGGAAGACCCATTGCGATCTGGAGCTGAGCAGCGGGGAGGTTGACACCGCTCACCATCTCTGTTGTAGGGTGCTCCACCTGCAGACGCGGGTTAAGTTCGAGGAAGTAGAATTTGTCGTCCGCGTGGGAGTATAGATATTCGACGGTACCAGCGGAGACGTAGCCGACCAACTTCCCTAATGAGACGGCGGCTTTCTCCATAGCGTGGAAGGTGTTGGGATTCGCAACTGTTACAGGCGCCTCCTCAATAATCTTTTGATGTCGTCGCTGGACTGAGCAGTCACGGCCGAAGAGAGAAATGTTATTTCCATACTGGTCAGCGAGAAGCTGGACCTCCAAATGCCTTGCGTTTCCAGCAAGCTTCATGATGAAGATGGGAGAGCCCGGAATCTCGCTGGCAGCAGCACGGTAGAGGTTGTGGAAGCCCTCCTCCGTGTCCGCCTTCCGGATACCCTTGCCACCACCACCCTCCGAAGCCTTGATCATGACGGGGAAGCCGATCTTCCTCGCCATCTCTAAGCCCTCTTCCGGTGAATGTGTGCAGCCTTTGTCGTATACATGGTCCTCCACGGTGACAATGCCGTCGTCTCCGACCAAAACTTGATCGACGCCCTCGCCAGACCAGGGAATGCAGGGTACCTTTGCATGCTGCGCGACAATTGTGGAGGAGATCTTGTCGCCGAGCGATCGCATGGCCGAACCGGGAGGACCGATGAAGACGATTTTGTGCGGTGATGCGGCGAGGGACTCCGGGAGCTTTGGGTTTTCGGAAGCATGGCCCCATCCGGCCCATACTGCTTGCACGCCCATCCGCTCAGCAACATCGACGATCAGCTCGACATTCGCATAGTTGTTGTTGTTCGTGCCTCCTGGAACCTGTGTCGTCCGCTGTCAGTTGCTATCCCCACGACGCAACTCGGAGGGTTTGAAGGGAGAAACCTACCTCAACATACTGGTCTGCCATTCGGATGTAATCTGCGTTTGCTTGCAAATCTTCCGGCGTTGCCATGACCGTAAACTGGATCGCCCGCTCATCTCCAAACGTCTCGTATGCCCACTTCCGCACCGATCTGATTTCCTTGACCGCGGCGATACCATTATTGGCGATGAGGACCTGTAAGACTCCCGTTAGCTCCCGCACGATGCTCAGCAGCCTCGATTTCCTGGAGTCTTACGTTTGTAATCACTGTGTGACCGCCGTTCGCGGCCACGAACTCCTTCACCTTCCCGGGAGATGCTACACCCAAGTGGTTTCCGCCGATGAAGTGAGGAGCCAGGTTGTATTTCGCCGCATTCGCGCTCGGATAGCCATCGTGGCCATTGACGCCGTTTACACCGTTCGTGTCCGCCATGTTTGCCGTTTAGAGGCCTGTCCTTGAGGAGATTTCTCCAAAGTGTTGGGTATGATGCACGAGGCGGGGGAAGCACTTTTAAATCCACAGGGTATATCTGGCTTGGGAGGAAACCAGACAGTCGCTGCGTCAGTAGATTACCTAGAAATGAATGTGTCGTGGGTGGCAGGAGCACTGAATCCGCAGGCTCTTGCTGGGTCGGGTATTAGGCAGTCTATCAGGAAGCAGCAGTGACGGGTGTGCTGCTCTCTAGATGCGCGTACGACTACAAGATACAGATGGGGAGGAAGGATGATGGTACAATTGGAGCTTGGGAGGAAGCAACAGAGGGTAATCACGGCGGGTAAGAAAGGGCTACCTATGTACGGGACCAGGGGAGGCGGTATATGTGAATGACGGCGCGCCCCCAAAAAGCCCGTCCGAGCTGTTGAGCTGATGGCCGCCGAGCTGCACTCGCCAGGCCCGCCTGATCGGGTAAGGCGGGCTATCGCCGTCACGCACCTCAACTTCTTGCGCTGGAGCATGGACTCGACCTCCGTGCGGCAACCACCACCGGCGCAAGTGGCTTTGGCTCTGGTCCGTATCTCTGACACCTCTCTCAGACCCTGCAGCACTTGCGGAATCTCTAGGGATGGCGCCCAGGTACACATTCAACGGCGTGCCGCTGGGGCTGTCAAACAAAACTTGCGCGGTCGCTGTCGGGCTTTGTTGAGTTCTCCTCCCCCAAGCATCTCAAACTGCCAACGTTTATGCGGAGAAGATCCTTGGCCAGCGTCCCATCAACAGCGTTGGGGGACGCTACAGCCCGGATAGCAACCGAGCGCCACAAACTGTTGATCGACGTCGTAGCTGTCAGAAGAGTCTGAAGATATCTGCTCTTCTCCTCCTCTATCTTCTGGTCGTGGTTGTCTTCCTGTTTCCTTCCGCCAAGGCTTCCGACGCACCGCGGAAGCCATCGTCCGAAAGGAACCCTGGGACCCTCCGGCCCCTACATCCACGGTGCATCTCACTCTAGCTTATTATTAGCAGCTCGACAGCCGCCGGCTTCTAGCTCGGTCGCCGAATCCGTCGCCGAACGGAGTCTTATTACTCTCACCAGCCACTTTTACCGTAATCCCATTGATTCTCGGCTCTCCGCCGTCGGACTCCGCCTCATAACGGCGTTGACTGTGCTACATAATCTTACTGACTAACACCCGATCTTATTCTGGATGGAGTGCCTTTGGTCGTGTGAGAATATTTCCCGATTAATTGAGAGATGATGTCCGGACTTGGAGTATGGTCCAAAATGGTTCCGGGTTGCGCACCTCCACCAGCGGAACGGTCCATGGGTGCCACGAGCTAGCCGCAGATACGAAAGCCGTTGATGCAATCAAGAATTTTCTGTCCTACTTCCAGCGACCGACTTGTCTCATTGTGTGGTCTACAGCTGGGTCTATGCGCATCCAAAGCCATGTGCGCATCGCTTCCCCGCCATCGTGTTCCTTCAATCGGATTGTACTTCAAGAGAACTCCCATTGCCATTCGGTCATCAAGTTGTTTGTCACTTGCCGTGATTGGTCCCATCCTCATCGATATGCAGCTAACATATACCGATCCAAGGCCATCAGCGGGTGCCTGGGCCACCGAGCCACCGGGTATCGATGCGAGCTTGTTTAATGTCCGTCATCGTCGGCAGATCAACACGGCCAGCATGAGAGCAGAGCATCAACGGGGCGCCTGGGGCTGTTTAGCTATTCGGACTGCGTATCTCAAGATCAACGTTTAACAAACTCTTCCTGCTGTCGTGAGTGCATGCTCGACCGCGCAGCGCAAACACTTCCCACTGCCTGGAGTCTGTTTGAGCAATGCAGGAGAATCACTGGAACGGCCTTGGACTCTAAGCTTTCCGTTTCGGTCAAACGATAAGCTGACTCAGCATCCGAGAGAATAGCGTTATGGTAACCCTAAACCCATCCACTCCGTTTGCTGGATCGTCGCAGAAGTCAGCACATAGGCTGAGTGACTTCTGGGATTAGAGTAAATCTCGTGCAGACACCGTATCGGCCGGACTTTGATGATATTGCAGCGAAGTCCGGTAACTCTCACATCAGAGATGCGTCAAGCTTTATACTGCGATAGTGCAGACACCTAGAAAGTGCAGCGATTCACATCATGAGTTTAATGCCTTTGAACGTCAGATACCTCGGAGAGGGAAGTCTCACATGCCGTATTGAATTCCAGCGGTGTCCTGAAGCGAGGATCAGGAGTCACTACTTAAACTCTGCAGATTAAGACCCCGAGTATCGGCATACCAGGACAACGACTGATTGACCGCAAAATATCTTGCTCCCTCACACAACTAGTAATACTCGTGGCTCCAAACTCTCATTACCCTTGCCGAGGAAATCTAGCAGAGCAACGGAGCCGTCCAGCCGACAGTTCAAGCGGACGTCTCAAGTCCACGGAAATATCTATTCAATTTTGAACATTCAGTTCGGACTTCACCATGCAAAGTCAGATTTCCGAGCTCAACGGCAAAACAATGGATACTTCCCGCCGCTGCCACGGAGGAAGGGTATCGTATTGGCCATACACTGGTAAGACCCGTTGTAGATAGCCCCGATCTAGCAAAGGCCTCGGAGCCTTGAAGTCATCCCTTCACCCTACATGAACACCAAGCCATGCACCCAGCCCCCACCATGCAATCCACCCATGCGAAACCACCCGCAGGAGCAAAAACAGAAGCCCACCTATCAACAATCCCAAGCCCCCGGGAACAACCAGCAACATGCAGATCCCAGACCGCAGACCGCACATCCACCCGACAATGAGCAGCCGATTCACAAGGCCCTCAGTACGTTTCTCCAACCCCACTCAACTTCCTCGTCCGCCCCGCCGTCGTTGTCGGTGGCGGCGGCATATCCCCTCCCCCTTTCTCACTATGACTCGACCCCGGCCTGTGGCTCGACCCCGGCCTTGCTAACCCGACGCTGCTCCTCCTCCCCCCTCCACTTACCGCCACGCCTCCGCTCTTCCGCCTGGGCAGCGCGCTCGGCGTCGGGATCGCCGAGCCGATCGAGTCTCTGGCCGCGCGGGCAGCCGAATGTCGTGGTAGCGTGGGTGTTGCGAACGTGTCGGTTTCTTCCATTACGCTGATGCTCGCTGAGTGGCCGTGTCCGTACGCATGCCCATGGCCGTGCCCAAACACGCCGCCCATCCCACTCCCCGGCCTTCCGTCCGCGTTGCTGGTGGGAGGAGCAAAAACCCCTTCGGAGCCCAGCAGCGGCGCCCGCGCGCCGGACATGCTACTCCGGCTGCTCGGGCGGAAGGTGTTACTCACGAAACTGGCTACACTGGCGCGGCTGCTAGGCCTGCTCTCCTCTGTCCCGAGCCTGCTTGCCGAGCGCTCGGGCGCGCCGCTGATGCTGGCGCGGGCGCTGTGCCCGAAGGAGAGCCTACTTACTGCGCGGCGCGGTTTGCGGGGCTCAAGCGTGTCTCCAGCTCCAACGCTTGCAGCGGGATTGGCGTCGGTAGCAGCTGTATGAGTCGTGCTCATAGTCATAGCCGTGCTGCCGCTGACACGTTTCCGCGAACTCCGCACTGTGACGGTGCTTGGAACGTGGTGGCCCAGCGCGCTTCCTCGGCCATCTCTGGGGTTCGGACTTGCGCGCTCGGGGGTGGCGGATGGGGCGGGTAGTTTCGAGCGCGCGGAATGTACGCGCTGCTCGAGCTTTTGCATCTTGCCTATTAGCCCGCGGATCTGGTAGAGCGAGCCCGACCGGGGGAGCGGGGTCGGGGGAACCGGTGTAGCAGGTTCGTGCTGGACGCTGCTGATGGTGCTTTGGCGCGTTGGGCGGGTTTGGCGAGTGGTGGTGGGTGTAGGCGCTGCGGATGGGGTCGGGGCTGTGCGCCGGGGTAGCGAGGGGGTTGTACGGCCGGCTGGGTTGGTGGAGCTGGGGACGGGGAGGGAGGGGCCGCGGGAGTGGCGGGGGGCGCGGATGGTGGTGTTTGAATAGTTCGGTCTAGGGGTCGTGGTTGGCGCTGTGGCGGTCGGCGGACGCTTCTTGATGGTGGGGAGGGGCGTGGTAAGATTTGCTGCATTCACGTTTGCGGTTAAGGAAGCGTCGGAGAGGGGCGGCGAGGGAGGTGTTGCGGTCACAGCGGAGGAGGTATCGGACTTGAGCGGCGGGGGCGTTGAGGCGGTGGGCGAGGAGAGCGTCGTTGCTGAGGTGGAGGCTTCGGAGACGGGGGAGCGTGGGCGGAGGACGCCTTGCGATTTGATCGCCCGAACCTTGTTGTCGCGCTGCCGTGCTACGGTTGCTTCGGCGTGGCGGAGCTTGCCTTGCACGATCTCGGCTTCGATCTTGAGGTCGGAGAGCTCCTCGCGCAGACGCTGGGTTTCTATACGTAGCGACTCGCGTTCCTGCTCGTTGGCCTTCATCTCTTCTTCCAGCATCACGCCTCGCTCTATTGCGACGTTGTATTTCGATTCAAGGTCTTCGAGGGAGGAGGTCGTGTTACGCGCCTGGCGCTCAAAGTCGTCATTCGCTACTTCGATGTCGCGGAGTTTGAGCTGGAGCGTCCGATTCGAATCGCGCAGGGTCGTGATCTCTTTTTGCAATGTGTTCTGCGCCGAGGCGGCCTCGGCTTTGGACTGTTTGTACTTTGCCTGCAACGAGTATCAGCACCTAGCCCGCTAAACCGACCCATAACCATAACGGCTGTGAGAAACATTGATATGCTGACCTTCCACTCCTCAACCTCAAAGCCCAGCCCCTCAACCTTCTCTTTCAACTGCCTTTCCCGCTTCTCCGACGCCTCTACGTCCTTCTCCAGTTCCGCCTCCAGCTCCCGGCTCGAGGCCTGAAATTCCTGCAGTTCGACTTCCAGCTGCTCATACTGCGCCTTGTAGTATGCCAACTCTTCCCCTAGACTCGATCCATGGATTGCTGGCGAGGATGGCGGTTCGTAGGCTGATGTCATGGCTGCGGTTGCGGCGTATGGTGAATGTTAGCGTGCGCGAGTCCTGGTAAGAATCCCTGGGTTCGTATTTGATAGCGATATGTTTTGTGCGGCGTAGTCTTCGTGGTGTGAATTCTCGTATCGGTTCCTGCTGTGGTTGCGGCGGTCCTCGGGGTCTCGATGGCGGTGCGCGCGCCGCTGGATTCTTTTTTGATGTGGTGCTGCTTCTTCAAGTTCCTCCTCTTGTTTATCTTCCCTCCTTCCTAACTTCCATGCCCAGTACTGGTGTCGTCCTGGTGCCTGCGGTCGGCGGTGTGGGTTGTGGTTGCTGTTGGCGGTGGAGGTTGAGGCGCCGCTTGGAAACAACACGGACAGGGGTTCAGCGTTGCCAGGCGCGCCATCTCCCCACGGGGCATGTGATCCACCAACTCTGACTCAAGTTGACAATGCCGATAGTGAGCAGAATATTGTTTTCTTTCTTTGCACACCTGGGAACTACGGGACGATACATGCGTCACGACCCCAAAAAGCACCAGATCCGGTCTGTCATCTGTGTCGCGCAGCAAACAATTCAACTGTCCCATAGATCCCCAATACCAAACGCCGTGCTAATCATACTCGAACAGTCCGCCACGTAACCTACTTTTCGTCCATACCATTTACATCCCTAACATCTTCAGCCGTACCAGATATCTTATCAACAGCGATCTGAGTCCCTTGCTTCCCGCTCTCATACGCTTGTTCCTTTAAATCTGACACTTTTTCCTTCCCTTGCACGTAAACAGTCGATGATCGGTCCTTCCCTGACTCGTAGACTTCCGACACCTTTTCTGTTGCGTTAGACACCGTCTCCTTTCCCTGCTCGTACACCTTTTGAGCCTTCTCTGAACCTCCGCCAAGCATCTCTTTTCCCTTCTCCAAGCCCCCAGTTGCCGCAGCCGAACCCGACGCATACCACTCCTTTGCCTTCTCCGTCCCGCCCTGCAGCGCATCCTGCGCGCTTGCCATCATCGGCGCCGTCCTCTCGCTCACCGAGTTCTTCGCTTCTTGCGCCTGCTCACTAACCGCCTTCGCCACCTCCCCCGGACTTGGATACTTGTTCAGTGCCTGCAGGATGAGGTAGTATACCTGCACGATCATGACGTGAATCCGCTCCTTCATCAGCATAGTCAGCCCATGCTGGAAAACACCTTTCAGCACATCCCCTCCCAAGCCCTGATACAGCCCCATGATCCCCTCTGTCTTCGCGATCCTGAGTATTGTGTGGAAAATTGTATTCCTCGTCGCCCGCCTTGCAGGTCTTGCCGTCACAGGGTCTGTGAACTTCTCTGATGTCGTATCCGTAGAAGACATCGGCTTCTGCGATGACACCTGCGCGCGCGCCTTAGCGAGCGCGAAAGGATAAGTAACACTTGAGGCGATGGCCTTGCTAGCCGCCGCCAAGAGAAACGTGAGTCTTGCGCCGGGGTTATCCCGCTTAGACCGCGGGACCAGCGTGCGCAGAAACATCTCATGCAGCAGGAACGTGAGGCTCGGGTTCAGCGTCAGGACCAGCGCAGCCGAGTACCCCGACCAGAAGCCCTGGAGCCCCTTCTCGTCGCGGATCTGCAGCGCGATGTCCTTGGTGCTGAGCTGGGGGTGGACAGAGGGGTTGCGCGAGCGCGCTGCTATCATCGCAGCCGTCTGCTTCCGCGTAACGATGTTCTGGATCGGGGTGGTGAAGAGCTTGGCAAATGCGCCGGCGAGCATGCCGACGCTGAGCTCGTCGAGCATGGGAAGTTTGGAGCCATTGCGGCGCTGGCGCCGCTCGCGGAGGTAGTTGTAGGCCAGAAAGAAGAGGAAGGAATCCGCGACGCTCTTGGCTGTGTCTTGTAGCACCCCGCTGTAGAAGGCTGAGACGCCGCCTTCGTGCTCGTAGATCTTCTGCGCTGCGTCGAGGACGCTTTTGTATTCGACATCGTCCTTGTTGTCGGCTTCGTTTGCGAACTGCTTTTGCACTTGGAGGCGGGCGATTACAAGGGAGAGTGGGTAGGTGATCAGGTTGGAGATGGCGGTGCCGGCTGAGCCGGAGAGGGCATGGCCGAGTGCTGGGAGGGCCGGTCCGCCTAGGGAACTGCGTGTTTGTGCTTCTTGGTTTTGGTGGTACTGGACGAAGGCATCCTATGCGGCCGTTAGTGCTGTGGATCGCGCCGGCGGACGTTACTCACGAGCAGATCGTATCGCTGGAAGGATTCCGTCATGTTGATGATAGTGCTGCAAGCTCTCTTGCTTCCAATATTCCCCTAGAAGTACATACACGTACCTAGAAGGGCCGTGCCGAGTTGCAGGAGATTTGCAGAGATGAAGAGAGGAGCATTGAATGATGAGGAGCAGAAGCGGAGTGCAGTGATCGCCAGCTGCATGAGGCTCGTGCCGCACCTCGGCATCGCGATCCCACACGACGTCACCACGTTCTGGCGGCCGCTAGTGCTGTACCCCAGACTTGGCAATGGGCCAGAAGATGATTCGGTCCCAAACCGGTACTCTATTAGCATTACCTTACTGCCGGCGCTACGACCGACGACCTCTTCAGAGGCTCGCTTTAGTGGGACCAAATATGATGAATGCTTGTAAGCTGCACTGATGATCCTTATCCGCTGATCGGAAGACGTAGCCAAGCAATTGGAATACATCTATATCCATGGAGAGGATACAAAAAGAGTATTTTCAAGCCTTCATGGATCGATTAATGAAAGACAAGCACCGAGACGGCAGTAGATTGCTGGCCTCACCGAAACCAGCTCCACAGCAAAGCTCCTCCGACTGCAGCAGCGCCAATGATACCAGCCCAGTACATCAGTGCCAACTTCAAGCAATCCACAAACACCTTCTCTGCCGACTCTGCGTCATTGATATGCGGAAACGGCACATCTGGCACCGGCTTCCCCAAAATACTACAAAGCGGCTCCCACCCCTCCCTCACATCGTAGTAGTAGACTTTCTTTCGAGGGACGACCCGCTCCAAATATTCAATGTGCCTCTCATAGACAAAGACCCCGGGCTTCGTTTCGCCATTGTAGTAATACAGCTCCGCCCACCGGCCAGCTGTATGCGCGTCCACCATAGCCTTCCACCACCTCAACCCCGGAACCGGCCAAAACACCAGCCCCAACCACCCATTCGCCGCATTGTTGGCCACAGGCTCCATGCTCCTCCACCACTTCTCAGCCTCCCGCGTCGTGACAATCACCAGCGCATCAGGATATAGCTCAACCAGCTCTTCGGCAAATTGTATCGGCATGCCGTCCGTCACGGCCGCGAACCCGCTCAGCTGCGTCCGAAGCCGCTCCTTCACGAACTCGCGGTCGCGGTACCGGCTGGTGATCTCAACCCAGCGGTGCATGTGTGTCGAGGTGCCATGCACGAGCTGCGCGCCTGTATGGTAGACGGGCGCGTCCAGGAGTATCTCAAGCGCGGCGGAGAAGCTGGAGGTGCCCGTGCGGGACATGCCGAGGCCGAGGACTTGCATGGGCGTTGTGGGGGGCCCCGGTGCGGAGGCTTGCTGGCCCATTGTGAAGTTATAGGGAGGGAAGACTTGGAAGATGGATAGAAAAGTGAGGGCCGGTTTAAGAAACTTTGAGGCTGGAATTAGGGACAGACTCAGTATCTGGAGGACAGGTTCTGCTTATTCAAGGAGAAACTGCATGAGACCGTGCATCAAGTGCTTACCTTAGGCGGCCACTATCCAACCTGCTTGTTGTGGCCCCCAAATCTTTTATGTTACATCGTTGTTGATAAGACGCAAGTTCCAACATGCGGCCCTTTCCAATGACCACGACAGCCACTAAAAGGCCCTGCAGGCCGGGAACGGCACTAATCCAGCGGTCCGCTACTGCTGGTTTCAAAATGTGCGGCCGTTTGAAAATGAACTTCATCCACCCCCCCTCTCAATTGTTAAAGACCAAAACCACGTTTGCATAACGATTCAACGCTTAAGATAAAACTTAATGTTATTAAAAGATGCAGCACAGCTACAGCTCTTTAATAGCTAGAAATTAAGAGGACTAGCGGCGTCGTGTAGCTAATAAATCACTAGAATACAAAGTTTCGTGTATATTTAATTTTCTTAGAAAGCCCGCACGCCGCTGCTCGCTTGCGCGGTTTTTATAATTATTAAAGCTTTTCTACCACGTATCACTTAAAATATACCTAGATAAATACTAACTATTAATAGTTGCAGTTATGCTGCATCTTTTAATAATATTAACTTCTATCCTAAGTGTTGAATCGTTGTGTCAACGTGGTTTTGGTCTTTGATAATCGAGGGGGAGTTTGGGTGGCTGAAGTTCATCTAAACGGCCGCACATTTTGAAACCAGCAGTAAGCGAGCTACTTCTCGTGCTTGAGGCCGAACTCTTGGTTGAAGTATTTATATCAAGTATCCACGCGCTGCAGACATTTGACCTGTTATACCAAATCCGCAGTGATTATGGAGGAATGGCATACAGATTCGCCGATTGTGCAGAACAAGGTCTTGAGCTAGGCTTTGTATACACAGATGATAATGGTGTTATCAACTCCTGGTCCTCATCATTAGGTAGCATTACTTCGTGTCAGGATCATCTCTTAGTCGGCGAATCAAACCCCACACCTCCCCCAACTAGACCTATAACTGCTAATAGCGATAGTGCGACATAAACACAGCGCTACGCAAGGCAACAAGCGCTTATTGCAATATCATGCTAGCCCCATCCTTTCAGCCTCCTGCGCCACAGCTTTCGGAATTTCTTCCTCGAGGGAAATCTGCTTGGGATCCCACCCCAGCACTTTCCTCGCTCTAATAGCTTGCGCTCTACTATTGGCACCCCACAAGGCTGAGCCCCAACGAGTTAATCCATTCGCTTCCTCAGGGCTAACGCTCACAACCTCATCCGTAGAAATCAGGCCTTGCTTCTTCGCCGCGGCCGCAATATTTTTAGCAACAGCTCCCCAGACATGCTCACCGCTGACAGCGAAGTAATACCCCTGGGCGCCCCACGTAGCACTGCCTACGTCCCTCGCCGCTTCTTCAACCAGGCGCAGGTACAGGTCGCTGAGATCGTACACGTGTACGTTCGGCCAGTATGTTTGGCCCTCCCCGACCATAATGCCGTGCTTCTGCTCAAGCGTGCAGCGGGACAACTCATATATCTGGTGGCCTCGCTGGTTGCCCGGCCCTCTCCCCAGGCCGTAGATGGTGGGAGGCGACACAATAGCGGTCTTAAGACCGGCGTCCAGGATCAGCTTGTCGACATTACGATGGGGAGCTCGCTCAGGAATGGATGTCACGTCCGCTATGCCGTCCCAGTCGTCGTAGATCTTGTCGTCGGCTTGGCCGAAGCGCTTTGCATCGAGATCGCGCCAGAGGAGTTCTCCAGTTCCGCTCGTATGGATTAGGTAGCGGGTGCGATTGTCGGCATCGAGGCCGGCTAGGATAGCCTTTGCGGCGTCTGGATGGTCGGCGTCGGCAAAGTCTGAGATGGGCTGAGAGATTAGCGTTGAGGATTCTCAAGGAAGCGGAGTTGGAGAGACGGACGCAGCACGATGTCAGCCTTCGCTGTCTGATCGGTGAGTATATGTGCGTCGTCAAGAGTCCCATATACAAGCTCAATGTCGGGATACTGATCCGCGATGTGAGCGCCACGCTCCTTGCTCCGCACCAAACAGGTCCAACGGTACTCGGGATGTGCTTGAGCAATGCGATGGAGCGCATCACCGCCGATGTACCCAGTAGTTCCGGTCGCGAATATCTTGACCATTATAGTAGCGGCTGGGTAAGCGGAAGTGCTGAACGACGCGCTTGCGAAGACGTTCTGTACTACAGCGGCAGAAGGTTTGTAGAAAAATACAGAGTGAGACTTCTTGCCTTCTTCAGAGAGTGTCCTGCGAACATGGAGCGGAAGGAGTGCTCAACTGGCTGTCTTTATGAGGTAGTTATCAACCCAACGCAACAGCTATCCTCATAGATAATCTGTATCCACCGGGGGCTCCGCGGGGATGACGCAATTCCGGGGAGTGCTTACCAATCCACTTGGAATTGCTGTCAAAGACTGTGCTATTGCGTGTCCAAAGCTAAGCGCTAAGGCTGTGTATACAATCAGTAGTGGACGAATTGTTGTAGCGAGCATTGGTTCTCTTAGTTGTGAGACGGATATACGTCAGCGATGCCGCAAGCGCTTGGCCCGTTATACACAATCTACAAGCGCTCCTGAAGGCATTATTCAGGGATTCTGCAGCGCATAAAGTTTACTCCGACTATACAGAAGAGCTCCCTGACCTAGGCTAGATCTGCATATATAATTGTAGTATTAGCAACCCCTGATCCTCACCGTAAGTGTTGCTTTGTGTCGAAATTATCTCCTCGTTGGCGTATCAAACCCAACACCTCCTCCAACTGGACAAGAAGTCAAATTACCTCTCCAGTACTGCATAGCATAAGCCGGCAGGTACGAGTTTGATGTAAAGTCCTCAGGCATATACAGAGCAACATCGCTGTCTGTATAGTTGCCCCCTGCCCGTACGAGCGCATCAAGTACGTAGCTCTCGATAAAGTCATAGAACACCAGGTCAACCGCCTCTGGAGTGCTGCCATCTTCGGGAAAGGAGCCGTTGCCCTGCACGACGTTCGGGCGGGGGTAGTTGGGTCTGTTAGGCATGTTAGTGCTATGATAGGTTTGCTATGGAGGGGTACACTACATTGGCGAATGGATTGTGTCATCACCATCGGTGCCGAAATCGTCTCTGGTAACGTAGCCGGGCACGATTTCTGTTGACTGCCGGCGAATAACGCGCCCTCCGGGTACTGAACGACGTTCGACATGGTCTCGGCGGATCGGTGGGTCCACACAAATGTTGCGGTCGACTAGGGACATGCTTGAGAAGCCGAGGTCTCTGGAGTCAAGGTTTCGCTTCTTGTGTTTGATAAAGCGGCCGGCGTTGAGGATCCCGAGGACTTGCTGGAGCGCTGTAAGTGTCTTTGTATGCAGTAAGCAGAGACGCAAGCTTACCGAAGCGAGCTCGAAGGGCACCTCGGGTATATAGAGGAACTTGTTCAAAAAGGGGATGACGATGAAAGAATCGTCATACGTAAACGGTCCTTTTACGACATCGAACCTTATGCCTGGCCGTTGGTTGTTAGCATCTATATAGTGCCATTGCCGATCTTTTGACTTACCGCCGGTGTTGGCGAGTAAGATGCGTGGAATGTCGGACCTAGACTTGTTCACCACGACAGCAGCAAGGGCCGTCTCGATAAGACCGTAGATGCTTCCAGGACTGCCGTACGGGGCACAGAACTGGCAGAATGTCTGTGGCGCGCACTAAACACCAGTTATTAATACTCAAAAATGCTGCTGTGATGATCGAACAGAGTCAAGGGCACTCACTCCATACAGCCGCGTCAGATTAAGCTGTTGTCTGATACCGTATATAGTGTGCGACACACTACATGTGTCAGCTTGTTCCATGTTCACTGCGTGTTTGGCAATCGTACGCGATTCCATGCTGCGTATCGAATGCTCTGTCCTGACTGCCGCTTGCGTGATAGGCAAACGTAAGTCTATTCCAGTCGAGATAGCGGCGAGCATACCGCATGGACGACGATGCCGTATAAGTAGACAAACCAGCGCTAGCAGTCGACGTAGCGTTGATGATGGCTCTCCTGGTTGGATGCGGGACACCGCTGGGCAGCATGTTGCCGTGGTAGCTGGAGGAGTTGATGCCGGTCATCGATACCCAGCCAAGAGTCTCACAATAGCGTCCTGATCCGATGGCAGTAGTCATCTCGTCATAAATCGCCCAATCACGCACATGGTTATGGCCTTTAAACTTTAGCTATGGCCGATTACGAACGGCGAAAGCTTACCTCCAAAAATCTGAATCGGAGTTGTGGGTTTCATGCTGCGGATAGTATCATAGACCACGCCCCAGGTGCTCGAGCTTATGTTCCTCCTTGCGGGATTGTGTCCCTTGGTGATAGAGATCGTTAGTGATGGAGATCGCCCAGATAGTAATAGTGAGATCGATAAGGAAGACACACTGCAAGTATAAACAGATCGATAGGCTCCGTAAAGTTGACCGCCTCGAGGAACCACGGCTGCTTGACCATCTGGGAAGCTGGAGTAATGCGAGACACGTTTGAATTGCCTGTAAAGTTGTATAGTACGCCGAAAGCCATGATTCGAAGGCCTAGGAGCTGTTGGTAAGCTCATCTGAGCTGTAACTTATACTAAACATACCTTGCTCAGTTGTGAAGTACCGGTACCGGTTGCCAAGGACCTCGTACTCGTTGGTATCAGGGTTTAGGATCTCGACGTTGCTCGTCAGATAGCGCTCGCCATACGCTCCGGCGAATTCAGTAAAGTGCTGATACGCAATCTCAGAGACGTAGAGCTCGTGGTTCCCAATGGCCAGAATATCGTAATCGATATTTTCAAACACTGGGTTTGACAGTAATCTTAGCAAGCTCAGTGTCAGTGAAAGGGAACATCATCTGGGTTTGAACGTTTAGACCGTCGTAAGACAGGTAGTTCTTACCCGTTTGGCTTCGTAGCATCTGCTAACCCGGCTCCATCATGCATGTCCTGAGTGTTATTCAGCGTTGATACCCTGTGGCGTCCTCTAAGTTCCCGTACTCCGCAGTCTACTAACAGTAGATCGACTCCAAGCTCCCGCGCCTTCTGCTTCATACGTGTTGTAAAGCTCACATAGTCTCCCCAATCCGCCTAAATTTGTCAGCGGTTACGGTTACCGGTCGGTGGCCAAGGCGGTGACAAACTCCGTATGATTGCTCTTTTAAGTGGCCTTCGAGCCAGCCATGAGTGTCTGTAGTCTCGCGAGGCTATCAACAAGAAACCCATTTGGAAGTAGAGTAGAAATGGAACATACATGCAAGAAATTAATTTGGCCCCATTCGAGAGGAGCGCGAGGACCAGTAGTTGCATTCTGTGACTCCGGCTGCATTCGTTTGACACGACGTGTCATCACAACATCCTCCTGAGGTCCATAGCAGCTGTCACAGGCGAGAACTGTGAGGGCGCTGGTGAGGCCGACGAGGGTGGAGGATAGGCGCATTTTTGCTGATAACGAGTAATGTTCGCTACGGAGACCCTCTTAAGACCTCAATTGATGATAATACACCAAGTTGAAGCTCCTGCGCAGCTCCTTGCATGATTCCTGGGGTCCCACCGCTCTTTAAAGGCAGCATGGTTCGATTATGCGCTCGCGGAGCTCCAGAAAGCAGCTCTGCGATAGGACCCCCCACGTGCATGAACATGACATGCCAAGATAGAAGATACCTTCTCTTTTAGGCGTCGATCACCGTCATTGTGCTTTTTGTTGGCGTTCCTGGCGATTGAACTCTCCCGTCGTGCGAGGGGTGGAGACACGATTGGCGGCCATCCAGAAACCGTTCCGGGCATCCCTGTCGAGAAGAGCTGGTGCCAAAACCTCACTTCAGCGAAGTAACTCCCATCACTGTGAGGCTGTCAGTACGGAATTTGAGAAGCTTTGCACCAACTGATCGTACCAGCACCAGCAAGCGGTGTAGTCTTTCCACGGGCCTTCGAAACTTAGGGGTCATGAGCCGACGCCGCTGCAATGAACTGTCCAATCACTGCAGCTTGGTACACTGCTGTCTATCAGACGAACACAATGCGAGCCTTATAATATCCGTAAGAGCCATCTCTTTCCAGGACCATGGTTGTGTGCGCTACTAACATCCCCAATGCTATGAGCTTGACATGCTTTGTCGCAGCGCAGATTGTTGCGCAAATTTTCATACTTTACTAACTCTTGTTGTAGTCAAGAATTTGGGAAACAGGGTCGCACTGCTAGCTGTTAGATACCTAGGTACGAAACACCTACTACTTCCATTCGTGGGGCACGGTCAACCGTCAAGGACCTGAGATATTTCCCAAGCCATAAGTCCTAAATGCGATTCTTGTGCTTAAGGTGGACGAAGTCGTTTGGGGCTCGAAGTCCGCTCCTATAAACCAACCGACGGCGCTCGGGCGTGATACTGCGTACAGATAATCGATTGAGAGCGTGGGTTCTCCAACTCTCGCAACCTTTTACTTCTTTAATTGTCTGTAAGTAGCAGTGGTTCGTTCTCACCGTAAAAAGTCTTGTTACATCAACTGTGTAGTCTGACTATGAATTACTCCCGTTGTGATAGTCATTTTACCGGTAGTGAATGGCTATGTCCTTGGCTATTTCTTTGGACGATCGACTATATGGTGAGGTTTGCTGTCTACGGACAAGCTACTTCCGTACCATTCTCCGCTGTAGACGATGCTATTCCGCTTCCTTGCACCATCGTCAAGATTGTAGGAACGTTTCCATCCACCTTCCTTTCGGCGTTGCGCAGCATCCATTCAGGTCTTCGAGGCTACGACTATCTACATTCGTCTAGGAGGTTGAGTAATTGTTCGCTCCTAGCTAGAGGCCTTGTCCGAGACTAATCAGTACCATATCACCGTTTCGGCAGCCATGTATGGCCCTGTGGTGTGGAATCATGATTCGTAAGATCAGTTGCCAGCTGGAATCGCATCATCTTGTCCTTAAGCAGCTATGAGGAAGTGCTGTTAGTAGCGTGTGAAATTTGCAGGAGCCTGTCTGGGTTCTTGTTTGGAGCGGGTTGAAAGACATTGCTGGTATCTCATGCGCTCGAAGATTGTAGGTATAATTTCGTCAGACAGGATCTGCCTACCGAACGGGCGGCTGTCTTTCCTTCACTCAATTACTGGCGGAAGATGGCTGCATCGGAATGGTGGCTCACCAGAGCAGCTGACCTGCTCTGAGCGCTGACCGTTCATGTTCCAACTGCAATCTCAATGCAAAACAAGAACTCGTGCTGCGTCAGTTTTCCTTTGCTTCACATGTGCGAAGTCTACCCCTTCACCGGCCTTTCAAACAACAAACAATCTCTCAACGTAGTTTCAATATCGTGTTCAACATCACCTTCCAGACCTTTCCAACCCTCCCGCAAGATCGCGTTTCCACTTCCATAGCAACCTGAGGCACAAATCGCACGGCTTCGTACATCATGGACACCGACAGAACACTGGTGACGTTCAAAGACGGCGACGTTCTTCTGAAACTCTCCGCTAGCGTCACCATGCAACTGCATGCCGCAGTCCTTCGTCGTAACAGCAAGCTCCTCAGCGAGTTGGTTGCGGAGGAGTGCTCGGCAATCTTAACACCGCAGGCAAAGAACAAAGGTATCCGCATTCGCTACAGGCTGGAGCTCGTCGAGCGCCCACCGATGGGCCAGGTTGGAGCCGGCAAGTTGATCCGCGTAGTACGTGAATACCCTCAACCGCTTAACCAAGCCAAATCCTTGGGAAGGAAGTTGCTTACCAGCTAAAGTAGGAGCTCGATGACAACGGGCGGGTGATTGACGACATCGAAGGCAAACCACGCCGACACGCCCTGCCCGACCTCGAGAACGGCAAGATCCCGCACCCCATCTACAAGCACTACGCCAACGTGATCGGCGCGTACTACAACCGCGAGATCATCCTGGACCACAGCAGCATCACCTCCCTCCTGCATGACGCGCTCATGCTCCTCGAAGTAGCCAGCTATCTCGGCTCCGTCTCCGTGGTCTCCAAATCGATCGACCTCGCGCTCCTCAACCAAGGCCAAACGCTCTACCGCTCGATTCAGACCAACCCCACGGCCTGGATCAAGCTAGCCCACCAGCTCAAATCCGAGATCCTGTTCCAAGAAGCCCTGATCCACCTCGTCGGAAGCTACAACGCGCTCACCGCAGACCAGAAGTCCGAGCTATCCAATGATCTTATGGCCCTCATCGACAAGAAACACCTCGAGCTCCTTGCGCGCTCCCAGGACCTCGAGGCAAAGATCTTCCGCCTCTACCCCCGTAGCATGCGCCGCGACGCCACGCTGCAGGAAGTCGGCCGCGCGGCCTACAGCTCCGACATCTACGCGTGGATCGCGCTGTGCGTCCTGCGGCACTGGCTGGGCGATCAGATCGCCATGGATCGGGGGCACCATTCGCCTGATGGTGGATACGCACTTTATTGCAAGCTGGCGCAGGGCGGCATGGCTTATATTGACCGCACGGACCTGGGGCCGTTCTTTGGCATGTTCCCGATGAGCGTTAAGGCGAAGGCGTGTGTGGAGAACTGCGTGCTGGAGATTAAGGAGCTTGTGAGACGGATGGTGGAGGGGAGCAAGCTGCTGAATTCGAACTTGGCGCTGGATGTGGGCAAGTATGGGGTGGAGTACTTGACGGATGTGAAGGTGGCGAAGGGAGAGTTTCCGTGGTTGAAAGGTTAGCCACGGCTATGGCGAAGGACAATGCATGCTCCGGCTGTGTGCTCTGCTCCGCCGTTTGATGGGTCACGGATGATTCTAGGCCTGTCTCAATATCCAAAATTATAAATCGAAAAGGTTGCCGGCGGGCGTTCAGGTGGATTGTTGCACTTTTCTGAGCGGCGTGCGCACGAGCTGAGGAATTTTCTTGGTTGGCTTTTAGGTGCGGAAGTGATCGACAATCAAAGAACCGAACTCAATATAATACTCTTCGGGCCCTCAAGGATTCTCATATGCCGTATGGAATTGCAGTCATGCTACAGCCCGATTCCGCGAACCTTTTCGGAACAGTTTATTGAATTCCGTCAACGCCCTACTCTCACCACTGCATCATCAACAGCGGAGCCGAGTCCTTCTGGCATCTGCTTCATTACTGGATGGTGTGCGGTAGGTGTTGCACATACTACGAGGCACTGACGCGCAACCTTGTCCAACGTTGATCATGTGTCAGCTAAGGGTGAGCAGGGCTAGACTGTAGAATGAATGTACCGGTTATGGTCATATATTTCGTTTCTGAATTGTCCATTGAAGCTGGCGTGCAACCAATACAGCTTTGGGGCTCGAATATGTACATACGCCGCCTGATCATAGTACCCACCACACTTACGAGAACACCTTTCCACTGAGCAGCCTTCGACCGATGTATCCCTGCACTCCCTCTGCCATCTCCTCCCCTGCTCGTCCTAATCATCATAGCCCTCCGGTATCTTCCTAGGCCCCTTCGGTACTGTGATTAATCCAAATTAGCCCGCATGTTCAATACCGCGTCGCCACAATCCATCCACCAGGTCCGGCATCCACTAGTTGGCAAGCGAGGTGACATACTCGGATAAGTCAACGGAATCGGTGGCCTCGGTCCATCCCCCAACCTCCGCCTTATTGAAGGAACCGTAACCATCATGACAGGTCCCATACCGCCGACGACAAAGGAGTAGAAGATGGCTGGCTTCTCGTGCGACGCCCAGCGGAGGTAGGAGAGCGGCTGGCGCCAGAATCGCGGTGTTGACATGATGGTGGTGTTGCGGCTTGTCGCGCCGGCTTCCGTGGGGGAGCGGTCTCAATTGGCGGCGCGCCGGTCCAGGAATTCGATTAGAGTGTGTCTGAACGATCGAAGTGTTTGTTTGTGGGCTGCCTTGAAGCTCCGGGGAGCTGTTGCTGATGTAACTTGCTCCGCGATGTCGAGGTCGAAGCTGTCGGTGGTGGAGATGTTCCGACGGGAAAGTCTTGGCATCGAATACGTTTCTGAAGCTCCAAAAGCCGCAACCTCTGATATTGGATTGTTGATTGCTGCTTTAGCACAGCATGAGGTGGCTAGTCTCTTTTCTTCTGCTCGCGCTGCTGGGCGTTGTCCAAGCGCTGAGCTTCAGTGGAAGCCGACTACTGGTTGTCATCGAGGAGCTGGAGGAGAAGGAGAAATACTCGCAGTTCTGGGGGGACCTGAAATGTATGTAGTTGTCAATTGCGCGTGGCCGTGGGGCAATGAGGCGTATACGGTGCTGACAGTGAGATCTTGTAGCTCGAGGATTTTTACTTTCCTTCGAATCACCGAAGAACGACAAGCTATCTCTCTTCAAACACGGCGAACGAGCATACGACCACCTCATCCTCTTTCCACCCAAGTCAAAAGGCCTAGGGCCAAACCTCACGCCCCAAATCCTTCTCGACTTCGTCAACAGAGATGGCAATATCCTCCTAACCCTCTCTGGCGACTCACCTACTCCCGCCGCTATAAGCTCGCTTCTCCTAGAGCTCGACATCCACCTCCCTCCAGACCGCAATGCTCTGGTCGTAGATCATTTCAACTTCGACACCAAGACCGCTGCAGAGAAGCATGATGTGCTTGTTCTGCCACCTCCTCAAGCTCACCGACCAGGTGTCAAGAACTTCTTCTCCGTTGGAGGAACCCTCGCCGTGCCACGAGCGGTTGGACAGGTCCTCAGCAATGAAAGCCCTCTACTGGTGCCCATCCTCCGCGCACCCACCACCGCATATAGTTACAACCCGAAAGATGAGGCGGAAGCTGTAGAGGAGCCCTTTGCCGTTGGCCAGCAGTTGTCACTCATCTCTGCACTGCAAGCTCGCAACTCCGCCCGTTTCACCGTGCTGGGTTCGGTCGAGATGCTGCAGAACCAGTGGTTGAACGCGAACGTCAAGACAGCCGGCAAGGAGACCACGACTGCGAATCGCGAATTCGCGAAGCAGCTTTCGAGTTGGACGTTCAAAGAACTGGGTGTGCTCAAGGTCGGCAAGCTACAGCACTACCTCGCCGAAGACGGGAAGAAGTTCAATACTAGCTCGCTTTCTGTTCCGGAGCACAATCCTACAATCTACCGCATCAAGAACGACGTGGTAAGTACTACCCAGCCAAAGCCATGAGCTACTTTCATCAATACTGACAATGCCTCTTCGTAGACTTTCACAATCGAGCTCTCAGAGTACGTTGAGGACCATCTACAGCCATTCCTCCCACCCGCAGATGATGACCTACAACTGGAGTTCACCATGCTATCGCCATTCCACCGCCTTTCCCTAAAACCGATCGGCACAACCGAGAACGCTACCATCTTCGCAACTTCATTCACGCTCCCGGACCAACACGGCATCTTCAACTTCCGCGTCAATTACAAGCGTCCCTTCATGACGAATGTAGATGAGAAGAGGCAAGTTACTGTCAGACACTTCGCACATGATGAGTGGCCAAGGAGTTGGGAAATCAGCGGCGCCTGGGTATGGATCGGAGGAGTTTGGGTCACGGTCCTTGGGTGGATGGCATTTGTTGGTGTTTGGCTGTACTGTGAGCCGATGGATCGGAAGGCTGAAGTTAAGAAGACGCAGTAGTGTTGTAGCAACCTTCCGTTAGATTCTGGGGTTAGAGGCCTAGCGACATGACGTCCTTCTACATATTCCCCTATCATGATTCCTGCAAAAGCAGTTACCCTGCCGCTTCTTGCGGCCAAACACGGATGCGGGACTGCAACTGCAGTTTATTTCACGTGCACGGTACCACTCCATGCTTCCGGCCTGACATCTCCAGCAAACCTCCACCAACAACCGAAAACCACAAACCTGGGCAACCATAACAGTTGCGACATTGCTCAAGCCGACAACATCGGAGCTCAAGCCATATGGTAATCTCGATCCACTGCATACACCGGTCGCCAGGCTCTTCGCACGTACAGTGGCCCAGTCATGCATCTGCGATCCCGACCGTACTGCTCGTATCTCGTATTCTCAATTCTTGCTTGACGTTTCCCCGGGAATGTGACTTGGCCCCCACCCTAAGAGCGACCGTCTGAAGGAATCTGCCAAGGTCAGGCTGTTCTGCCACCAGGCTCAAGGCATCTTTACACATAAATATGATGCCGCCCTTGCAATTGGAGTCAAGAAGGAATCACGCTAATCCTGCATCCTGACATGGCGTAAGGCCGCAGTCTCGTATCTCTTTGCTCCGCACGCAGGTAATGGGGGCCGTTCGTTCCGTATCTAACCGTATAACTTTGATGAGGTCGTTCATATAAAGGCCATGAGAATGGCACCAACTTTCGCTAAGGCTACAGTTTCAACTAGTTTCCCTATCCACTGGGTTGCAAACAATGCTGCCTAAGTCTACGCTCCTATTGACGCTTCCACTTCTTCTGCATCAAGTCTGTTCAACCAATCTCTCACCTACCGTCCCCTCGATCACCATCGATGCTGGTGTAGTCATCGGTACAACTACGAATCTGCCCTCAGCAAGTGCAGCCGTGAACAAGTATCTCGGCATACCGTTTGCAGCGCCACCAGTACGCTTCGCCGTCCCGGAGAAGCCGAAGCCATGGGATGCACCGCTCAACGCGAGTGCATGGAAACCAGCTTGCATCCAACAATTCCCTCCTGTCTTCGCAGAGCTGTCTGACATCCTCGAGACTGTATTCAACGATTTCACTCCCGAAGAAAGCGAAGATTGCCTCTACCTCAATGTCTACGCTCCTGCAGGACCTGTGCCTGGTAATGGTCGCGCCGTGATGTTCTCGATCTATGGAGGGAACTTTCAGTTTGGTAGCGCCGGACAGCCCATATTCGACGGCTCTCCATTTGCGGCATATGAGGACGTTATTGTCGTTACCATCAACTATCGGACTAATAGCATGTACCTTCCTGCATTACCAATGTTGAGTTCAGTAACTGACGTTCTGGATGGAAATAGTCTTTGGCTTCGCCTCCGCCCCCGAATTGCCTCTCGCTGAACGAAACCTCGGCTTCTTAGATCAAAGGGCTGCCTTGGACTGGGTAACACGCAACATCCATGCATTCGGTGGCGATCCAGCAAAGGTGACAATTATGGGCGAGTCAGCCGGCGCCTTCTCTGTCGATACACTCATCACAACCATGCCCCAGAATCCGCCGTTCCGCGCTGCTATCCTCCAAAGCGGCCAGTACAGCTTCCTGAACCCCGGCCTGGTGGACAGCACTCCGACCTGGCTGGCTCTGACGGCGATTCTCGGCTGCAGTGATCCGGTCAGCAATCTAACATGTGTCAGGAGCGTGCCTGCGGAGAATCTCACCGAGATCACTGAGGCTAACGGTCTCATCTTTTATCCAACTTCGGACAATGTCACGCTGCTATCCCATCCGGCTGCTGCGCGCGCTGACGGAAACATTGCGCGTGTACCCGTCTTAGAAGGCACAAATGCACAGGAAGGCACTCTATTCGCAGCCGTGCAGGACAACCTTACCGAGTTCTTGAATCAATGGTTTGGCGCGTTCCCGCCTGAGGCGATAGAAGCCGTCCGGCTGGCTTATCCCTTACAGGGCAGGACGGAAAATGAGGTTATTGCCGAAATCTCCGGAGAGTTTTCATTTCTGTGCCCGCAATCGCTGCATACTAACGTCACTGCTGAGGCCGGAGTCCCTGCGTGGCGGTATTGGGTTAGTCTTTCTCCTTCCTCCCTAGTCCCCTGTCTTCCTTTCCCCCGTTTCCTCTTGTTTGAACTTCTGCCTCCTCCAAACTAGCCCCTATCCTTCCGTCAAAATAGAAAGAACATATTTAGAGAAGCGAAGAAAACAGTTAACAAGCCCCCTCCAACCCCAGCTCAACGCCACCTTCCCCAACATCCAGCTCCCAGGGTTCAACCTAGGCATCTATCACGGCTCCGAGCTCCCCCTCGTCTTCTCCACCTACCCTCCCTACAACGTCACAGCACAGCAGTATGCCCTTTCGAACTTCATGCGGCAGGCCTGGGCGCGCTTTGCGAAGAACCCTGCCGAAGGCCCCGGTTGGAATGCTGTAGGAACTAGTGGCAGTTTCGTGCGGACCCAAGAAGGTTGGCTAGGGTTCAGCGAGGCGGTGCTCGAGAGGGAGGCGGAGGACTTGCATGTGGGGGTTTTGGGGGCGGAGGGGACCGCTGGGGTGAAGATAGTCAGGGAGAGTGAGATTGATGCTAGGTGCGGGTTGTTTTTACCGGTTTATGAGGCGTTGTTGGCGGTTAAAGGGGATCGATGGCGGTAAGGAGGGGTGAGAGGAGGTTGGGGGACATGGAAGACGAGGGAAGTTTGCTGGGGGACCGTCCTGCTTAAGGATGTCACTGTGGATTCTGCGTTCAGCTTATCCGCCTGATGTACGCTATCAATGACATTGAAGAATATACTACGCTGATCCAGGAATTACTGTGATCATTCGCAGCTTTATCACCGCACTCATCAGGCGTTTCGATTTCATTATGGACTCCACCCTTGGGAAAACAGGTTCCCTGCCGTCCTCAACTCTTCCAGAACCGCCACCTCGACTTCTTCCTCTCTGCTTGCGTAGTCTCCGCCGTATCTGCATCGGCGACATCCCCGCCATCGGCTTGGAAAGCCGTCGTTTCGCGGTCTTCACGGTCATGAAGCAACAGGTTCTGGATCAACGACTTCAGCTCCTCGACCTGGAATTCCATCATCGATTTGTCCTTAGCCAGCTGTTCCGCCCACAGAGCCTCTACTACTTCCACTACTGCTGCATCGTCTCCTCGTCCAGGACTATGAGCATGTCCATGTGCATGTCCATGGCCTCGGTCGAGGCCTTGATCATGGCACCGATCATTGTATGCCTGTCCACGACCACACCCGTCCGCATTCCCGTGGCCACGCCCCTGTCCTCGACCACGCCCTCTGGCACGACCGTACCCAGAATCCCCCACTCTCCCTCCGCTCCCTTCCCTAGCTCTTGTGTACTCTGTCCCTGCCGTCCCCTTTGCTCTCTCCATATCTCCTGCCTCTTCCACCGCTCCCGCCCCGCCCCTCCCTTCTATACATGCCCTAAGCGTTACCCTGAACACGCGAAGCCCAGTCCAGCTTCGGACAAACCACAGATGCGGCTCTCCGTAGTAGATGTACCACTTGTCCTCCATCTCCGTCGGGACGTGCCCACGTTTGATGCGCTCGTACTGTGCCGCAGTAAAGGATGCATTGTAAGGGATTTTGACGCCGGACGCCCAAGGTTGCATGTTGGGAGCCATGCGGGCGTGGAAGGATTTGTCCATTCGCGGTGGAACAGGAATGAGGGAGAAGTCTAAGACGGAATAATGGTGGGAGCGAGGTGAGCCGGTGGATACTGAGGAGAACAGAGATTTTGCGGCAGATGAAGGGGAAACGATGGGATGATAGCTGAAGTGGAAACAAGAGTTTCGGTCAAGCAAGACTACCAGCCACGATTTGGAAATTGCCTTGTCTTATTTGACCATGCCAGCTGAGGAGGCTTGCGGCTATGATTAGCAGGCTAAGCTTCCTCGGTAAGACAGAGAAGCTGGAAGCGGTTGCTCTCGCCGTTTTGGGGGCATATCTACACTTAGAGCTTCATACATGTAGCTCTGCAAGTAATGTTAATGCATAATCGACTGTCCTCTATTAAGGTACAGGCTAGCGGGTCATCTCGTTCAGGGTGGTCCCCCTGGGCATTACGAGTAAGTTAGACATACCTACTACGGTGTATATGACTCGCGATATTGACCTACAGAAAGTGAGCTGCGTCATTGGATGGAAACGGATGTAAAGTAGACTACAGGCCCACAAATACAGCTATACAAACGTTAGTTGAAAGGCTGCTTACGCTGCATGTTCGCAGCGCGCTCTTTGAGCAGGACGAGCAGTTCTCAGTTGTATCTCTTCAAATTCCCAGCAGCTATAGCTGTCCGAAGTTTCGTCGGTGCTTCCACAATGACCGGAGAAGAAATACATAAGGCGGGCACTGACGATGGCTGGCACGGCGTGATAAAACCGGGCACAGATTTCGCACCAGAGAACGGACGGTATCACCTTTACATTGGTGTGGTCAGGGCGAGTATACATCTACCACAATTGTCACTAACACTAGTCAGGTCTCTTCTGCCCCTTTGCCCACAGAGCCAATCTTGTCAGGCATATCAAGGGCCTAACAAACTTCATCGACATCTCCATCGTTCGGCCGTACCCGAAAGGCGACGAGAAAGGATGGCCAGGGTGGAGGTTCCCGAAGGATAATGAGGAGTACCCACGGGCGACGGTGGACAAGCTCTTCGGCAGCCAGTATCTGCATGAGGTATACTTCAAAGCGGATAAGGATTACAAAGGCCGATACTCAGTGCCGGTGCTGTGGGACAAGAAGACATCGACCATTGTGAACAATGTGAGGAGCCTCCGACACACACACAGCCTTTAAGCATGTTCTGCGTTAATCTCATGGCACGAGGTATGGGATTAAGCTGAGTGTATGGTCTACGTCAGGAAAGTACCGAAATTCTGCGGTGGCTCCCCACAGCTTTCAACTCTCTCCTGCCTCCCGAGCTCACCGGAATCGATCTCTACCCCGAACATCTCCGCGCGCAAATCGACAGTATAGCCGAGTGGATGCAGAGGGACCTCAATACGGGCGTCTACAAAGCGGGCTTCGCACCAGACCAAGAAACCTATGACAAGAACGTTATCCCTGTGTTCGGCGCGCTGAACAAGGTCGAAGAGATTTTGCACCAGAATGGCGGGCCGTATGTGCTTGGAAAAGAGCTGACGGAGCTTGATGTGCGGTTGTATGGCACGATCGTGAGATTTGATGTGAGTGTCACGAAGTCCGATTAGAACGGAAGGATTGAAGGACGAATGCGTACTGAGAGATACAAAGGTTGTATACCATCAACACTTCAAATGCAACCTAGGAATGGTACGATGGGACTACCCGGTGCTGAACGAGTGGCTCAAGAATCTGTATTGGAATGTCAAAGGGTTCAAAGAGACGACGGATTTCTTACATATAAAAGAGAATGTGGGTGCCGTCTCGTTTTCAAGGTCCTAAGAATCGCAAGGAAGAGTCTTCAAGCTGTGCAGATCTTCGCCTAAAGAGGAAGACGCGCTGATAGCGACCGCAGTACACGAAAAGTCACTACGACATCAATCCGAAAGCTATCACTCCCATGGGACCTTTCCCAGATGTCTCGGAGCAGGGATCCGTCGAAACGGACTTTAGCAAGCTGAGACCGGGAGGCGTAAAGCTACCGGCTGTGTTGGACTATCAGGCGAAATTGTAGGTCGATGGCGGCACGTATGTCGTGCGAAGTGACTGTATTTCGGTTCAATCTCTCATGACCAGTACAGTGATGTTCAGTCTCAAGCGTCCACCCAGTCCAGGACGCCGCAGAGGGTGGAAGGCTCGTTTAGCCTCTCGTCCCTGTTCAAAACCTGAGACGCGTTGTTCAACAAAAAGGAGGAAAGATTAGAAGAAACCTGAGATGCGTAGCCAAGCAATACAGAACCAGCTTCTGGTATCATGTCGTCGACCAGCTAGATCAAGTCTTCGCCAGTTTAACGTCCGCGTCGTCCTTAGCTTTAATACAGAAACACATAAGCGGCAGGCTAGGTTGCTTGATTGATGTTCTACTGGAATGCAATGGTATGTGAAGATTTCAGATGAGGAGAGCTCGAAACAGAGACATGTCTGAATCGAAGCGCGATATCATCACATGAATCAGGACTTTGGGCCGAGATAGCGCCACGCAACCAGGCCCATTGCTGATACAATGGAGAAAGCAAGAGATGTCACATACTACAACAGATACCCAATGCCATGTACAGGAGTCAAGGCCAGCCAATCTGGAATCCTTGTGAGAACTTATCGGAACGCTTGTAAGAGTGGCTGTCCTGAGTTTCAGCGGTGCAAACTCCCGACTTCATGGACTGCTCCCAGATCTCTTGGGCGTACGCGATAGGGGTATACTGTGCCAAAGCACGTCCGCTAGCTTAAGCGACGGTTCCTTGTGCCATGATACTAACTGGCACAATTGATTCCAGGCGGGTACCAGAGGCATGTTGCGGATAGGTGACAGGATCGTGTGCAGGCAAGGAACTGTCCAGAATCTTGGACATGTAAGAAAACACTTATCCGCACGAGAGTGTAGAGGCGATTGGATCTTTTGCAAGGAAACAACAGATCGAGATGAGACGGACAGGATTGTGAAAGCGGAAGAATCGGCAGCTCTAGTGGTCCGGATGCCGTACGTGCCTAGGTGGCATCTCTCCTTAAGTATCCCCTGTTCTCTATCAAGCAAGCAGTTTCGCCCGTGAACTTTCGATAAGATTACAATTTCGCACAGCGGAGACCTGCCGAAGCGCGAAGCGACTACTGGAGACTTCTATTTGTTTGGGCCTTCTCAAGTCTGGCGTAAAGCAATAACGTCCAAGATTATGTAGCCGTTATGGAACGCTTTGCTGGCGCGACAGACCCGCATCGTGCAAGCCAGGAGTTAAGGGTTAAGAGGTTGAACGATATTGGCGCAGAGTGCTGCATGAGGCTCGAGAAGTTGATCAGCCGTAGTACATGGTTACGTGCCAGAGCCGGCGAGCCAGACTTGCGCCTTTGTTCGAGAGTAAGATCATGTGCAGCTTGTATTTGGCAGATTAGTCAGAGCGTTTAACTCGAGCATCACAAGCTACACAATGTTCAAGTTGGTGAATAGTTGCAAGCGCCGACCTTATATGGGTATCTGAGAAGAGCTACCGTAATAACCCATGCTAACCCACCGAATCAACCAGAACCGGGCGTACAATCTTGTTGCCGCCAAAGCAAATATGTCCTGAGCAAAGTCGCTAAAGCATGCATTGAATCCAGAAGCCATCCACCACATCAATAACTTCGCCCTCTCGGAGAAACAGTCTAGACGTGGTCCTCACCCTTCTCGGAAACACGTGCCTCGACAGTCTCCTTCTCCGCAACTGCCTCGGTGATCTTGCCCATGTCGTGCCTCGTGGCGTCGTCGGCGAAGGTACCATGCGGCACCCACTTAGAGGAGGTGCGAGGGGTGGTCTCCTCGAGCATCTGGTCGACCTGCTCGAGCGAGAGACCCTTTGTCTCCGGAACGAAGAACCAGGCGAAGAGGACGCAGGCGGTGCAGGTAGCGCCCCAGACGAAGAAGACCTTGGACTTGAGGTTGCCCTATTCGGCGTCCACCATGTAGGGGGTGATGTAGCCGAGGATCTATAAGATCAGTCAGTCATGTCCGGGAGAACAGCGTGGAATGGGGTTGCTTACGAAGTTCCATAGCCAGTTGGAGGCGGTCGAAAGAGCGACACCCTTGGCGCGGATGGGCAGCGGGAAGATCTCGCCGATAAGCACCCAGGCGCCAGGACCCCAGGTCGAGGCGAAGAAGAAGATATAGAAGCAGACGAACACGATGAGGCAGGTGCCGGCGGCCTTTGAGCCTTCGCCGGTGGCAGTGCCGATAATGGCAACGAGGAACTCGCACACGGCCATACCGATGGCGCCATAGATGAGAAGAGTACGACGACCAAGCTTCTCGATGGTCCAGAAGGAGATAGGAGTGGAGCACACGTTAACAATCGTGGTGATCATGCCTATGAGGAAGCTGTCCTTGATGCCGACTTGCTGGAAGAAGGTTGTGCCGTAGTAGACTTCAGATTGTTAGTTCGACCTATCAACTATCTCAAGAAGCTACTCACAAATGAAGTTGACACCAGTAAGCTGCTGCATCATCTGTAGAGCCATGCCAAGAAGAACACGGCGGAGATTGCCGGATGGCTTAAAGCCGCCACGGAAGCAGTCGGCCCATGTCGCCTGCATGTTAGAGATCTCATAGTGGTAGTTGGCGACAAGCTCGGCCAGCTCATCCTTGATGTATTCGGAATCGACGGGCTGTCCACGTAGCCGAGCGAGGGCTTTCGTGGCCTCTTCAAGGCGGTCCTTCTTCACATACCAACGGGGCGACTCTGGGAGCAAGAACAGGCCCACGCCGAGGATTAACGCCCATAGGAACTGGATAGCGATTGGGATGCGGTACGAGCCAGTGTCCATGCGGTCCTTCGTGCTGTTGTTGACTACCGCAGCGAGGAGGAGGCCGATGGTGATGGCGAACTGGTAGCCGGAAACTATGGCGCCGCGGACAGCCTTCGGTGCGATCTCAGACATGTAGAGGATGATGACAGCCGAGACGAAACCCACGCCGATGCCAGCGATGAGACGACCGACGACAAGCAGGGAGACTGACGTAGAGGCGACCTGGAGGATGACACCGAGAGAAAAGACCGCGCAACCAAGAATGACGGTGATCCGACGTCCAAGCCAGTCGGCAAGAGAGCCTGCGAAGAGAGCACCGAAAAAGGTACCAGCTGACAAGATCGACGTAATGAGGGACTTCTCCCATGTCTTGTAGAGGTAGCCGTTGTAAGCAGTTTCATCAAGAGAGCCTGGCGAGCCGAACTCTTGCTTGAAGAAGTTCATGCCGAGAACGCCGCTGATGTAGCCAGAGTCATATCCGAAGAGGATACCACCGAAGGAGGCGAAAGCACAAAGCAGGTAGGCCTTGGCCGTGACAGGAGCTTCGACGCGGCTGAGATCGCCGGTCTGGCGGTTGGATTTGGGAGCGAAACGCATCGTGATGTGTTGATTGAAGGTGATCACAGAGGAAGAAAGTTGAGGAGGCGGAAGAAAGTGGAGGACGCGCTGAAGAAGCAGAAGAGAGGGTTGCCCGGATGCGGGTCATATATGAAGAAAGAACCCATCACGCGCCCGACCAAGTTTGGCTAAAAGCGGCCAGGTGAATCTCACGATGCTTCTGCTTCACTGAAAGTCTTGGCACTCCGCAAACGAGGAGATGCCCAACGTTCACGTCCCCATGCGGGTAGATCATAGCTCAGGAATGTGTCTTCGCCATTCGATGGTCGCGCAGGTAAATTTGTGCTTCTAGGCTAGCACACGCACCAATCAATTGCGGCTCTTCGATCTTCATATGGTAGTACGACCGGCAGGTTATCCTTGGGTGACTCCCAAGGACCACAAAATGCACCAAGTTCCACGAGAAGTTCTCCAGTACTCTGGCACGTCGTCGGCGGTGTGCACCTATCCGAGCCCGTCAACCTGATCTGCAGATGCCCCGTCGTCCAAGCTTTTGCTGGACCATGCGGCGGAATCCCGCAGCTGGGCTGGGATGCCTTACCCGTGCTGTTTACTTTAGGGCTCAACGGCGCGGTTGGGCGTGCCAATTAGATGAGGGACGTTAATCGTGCGCCCCCTAGCATGTCCAGATGGGCCGCGAAGGTTGGAGACACTCCTAAGATGGTGGTCCTTCATTCGTGTCGCAATCCACTCTAAACCGACCACCTTCCCCATAAAATCGATTAAAGCGCCTCAGGTCTCCAGGATGCCGGAAGCTGCTTGTACCTTAGCAAAGGCAATTCCTAGAAACCACGCACATGGTCACCAAATAGCCTGACATAGTGTTCCACTGGCTATCATCGATTCTGATTTCGGTGATCTTCAGACGCTCAGGTAACGCGCCGTCAGTGCACCGCAAACGGCGACTTCGCAGGCACGGCTCCCCGAAACGTAATTCTGCCCCAGCAATGCAAGTTTTGGTACTCCGAAGTCGCAGTGAAGATGAAGAGCACATGTGAAGTTGTAGCAAGCTATCGGCGGCTACAGCCGCTGCAGGGTCTCTAGGGCGATTTGTTGTTGTTGTCACGACTCGTATCCCCAATGTACTACCACAGTCGCATTCCAATGTCGCACCCCCAGGCCAGCCACTTGCTGACGCTCCACTCACAAAGTGAAGGCTTGCTCCACTATCTATCCATCTCCTCCACCGAGCTCTTGAGAGGAATCCATGGTGGTGAAGCGGCGCGCCTTGTTTCCAGCCCTAGACACGCTGTCGACCTGCCAAGACGCCGTGATCCCAGCAGGCTTGAAGCGTTAGCTGTTTTACGCTGGCCCTTGTGATCCGCACCAGGGCATCGAGCGGCTAATCTGACGCTTCGGGCAGGTCAGATGCAAAGAAGGGGCGTGGAAGATTCGTGGAAGCGGCATCGAAGTTCTAGTGCGAAACTGTCGCAGTCTACAAGGTTGGTTCATGGCGCAACCTTGTTAATTGAGCATGGAACGTCCAACCTCGCTCCCTCTGACCTCCAGCTTCCCCAGTTCTCAAGACTTGCCGGGTCATGGGCCTGGCCGTGTCGCACTGCAAGCAGCGAATAGGACTCGAGCTTCGGGTGTGTCTCAAGGCGCCCAAGCCAGCGGCCGGCGCGTCAGGGGGGCTTCTTGCCATCGGTTCGCAGGCCGCTGTCGCCCAGCCTCGTCCGATGGAACGATGCATAGCCCTAGAACTTTGACGCGTTGTTCAAATCTCAGATGCTGACTTGGAACAGTTGACTTCACTGGCAACATTTTCCGTTATTCTAGCGCAGCTTCTAGATCAGAAACGGCTCTGGTCGACGCCGTTACATTCAGAAATGGCATGAGATCGTCTCAGCCTAAGAAACGTCGGAGGTTGTTGCTTGCAACCACCCATTTCTGCTGTCTTAGACGATGAAAACTCTGAATCCTCCAATCGGGTCGTGCGTAAAACCCGAGATGCGATTGAGCAGGACCCATACCTTCCCCGCGCCCTGCGGGCAACCCCATTTCCGGAGTGGGAATTATCTGAGATTCGGCAACGGGAAGGGAGAAAGCACCAAGTGGCTCCGCGGTGTTAGCGACAAGCTCACCGCGCGCTGGGGCGGATCACGGACATCAAGCTTCTTCAGTCACGCAGCAGAGCCTGGACCCGCCGTTCTTCGCCTGTGTACCAAACGGAAAAAGCGGGGCACGAAAAGTATAGGGATAGGGCATGGACTGTTTTGTGCTATGGTCGCAAGAGAGTTAATCATGGAAGAATGCCTCGATAGCACGATGAACCTTCGTCGGGCAATGCTCTGTTCATGAGCGACCTGCAGGTACTCCGATCGCCGTCCGCGATACTACTTTGTCACATGCGAGTCACCTTTCACGCACTCCTCTCAGGAAGACACGCCAACCATGAGTATTCTAGCAAGCCTCTTAGTACATATTCGGGCAACGAAAGTACTAATACATAGAGTCCCCCTCGAGCCAACTTCAGTGCTTCCAATATCCCTGAAGCTGCTGGGTGAGTTATTTGCAACCGGAATCGCTCCCCTCTATCTCGGTATCCTCTTCTGTCGCATCCAGGTCCAATGGTTCGAACGTCTCCTCCAGCAAGGAGCCTTCGGCGGCGGGGCCGCTATCCGTGACCTCGTGGATGCGCTCAGTATTGGAACTCCACGTCTGACTAGGCCTCTCTTGCCCCGGCTGCAGATGCACCCTCTGTATGTGGCGCGAGCGATATGTACTTGCAACGGCGAACATCGAGCGCCACCTGTACCTTTCCAACATGTAGACGACCAGCTTGTCCTTGTATAGCGACTTTGCGCGTCTCGTCGCTCCGAGGTTCTTTACATGTTCTCCACGGATGTATTCGATGTCGGTCGGAACCACGACTCTCTCGATTCCGTTCAGCGGCTCGCCAGGCGTAGGAAGTAGTTTTGTGGCATATCGTCTAGCAGCTGCTATAACTTTGCGGCTGTCCCTTTGGAAATGGGAAAGCAAGCTGCCCCCGAAGCGGTCTACGCGATCGCGGTCCTCCTGAAAGGTCAGGCATTCGGCGTTTACCAGGGCCCAGAGGTTGAGCCCATACTCTGCACGGTGTATAGCCAAGGATCTCGCCGCGTTCTTCTTTGCAACGTACTCACTCCAGCCGACCTCTGCTCTCGTCATGGAGAAGCTGCAGACGCTTTGTGTTGTGAGCAGCGTCAGACGGGGAACAACATCAACCTCTCCTCCGTGGGCCCGAGGATGCTTGTTGTCAGGGTTCAGTGGCTGCGACAAGCCATCTTGTGTTTCGTCCACATCTTCCTCACGCTCATCGTCTGTATTTAAGCCACTATCAATGGCTGATTATTGTGTTTGGTCCGTTCCGCCGAGCTCGAGGACCCATTCTTCGCCGAATAGTTGAATCCACTGGTTCATGGTAGGATTTCGGTTTGCATGCCGCCTCATTAGCTCCATTTTCCTCGTCATTGTAATACTTGATCGGCTTTTTGTACGATTGTACGCTGTATATGTTGAATGAATTTGGGTTGAGTATTAGAAGCGCGCAGAAACTGTAACGATTGTTGGCAAAATGGATGTGATGGTGTAACTCGGAAGTGAGCGCAGCAAAGTGAGGTGAAGGTAGGTGTGTTTGAGTTGGTAGAAGGAAATCGCTCGCGACCTCACTTCGTCATCTCTGCCACTTGCGGTCGGCGTAAAGTTTCGCTTATTGCGCGCTAGTAACGACTATCTCCTCCTTCTATGGTACGAATCAGACAATTCGTCTTCTCCAGTCTATCAGGATGCTGGTTTTCAAATAGACTTGTGGCCGCGTTCGGCGTTAGTATCGATGTTATGCCAATCTCACGGAGCTGGAGAGCCCTGGGGGCTATGACTGAAGGGTATCGCTGCAGATCGAGCGCAGACATCGAGGGAGATTGGATGTAGTGCGGTCTCAAGTCGTACTCAGTTAAGGGAACTATTTCACAAGAGCGTAAGGCGGCGGACAACTACGGAATTAGGTAGAGCGAGGGCTTATGTGTGCTATCAAAGCTACGGTCGCGAACTTCAGGCACGCAGGACATTTTCTGAGGATGAACACAATACGGGCAACTCATACCCTGACATGAAATATTGAGTGGCAGCCAATAATGAAGACGCGATCACGCCCACAGTGAGCTGGTCAATTGTTCAGGATCATCCTGTGACCGGGATCTGATCCATACATGCTTTCCCACTTGTAGTGTTCACTGATTTATGCGAACCAGAGCGAGGCCGAACACGTCGCACATTGAAGCCGCCTAAGATACATCAATGGTACTCGTGAGGGATAAGTGATTTTAGCCTTTGAGGGCAAGAACTCTTGGTCTGTGCGGGCACCAAGATGCGATTCGGCAGATGCCGCCTAACGCGCCTCGCGGTCAACGCGTCCCTCTATCAACCAGCCTGTCGAACGAGAACACCCCGCTTTGCAGCTTCAATCAATAACTCGACGCGCTGAGATACAGCTACGCACGCGACTGACAGGTTTCAAATTCCCCCCTGCACCTTGATGCGCCGTACACTTTAATCGCGCTTGTCCACCGGAGTAGGCCACTGCGCCGGAAGCTTCCACAATGTATATCAAGCAGATCATCATTCAAGGCTTCAAGAGGTGCGCGCGCCTGGCCTCGCTATATCGCTCAATGCTGACGGTCTCCTGAACAGCTACAAGGATCAAACAGTGATCGAGCCCTTCTCGCCCAAACTGAACGTGATCGTTGGCCGCAATGGCTCAGGTAAAAGCAACTTCTTCGCGGCCATCCGCTTCGTCCTCAGCGATGCATATACGCAGCTCGGTCGCGAAGAGCGACAAGCACTGCTTCACGTACGTGGTTTCTGGCTATCGCGTGGGCGGAGAACATACAGTAACGCGCGCATAGGAAGGCTCCGGGTCAGCGGTCATGTCCGCATACGTGGAGATTATCTTCGACAACAGCGACGAGCGATTCCCTACCGGCAAGTCCGAGCTCGTCCTCCGACGAACCATTGGCCTCAAGAAGGACGAGTACTCGCTAGACCGCAAGAACGCTACTAAAGCCGATGTTATGAATCTCCTCGAATCCGCCGGTTTCTCGCGCTCAAATCCATACTATATCGTTCCCCAGGGCCGTGTCACGGCATTGACGAACATGAAGGACCCTGAGCGGTTGAATCTGCTGAAAGAAGTTGCGGGAACTCAAGTGTATGAATCGCGGAGGCAGGATAGTCTCAAGATCATGAGCGAGACGGACAACAAGCGCGCTAAGATTGACGATCTGCTGACGTACATCAGAGAGCGTCTTGATGAACTTGAGGAAGAGAAGGAGGAGCTAAAGGCATATCAAGAGAAGGATAGGGAAAGGCGATGCCTAGAGTACACAATATACCACCGCGAGCAGATCGAGATCCAGCGGGCTCTTGAGAGCATCGATGAGCTGCGGCAGACCGGTGTAGACGAGACCGACGACAACCGTGAGCGCTACAGTGCGGGGGAGCAGGAGCTGGCTCAGATTGACGCCGAGATCAGCGATGTCAAGCAACGGATTGAATTCTTGAGAGTCGACAAAGCCCAGCTGGAGGACGAGCGGCGTGAGGTAGCGCGAGACAAGGCGAAGATCGAGCTCGAGGTTAACGGACTTACGGAAGGACAATCTGCGGCGAGGCAAGCCAGGACGCAGCATGAGGACGATTTGCGAGAAGTTCAGGAGCAGATCCGCCAGCGTGAGCAGGAACTGGCCCAAATCATGCCCGAGTACAACAACCGGAAAGAGCAGGAGGCTGCGATCAAGGCCCAGCTGATCGAAGCCGAAGGGACGCGGCAGCGCCTATACGCCAAGCAAGGTCGAACTGCACAGTTCAGAAACAAGCGAGATCGAGATGCCTGGCTACAAGGGGAGATCGATGCAGTCAATGTCGCACTGGCCACACGCAAAGCAGTTGCCATGCAGACGACAGAAGAGATCACGGATCTTGAGACAGAGATTGGGCGTCTCGAAGAGGAGATCACTGGGCTTCGCGCGCGCATAGATAACAGAGGCGATAATATGCAGACGATCTCGGAGAATATCCAGAGGGCGAAAGAGGAGCGAGACAGGCTGATGGATCAACGGAAAGAACTGTGGCGTGAAGAAGCTAAACTTGACTCCGTAGTCAGCAACGCGCAACGCGAGCTTGAGAAGGCCGAGAAGTTTCTCTCTCATATGATGGATCAAAACACCAGCAGAGGCATTGCTGCCGTCCGGCGCATCAAACGGCAGCACAACCTTGAAGGCGTATATGGCACCCTGGCTGAGCTTTTTGAGGTCCCGGATAGATACAAGACGGCAGTCGAAGTCACCGCAGGAACAAGTCTTTTCCACTACGTGGTGGACAGCGATGAGACAGCCACGAAAGTCCTCGAGATCCTGCAACGCGAGAAAGCAGGTCGTGTGACATTTATGCCACTCAATCGCCTACGGCCAAAGCCAGTCAACATTCCGAAAGCCAGTGATGCTCTGCACATGATTACAAAGCTGACCTACGATCCAACATATGAGAAGGCCTACCAGCACGTTTTCGGCAAGACCATCATCTGTCCCAACCTCCAGGTTGCGGCTCAGTACGCGCGCAGCCACGCCGTCAGCGCCATTACACCAGAGGGAGACCGCGCGGACAGGAAGGGTGCTCTCACTGGTGGTTTCCATGACCCTCGTCAGTCCCGTATTGACGCCATCAAGAACGTGACAAAATGGAGGACAGAGTATGAGAACCAGAAGAACCGCGTCGAGGAGGTCCGACGTGCCCTCGAACAGAAAGACCAGGAAATCACGCGTGCTGTTGGCGAGTTACAGAAGCTTGAGCAGCAGCGGCAGCAACTAGAGAACAGCTACGGTCCTTTGCGACAGGAGTTGCGAAGCAAGTCTGCCGATCTACAGAACAAGCGGGACTCCCTTGATGCCAAGCATCGGACTAGAGAGAACATCGAAGCTGCTGTTCGCGAACTGGGCGAACAGCAGAGCGCATATGAGGCAGAGATGGCCGCGCCCTTTGCGAAGGCTCTGTCACGTGATGAAGAGCAGCAGCTGGAGACGCTGAGTGCTGCGGTACAAGATTTGAGAAGACAGTACTCAGAGTTACGCCCCGGTCTTTCTGAGCTTGAGTCTCGAAAGACTGTCATCGAAGTCGAGCTTCGCGAGAACCTGCGGCCAAGACTCGAGCAGCTGCAGGCGCAGGAAGCAGACAACGGCGGAACTGGCGCCGGCGGCGATGGGAATGGAAGGCTAAAGGAGCGGCAGCGCGAACTGAAGCGCATCAACAAGGCTTTCGAGGCTGTCGAAGGCAAGCTGCGAGAGGCTGAGGAGGCAATTGAGCAAGCGAACAATCAGCTCGCTGAGCTAGAAGGGAACAAAGCCGAGAAACAGAGGCAGCAGGAGGAGATTGCGCATGCCATATCGCGGCATCAGAAGAGGATGGAGAAGAGCATGGCAAAAAAGGCACTGTTGACCGAAAAACTTGCTGAATGTAGCCGCAACATTAGGGATCTAGGTGTATTGCCAGAGGAGGCTTTCGATAAGTATCAGAGAATGGAGTCGGACAAGGTGAGCTGAAGTGCAACATGAAAGAAGACCAAGTACTGACACTCGCACCCCAGGCCATCAAGCGTCTTCACAAAGTCAACGATGCCCTCAAGAAATATTCTCACGTCAACAAGAAGGCCTTCGAGCAATACGCCAAATTCCAGCAGCAGCGCGACACCCTCACTAAGCGGCGCTCTGAACTCGATAGCTCGCAAAAGTCGATCGAGGAGCTGATCGAAGTGCTTGACCAGCGAAAAGACGAGGCTATCGAGCGAACCTTCAAGCAAGTCTCACGCGAGTTCGCCAACGTCTTTGAGAAGCTGGTGCCAGCAGGCAAGGGGCGTCTCATCATCCAGCGCAAGTCAGACAGGCAAGCCCGACAGGAGCAGGAAGAGGAAAGCGGCCAGGAAGAGCGGGAGAGTGTGGAGAACTACACTGGTGTAGGCATCAGTGTGAGCTTCAATAGTAAGCATGACGAGCAGCAGCGGATCCAACAACTGAGCGGTGGGCAAAAGAGTAAGTCTATGAACAGAAACGCCGCCCTTCATCCCAACTGCGTAACTGACACCACAGGTCTCTGCGCCCTTGCCCTCGTCTTCGCCATCCAGCAGTGCGATCCCGCGCCATTCTACCTTTTTGATGAAATCGATGCCAACCTGGATGCGCAGTACAGGACTGCAGTCGCCAGCATGCTGCAAACGCTGTCTGAGACTACGGACGGCGGTGGGCAGTTTATCTGCACGACGTTCAGGCCGGAGATGGTCATGGTGGCTGAGAAATGCTATGGAGTGAGCTACTCCAACAAGACGAGCAGTATCGATGTCGTGAATCGCGAGGACGCTTTGAACTTTGTCGAAGGACAGAGGCTTTGAATCAGGGGATATATGGTGTTGCTGGTTGATGGAGATGGAATACCAAAAGGCGTTATAGGCTGGATCTTGCTTCCCTTTCTGGGGCATTCTGTTGACGCATTCTGTTGACCTCTTCGATACATGACTTGAGATACATGATGGTACAATCATAGTGCGCTGCAATCACCACACTGCCACTTCATGATTGAGTCCACGGGTGTACCTTATATCTCTTTGTAAGAAACAAACACTACGTAACATCCTCATCGCCCTCCAGCGGAAAGCCATGTCTTGGATCGCTACGCATTTCCGAAAGCCGCTCCAACGCCTCTTCAGGATCTCCAGTCAAGACATGGTAGCCTTCACCATTGTCAGCCACCCAGCGCACGCCCAGTGCCTTCTCTATGGACTCCAAGTCTTCTAAATATTTCAGCTTCATCGCCTCACGAAGTTCGTCGTTCCAAACCGTCGCGTGCTCGACGTGCTCAAGTAATCTGTTTCGCGCTGAACGTTCGAGGTCAGCCCACGGCAGGCCGCTCTCCTTGAGCATTCTCCAGGCGCCTTCAGCGTTGCCGGCGTGCATAAGTTGTTCCACAAACAACCGGTCCCCTCTTGTCTGCGTCGTCCGATTCGAAAACCGCCACTTGCCAGGGTTGTCGGGGTTGGGGTTTAGTGGCGCATACCCGCATTGTGACGAGCTTTCGAGATCGGACTCCGAACCGGCTTGCGATAGAACCTCGATGTCAGACTCCGATATCATGTCGACGTCGTTGCTTCCCTGTTTTTCGTCATGCGATACCAGATACGCATTGAAATCGTCCTCATTCTCAGCCTCCTCAATCTCAGTTTTCGACAACTGTCTCGGCGAAGTCCTCAACGGATGCTGCAGCCACAACCTCCACTCCTCCTCCAACAAATCATGCAGCTTACACCTCGCCAATATCGTGATCCATCCATGAATAAAGCTCCACTCGTCCCTCTTCACAAAGCTACCAAGATGACACGCCTCCTCCGGCGGCGTGCCCGGAAACCCCGTCAGCACCTGCACCAGCTCGCTCTTCTTCCACTTCCCGTTCCGTATCTCTCCCAACCCCCGGCTGCCGATACTGCACTTGGCGATGACGCTGCGGAACAGGTTCTTCGTCATGATGCCCCGGTCCTTCGTCTCCTTCAGGTACCGCTTCATGGCCGGCAGCGAGCGGGTGCGTGCCGCGAACTTCAGGCCCAGCACGATGAGCTCGTCAGCGACGGGGATGTTGCCCAGGCGGAAGCGCGCGATAATGGCGTTTAGGGTCGCCAGAATGGCCGTGTCTGGTGCACGGTTTCGCGCGTTGAAGAGGGCGATGGTTAGGGCGTGGTAGAGGTGTCGGAGCTGCAGGGTCGTCTCTGGTCGCTGCAGCGCGACGGCGACGACGCGCAGGATGTCGCGTGGATTTTGGCAGGCTTGGAGCTGCTTGCGGATTACACGCCGTATGGCCTTGCGGCCGAGGGCTTCGCGGAATTCGTCCACGGTTAGTGTCGGCCATAGCTTCAGTTGTTTGGGAGTGGGATTGTTGGCGGCCTGTTCGACTGCTTCTACCGGCGTTATTAATGGTGGGTTTCGTGGAAGCTGTAGAAGCCCTGGGGTAACTGGTGTTTTTACATGCTCTTGAAGGGCCCCTTGCGGTTTCTTCAGCGGCGATAGTGCTTCCTTCAGCATGTCCACAGGGCTAAATAGGCTAATCTGATGTTGCAGTGTGCGTTCGAGATGCACATGCGGCGATTGTGGAGGCCCTGGCGGTAGGCCATTGTCGGTAGATTGAACTGTAGAGAGCTGTCGTATTGAAGGTGCAAGCCGAGCTGTGTTGCGGGAGCTTGACACGGCATTTTGGCAGAATATGCAGACGTTACGGGTCGCCCTTGAGGACATGGACGCTGGGTAAATGGCTGCAACTCGCCAATAGTTCGATTGGGTATGAGAAGCCCTGCTGAGGGGGAGAAAGATACAGTCCGACACAGCATTGAAGTTCCTCGGCAACTTCCGTCTCCATGCCGATTGAAACATCCGCGAGGCGCTCATTCCATTCTCCATCATCACCCACCACACCAGAACTACAACTGAAATTACCACTACACGCAACCTGCGTAATAATATGCCTTTAGCACACAAACGCAAAACCTCCACAGACTGGGAGGAAGTCACCGGCGAGCCGGCAAAGCGCCGATTTATCGAAGCGACAGCATCACAGGTCGAACCGCAACCGGAGGATTCTACAGCGTCACCTGCTGCTGAAGAAGCAACAGAGGTTCCACTCGCGTCCACTGACACAACACAGCCCACCACCGCAGATGATGTGGAGTCAGATGCGGCAGAAAAAGCAAGGGAGAGGCAAGAGCGCTTCAAAGCACTACAAGCTCGGCAGGCCCAGTCGCGGAAGCAGAACATGAAGGAGTCGACAGCCGAGTCACAGCGCCTAACTACGGACCCTAACCTGCTTTCCTCCCTCCATCGCAAGCACGCAATAGCATCACATAAGCTCCTCAAGGCAGATACGGCGGCCGCCGGCGAGGATTTCGAGCGGAAGCGCACATGGGACTGGACCGTCGAGGAGTCCGAGAAATGGGATAGGCGCATGGAAAAGAAGAACAAGCATAGGGAGGATGTGGCATTCCAGGACTACCGTCAGGACGCGCGCAAGATCTACAAGCGGCAGCTGCGCGAGCTCAAGCCGGATATGGAGACATACGAACGCGAGAAGTTGGAGGCTGTGCAGCGGTCGGCGCAGAACGGCGGGCTTGAGATTGTCGAAACCGAAGATGGAGAGCTCATCGCAGTCGACAAAGATGGCACGTTCTACTCCACGGCTGACAGCACCGATTTCGCGAGCAACAAGCCTAGTAAGGAGGCGATAGACCGGCTGGTCGGCGAGATCAAGAAGGCGGAGGAGGTCAGGCTGAAGAAGAGAAGGGACAGGGGCAGAGGAGACGACGACGGTGACGTCACGTACATCAACGACAAGAACAAGCAGTTCAATGAGAAGCTGGCGCGGTTCTACAACAAGTACACCGCGGATATTAGGGAGAGCTTTGAGCGCGGTACGGCCATATAAAATGTCTTCGTAAGAAGCGCTTGAGCGATCCGTAAGGGTGCTTTCAGGATTCGAAGCGGCCCGTTTCCACGAGCTGGTGGCGCTTGCAGTATGTAAGCCCTTCAGCGTAGGTGCGAGTGGTTCCTATCCCTCTAAAATCCCTAGATAGACCAAACCAGCCTGCGTTGCCTATGGCTGCGGTAGAGCTCGTACTGTTCATTAGACCCACGTGACACTTGGTCGAAGGAACTGCAGCCCTCCTCCGTTCATCACTAATCCTACTGTTCCCTTCGCACTTTTCAAGGCTCAGACGATGCGGCACGCCGACACAAACTTCTGACGAACCGATTGTCTGGACCACGCTGTGTTGCCTGCCGCGGCCCTCAAACTGGGAGGTCGAACCAGCAGGTCTCACAATCATGCTCCGCGTTGCACATAGACTACATGCTGTAAGCCGTGTTTGTACCACAAGCGTCAACCGCTCATCTTTGGATTGGTCGGCATGGCCTACATACCGCCTCTACGTATCTGAACATAGCAAACAAGTTGGAGCTCTCGGGCGAGCGAGTCCGCATGCTTTTTTCACTGCTGTTGGTCCTGACGTGTCATTCTACTTGTTCCTCCAAGTCAGCTTCAGCTGCACTGTCATGTTTTGTGGCTTTTGTTAGCACAGTTATCAGTCATTAAAAGTCCTAAAGTCTCCATCCTTCATTGGGTATTCCCCGAGCACACATGGCGCCTGCGAACACTTCAGCTGCCGTCCAGGCTGCCGCCACAACAGTGGTCGAGCATGTCGATGGCTTCCGCGGCGACGAATTCTCGAACAACTTGTTCAGCGACCTAGCACCACTTCTGGCTCTGTTCGGCGAGCAAGTCACCAAACAGTTCTTGAGCATGTCTATGGGATGGACCGACAACATCTTGCTAGCTATGGGATATTTAGGCATAATGACGATAATGGTTAGCGAGTGAAGACGCTGAAGGCTGTTGTTGGAAGGTCAGTCTCTTCTCGGGCCATTCTCATCCCGGGCTAATGGGATAATGGTCGACAGAGCAAAAGAAAACATTGTGTGTGCCGAAGCGCAGTTGCTGTCACTCACATCGAAGAACGTTTGCGAGCTCTGGAGTGAGGAACAGATCGTAAGAGTGTTCGGGACCCCAAGGATCCAAGAACTGGTACTCCTCGAGTGTACAAAAATGCTCGAGCATATGATATTTCCCGAGATTACCAAAGGAAAGATGATGTTCATTGACTCTGCTGAAGCCGTTCAGTACAAGCACTTTCTTCCGTTTGATGATTCTGGTCAATACGGCCCCCAATTGTCGTCCGCTGATGCTCCGCCGTTTAGAGACAGAACCTCCGAACCTCTCTATGAACATTCGAGGGGCGACCGTCTTGGCGACAGAAAAACGAGTGTGGGCCACAATCGGGATAGCTTTACAGCTGACAGCACCTATATTACCTGCGTTCACGACACACTACTGGAGCTGGTCCAAAGACGGCAGGTCAATACCTGGGTACGGATATCCAACTTTCCTTGTTGGTACCCTCGCGGTGTGTCTCGGTGCTCTGCTCTGCTCTCACGTGGTCGAGAGCAAGACCACAGACGGAAGCTTCTGGCGTGAGGCCTCAGATGTCGGTCTGGTCCTCCGCTTACAGAGATCATGCACTGTCAATGACCAGGACTTCCGTCCATATGCGTTATTCAACAGTTACAAGAGCCGAAATATCATTCGGACCTCCAGACTGAATGACGAAACGAACAGGTAGGCACACCGTCTCACTTCACTCTTCGCTGCTGTCAATGTTTATCTAGACACTCATGAATCAAGGTTACGTTATGATCGCGATGCTGGCTTATACATTCGGTGGTCATCCGCTGCTTGTTACGGTATTGCTCCCGCAACCTTTTGTACCAATAAAGCCATTTTTGTTAGATCTCGCGCTTTTGATCAACATGTAGCATTGCTAAGCCATACCGAGCAGCGTCTTGGCCGCTGCAGCAACCTTCGTAACCTTTACGGGGTTTGTCTGTCAGCTCGTTGGCTTACGTGCTGTCCACTGGTCAGGGACGATTTTCCAGTTAGGCGTTACACTGTCTATGACAGTTATACGAGCGTTTGTCCGACGATGCCTTGCTACCGAACCAGCATGCTTCGCCCTCCTCGAAGGCCATGAGCTCTCATGGTTGGCCCTATACGCTGACCGTAAATTCGAACGGTACACGCATAGTGCATCCAGGTCTAGAAACGACTATCGGTACGATCAAGACATCATAGAAGGGGATCAAGTTTCGTGGGAGCTGACTTATACCTTGTGGCAATTGTTGACTGGCAGTTTCAGTGAAGCCACGGCCCCTATCGTGTTTACAACGCCGCTCGAAGGAGAAGCCCAACCTGGTCCTTCAGAGCCTCTGCCCCTACAGCTTATTCACGTCGGTCGTCTAAACTGTATGATGAATCCGTTTCCATTTTCGTTGATTCAGGGTTTCCGAGACGGTATCCCCCGAAGTTTTCGAATAGGGTGTGTCAGAGTGCGTTGTCAATTGGAAACCCTTTTGAAGGACCGACCAAGCGAACTGGCAAAGCTTGCCGATCGGCTCGCAGCTGCAATCATGGAGGTGATGAATTTCATCACTTGTACCCCGAATCTTCAATGGATCGAAAGGCCACATTGTTTATTTGAGTGGTCAAACGTTCTACTACACAAGGCTTTGCAAGACCAGAACTGCATCAGCGATTCTCCAAATGACGAAGTCGAGCGATTGCTCTTGAGCATGTGGAACAGAAACTGCTGGTATCGCATCGTAGGCAAGGGATGCGATGACCACACTCGGCCAGACTGGCGTCTCCATGGCCACGAGCTCCACGGTATCCTCAGTTTGTAGACGTTGACGTTGGAAAGTCGAGAACTAGAATACATAGGAATATGCCGCACTAGTAAGCCCGTTGGTTCTACGCTCAATACGGACAACACAAGTACGAAGCACTGATACCTCAGAATCGTCGCCTCTGCTCCGTCTGGCATCGCAGAACTCAAGCGGCTCCAGGGCTTGCTTCACAGGTGGACAGGAACTCCGCCAATCCTCTGCCTGTTCCCTGATGGCAGCTCTGCGTGTATGCCTTGGGAGCACATGTACCGCATCACGCCTAACAAAGTTCCTCACGTCTTTCCTGTCTTTGGTATGCGGCTCTGGTCTCTTACCGCGCCCGGCACACGCAAGACCAGTCCAGAAAACACTGGACAAGGAAGATTTTACAAGGAGGCCCACGCGTTCGTCTGCAACACGCCTCCCACAGAACTTGTAATATACTGTTGTACCTCACCTGAGGACCGATGTGCCCGTGATCCGTTTGTTACTTTCATAGCTGCTGTCGCATCTCAGATCCAGCGCATTGACGGCAAGACCAGTCGGATTCCAGATACCGAACCTACCAGCCGGTCTCTCGGCAGGGTCTTCCAGGACAGTAACAAACACGGTTCTCGCCTCCATTGCTGACATACTGAAGAAAAACGAAGTCGTCAAATGGCTTGCGGAAGCCGACGAATTGATCATACCGGTGTTTCTAGCGTATGGCCTCCTACCGACGGAGTTGACAGATGAGGGAGTGCCTATCATTATGCCAATGCCGAAGTCCTCACTCGTGTCTCCCCGCACATCGCCCTCTACAAGCGCTCCGACAGCGGAATCGCCAGACGCAACAGCCGGTGCAGACGACAACCGAGACTACTCTGCCCATTAAGTTCGCGGCATCGGAGAGGAGGCATCCGTGCCGGGATTTCTCACCGAACTTCGACACTGCCGAGACTTCATTCGACAACGAACAAGCAATGGAGTGATATACATCACAGGGAAGGCAAACTACCAGACTGACGAGATCACACCATTTCAACCACGCTTGCCAGCCAGATAGCGGAGGCACGTTACTCTCCGCCAAAGCTTCTTCTCAATCATGCTTACTTCGCGCTGGAATGGAGCAATTTTTTTAATTCATCGCCCGTGAGTTTGACTTGCTTCCTGAGTTTGGACACCCCATGAGTGCTGCCATCATTGACGCCTTCGTCCAAACTCATCGCGAACTATGTTCGGTTCAGATCTGCGTCGGAGCTCTTATGAGCGTGAGATACAAGCTCTCGCCGCTTTTACTCTTTCCAACTGCTATACTGCGAGGATTCCCGTCTTGCGTGCAACTGGAGATTCCTGAATCTGGTTGAGAAAAGAGCCGGTCATGCGATCGTGTAGTGACCGAACAGTGACTTTAGAGTCCTCGACGGAAGGGGGTATCCATTCTCATGTGACTATATGTACAGAGCACTGCCAACGACCAACGACGTATATGGTAATGAACGCAAGTGCAAGCAGCCTCCCAAAACCCGTGCCCAACCCTTCCACGCCCAAGGCAGAACGATCCTAGTCTCCAAGCAACCCCTCCAAATCGATCTTCCCCAACGAGTCCCCATACATCCCCTTCGCCCTCCTACGCCACCCCGCCTGGGACAGAGCAGCCGGCGCCTCGGTATCATCTGGACTTTCCCCCGGGCGTAGCTATTCGCAGCACGCAACCATCAACCTCTCATAATCGCCCCTCGTCTCACTCTTGATGCGATCGATAAGCTCCTTCCTGTAGACATGCTTATGCGCCGCCTTGACATTCTGCATATGTCCCCTGTTCCAATGTGCGCGCACGACCCTGTTGACGAGCAGCTCGTCCTTGGTGCCCATGCCCTTCATCGCGTCGTCCAGCTGCACCGCGTCAGACCTAGCGCGATCGACCGCACGGGCCAGCTGCAGCAGTAGCGCCTCCTCCATGTGGCCGCTGAACTCGGCCGCGATCACCTTCTCAAGCTGCTTCCCGTACTTAGCCCCGTAGGCCTGGTTGATGGCGCGTAGCTGCGCGTCGTTGCGATTGCAGAACATCGCGCACACGGTCGCCGAGTCCTTGCCCATGCGGCCCGCGGTCGCGCCGTGCAGCTCCGTGACCCACGCGTCGATCTGCTGGGGGATGACAGGCGCGGAGTCCTCGTCGCGGCGGGCGGCGGTGACCATCATGAAGAGCTGCTCTGTCTTCATGGACAGGTCGCCACGAAGGTCGGCCTCGAGACTGCGCTTGTAGGTATCTTGGTAGGCCTGCTTGATGGCGTGCATGTCGGCGTTGGAGCGGCCGAGGAGGACGTCGTTGAGGAAGGTTTCTTTGGTGCCCATACCCTTGATGCCTTCGTTCAGGATGAAGACGTCCTGCATTAGTGGTCCGCGGACGAGGGCCTGGAGCCCGTATTGGAAGTAGCCGGAGGTCTCCTTGTCGATTTCCTGGAGCAGTTTCTTCATGAAGCGCCGCTCGAAGGTCGTGCGGAGCGTCTCCATCTCGATGGGATTCGGTTTCGAGAGGATGGCGATTAGGGCCTTTTCGTCCGTGCCGAAGCCTTTCATCGCTTTGCGCAGGCCCTCGGCTTGTGGGGTCATGTCGATCGGAGCAGTCTGGCCGCGGACATAGCCGGGTGACGGAGGTGTGGGCTGGCCACCTGGTGGTGCGCCATAGCCGCCGTATTGCTGTGGAGGCGGACCAGGTGGTGCGCCATATTGACCCTATGGACAAAGTCGTCAGCACTCGCCTTCAGAACTTTACATAAGCTGTCATTTCACGGCCTGACCGAACACGTCCAAACCAGCGAACTCGGCGCAACTGGGAATCAACTGACCGGTGGCGGTGCGCCATACCCCTGCTGCGGCGCGTAGCCCTGCGGAGGAGCGCTATACTGTTGCTGGGGAGGGGGTCCGGGAGGTGCGCCATATTGCTGGTGTTGTGGAGGAGGGCCTGGAGGCGCATTCCACTGCTGCTGTGGAGGATAACCTTGCCCTTGCGGCGGAGGATAGCCTTGCGGCGGAGGATAGCCCTGCGGCGGCGCGCCGTATTGGTCTGGTGGAGGACCGTAGCCTTGCTGCGGGGGAGGGTAACCTTGCGGAGGGTAGCCTTGTGGGGGATAGCCACCTTGCGGAGGATAGCCGCCTTGCGGTGGGTAGCCTTGCTGGTACGACATGTTCTGAGGTGGTGGATGATTGCCTTGCTGTTGCGACGGGTACGGAGAGTAACCTTGAAGAGAATCACCAGACCCACCAGAAACTCCAGGCGGAGGCGCGTCTTATGTAGAGGAGCGCGCGTCAGCTGCCAGCCCCCGCCAAGGGCTTAGAGCGTGTACTTCGAAGGGCTGTACTCACTGCCCGGATAATACGACATAGCTGCCGCCTAGAGTTCCAACCTTGGTTTTCAAGTTGATGAAGGAGCCGAGAAAGGATGCACGAAAGCTGCAGCCAATGCGAGGAAAACGTGGAACTGAGAGAGTCGAAGAAAGACGAGAAGAACTAATGTGAGGGTACCTCTTTACCGGCCCTTGTGAATCCTGCGACTTCACCCCACGGAGGGGTATCGCGGGGGCTGTGCTTGCTCAGCCTTGCTCAGCCCTTGCTCAGCCTTGGCCGCCCTTGCCTTGAGCAGTAAGGAACAGCGACGGCGAGGAGATGGAAGCCACAAGATCGATGAGCAACCGTGGCTGCCGTTCTGGGCGCTTAGATTGGGCTTGGGCTGTGTGGTTGTGGCAGTACCGGGTGTTCAGCATGGCCGTGACGGTCACGTGATGTTTAGTTCGGCACCATCTCCCTCAACACACTGACTACGAGTCTAGGTATAACTTTCAGGCGTACCTCGATCAGTCCCAGGTCGGTCTATGCGAAATCAATGCCTTGCACTCCATCATCACAGCGACGGAGAAACTTAGCCTGAGATCGTTCGGTGAGCGCTGATTAGAGAAGTATTCTGCTCCAACTGTCCCAGCCCCCAATGTGCGGCCTCAAGGACGTCTCGTCATCACTCCATCTTCACGCGGAGTTCCCTCCGCCAAGCGATTGTTTGGCCAGGCATTTCGCCCGGTTTGGCAGTCCGCTGAGGCGCAATCGTGGTGGTTCCATGATCGTCACGTGCGCAGGCCATCAGGGTTCGTAAAGGTGGACCAGTCGGGCAAGTCGCTGACATAATAGCGTAGACTCAGGGAAAGTCAACAGCACATGAAGTCCTCAACAACCACCAAATGCCACCCCTATTCATAAGCAAACTAAAGCTGAAACTTCCTTATATCATGCTTAAGGTCCTTTCACACCTGTTGATAATATTTAAACATTTTAAAGTACGTTGTGGTTGATGAAATGGTGATTCAAGTGATGCTCAAGTGGCTCTGAGTCTACGCTATTATGTCAGCGACTTGTCGGGCAAGGCTGTGAAAGCGGCGAGCGGCGAAACGTCCCGCTGCTGTCGAGGCTGCGGCAGCTCTCCACGTCTCTCACCGGCCACAGCCTTTCTTATCCACCACTCTTCCCTGCAGCAGGGCGACTATCATCCGCAGTTTCTGCTTCTCACCGGAAGCGGCGGATGGAGACGCCCTGGGAGAACTGACGGTCACGCACGATCAAGATTGCGTCAGTGGAATCCTGGGCTGCCGCTCAATGCTCTTGGCCCACGTGCAAAGGGACACTAACGCCTCTCCTCACTCACTGATTGGCTGTATTGACCATAACTTCTTTCGGTGAGCAAGCTCGATGCTCAAGGCGAAGCCGGGTAAGGGTAATTCTTGTCAGGAGACCAAGCTGTACCGTATCCTTGTCCTATCATGTGTAGGCTGTGCTGTCCAAGCTGTTCTCAAGGCCTGTATAAATAAGCCACTCCATTTTCTCGAGTCTCCGGGTAGACTGCTGTCCGAGTCTTACCAGAGTCCCTATTTCACAGACGTCCCACTGCTGGACCCTGACATAAAACCCGTTTGCAACATACCCATCATACCAGCATTCTCGTCCACTCATCAGCGCGGGCCCCGCGCCAGAAAAAGCAGCAAACACCTTTTGAGAGCACAGGGATCCCTATATCGGACAACCCCTCTCGATCCGCCATAATAGCATCTCTCCCTCGCGATCCACAGTTTAGACAGGGTCGCACAATCCAACACAACCGGCACTCTGCGGGTTAGAGCGGAGTTTAATCCAAGCCCCTAGGAAGCCAGCGGACCCTTCATCGAGCGTTACACTGCCCGCTCAACCGTGCTACTCGCAATCCGTACGTCGGTCAGACGTCAAGCCTGCCCAGCAAAACGCGGAAGGCCACCTGCATAAAAGAGCTTGAGCAGAAGAGATCACCTCAGCCAAACACCTCCAGCCGACTCCATCAGTACCAAACTCCTCCCGTTATACCAAAGAAGTTCATATCAGAACAATTCTGATCAACTCAATTAAGAAAGATCTCATCATCCCAGACAAACGCGACCAAGAGAACTCTCGGTATATAAAATCAAACCAATCGAGAAGACCCTAGAAACTCTCAACATCAAAGGTCAACATCAACCGAACAACCATGACAACACTCTACACCACCCAACCACCACCCCCTCCACCCACCTATCCAGACCCCTACGCTCAACCCGCCGCCTACGCACCCCCACAGCCCTACCAACCAAACCAACAATACCGCCAACCTCCCTACGCCCCACAGCGACAACCAGCGCAACCAACACCTCTGCAACAATCAATCCTCCAATCCGCCGACCCCTACGCACCTCAACCTCCCTACTCGCAAGCGAACCACGCGTCCCTCGCTCCCGGCGACCCCTACGCACCCCAGCAACCCCAGCAACCAGCACTACACCCCACGTTCAATCCTGTCGACCCCTTCGCCGCCAGTTACAGCGCTCCCCGGCGCTCCTCAGACTTCAACTCCGCAGCGGCAGCGTATGGTGATCCGCGGCGCTCATTCGACGCCGCGGCCGCGGCCTACGACGCCCGGCGCCGCTCCTCAGAGACGCGGCGCCACCGACAGTCACGGCACTCACTCGACGTCCCGGCCATGGAGTTCACGCCGCTCGACTCAGACAGCAGCGGTGACGGCAGTAACTACGGCCACGGTCACGGTCGTAGCCGCAGCCAGAGCTACGGACGTCGGCACCCGCAATCGGCGGCGCAGCAACCTAGGCGATCGCACCACTCGGAACATCGGCCGCATAGGCACAGTAAGGAGTATGGGGACGGGTCGGGGGCGGGGGAGGGCGATGAGAGGGCGGAGCGGAGGCCTACGTTGGGGGATACGATATTTGCGATTTGGGACAAGGTGAGTGGGCAGGGGAAGGGTAGGTAGTGATTAGAGTGGATGGGTGGGTGAGAGGAGGCAAGGGGAGGGGAGGGGGAGGCTAAACGTTATGAGGGGTTGTTACTGCATCTAGCGGCTTGAATTCGGCATACCGGTTAACGGGCGGGTTGGATCAGTGTTCCGGATGAGGTGAACTATTGGGGGGCAAGAGCGGAATGTGTTTAGACTACTATGCTCCGGTTGTGTGGGATGTTTTGCTATAAGCAAGGCTGTTTGGAACAGTTGGCCCATGAGTTGGATAGGGGCAAGCAGCGCAAAGTTGGAGTCGTCGTATTGCGATGGTTTCAATCAATACAAAGCTTACTTCGATCGCACTCACCAGCTGTTCCTGATCACGTGATGGTATACGTTGATGAGAGCGATAAGTGTTTCGCTGTTATAGGCGTTCCCAATCCGACACAGCGATCGGCCATGTTGCACGAGTTGTGCATGCCCCTTTAGGCTCGGTACTGCTTGCTTCTCGTCAGCCTGGTGCTTGCGAGCTGCATCACACGTAGATGAGCGGATTCGGTATATTCAAGGCAGAGATAGCCCGGAGTCTCATCCGCCATTATTGGCTTGGAGTGCTCGGGACTACCGAATTTCCCGTAGCGTTGGAGTTCTGGTCCCGCTCGTCCAGGGTGGTGGAGATGACATTCAAAGGCGTGAGGATAGCGGGGACAGGCGCAGTTCATGCGGGATAGGAGTGGATGGGGATACCACAGCCCGCTCGACGTAAACTGGCTGGACGCTATAGCGGGCGTGTAAGTGGAGTGGAGGAACAAACGCGGAAAGGTAAGCTGCGTTTTCGCTTTGTATGTAACTTGGCATTTTTCAACACAGCACTTCCCTCCTTGCCTCCACAGCCGCCTTTGTGGCGACTGTGGACAAGACGAGACCATCATGGAGAGTAACGCTTCGGAGGAGGTAAAGAGATGGACAAGAAAAAGAAAACCAACTTCCCCAACGTTCAGCGCTTGAACCGAAGGAGAAGAGAGATTCGCACGTGTGTACCAATACCCCGCCCCATCGCATCTGCCAATTGATGCAAGCAGATGTTATGGAAAAGAGACAGCATGGAAAACAGGAGAGGTCGCGCGGGTATCGCAACTCCTCCCAGAAATACAAAGCTGCAACAGCCCGAACGTCTACTCAAAACCAAGACACCTAATCAACAGTGTCCCCGCCCGCGCCGGTAATTCCCTTTCTATGCTATGCTTTTTTTTGTTCCGTCCCGCAAAGTCGCAAAAGATGTACCGCCCGAAAATGCCGCTCAAAGAAGAACTCAGCAGGCGATGCCTGTGCTTTTTTTTCGGTAAGATGGCCGTGTCGATCATATCTCACAAATCTATCAATCGTTCTCGCCAATGTGGCGCAAGTGTTCGGGCTTCCAGGTGCCTGCGTTGTGCAATGGTCAGTCAAGCGGTCCAAACGGTTCACAGTGGCACAGGAGCGGAAGTAACGTTACTGGGGGGGTCACATACCCTCGAACCTGTGTTTCACAAACGCCATCGGATCGTCGTCTTCGCCAGCGCCCATCTGGCGGACGCCAGGGCTGAAGCTCGTGATGGGGAGTACAATCACGTCGCCGACCTTCTTCGCAGCCGTCATGCCCGTGAATTGTTTCCAGGTGATGTTGCCCTTGCCTGTGCTCATGTCGAAGTAGTCCGGGTCATTGAAGAAGTTGAAGACGAGGTCTGTCCACAGCGCTGGCCCAGTGAACTCGACAATGTTGTCGTGGTTCTTGGGCAGTCTGCCCTCCGCCTTGCGCTTGAGGGTCTCCTCGGTGATGTTCGCAACGATGTCGCGCAGGATGGGGTGCCCTGGCTTCGACTGTATGGTCCACTGGCAGAACTGGATCCTGCGCGAGTACCACTGCGCCCAGTCCTGGCGGTCTGGATCGGCCTCGACGCCGATAACCATCCCGTACGACGAGCGCGGCACATCGGCCGGCACCCACTCTGTCGCGGCTTTGAGGGCCTGTGTGTCGATGTCTGTGTATATCCCTCCTCTCGCCAGCAAGATGAGGTATCTGAAGAAGTCGGCCTTCATCACCGGCAGTGGCAGCGCATTGTAGGCGTCCAGCACTTCGGGCACGGAGGCATAGAGGTGGCGTAGCAGGTGGACGGCGACCGAGTCGGTGACGACTTCGTGCACGAAGGTCGGATGGAGGATCGACCAGCTGGCCTCTGGCTCGCGGAACTTGTCGCCGAACTCGCCGGACGCAGGCGTGTACTTCCACGTCTGCCAGATGTAGGCCGGGAATCTGCCCTCGACGTCGTAGGGGAACTGGTATTCGAGCTGCTGGCGTAGCGGCTTCGCTTTGAGGTCTTCGGGTGAGATTTGCGGCCGTGGCTTCTTCGCGGCGAGCTGGACCTGGAGCTCCTCCGACGGCCGTGGCGCGGATTCTTTGGCGGGTGCGACGTCCGTCTTCGCGTCCGCCGGTGCGGCCTTTGTGAGTGTCGACGTGAACGGCTCGGGATGCGGCAGCTGGCTCGCGTTCGTCAATCGCGGTGGTGAGTGATGTGAGCGGAGCACGAAAAAGAACGTGAGGACCGCCGCGGCGATAATGAGGGCTCGTCGAAAGGTCAGCATGTTGGGCCAGGGAGCGGCCGGCGGAGCAAAGGATGGAGCGAGCGTCGGTGGTGAACAGCACAACTGATCCGGCGTCTGGTCAAGTAGTTGTCGCAAAAAAAATGGCTTGGCCTACGGCGGAGAGCCGGCGTACAATGCGTATGTAAGATGTTGTGTTCTGTACACGCTGCTGGAGGGCCCTGTACATTTAGCGTCCCGAGAAGACGAGAGGCTGGCTCCGGCAAGTTGCTAACTTATCGCCCGGGAGGAGAGCCAAGATAAGGTTGTGCGTACGCTTAGCCCAGATGGGAGGGTGCTCAGTGGTTCAGTATCGAGTGCAAGGTGCTGTGGAGATGAGGCATGCGTGCTGGGTTCTGATAAGGCATGGTTCTGTGGGAGGGGATGTCCACGGCACCACGGTGCGGACTGCTGTGGTTGAAGAATCTTGGAGGGCGCGGTGGGTCAAGAATCGCTCCCTTTAGATCTTCAGCCCCAGTCCTCCAGCGGGCGTCACAGTCCTCAGTCGCAGCGCAATGGTCTCCACCTAGGGGAAACAAGCTACGGGTAGTCCTGTCCCACTAGAAAAGCGGCGGAGTCTGCGATTAGGCAGGCGACAGCTACCTAGATGACAGGCAGAGTGGCAGACAGCCAGACAGCCAGCCAGCCAGCCGAGTGCTTCGTAAGGGGGAGACCATCTGCAGCGAACGGATGACAAAAGCCCTGAGAGCTGACGTTGGATGTGCAGCACCCTGCCCTCTGCTGCGGCCGCCGCCGCAATTGGGAGCGAACAAGAACAGCCGAACGATTGCGTTTGCCGACGCCACGGATCGTGATCTGCAAGGACGGGCTTCGCCTGGTGCGTTGCTTCGACGCCTCTGCGCTCAGCTCTCCACCTGCGGCATGCATGCATGCATGCTCACATCAGGTGTGTAGGTAAAGATTGTCTCTCTCAGCTTCAATTGCCCTCATATCGAAGAACACCAAAGATCACGTCCCAGCTCCCTCCGATCAGTCCCCAACAAGGAAGGCGAGGAAGGTTTCGCAGAATGTTTCGAAACAGGTTGCGCAAGCAAGCTGAAACCGCGCGCGGGAGAAGTCCCGCCGTGCGACCTGCCGAATCTGTGATCGGCAAGGGCGAAATCTGTGGACGCCAATTTTAGCTCCGGCCGCGGCTGTGTTGACTTCGCCGGCTGCAAGGGCTGTTTCGACGCTCGGTTGGTCAATCGATGTTTTATAGCCACGTGTACTCTACTTTGCTACCTACTCCAGGAGCCCATCAACACGTTGGGTTTTCCGTGACGTCTTCTTGTGCGTAGTGAGCGCATTCTGCCCAAGAAAGCCGCGTCCTCAGCGGCAGGACTGCGGTTCCATTCCGCTCACCGACCGAGGGTAGAGTAGCACGTCGTGCGCAATAATACCCTCACCGCGGAAATCTCGCTATGAAACTCGTGTTTATCCGACCGTGCGTCGCTTTACTATCGCCACGCCCCCTTCCAATAAAATAACAAAATTCTTATAAAGATAGAAGATGCATAGAGGTTTAATTAGATAGCTCTTCCGTACTTCTTACAGCCTAATATAGGCGGTAGTGTAGATAATGGTTGATGAAGCATGAGTTTCGCGGTGAGGCCATTATTGCGCACGACGTGAGTAGATGACTTGGATACGAATTCGTTTTATGCTCTTGAGAGGCGGATTGGAGAGAGCCTACCCCAAGATGTCACCTGACACCGTTTCCATAGCCTGACCCCGCGAAAGATTCGCGTTCCTATATCGCCAGTCGAGTCCTAGGTCTTGAGATTCCTGAATTTTCCCTCCAGCGAAAACTCTTTCATGGACGCGAAGCGGAAGTCTTTCAAAAAAGAAGAAAAAACATAAGCCCATGATGAGGCGTGCCATGCCATGCCGCGTGGAACCCCCATACGACCGTGACTCCTCCAACACGCACCCATGGCAGCATCCCAGAATCGTTCTACCTCTTCCTCACCCCCTCCCCCGTGCCCCTCACGTCCGCCAACCTCGCCTCCAGCTCCACCCTCCTCTTATTCTCCGCCTCCAACAACCTCCCCACCTCCTCCTCCGCAAGCCTCAACATGGCAATCTCCTGATCCTCCATCTGGCGACTATACGGATTCCCCGGCGTGGGTCTCTCCGGCAGTTCCGCGGACCCAACCTCCTCCACCGCTCCTCCCACACTCTTCCTGCCCTTCCCCCCGCCACCCCTCCCGCTCCCCTGCCGCAGATAGTCGAACTGACTCTCGCTCGTCAAAACCTCAAACAGCGCCTCGGTCGGCTCATTGAACTCAACGACGTCACACTGCTCCGCCCTCACGATTCCCGCCGCCTTCTGCGCCGCCTTCTCCTCGTCGGTGCCATACGGCTCCAGCTGCAGGTAGTGGCTCCGCCACTGCGGCTTCTCGTTGGCAACCGGGTTGAAGTGGAGCCGCACCTCGACCTGGAAGCCGCCCCAGCCCGTCTCGCGCACCTCGAACGGGCCGGGCTCTTCGACGGTCCGCAGGCTGTTGGCGTACGTGTGGAACAGCTTGAAGGAGACTTTCTTTAGCCAGCCAGTTATGTCGGGCCCGTTGTCGACGGTCTTGACGTAGACGCGCCAGCCGGTTGTGTGGTCGGCGGGGATGCCTTCGGGCCGGTTGGTGGGGTCCAGGGGCCAGGCTTCGGAGCCGATGACTGGGGCGTAGGTGTTAGAGGTGCGTGATTTAGAAGGGCTGTGGAGAAAGCTGGGGAAGGGAGCGTGCTTACTGAAGTTGCGGGTGAAGCGGGCGCCCTGTCATGAGACGTTAGCTGCTGTGGGGAATGGCGGCGGAGGGTTGTTGGAGGTAGCATACCTTTACGCGCTTTGTACCTGCCGCCGCGGGCATGTCAGCGCGCGGGGTTCTGCCCTTTAGAGGTGATGTGAACAGTTGCTGGTGTCCGGCTTTAGGAGATGGTCCTACGTGTCTTGAGAGCTACTTTGGGCTCTGACTCTGAGTCAGGCACTACTTCCGCCTTCTTTGGCTCTGCTTTTCGCGTCGACGTGCGCTTCTTGGATGCTGCGGTGGGACCAGTCTGCGACTGGGGGACCTTCGGCGAGGACTGCGCGGCCCGGGGGGCTTTGCGCTGCTGATGAAGGTGCAGGTGCTGGCGCTGGCGCTGATGCGGATGCAGGCGTTTGATGCTGTAGACCAGATGTATGCTGCGGTCTGCTCCTAGTTTTCGCGCTGGTGCAGGTGGTATTGAGAGCTCTAGTCCGCAGGCCGTAGTCCGAACGGTTCCAAGTTGACAGCAAGCCCGTCGGTCTGGTTCTCGCGCTCGGCCATCCACCCCACGCTGCAGCCCTACGGCGAAGATCGACAGGGTCGGACCGCTTTCGCGTTTGCGTGATGTCAACACTCGGAGAGCTCAGAACCGAGAAATGCAGAGCAGTGGAGGCAAGCTGTTCCAGAAACCACACAAATGGCGTCTGCAGCGAAGAAGAAGATTGTTGTCTGCGGAGGCAATGGCTTTCTAGGTACGTGTGTTCAGCAATAAAGAGTTTCACAGTCTACAACGTGAACGCCCCGACACTGACGCTCGCCCATTCAACAGGAAGCCGCATCTGCAAAGCCGCCTGCGCTCGAGGCTGGGACGTGACTTCTATAAGGCAAGCTCGGCTCCCTCCCCTTCCCTCCCCCCAGCCAGCCCCCCAACTAACTCCACCATCCACAGCCGCTCCGGCGAACCCACCTGGTCCTCCGTAACCTCCTCCCCCGACCCCCCACCATGGTCGACATCCGTACACTGGGCGAAAGGCAACATCCTGGACCCATCCTCCTACAGCACCCACCTCAACGGCGCCGACGCCGTCGTGCACAGCATGGGCATCCTGCTAGAAGCCGACTACAAGCGCGTGCTGCAGGGCCGCGAGTCCCCGCTCTCAGGCCTGCGCCGCGCCTTCAGCGCCTCCAAAGCCGGGACCCAGAACCCGCTTGAGCGACGCGCAGGCAGCGAAGCCGGGAGCCCGCTGAGCCCGCAGGAGCCAGACGGCCAGCTCACATACGAAGTCATGAACCGCGACTCCGCCATCAGCCTCGCCTCCGAGTCTTCCCGCGCCGGCGTCGCGGATTTCGTCTACATCTCCGCCGCCGGCGGCGCCCCCGTCCTGCCCGCTCGCTACATCTCCACAAAGCGCCAAGCTGAATCCGTCATAGCGTCGGAGTTCCCAAACATGCGCAGCGTCTTCTTCAGGCCGGGCATGCTGTGGGACTCGTCGCGCATGTTCACCGTGCCGCTTGCGGCTGCGACGGCGGTGGGCGCGGTTGCGAATTCGTTGACGGGGAATCGGTTAAGCGGGCTCATGGGCGCGGGAGGGGTGAAGCCGCTCAAGGCGGATTTGGTGGGGGAGGCGGTTGTTGAGGCAATTGGGGATGAGAGTGTTAGGGGACCGGTTGAGACGGGGGAGATTGAGGCGTTGGCGACGAGGGCGTGGAGGAGGGGGATGTTGTAGGAAAGGGGGGTTGGGTGATTGGAGTTGCCATCTGCCGATAGGCTGGGGATGGACTGGGAGCGTGAGGTGTTGAAATTGGCTTTGGCCATTTGAGACTGTGCTTCAGATACCTTTGAAGTTGCTTACTACGTGTATAGCTCATCTCCCATCATAGCTATTGGTGTACAAACTTGTATTGCATCTTACTGGCAGGGTTCATCCAGATCCGTAGCCAGTGTTATTGAAGCAAGCAGTCTATTTGGATCCCAGAAATAGTGTTCAAAGTTCATTGTACTCATGATAGAATGACGCTACGGGGGCTACACTGCCTGCTAATGGAGAAACCATCGCGCTCAGTGTTCACGCGGTCTTCGCATATCCAACCCAAAGCCAGGGTCGAATCTGATCGACTCGGACAGAATTTCGTGCTGCACAGCAACAGAACTCACCAGCCACCTCATCACAAGATCCGTCAAGCCTTCCACGAAACAAAACGCCGCGTGCTTACCCCTAAGAGCAATACTGCTCCACCATCGGCTCACGCTCCTCCCTCTTCGTCCGCTTAACCGCCTTGTCCGATCCGTCCTCCCCACTGCTCCTACTGCCCGATCCAGTAGACGCCCCACTCCTAACAGCACCATGACCCGAAACCCCACGGCGTCTGTGACCGAAGCCCTGGACATCGGTATGTACTGCCCAGCCAGCCGAGTCACCCGTGTGCTCGGCAGCCGCATCCTCGCCCGCTGCTGTGATGTCGTCGTCGCGGCTACGTTTGCCAAGCAAGAGCCTCTTCGCCAACTCAGTATGTAGACCCCTGTCGTCCTGGTCAGGAGCCATCAGACCGTCGGCCTCGAGCTCGGCTGAATCGGCGCGCGTGGCGCGGATGGAGGCGGTGTCAGTGTCGTCGTTGTCTTCTGCGTCGGCGTCCTCGCCGGACTGCTCTTCAAGGAGTCGGAAGTCCTTGAAGGAGGGTTTTGCGCTGGATTGGCCATGCTCCGTGGACCCGCTGTTGGAGGAGAGAGGAGACGGGATGCGTGAGACTGAGGAGGGTAAGGTGCTTGACACTGAGACAGGGCTGTGGAAGTCGAAGTTTGGTGCAAAGCAGGCTGATTCGGGTGGCGCGAGGTACCGGAAGGTGTTTGACGCAGGATCTTCGCGGTGATCCGTCTTCTTTTCCAGTTCCAAGGCGCGTGACCGAATGAGTGGAGCAGGGTGCGCGTTGACGGGACGCTTCAAGGCTGAGATCGAGGACGGGCTGAGAAGGATGGTGGACGCAGAAGACCCAGACGTGTTGTCTTCTCCTTCGGAAGGGTCGGATTCGTCATCCTCGAGTTGTAAACGAAAGTCGGACTGCTTTGGTGCGAAGGAATGATCAGCTGCGTCGAATTCCGCCTTTCGACAATTCTTGTCAGCTCCCTTGTTGTTGTCTGCGCCATCATCGTCAGCGTCATCAGAGCCGGCCTGGCATTGGCGCTTTGTGGGTGAGCCAAATGTCTTGATGTGTTTCTCGTCGTCGGTTGACTGCAAAGTCTTCTTCCGGTCCTTGACTACGCTGTCTGCCGGACGAGGAGGGAGTGGGTGGGTTATGCTGAGCGGAGTGAGGAAGTTGAGTTGGTCATTCATCCTCCGACGACTACGAGCAGTTCGAGATGAGGTCATTGCAGGCTTGGGAAAGCCTTCGAAGTTGAACTTGCGGAGGACGTCTGCCGTGTTGCTCGTTAGCCTACAGTATCCTCAATCGGGAAAGAGCGAAGGCGCTACCTACCTTCGCTACGATAGAAGAACTTGAAGACCGCGTAAGGCTCCTCGTCTTCCTGATAGTAGTCGTAATGCACGACACGGACCGGCTTCGATGGGATTGCTTCCCCATGTTCGAGCCTGCGATCTCTTGTGTTAGCTCAGTTCTTGACGAACGGCTTCCGTAATAACATACTTTACTGCGTGAGAAATATCCCTGGCACCATCCATGTTCACATCCTCCTGATCGGCCCTTTTGGCTTTGTAGGCCGGGTCGGCAAAAGTCTCGCTCAGCGTGACGCGTTCGATGACAACCTTGATCTGGCCCAGCTTCGGCTCTGCTTTGCTGTTGGTGAGCTGGGTCTTGTTCATTGCCGATAAGAGCTCATCTTCCACAACGATGCTAGGATTTGCTGGCACATCGTTGGTAAGGGCCATCTTGTCGAATAGAGTCTCGATGCCGACATTCGTAAAGAACCAGCGATGAGAATATGTTTTGCCGTCGCGACCCCGCAGCCAGGTTGAACGAAGGGAGAACTCCCCATCTTGAATCATATGCTCTGGATGGTCCGGATCAAGGTAAACGACGCATCTGCGTTCTGGTGTCTTTCTGCCGTCGATGTAGACAGAGGCGAGCAGATCGAAGGGCGGGCAACGGTGGTTGTCGATTTTGCGAATCAACGCCTCACTGAATTCGCCATCCATTTCCTCATCTTCAGACTCATCGTCAAGCTCATCTGTAGTTTCATACCGTTAGCATTAATTTGAAACTTGTCATAAAGGGTATAAATTCGAAAACCCTTACCGTTTGATCGAGCCCAAGAAGCTGGCTTCCCTTGCTTCTCTTCAGGGAATTGAGGGTCTACCTCAAAAGGGAATGGGATTGTTGGGCGAATGGAGATTTGGAAGGCCATGCCCGTTTCTGATTGAATATAGCAGGAAGACGTCTTCGACCGAGACAGCTGGTGTACGCCCCATTCTTTCAGCGCGGCACTGTCGTTCACTGATTGTTTCCGCACTTCGATCGTCAAGCCGCGGAACTCAGGCATGATTAACGGTGGAATGCGAATGGATGACACGGTATTGTCCCGGCAGCAGGTGGAAGGTGTTGAGCTGTCTTTGAAAGGCAGTCCTGCTTCCTGACCTTGGCGAGATCGTCTCGCGAGGCGCAGCGAAACTTGATGGATCGGGAAGTGCGACAGGCTCAAGATCGGAGCAGGACGGGCCAAGCGTGAAGAAGAGTTCGGCCGGTGTCGATACGCGTTCTAAACGCGTGGTAGGAGGTCTTTGATTGATAGTCACACAAGCTGCTTCTTGAAGCGCGCGGCCTGTAGTAGAAGAATTGAAGACGAATAATTATTCCAAAAGACTGCGTGGGAGGGATTCCAAAAGCCGACTTGCGTAGTGAAGCGAGGACGCGAAGTCAGAAGAAATCGAGATAAGAGTTTAGGAGGATATCAAGCGACGTCAAAGGAAGGATTTGCCAATTATGGGCTAGGCAACAATGAGTTTGACAGCTTGCGGAGTTGAGGATGGTCGTTGTCTGAGCGGGTGCCAAGCGGTGAATGTCATGAGACTTTGGTTCACATCAGAGTCTGTGGCGCTACCGACGTTGGAGAGTGCGATCGAGAAAAGTCTCCCATCCGCGCTTGGTACAAAAGCTCACTAACTTAGAGCTAAGAAATATTGGTCCGCACCCAGTCCGAAGCCTTCCAGCTTCGGATAAAAAGACAGGTCCGCGGATAAGTAATATCGAAATCACATCGCCGATACCAGACCGGATACCCGCCGCAGCGGCATGCGTTGCCTTTTGAACGCCTTCCAAATCATGGGTATATCGCCTTTTGTCACCTCTCAATGCCTATCTCGTAACCGAGCAGAACCTCGGTCGAAGCGCCTTCCCAACCACGGTTCCCTCCGGTCGAAATCATAAAGGTACAGCTTGGATCAATGTACAGCTGCGAAATCACTCCAGTGCGGTGACCCGGCACGATTAGATACGGCACCGCAGAGCGCGTAGTGCTCTGTTCTTTGAGGTCATAAAGGCGTAGAATGTCATACGAAGCGCTGGTGAGAGTTAGCATCTGCCCGCTCGAATTGCAAAAAGAAGAACATGCGTACCAGACGAGATGTCTGCCATTGGGCATCGCCCTCACCGCGGTCACCGGACCACTAACGCTAGGAAATCTCAATGTTCTAATAGGCTCTCGGAGCCCTCTGTGGAGGCTGTATTCGTCGACAGCGCCGTTCCGACGGCCGGCGTAGATGAAGTTGCCGTCCGGAGACCAGCAAGCTCCCATGCACCATGGGGGAATAGACTTGGATGGGAAGATTTGAGCAACAGGATTGGGCTGTCGTCGATCCCAGACCCGTAGTGTACCGTCGAAGGAAGCGTCAAGGAAGGTGGTATCTGAAGTCACTGGGGTATCGGCTCCGTCTGCGTCAGTCGCATTTTGCGACGCACCCGCAGCTGTCGTACTGTGAACTGAATGCGTCAACCCATTAGTGACAGGTGCAGGTTGAGTATCTGTGACCCCGTTCACGAGCGATTCAAGTTGTGCCGATTCGGTAGGTGCGGTGACTGTGGGATCTTGTTCAGGGACTGGTGCTGGCGGTTGGACAGAGCCTCCAATGTCGGTCATTTCAGCGTCCGGTTCGGTATCTGCCTCTTGCTGTTGCTGTATGCTGTCCGCTATAGCTCTTGAGAATTCGTTATCTTCGTCACCCCCAAGTTGAGGGATAGCATCGCCGCCAGCCCCGCCCTCCTCATCTCCAAACAGTGAACCGTGAGAGTCGTTGTCTTCGAAAAGAGAGTTGTGAGGCGAACCTGCAGCGTCTTCGATGCCGTTTGCAGTCGCCCCTGACCCACCTGCAGCTGTGTTCCGGACGCCATTCGTAACGATGCCATTTGGCAAAGGCTTCGCGTCGTTGTTGGAAGAGAAAATCCCATTGGAGAGCGGCACGAAAGTCGAGTCGTCCGGAACAGGCAAACTAGAGTGAGGCCTCGGCTCTATCGTAGAGATCTGCCCTCCGGCGCCGCTTTCGAAGACGCGCTTGATATCACCCGTGTTAAGGTCCCAGTCAATAATGGCCTTGTCCCAGCTTCCAGATAATACCGAAGTCTCATCTCGCGCCAGGTTTAGGACCGAAACTGCTGAAGTGTGTTTACGGAGACAAGTGATTCGCTTCCCTTCGTCGTGGCGAACAGACTGCAAATTGATGGTGCCGGACTCGGTGCCAGACAGGAGCCACAGACTCTGATGGTGAACCGCCAGTGAGTATACAGGTGACAAGGATGTGGGCTCGTCCCCGAAGCCAGTAGGACTGTGCTCTATGCAATCGTCGTCAGTGCATGCCCTGTATACTCCGTCTCAAGACATTATATACCTGGAGCATTCTCATTCTCCCAGTAGCTGACGAGGCTGCCCGCTTTCGTGACGCTGTCCACAAAAGGATGCTTTTGCGCTACGGTGAGCATGAGCTTCCCGTTCACAGTGTCCACCCAGTTGAACTTCCTGATGTATCCGTCGGACCCTCCGGTGAACACCCAGCGCATATCCGGAGTCGCAGTGACAGCATTGATCGAGGTACTATGAGGCGCCGCGATAGTCGGGGCAATGTCGTATGTGGAAGCAACAAGTGCCTCAGGCCGTACCCTCGGTCGAAACGGCAGGCTAGCTCTTTGCGACACAGAGGAAGCTCGAGGAGATACGGAGGCAAAGCGCACGGCAGGCTCTGCGCGAAACCCGTCCGCTCCATCTACTGAGCCGTGCCGAAGACTCGATATGCCGTTGGTTATTGGCGTACGTACCGAAGTTGGGGGTCTGAGAGGCTGCGTGCGTGAGGGAGACTCCGGCGTATCGTCCTGATCCTCGTCGTCCTCGTTCTCGCCCTCGTCTTCGTCGTTGTCTCCTTCGGCATCCATATCTCCATCCGCGTCCGCGTCTCCGTCTGCATCGGCGTCGTCAACGTCCTCCATGGCTTCATCGGCGTCATTTTCCGAGCTGTCCGGAGAAGCTAAGAGCAATTTGTTAGTCCTGTTGCATATGGGTTGCTCTACCACACTTACCCGCTCCATTGTCGTCTTCATCCTCAAAGCTCACCATAATGGGTATGGAACTCCCGCTGCTGTCCAAATGTGACGAGCGGTGGCTGAACCCTGTCCTCGGTGAAAGTCCGGTCTCTTGAAACTTGGCGAGAAGGACAGAAAACGGGATACGCCTCTCCCAACTTCATCTGATGCTGCACACCACCAACAGGTTACGGGCAGAAGCCCCTACCTAGGTAGTGGCTTTGGCGCAATCAAACCATCGATCTAAAGCCTCTGCATTTGCGTCTGCTGTGAGATCTGCGACACGAGACCGCAAATATGTCCCGCCGAAGCGCGTTTGATGGCATGCCAGGAGCCGCGTTGGATCTGGGAGGCACAGCTAGCTCTACCTGGAGGAAGTGTAAATGGCATGAGCTTGCCTTGTTATGCCTCCTTAGATCTTTTGCCCACCGGAAGTGAATCGTGACTTCATGCTAATTAGCTCTATCTATGAATTCCAGCTTCAATTGACCTTCAGTTACCTCTGTTTCGTCTTCCATCACAGCCGCGGGCGCCATTGATACCAAAGTCATTCGATATTCAGCCGGCCGCGTTCAGCCTCTTGAGGGGTGGCGCCGGTCATTTGCGTTGTTAAGGCGTTTGCTCTCCACAATCGTCACCGCTTCCCATGCCAGCTCACAGAGCTCTTAATCTACGGTCAGAGCCCTTCCTTGTACCGGTCTTCAGATGCATGCAAGGCCGCAGCTCTCAAACCTTTCCAACACGCCAGATTGATGAGATACTGGGGCCTAGGGAAGCTCAGCAGGCGTCATTCCCACGGAGGTCATCTCACGTGATTCGCGCGTTTGTCGGCCACATCGTGAGCTCTACTCTGCCGGCAGCGCTACAGCACCGCAACTACAAGCTCTCGTGTTCTTCAGGGCTACGGCGGGTCAGTCACATGAGGCAGCCCTCAATAGAAAGATTTTCCTTCTTTCAACTTACAGGTTTGTCAACTTCTCTAACTCGGCAAAAGCTGTCTTGATGCTGCCAGGCAGTCGACTACGCTAGCGGGGGCCCCTCACCTGTTTCCCCTAAGATACTCTCATTGCAGGTCCGCTAATATTCGGTAATCGCTTAGGAAGTTGTTATCTGCACTAGTGGAGTTGCGTTGTCGGTTTGTCTCCGTGGCTGCTGGCCTGAGCTGTAACGTCTGATAACCTCCGGCTTTCTGCCCTCCTCCAGCTACGTCTCCCCGTGCAGATATCAGGCCTATCTGTGAAGGCGCTGCCTGTTCATCGCAAACAGCTACGCCAACCCCCGTGCGGCTCCCGTCCTCATCGTTGAGAAGGTCTCATCCCATATCCCACCGATTCGTTGTCTACCGCTAGGATACCCTTGCACCGTTGTCGCACGCGGTCGACCGAGGCACCATCTTCACCATGAGTGACCTGAGAGATCCGAAACTCCACGCAACAGGGCAAAGCCGCTCTGCCTCAAGAGCATGGGACCCTTGGCGCGATGGCTCCACATCAGCTCCGACAGCTTTTGAGAATCAGCATGCGGGTCATGTGATGAACGCCGATCTTCCCGAGCGCTTCCAGATCAACCGGCCGTACAGGTTTCGTCAACAAGCCGCCCCTCAGGACGACTACTCTCAGGCCGTACGGTGCGGAACCGAGATCCGCCAATACCTCGAAGAATCCAACCAGCCAGTCAGTTCTGACTCATGGCTGGCGCGTCCAGAGCTGCCAACATCCGCCGAGATCCTTGATATTCCGGAACCGGACGACAACAGCCTTGAAGGGGATGTTGTTTTGGAAATCAACAAAACATCCGGTCGGTGGAGGTCAAAAGTGGCGTATCTCAGTGCCCACTATGACCTACTCAGGGAGGACGCCGTCAAACCCTTGAGAGACGCGGTGGGCCGCATGAGGGTCAAGCCCTTCGCAAAGGAGGAGGAATACGGGAGCTCGATCGGCATATACGAGAATGTTCATATCACTGCCTTGACATTTTCCACTCGAGGCATTGCTGTTCGTGTGGTGTTCTCACTCGCTCGATCAGGCAAACGTGTACACTGGGAGCAGTCGAAGCGGTTGATTACCGGATCGCTGGTGGTCCTCACGCCCGCGGATGATCTATTCAAGACTAAATGCATCGTCGCGGTGGTAGCCGCTAGGCCCCTAGTCGGCCTGGAGCAAAACCCTCCCGAGATCGACCTCTTCTTTGCACGCGCTGAGGACCTCGAGATTGATCCTGCGAAGGAATGGATCATGGTTGAAGACCGGACAGCCTACTATGAAGCCCATCGTCATACCTTACTGGCTCTACAGAAGCTTATGAGGGAGCCTTTCCCTCTCAAGGAGCATCTTGTGGATGCCGAGTCTAGCGTCGAACCTCCTGCATATGTCCAGATGAAGCCCAAAACCGATCTCAGCTGCATTTTCGAAGCAACATCCACTGGAACGTTTGAGAACGTTGATATTCTCAATGCGTGGCCCGACAAACCTGAATCGTCGGAGCTTGACAATACTCAGTTATCGGCGTTGCAGCGCATCATGACGAAGCGACTTGCGGTTGTACAAGGCCCACCGGGCACCGGCAAGACTTACGTGTCTATCGTGGCCCTCAAGGCATTTTTGCATAACATGGCTCCGGGGGACCCTCCTATCATTATCACCTCACAGACGAACCATGCCTTGGATCAACTCCTGCGCCAAGTTGCTGAATTCGAGCCTGACTTTATCCGCCTTGGAGGCCGATCAAAGGATCAGGATGTGGTCAAAAAGCGGACGCTGTTTGAAGTCCGGCAGATGAGCCAAAAGTTCCGCGTGTTCGGTGGACTACGCGAGCCGGCTAGGAAACAGATGCAGATGCTGGAGAAAGCTATGAGAATCTTGCTTACGCCACTTGAACTTGGAAATAGTGCTCTGGGTCATGTTCTTCTAAAAAAGCTCAAATTGCTTACTGAGGAGCAATGCAAGTCACTAGAAAGAAGCAGGGAGGACTGGATTCAGCATGGCCAGGACACTACTGGCTTCAGTCCAATGGAGGTGTGGATGGGACAGGCGCTTATACCGGTCCAGCGGTATGTTCAGCCGGAGGACTTTGGCTTTGAATATGAAGAGCTTGACCTCGAGTTTGAGCAGCTGAAGGAGATGGAAGCAGAGAACTTTGCCAAAGACGACGAAGACTTTGAAACATTAAGGGGCACGGTCGTCAATATTGCGGACAATTATACCGGCAAGAAGACGGCAGGCCTGGATGAACAGCAAGTGGAGAGGCTGCTGGAGAACCAAGACCTCCGAAAGATCCCTCCGCGTTCCAGGGGCGCCGTCTACAGCTACCTTCAAGAGCAAGCAAAGAAAGCTCTTCTGACAGCCTTCCGTGTAGAAGCGAAGAAGTTCAACGATGCGACGGTGAGACACAAAGCGGGGGGTTGGGAACGAGACCAGCTCATCCTCAGGCAGCAGAAAGTTATCGGGATGACGACAACGGGTTTCAGCAAATATCGTGCACTGGTCGCTAGCTTGCGGCCCAAGATCGTGCTCATTGAAGAAGCCGCCGAAACGCTCGAGGCGCCCGTCATCGCCACCTGCGTGCCCACACTCGAGCATCTCATCCTTGTCGGAGACCATCAGCAATTGAGGCCACATTGTCACGTGAGAGATCTTGAAGGCCCTCCGTACAACCTGAACATGTCCCTCTTTGAGCGCATGATCAATAATGAAATCGAGTTCAACAGCCTTCGCCGACAGCGCAGGATGATCCCCGAGATTCGACGGATTCTAAAACCCATCTACGGAGACCTGATCACTGATCACCCAGCGATGAAAGACCCATGTGTGCGGCCACCCGTTCCGGGCATGGGCAGCATAAGCTCGTACTTCTTCACCCACGAATGGCCGGAGACTCGCGATCAGTACATGTCTTCCTGCAATCTTGGGGAAGCAGAAATGATCGTCAACTTCTTCGACTACCTTGTGTTGAACGGTGTATCATACGGCCAGATTACCGTGCTAACGTTCTACAATGGTCAGCGCAAGGCCATTCTCAGAGGGCTGCGCGATCATCCCAACCTCAAAGGCCATATATTTAAAGTCGTCACTGTTGACTCCTACCAAGGAGAAGAGAACGACATTGTTCTTCTGTCACTTGTCCGGAGCAATGATGCCGGCAAAGTCGGCTTCTTGAACGTCGACAACAGGGTCTGCGTTGCCCTGTCTCGAGCCAAGCGGGGATTCTACATCTTCGGAAACGGCGAGCTTTTAGTCAACGCAAGCAAGACTTGGGTGAGCGTCATTGAGATCATGGCGGGCAAGAAAAAGCCGTTCCCTGCCCTGGGGCCGAAACGTCGTCTGGGATTCCATCTCCCTCTGGAATGCACTCAACATGGCCGCAAGACATTCATCAGAGGTACGTACTATGGACTATGCCGACTTACTCAGCTGCTGATGAGTGTGCCCCAGAGCCGAATGACTGGGCCAACATCAATGGCGGATGTGAGGCGAAGTGCAAGACGACATTGGAATGCGGCCACGCTTGTCCTCTCAATTGCCATCCGTAAGTGGCTCCTTGCTTGATGACCTACAGTTCTAACGGCCAGGCTCAGCTTCAACCACAACACCTTCAGTTGCAAAGAGAAATGCATCGTCCAACTTCCTTGCGGACATCCGTGCATTGACATTTGCAGCGAACCCTGCCGTTGTAAGATTTGTACCCGACCTAGGGGCAGACCTGTCGATACTGAGTGGGTTGATCACACATCAACACTACCCAGATCGCAGCAAGGTACTCCCGCGCAGGACTCCAATTCCGGATCCGACCTGAAAGCTTGGGGCCGCTATGCTAATGGAGGTGTCGCCGAAGACGATGCTGCCCTTGAGCGAAGAGCTGCGACACGTCAAGCGCAGCAGATAGCACTGGAAAGGGCTCGCAGATGTTCAAACCAAGGGCTGCTCCCAAAAACACTCACTCATGATGAACCTTTACTCACCACGAAGGCTGCAACTTTCTCTCCATCTTCGAACTTCGCCACTTCCATGCTTATGGACCTTCCGCCCGTCGCCCAAGGGGGCAACTTTGGACCAACTTTGCCAGTGAACAGTGCCGCTACCACGAAGCCTGCAGGAGGTTCTGGTTCGGCGGCCACTACGGCCGTGCTCATGGACGTTCCAACCAACACCCAGCATCATATCGAAATTCCTCTGCAACCCGCTAAGACCGCATCCACAAACCATGTGAGCGTTTCTGGAATTCCGGCTGCAGCATCTTCGGCGCCCGAGGCAGTTGCTTCCTCCATGCTCATCGACATCCCGTTTGAGGATCACGGTATCGTTGCCCAGTCGCAACCCACCGCCACCGACGCCGCAGTGGCCGCCAATGCTCAAACTCTGAATCCTCACGTCAGCTTGCTCGACTGAGTCAAGCATACAGTTGAGTGCTGTCCAATCGCTGCGGCTCTCCCAAATCAAGCTTCACACTCGTTCTTGTCTAGGGTCGAAAACCGACGGGCGTGCACCATGTGTTTTCGAAGGCGCTACGCCAACATGTCATGCGGTGTCATCGTGGATTTTAGTATGAAAAAAGAATGAGGTTTTAGGGGAAGTGCATGAACGGAGACATTACGACTTGCTTGTTTTGCGTTAGTTTTGACTGGCGATACTGGATGATCTGGCGTTAAGCTGCAAACCGAAACGGCCACTAATGTAGAGCAAGGAACAAGACACTAAAAGCTGCCACATGACTTTTGTACCATGACATGAGATTGACACCGAACCCACAGCCATCCATCTCCCAAATGGCCCGCTCACGCCCCATCTAGCCCCTCAAACAACTTGACATGCCACCCCTTCCCCGGATTGTTGAATCGATGCAAGTATTGCCTCCCCACCCTCTCAATCGCCTCAACATCATTCTCCACCAACGCACAGCTCTTCGCGCCATAGTTCTCCCTGATCCACTTCTCGTGGCTGCTCTTCGGGATTACAGACGTGCCTCGTCCCATGCCCCACGCCAGCGCAACCTGCGGAATCGTGCAGTTCCGCTCCGTCGCGATTTCTTTGAGGACGAGGTTGTCGAGGAGGAGGGGAGGGGTCTTGGGTTTTTCCTTCTTCTTTGAGGGGGAGAAGGAGATGCTGCTGCTGCTACTGTCTTTGTAGGTGGGATTCAGGTTGCCGAGGGGGGAGTAGGCGGTTACGTGGATGCCGAGGTGTTGGTGGAAGTCGACCCACCACTGCTGCTGTAGGTAGGGGTGCAGCTCCATCTGGTGCGCGGCGGGCTTGGTGGTCGAGTTGGCGATCAGGCGTTTTAGTTGAGAGGGCGAGAAGTTGGAGACCCCGATGTGTTTGACTTTCTTGGTGGAGAGGAGGTGTTCCATGGCGTGCCATGTCTGTGGTGGGGGATGTTAGCAGGGACGGTTGTCGATGGGGCGGGTTGGAGTTGGAGCAGGAGGCGTACGGGTATGTAGTCGAATTCGAGTTCGCCATCCTCGCCTGTGTTGCCTACAGGCCAGTGCATAAGGTATAGATCCAAGTAGTCCAGGCCCAGATCCCTCAGCGTGTCATCAAGGCCATCTTCCACTTTGTCCGGTTCATGGCTGGGACTACGATCAGCTATTTCTCTCCTGCTAAATCCTATCTTGCCGGAAAGCTCACTGATCATTCCAAAGCTTCGACGTAACCCATATGTCCTTCCTCTCAAGCCCCACCGTCGACAACCCTTGTGCAATGCCTTTCCCTACAGCTGGTTGGTTGCCGTAAGCTGCCGCACAATCTATGTGCCTGTAGCCCACCTCGATTGCTTTGGCTACAGCCGCGGTCGTGTTCGAGGGATCGACTTTGAGGTTCCATGTCCCAAACCCGAGGAGAGGGATTGGGAGAGCGGTTGTGGGTGACAAGGGGACCTGGGGCTCAATCACCGCAGCGGAGCTGATGACAGCTGGTAGCACCGTCGAACAGAGTACCGAGAACAACCACATGTCTGCCAGCCAAATACGAGTGTTGAACGGGAGCTCAGTTGAGGCCTCTGGTAAACATTTGAGCTCTTGCAGCAGCTTCGACGTCATGATCTACGCTCCCCGCAAACACGGCGGCGGGCATGTCGAAGCTCCCAGTTCCGGTCTCCTCGCGTTGAGTTGCTGAAATGTACATAAGGCGGAGACCGCTCATACATAAGGCGCATTCTTGATGGCTACGCGTCAATGTAGACTCATGCCGACGTTCACCTTGGAGAACAGTCGAGGTTGCTGGAAGGTTGAAGTCGTTAATTCCGAGTATCCCCGAGCTCAGGGGAACGGACTTGGCATTGTCGAAGGCAGCTTTCAAGACAGATGAGTGATGCGGATGTTTCTTTCCTATTCGCTTTCTCCAGACCCGGTTCACCAGCAGAATGTTCGTCTCTCATATCTTCACCCTTCTCTCCTTTATCGCTGTCTTGGCTGTGCAAGCACACGCAAATCACCCGTCGAGTAGCGACTACACCTACAGTCACAGTGTAGGACGCGAGGTCGGTAGTTCACAATGGTCCGGAGCCATCACGACAGTTCAGAAAGGATCCAATGTTATCGCTAAGCTAGACTGTCTGGGCTGCCCGTTCCGCCTGCGTACCGAAGACGAGGAAATATGGGAGGAGCCACCAAGAGAGAATGCACTGGTAAACCACCTTGGCAATTGATCTATTGCTGGGATCTAAGCCTGACGACATTGTTTGGCAGATGTTTAACCTCTCCGTGAGCCACTCTGGAACCGCCCTCCTCCTCAATGACCGTCAAATACTGCCGTTTCGCGACCCGCCACCCTTCATCGATGCCTACCAAACCCCAGCGAACCTTACTGTAGACGAGTTGAGCCTCATGATAGACACCCAGCATCTCAGCTATCGTTTCGGAAAAGCCGAGGGATCGTGGGCAAGCTACGGCCTCTCCTACGACCATTCCATTCGACCAGCCGCTGACCCTAATAATCTAATCCTGGACTTTGATGTTATTGGATGGAGCCAAGCGGCGGTTGATGATCCGGCTCAGCAGATGGTGTCAATCGAGATCGACTTCGATGGTACAGGAATGGTCATCGGCAAGGTCGACCTCGTTCCGCGGCCCCCGCCCTACAGAGGCGAACCAACGTATGAATACCCATTCTGGTGTCCGGAGTTCCTTGAACCGACTGTGAACTACCTGCTGTCAAGGCCGAGCCATGCCGATCCACCTGGGCACATGGTTCTTCGAAGACATGAGTGGGATGGCTTTGGTAGGAAGGGCACATTGAGGCATGATTGGGCGGCTCTTTGTGGCTGGTTCGGGTGGATGGTCATACTGATTATAGTTGCGGTTGTTGTTCCATGCTTGGTGTTGTGTTATGGCCTGTATCGGCTGCTACTACACATCTGGAGGTCAGGTGACCAAGAGCATGGAGCGGAGGAGCGTGAGCAGCTTATGGGTGATAAAGAAGATGCGGATGAGATGTTCGACGAGAAAAGGGTCGTGGACGAAGAGGCATTGCTGTCCTCGCTGCCCATCGAGAAGTATTGAGTAAATACCGGATTCCGCCCCTATATCTTTGTCCATATTGCCACTATCACAATTTAATAACTCCATGTTTACTGTGTCACTTCGAGCTCTGACATCAGGACATGCTCCAAATTACTTTGCGCGAAGGAAGCGCAGCGTGAGAAGGCTGCAATTCTCAAAAAATATTAATTGTCCGCTTTGTACACTGACAGACCTTTACTGAATCTTCAAGATGAGGCGAGTTCGGTGCTGGGTCACAAGCGTTCCAGTACGAACATCCTTACACTAAATTGGTTTGAGAGGCATAATCTGATACTCGAGCCAATGTCTAAACGTCACCCAAGCCACTGGGTACCGGTAAGAGTAACAAAGAATCGTGGCGAAACCCGGCAAAACATTCTTCTGACAATGAGTCTTGCGGCAGATTTTCATCTGTCTCAACAAAGAGATCTGTTTTGGCTGAGGATGTCTTGTTGCAAGGCGCTCCGTTCCTTGTCTCTTCCACAACGCGTCTAAGACGAGGACAAAGAGACTAATATTATCCATGGCAAGTGCCTCATTATAGGCTCTTGATCATCTCCCACTGATACATATTCCACTTGCATTGCTGTCGTCTCCTACATCCAAGGTCAACAATTCACAGTTCAACCCAGTCACTCATTCGTGTTCAACACAAACCAATAACCATGAAGTTCATCTCCATCCTCTTCTCCAGCGCCTTCGCGCTCAGCGTCGCCGCCGCACCAGCCGACAAAACTGCCGCCCAAACCTCCGCCTTCGAGGCCGCCATGGCCGAGTACGACGCCTCCCACCCCGTTTCCGAGGCCGACACAGACTTCAGCAAGCGCGCTGTCGGGGCCGGTGTCTTCTACTGCCGAAACGACAGGTGGAAGGGTGGCTGCCACAGGCAGTACTTCATCGACGGAGTCTGCCAGGGTGTGCCGAAGGAGTGGAACGACCAGATTTCCTCCCTCGGCCCGGATGCCAGCGTCAAGGATAAGGATTGGGGCTGCGACGTCTTTACCGAAGGAAATTGCCAGGGGCAGAAGTTTCTGATTTTTTATCCGGGAAGCGATATCATGAGTGCCCACAACATGAACGATAAGGTCAGCAGCATCAAGTGCGGTAGGAGGATGAAGGCCCAGGGCGCAAAACCTGCTTGAGGCAAAGTCTAGAGTACTTGTCTATCATGAGGGGAGGATATCTCTTAGCCTGCGTGCGCCGTTGACGGCGCCGGGTGTATGCTCAAGGGTCTTTTGTTCTAGTAATTCTTAGCTTCTACTATTGTGGACAACCGGACTAGTTGTGGTAATATCGAAAGGTGACAAAGAACATCTATCGTACAATTACAAACAGTCTTCCCGTATCATCCTCCCAATGTATCGGTGATTCCGGCTACACTTGCTGATATAGATCAAAGCTTCGAGATAGCAATCTTAAGCTTGTCGTCTACTAGTTTGATATTGAAAAGTGTAGAAGTACTTCCCATGGATTGAAGTGGTGAAGGCCTAGGGATGTTGACGCTGCGCCCAAAGGGAACGCCAGCAGAAGGGTTGCCGCAACTCCTCAGCCAAATCACGTGTGGACGGCCGCAACATTCATTTCGGCCTTCCCTCGGCCCTCGACGAAACTGTACACGAGGCAAATGGCTGCTGCAGCATGCATGTAGAGGTTCGTGTAGCAGGCGTGGTCTCCAGAATTCTCATTATCCTATGATCTCGTCCACTAAGCGCTGATCTCAACCATACAATGGCCGCATGTGGCTGCGCGGCCTGCGCCCCAGCGCTTGTTGCATCGAGACAGACTTCCCAGGTCAATCTAACTTACAGTTGGCGGAGATGCATTAGAAAATGCTACTATCACACATTCACAGGCGTCTAGCCAGCTCCAAGGCGTCAAAGTCGATATGCCAAACTTCTCGCAGTTGGTTACATATTAATAGCAACAACTTCCTACAAGCTACAAGTAGCACATCTTTTCAGTACCTTGACGCCCACTTCAATCGCGGGCCACTCTTACATCTCCTACCATGTACACTAATAGAACTTGCCAATTTTGCTAATCCACACTTGCCAATATACTCACATCCTTTGCACATGATGGAACCTACAGAGGCTACAGGAAAGCGGCAGGCAGCTGAGGAGGTCGTCCTCCTCGATCAATCTCCCATCTCTCTAGTGCATGAGCTCAGTAAAGGTGCTTTCAAGCCGAGATCGGTTGGCGGGTTAACGGCAGATCGCGTGCTATATTCAATATGGGATATCTTAGCTGCGCTTCTTCCTTTGTCGTTCTTGTGTGAGTCTCCCCATCCCTCCAGAAAATCGGATAATCTAACGAGCTGGTCGTATAGTGCTGGCAATCTTCGCGGGGTACCTTGACCGGAAACCCATCTCTCCGTTCGGGGAGAAGGTGGAGCGTGCTATCCAAATCTCGCCCACTATCTTTCCTGTCGTGTTCGCGGCCTTGATGGGCCGGTTCTTCCGAGCGGCAGGCCTTTACAAAGCTGAGCGCGGAAGCACCCTAAGCGTACGGCCGGGCCCCCTATCGATGGATCCATGCCTGTGGCTGACCTACGGCAGACTTTGGAACGACTCGTCGGCTGTCAGTCTTTCTTTGCGAGCGTCGAAAGACAGTTTAGCCTTCGCACTCTTGACCTGTTGGGAATTTGCATAGTGACTGTATGGTTGCTGTCACCTCTAGGTGGCCAAGCTGCCTTACGACTCCTAACAAAATCGCCGCGGGTCCAGTACTCCGAAGCAAGAATTCATTATCTCAACTCGGAATCTTCGGTCATGGAATCTATCCTCGCTGGCTACGAAATCATTCTCGATCGGCAAGATTTTGAACATCTATACCTCGTGAGCCTTATTAGTCCAAGCGCACAGCAAGCCTCACCACTGGACGTATGGGGCAATATCAAAGTCCCCAAGCTGCCAAACGTATTACGGGACCACGAAACCGTAGATCCCCTTCAGTGGAGACCAGTTGACAGATCCAGCAATGCGTCTTATTCCTCACTCATTGGCATTCCGGTCACAGGTCTCATGAATACAGCTGAACTGAACTTTACGATGCTATCTATGTACTGGGAGGTGGGCTGTCCTGCTATCACTCTTTCTTACGCGAACAACTCCGGGGCTATATGCAGATATCAAGACCTTAGATCCACTTCTATGAGGAACTGCTTACCCCTCGCCATGCGGCTGGATGAATCGGCACGCCGGGATGACGATGCCGGAAGAAACCAAAGCAACGAGCACTTCTCCCTCTACTCTTGGACCGAGGACACCCCGCCGGAATTCCAGTCCCAACCAGGAGGGTCAGTTGCAATAGCCAACTGCACTCTTGGCTACAGGGAAGTCGAGTCGATGGTAAAGTGCAAGAGTGGGTCTTGTTACGTGGACGCCATGCGCGATGTCACCAACACTTCTGACCCGCGTGGCGTCTACAAATATGCCGGCACTCCCGGTCCTCTTTCTTGGATGTTTGGGCATCTGCCCTCAATGGGCAGAGCATGCGGAGATAGTGACTACTGTGACTTCCGTGTGCAGGGAAGCACCAAGCTAGAAAAATGGATGAACGATACCAGCTTGGTGTTTGGACGACACAACGACGACTTCATGAGCCTCCACCGGTTGGGCCCTAAAGTCGTCTCCGAGAAACTCACTACTGCCCTCAACACCCTCTGGCAAGCCACCTACGCGACCCTGTACCTTGGCGGCGGGCTGCCATCGGCACAGTCGGAACTTGATAGCCTGGCTGCCCTGAAATATCCGCTCAACGTATCGACTATTCTTCCTGCGGCTGCGTATGTTACTGAGGTGGACGGAGACGTCTATGTTACACAATGGGGGTGGATCGTGCTACTTCTCGTGGCTTCTAGTGTTTTGCAAATTGCCGCTACAACCGCTCTTGTCTTAAGACACCTCACACTGTCTCCAGACCTACTGGGCTACGTATCTTCGCAGACGCGCGACAATCTTTACATCCCGTTGGTTCCGGGCGGGTCTAGTATGGATGGACTTGAACGGACTAGGATCCTGAGACATCTTCCTGTGAGGATCGGAGACGTAAGGGGTCAAGAGGATGTTGGACATATTGCTCTCGCAGCGATAAGCAGTGATGGTCCGGAAAGGGTGAAGAAGGAGAGACTGTATGACTAGATCAGATGTTTCTTACAGACATGAGTAAGATCCTGGAAAGCTCCTCGACCGATTCCTTTGCCAGGGAGCGTCGCGCTGATTTGCTAGGAATATCCTAGAAGGGCATGAAGCCCATTTAACTGATGCATCTCCTTGAACAAACGGGAGAAGCCGGTGTGCTTCCCTCGCTTGAATGCGAGAGTTGGAATCTCTCTAGGTCTGTATTTACATATCCGGGGTCCGTCATTTCCTCCGACAGGCCGATGCCACAACAGCGACAGCGCATTGACATTTGCGAGGAAGAGACCAGCCTCATCCCTGGTATAGATCCGGGATATGATGAAGAATTGCAGCAGCTCAGGGACGGGAAGCGGTGCGATCTCGGGCCGTGCCGCTGGCCCGCGCTAGATTTGCTTCCTTTAACGTCCCAAGTCCATCAAGCGGACCATATCACTGTTTCCATTCCATTCAGCCCTTCCCAATGTGGTACAGTTTGTTCTATCAAGGACAGTGGAGTTCTGCGCTAGGTCCAATGCTCCGAACGCAGCTACACCAGAGCGACCTTGATCTGTGGAAGTATACGTGTTTCTTCTGACCGCCGTCGTACGGAGAGTAGCGGCTGCGTATCCATCATACGTACCTTACGCTTAGATCTCTACTATACGTATACTCTTCGGCCTATGTATCACAAGGAACATCCCTTTAGACTTGAAGTCGTGTGGTCCGGCGACCCACTCAACATCCCATATTTCCATAGTCAAGTCAGTTTCACCCAGCAACTCATCTTAGACAGAGTCGCTGCGCCGACATGATTCCTTTGTCTCTTGTATCGTGCTTTACTGATCCACAACGCCTTTGTTGCACTCAAAATCTGGCACCCCAGAACCATTGTCGGACCCCGTCACTGCTTTAAATATGGCATATAGATCCTACGTCCTTCCAGACCCACAGATACGTTATCTCGTCAAATTGAACGTCAGCTCAGCAACAACAAGGTCATCTCTCAGCCCGCATCAAACCACAAGAAGCAGGTCTTCTTTTCAAGCACCACGCCATCATGTGCAAGTTCACTCTCCAATCTTGGTCATGCGGCCACTATCATCTCTCCAGACGTACCCCGTGCGAATTCTCCGCACGGCGATCCGGCAATGTCATTTGCGAGATGAATCCTACACCAGTCCGCGAGAACGCCGACATAGAGACGACGATTGACTTCGAATCACCATGCTCATCATGCGCTACCAGGCTACACGTACCGATAATTGTTGAAGTAGCTCGTATCTTCACCAGAATCTATACCGCTAGCCAGCGCGTCCAGGAGCTTCGGGCCAGGTACGAGGAACTCAGCAATCGCTATCATGATCTGCCACCAAGCACACGAGTCGCTGTGTCTCCAGGGGCTCAGCAATACACATACGAGGTCTTCGTTGAGAAAGTCCTCGAGTCTAACAAAGATATCTTCGATCAGGATCATACTGATCAGCAGGTCCAACGACTCTGCGACGCGGCACAACGAGCAATGAGGGGAGATGGCTCCCGCAACATCAACAACATCGAGGACGGAGACCGCTACATGATGACGCTCCATGTGTTCCTACAACGTCGTCAGGTCGCGCTTGATGAGCTTGAGTATTTTGTTTCGGAGATGGAGTCTGCTACCTTGCAAAACGATGAACCGGTGCAGTGGCGATATCTGCTGGGGACTCTACCGGACAAGGTAAGCGATCTCTCCAGACGCGTCGAGGAGCCCCGGGGTGATCTCAGGCCACCTTCCGGCCAAGCTGATCTTCCGCTTACCATGAGGATAGGGTATGTAGACGAAGAGTTCATCCCGCTCAACCTTCGGACTCAAGAATGGGACGCGGAGGAAGATGGATGAGGTGAGCTGAGTATCCGCTTTTGACACGGTCAATTTCTTTGTTCAGTTTCGGAGTTTGGGTTGAGATTTGTGGTACGGTCTTGGCGCTCCTTGTCTTGGTCATTAACGGGCGAAGAGTGGGCGAGAAAAAAAGCTGAAAATCTGGGAGGAACAGCTTGTTGAGTGGCTCTAGTGGCTACCTATAGCATTGCGACTGTTCATCCGCCATTGATGTTGTAATACATGCTGATGTCTTTCCCTTCTGTGATTTCCCGTGATCAAAATCATACCCCGTCTTTGCTTTCTCAGCCTTCCTTCAGCCTTACCTCTTGAGAGCAAATATCAACGTAAAAATTCAAAAGAGTGCATGATGACCCGCTTCCAGTACCAATGCTTTCCGTCTCCCACACCATCTTGTTCCCTGAAGCACGGAGTGCGCAAGTGATTTACGCCTTCTCCTCCTTCCCCTCCTCGTCCTCGTCCACGATCACGGATACCCTGGACTTGCGCGGAGACAAGACGTAGAGATCTTTGAACTGGTTGAACAGCAAGCGCTTGAAGAAGACCTTTGGCGGCAATGTTCCGCCCGCCAGCGACGATTTCATATTCGGGAGCCCGGGATGCTCGGCGCGTTCCTCCTGAGTAAGGGTGTCTTCGAACGTGATGTGGATGCTGAAGCTGCCGCGTGGGAGGTCCTTGGGGATGACGGCGAGATCGGGATCTGGATAGATTATTAGCGAGACCGTTTGGAGAGAGGGTGGGCGGGGAGGACTTACTCTCCGCAAGGTACTTCCGGAGTTCGGTTTCGGTCATGACTTCCATGCCTTTGTGCTGGATGTAGACCAGGAAGTCGTGTCCAGCGTTCTTGCTGAGAGTGTCCATGTTGCGGATGTGATGTTCTCCGATTGCTGGTAGGTCTTTTGGTGCTCTCTTGAGTGGAATAAGTGCTAATGATCTCTTTGATCCGTTTCCGGTGTTGCTTTGTTCTTGACCCTCGACTTGGGAGTTGACAAGTCAAAGGGTGTGTATGGGAGAGCAAATGAGCGCTAAAATGTGCGGCTCGGGGTCTTGGACAACATTCACTGTTGATGGTTCAGTTCCAGGTCATGCAATGCCCCTGTGAAGGCATGGCACCGACGAAAGTGCAATATTATCGCACAAGCCGTATCATCTCCACCCAATCAATGCGCTGCGACAGTCCGTGAGACAGTCCGTGAGGGCGATGAGATTCACCAAGGCTCATGGAGCCGAGCCGTTCTCACAACGCGCAGAGGATTGGCATGCACCTAACACACGAGTGAAGTGCCTCGACGAAGCTGGTAAATCGAGCGGCGAGAATCGCGTTCACGTTGTCCGTACTGTTCCAGAAGCGGTATTAGACTATCACAGCAGTAACAGAGCTGTGCTTCCCAGGCTGTATAAGTTTCTGCAGTGCTCAGCAACTGCTTGGCAATTTAAATAACAACATCCTCTTAACCCCGTACGTCTACAATGCTTACGATAAGCCCTTTTAGCATTTTGACTCGCTCGAGTCGATTCATACTTAACAAGTCGGCCTCTCCAGAGATTTCAGGGGTATTGTGAGCTTGTGAAGAGAAAAAATGAGGTATTTGAAAACGAGTATTGACAACATGGGCGGATACGAAAACAGCGGGAGCTACAAGGAGGAGAACGACCCAGTTCCAGATCAGCTGCTCGCGCAGGTATGAACAGATGAAATTAGAAGAAAGAGAAAACGATCTCGAACGGAGCAGCAAAGCAACGAAGCGTGTCTGGTAGAGTATCGCGTGGAAGCTCTCAACTGTACAAATCATTCCAAGCCCAGCCATACAACGCAAAGACTCTCTCCGCGACGCTGGAACTCAACACTTCCACCCAAGAACTTCCGTAAGGCATACGAGTACCAGTGTATGGTGAAGTGGTCTTCCATCCGCATCGTATGTAGTCACGTGGTGTGATTACATCGGCCTTAAATCGCATTCCAATCCTCCGCCTCATAATGGCAAGCTTGCCAAGCTTTAACTACAAAAGCCGAGTAATGTTCCGTATCCTCATGTGCTTGTCGCCTCTAAAGGCGCTGTGTTCGCTCCCTATACCATAGCACAGAATCATCTTGGATGGGTGGGGGCTGTAAGGGCTCAGAAATTATGTTTCTCAGATGCTCACGGCGCATGCGCCGATACGTAACAGATATCGAGCGAAACGCTCGAAACGCTCGAAACGATGGGAAACAATGATACCATTGCAGTTGAGGGAAGCCCCAATAGTCAATCATTCGGCCTCCTTGCAGGGCTATGTATGGCATGTTGGTTGCCTTCAAACTGGCACCAGATCCGAAGAGATGAAATCGTACGGCCCGCTGCTTGGTCGAGGAAAGTAAAGGCCTATAGCAGCCGGGGAGGCATTCACTCAGGGAGCCTTTGCAGCATATTTTATGAGCTTTTGTGAAGCTCTGCTGTATTAGCTTCAGCAATTTGCAAGGAGACCATATCGCAGCACCTTCTACTATAGAGCAAAGAGAACAACTTGCAGCAGTTCGTCAGCCAAAGATGAGATCGCTTTCTAGCTCCGTGTCGGATCCAGTGAAGCATCATCTGATGCGATGTGGCTCAATCTACGACATACTTTGATCCTCCTGTGGAAACGCTGTGCGCAACGCCCACGTTTTCGGACGTGAAACCCAGCCCTCTATTCGGCATAAAGCTTCAGGCATGCGGAGAGAATGGTGCTGTCTGCACCTTACACTGTATAATGCATCGGTATTCCAACTCGTGAAGCAGTCACATGATCCGAAATTCAGGGTCTGGCAAGGGTCTCCTGCAGAGTGACGTACGTACGGTTTGAGTACGAGCAAGTCAGGCACATAAACCTGCGCTGCGCCAGGTAAGCTTCCACGTTATCTACGACCTCTTCGAACAGCTGCGCGCACTCGTAGAGAGCACAAAAACACCAGCATAAGCGCAATTCTACTGTGAGCAGTCCAAACGACCCACCAGTCCCCGCGACTCCAACATACACGACCATGCCATTCCCAGTCCTATTCGCGATCGACGGCTCGCACCGCCATGAAATCATGCTCGTCGAGTCCACCGACTCGCTCAAGGCCCTCAACGCTAAGATCTCGTCGCTCGCCGCCGATTCTCCAAACTGCCAGGAGTTCATGTCCAAGTACAAGAAGAAGGGCGGGGCGCAGCACATTACGGAGATGAAGGTGCGCTGGTCGACTGCTGGGCGGGAAGCAAAGACATGGCCGGCGACGACGACTGTGACACAAGATAATCTTGAAGCTGTCTTGAAGATGGTTGAGATTAGCGGTATCGGGAGGGACGTGCTCGAGGTGAAGCTGGAGGCTGGTGAAGAGGAAGGGAAGGAGTAAGTAAGTCAGTTCTGTGTGCGATGGCATACTGCAGCTTGCATCAAGACATGCGGCTCGCTGACTTGGAGCACGGACGCAGACTTCCCGATCGAACGAGATGAAGGGGAGGAGCTCCTCCGTACGGGCAGCTTTGGCCACCGGCACATGTTATGACCTCTCGTATACCCATTTATTACTATGGATGTGTAGTTGCTATCCTACTGTTCTCGTCATCTCATTTTCTGAGCCTTATGTCGTGCATGCACAGCTTTGTTGGGTGACACTAATCGACCATATACGTTACTTGCGTGCTGTTGCTTCGAACGACTTCTTTACCGCATTATAGTACATCTGTTCATCTCGCCATACGCTGCCCCCCTTCTGGCTCCAATCCTCAGGATAAGCTCAGCGGACTTCAAACTTTGTTTAGCCGCACGAGTGGCTTGTAGTGGGCTAGACGCGCCGATCACCTTTCCGGCATCATGCAATAATCTTCCCACCATTGTCTGCAAGTACAATCCACTTCAGCCATAACTATTTGAAACATGCTGTAAAGGCACCATGCGCTTCAGGCACCGCATTATCTATCGCAACCAACAACGAGACCCAGCCAATGCATTCACAGTAGCTGTCACCCTTTAAACAAAGTCTTCTTCTAGGCCCAATGCTTTGTGGAGAAAAGGAGACATCGGACAATGGCCGTCAAAGAGGTCAAAGGTCTTCGATATTCCAGTCCTCCACCGTCCACCAGCGCGCTCTGAGAGCACAAAGCCGGTTGGCCTTATGGCCTCTCTCTCTACTCAACAACAACTACATTGTCGAGAGCACTCGGTGTCGGCTGCGGACCACGAGCACGTATAAAAGCCGGCCCTCTTCCCATCCACTTTGCTCCTCAGGTCAACCTCATCTACTTACCCAGGTAGATTCACGCTTACTCAGCTCCAACCCGCGTCAAGTTTTCCTCGAACAGCTGTGCTGTTGAAGAGTTTGTACGTTGCCTTAAGCTTTCAGTCAACTTACTCTGACCTCAACTCTTCGAAAGTTCGGCGCACCCTGGGACTTCAGGTAAGTTTTCCAATTCCCTCATCCTTTACACAGATTACCACTCTGGAGACTCTCCGGCAGAGCTCTTTCAACACGACCAGAACAATGGACACACCTACGAACACCACATTGGCTAAACGCTCGCTTCGAGTCGATGCGCTAAATACACTCTTGTGTGCGGCGTTGGAGACTGGTTCTCCGACACCTGTCTCACAGACTATTCGGTATCAGGCTAGGGCCAACCTGCAGGTGAACCACTACAGCGATGCCTACGACGCGGACGATGAGCTTACTACCTTAGACGACATGCCGACGACTTCTGTCCATGGACTAAAGCCACGTCCAATTTCGCGCTCAGCTCCCTACGTCGTTAATATCGAGGAAGCTGACAATGATTCGGAGGCAATTATTGACTGGGACCACGATATGGAGACTCTGTGCGGCGACATACCGACGGAATTCTTTACCATCGTCGACAACTGCAACGAGGGCCTCACATATCAGGAATGGATAGACGAGGTTGACTACTACGATCTGCGCGAAACCGAGAGTATCTCCCCGTTCTCATTGCCTGAGCTCGCTTTCCCCTGGAAAATCGACTCAGATGATGAGCCTGCGGAATACTTCGGATCGCCAGTCCTGCCACCTCAGGATGGAAATCCCATTATCGAGTGGGCGAGCAAGTTGTCCATGGAAGATGCCCAGTGCACCTTCTCGGACGACTACTCCGATTCCTGGTTTCCAGACTTGGAAGACGAACCAGCGGAATACTTCCGCTCGCCTGTGCTGCCTCCTCCATCACTCAACGATTTTCAGTTCCAGCCCAGCCCTTCGTGGTTCGGCGGCGGTCCCTTCCAGCCCGCTTCGCCGTTCTCCAATGGCTTCGATGGCGACCTTCCCTTTTGGCCAACTCCACCGGCTTTCGGCAGTGGTCTATTCCAACCTACTTGGCCAGTCTTCGGTGGTTCTGCTCGCAATCTTCTCTTTCAGCCAACCCCTCCGTGTTTCAACAAAGGCCCCTTCCAGCCAACTTCGCCGCTCTTCGACGAAGAACTATAAGTCGCGGTGTTCTGTTTTGTTTTCACTCTCTGCCCTCTTTTTCTTCGCTCTTTGCATTGCTGTTCGTCTCTTGAGTGGTAGTACCTTGCGCTATTTTTTACACCCCCCTACGTTTTCTTTGTTTACGCATTAAGGGTCTGGGAATCGGTGCTTTGGGGATAGACGGAGTTTTGCTCTTTGGGTAATCTGGTGGGACTTTTGACGCTTGGTCGAAAGTTGTGACGGATTAGAGCTGGTCTCTGGTTGTCCTCTATTTGGACTTTTGAATTCTTTTTGGGATGGGAATCTGCTGTCTTGATAGAAAAAAAACAAAAAAGGGTTTCTAACTCCCAAACTGGCGTCCCTTGTTTTGAATGAGTAAATGTACAAACCAGCACCGCGAACCACTCCACAGATAGAATTACTGCCTACTGCACGTGACGACGGAATGCCAAGTCGTGAACCAAGTTTCAAAGCAGGTCGAGTAACGCACATCCAACTCTAGCGGAACAACGGCCGTAACGGAACAAACCATGGGTACCTCAACTTCACAGCAATAAGAATATCAGCACACGTCTTGCTTAGTCTAATGCTCACTCGGACTATGTGCTCAGTGCATCCCAGCATTGCTACAAGCCTACCGATACGAAAATTACGTTCCTATTGACGCCTTCCTCCCTGATTGTTGATGGATGTATCCCAGTAGCGCAATCTTGACCTATGCACCACAGGACCACCATAAGGTCTATGCCACTGTTACGACCCATTTGAAGGCCCTTATATAAGCCTAACAATCCATCAATATCGTGAGAAGTCATAATTCGCCATCAGGCTGCGGATGCCGCTCTTCTTATGCGGGGTCGCCACCCCTGTCGGTACTTCCAATCAAAGCCGTCCAATCATGTAGATTGACTGTCCTTGCTTACGCAGTTCCGGAGATGGCCGGGTACACTGTAATTCACTACACGTAATCGGCTCAATAAGCCTTTGGTTCTCTACCTTACTCCTTTCAAAGGAGAATCACGGGGGCCGAGCCACGTGATAACCCACCAATCGGCGTATCGGCATAGATGTGCATCATCCGTACCCAAGCTGTGGTAAATACACGACCACAACAATGGACTTTGGAAGTCATCCTTCCGCCCTTCAAGACGATCGCATTGGTTTGTGGCTTGCTTCTGAGCATGGAACCCTCCCTCCTCTAACTCCTCCGCCTAATGATGACTCGAAGTTGCGCCAGGCTACCTCGAAGCGGAAGCGCGCCATGTCCCTCCCAGCGATTATGCCCGCCTCCAGCTCACAACGCAGCGACAGTCCCAAACGGCGAAGAACCGACGACGATATTAATGATGTTCAACCCAAGCAGAGCGCGTCGCAACTCGGAAGCGAGGCTCCACTAGCTCTAAACCGAACGAATACATTCAGCCCTCCTACCAGTCGTGTCTCCTCGGGTCCGAAACGTTCATCAAGCCCGACATGTGAGACGCCAGTTATTTGTGGACTGCGTGGCCGCCCAAGGGTCGATGCACTTAGTCCTTGCCGCATTTCGCTTGATTGCGCTCCCCGCCCACGTACTACTACAACACCAGAGAACATGATAAACAGAGGCAGTGCGGGGCTATTATGGTTGATTTTGGGCTTATCAAGTATACTAGTTAGTGTGCAAACGTGGTGAGATAGTGGTTCTCCTGTATTAAGTAGTAAATTAGTATGGCGTGGGCGGGGAGCGCAATCAAGCGAAATGCGGCAAGGACTAAGTGCATCGACCCTTGGCCCGTGTGGACGGAGAGCCTCAATAGCCTAAAGGAAGCCCCTCCAGAGCACGTTGATCGACTTAGTAACTAGCTTGCCGAGGGTGTTAACTTCGGTTTTATTCCTTAGAATATATAGGTACGTGAATCTGACTAGATGCCCTTAAATTAGAGTAATATGTGCCTAGCATATTATTAAGAACAATCTTAAGGTAGGCTACTAAATAACTAAACTAGAGGACTTCGACTGCAGTAATATACGCTCTACTAGGGAGATGTTGGCTATATAGGAGAAAGCTAAGAAGATATTTCTTAATGCGCGCGATTGTAAGAATAGCAGTTGGAATAAGAATATATAAATGCAATAATATAATGCAATCTCTAGGTTAGTTAGCTATAGAATTGTATAGTAATAATAGATAGTAGTTCTACATCAGGAAAAATTTGGGCGCTCGTGAAATTTGCATCGGTCCAAGACGTCTAAGGTGCTCCGAGCGTGCTCCGAGCATGTTAAAATGCTCGGAGCGCTTTAGACGTCCAAAACGTTTAAATCGTCTAAACCGTCCAAAATGTCTAAGATGCATAGCAAGCCTAAAACGGCTAGTATTGCTTAGTAAGCAAAAAAAACATAAATCATATAAAAAATTTTGGAGTTCCCATTCTCGCTTAGCTTTTACCCCCCTGCAAAAATAGCTAATATATCCACGTTTTTAAAAGTTAAGCGGATAATAATCGTTTTTATCAAAAGTTTACCCCCTATACAAGCTCTATAATATACCTCCCATATCCTACTAGATAGATTGGACTTAAAGCTTTTTTCAATTTTTTCAGCTGCTGACTAAGCATGCCAAGCCCTGCCAAGCCCTGCCTCTGGACGTTTTGGACGTTTTGGATATCTTGGACGATTTGAACGTTTTGGACGTCTTGGACGTCTTGAATGTTTTGGACGTCCAAAGCGCTCCGAGCGTCTCCGAGCGTCAAAATTTTTTTCCTGATGTAGAATATATACGTGAACTATAATCGAATTCTTAAGATATAGCTAACTTACTATATATTTAGTTAATTGCACTCTATTAATTCTCTCTGTCTTTCTATAATTCTAGTTTCTATTCTAACCGATTCTACCTGCTGCAAATCTATTAACTATAATATTAATTACATCTTCTTATACTTGCATTGCAACTCTGCTATCTTAGCCCTCTATAAAAAAAAAACTCGACGGCGCAAGTAATAGAGAAATTAGATATACTCTTAATATATTTACAAAGCGAGCTACTCACTTTTCTAGTATTAAGATTAAATTTATATTGAGAGACTATACTAAAGCAGAACTACAGATAAGTATAGTAATAGCTATATTCTTGTATAAAAAGAAGAAACTCGTATAAATAGCGTAAATTTCAATTAATCTAATAATAGTAGAGCTTGTACTTACTATTATTAGATGTAGCTATTCTATATACCATACGTATTCTTATAAGAGCTTAGTGTCTAGAAGAAGTTATATATATTTTAGACTCGAATCTAGATAGATTTAAGAGGCTATTATAATATAGAATAGCTTAATACTAGAGTTTAATGTATTAGAGTAATATATAAGATATTATATAAGATTAGAAGATATAGAAAGAAAAATAGAAAGAAAACTCTATAAGTAGATTATATAACTAAGTTATATAACTCTAGAATAACTAAAGATCTAAATACTAAGAAATACTAAGTTCGAATTGCAATAGAGGCTAAGTATAGACTTAATACCTGGAATTTTTCGGTTAATTAGATTATATAGAAACTTATTAAAGTACGAGATAGATAAAGAAGAGAATAGTTATTAGAAAGAGTTCTTCGGGCTCGTTCTAAATAAACTAGCTAGTATTTAAAGAACAAGACGCAATAATCGATAGTATATCTAAGAATTAAGCAATTTTCTTAGTAGAGACTAGCTCTAGAGCGAAGATATTTGAAGAATATTAAAGAACAAGCTATAGCTTTATTAGCTAGTAAGGCGTAGATCGAGGATGCTTAAACGAAGTTCCTAGTCGTACGCGGGAGCTTATTCGATCTATAGAGACGGACTTTACTGCTAATTCTGCATTTTTCAAACATATAAACAGAGAGACGTCTTAAGCAGCTCCCAATCCACCATCAACCTCGAGGATGCTTCCGGTAGCAAAATCAGAGTGAAGGAGGAACGAAATTGCCTGAGCAATGTCTAGCGGTTTGCCCATCTTCTTCATAGGAAACATAGCAGCGATGCTCTCCTCGCTATACGCTCCAGCCGCAATAGCATCACGGAGAATATCCGTTTTGATCGCTCCTGGTGCAACAGCTGCCACCTGGATACCTGTTTGTGCGTACTCAATCGCTGCAGTACGAGTCATACCGACGACCTAAGTAAAAGTTCAGTGAGGTCAATAAGCGAATGGATAAGATGGTTTACATACGGCGTGTTTGGTTGCAACATAAGTGCCGGAATAGAGGATACCATGTAGGCCAGCGATCGAAGCAATATTGACGATATGGCCCGATTGTTGCTCTTTCATGATCTGAATCTGCTCTTGCATGCACCAGAACACACCAAGAACGTTGACGCGCCACATCTTCTCAAACTCGGCAGTAGATGCGTCCCCGATCATGCGAGTGTCGGTGGATATTCCCGCACCGTTGACTGCTCCATCAAGATGTCCATAGACGGTTAGTGATTTCTGGTGCAGGGCTTTAACCGATTCTTGGTCCGAGACGTCCGCTTCGATGAACGTAGCTTCCCCTCCCTTCGCCTTAATTGCCCTGACAGCCTAATGTTCAATGTCAATCGTCTGGATAGCCTTTGAACAAGCGAAATTTTCGCTGACCTCTTCACCCTTTGCAATGTTCCGTCCAGAAATGATAACTGCCCATCCTTGCAAGACCAGCAATTCGGCAGTTTCACGTCCAATGCCTTGGGTGCCTCCAGTAATCAGACAGACACGAGCCATCTTTGAAGAAATTGGGTTCCTGGCTTTGAGACAAGTAAGCAAGTAGATTTTGCGCTTGAGATATGACAAAGTCGGAGGTAGCCACAATCTAGTTTTATAATGAGGCTATTTATAAGAGGGCCTGCTAAAAGGCTGGAATTTGTGATGTGTCCGTTCTTCGTGCGGACACTATGGATGTGTAGTTTGATCTTGCAAGTGGCCCTGTAAACTAATCTGCAAGCGAAAGTTCGTGATGTTCTACCCCACTAAGAGAAGCTGCATTCCGCTTACGAAGCAGCTCGTTTTTGCTGAGCGATAGGCCCTAGGCCAAATATGGTGTAGCCTGATTGATCGTTAAAAACGAGCTCCTTCGTAAATCCCTTAATTCCCCTAACTCCATACTTAACTCCTTGGACCAATGAAAGGGTTTCCGCGGGGGAAGCAAGAGCGGACGCAACTCCGTTTCAATGTCCGTTCTTTACGATGTTGAGATGAGGTCCTCCGTTTGTTCACGCATCAAACGTTGAATGTGCTCTTGTCGCAGCTGTTGAGAACGACGTTAGCAACGTCTAAATCTGGCCTTGGTCCTGCCTTCGGCCGCAGTTCTGTCCGCAATTTTGGCCCTGGTGTAGCCAGGACGAAAACGACAAACGTTGCTAGACCACGACGAAAGCAAGCTCATTGACGCTGTCTTAAGACACTCGTGCCACAGGAGCTCTTCATAGCGCTACTAGGCCGTTCACTGGCTCTAACAATCCACTCATCCGTACAGCTTTGTGCTTTAACACTATTGAACCCGCATCTGCCTCTAGCGCGGTATCTTTTCTCTTACGACAGTGTTCTCTCTTGCTTGCCGAAGCTTCCTCTTGAGCGGTACGCTTTGCTCGTACTTCCTCGACGTCCTCATAACTCATCACCTTCGCCTTTCCTAGGATCAAAGATCTGGTCAACCGACGAGCTTTGGCTTCACTTTTTATCTTGGACAGGAACCGGTTGTGGTCCTGCAGGACAGACCGTTTGGCAAAAGATATCTCGGCAGCACTTGCGAGCTTCTGTACGTGTCTCTGTATGCGCAATCTGCTTGAATGATCCGGCGCGCGAGCATCCTGCTTGATCACATTGTGCAACGACATTAGAGTCTCTGTCCTTACGGACGTAACAGGTGTCTGCGCATCCTCTTCTTGCGAGGTCTACAAGGGCTTATTGATATTCGGTGGTTGATCGAGTCGCGGTTCTCCTTGTATCCTGAAGTACTCTCTGGGTTGAATGACGCAGCATAGTGACGACGGCCACCACAACCGCTGCGGAGCGTCTTCCACAACGCGCGCTGTTCCGTGTACACCTGAAACTCCTACATGCTAAGGCAATTGACAGTATCTGCTTCAAAAGTAACGTTCTTCTATGGTCAAATTATGCGAGGACTTGTGCAGTTTGCTAAAGAGTGCATACCATCCTTAAGAACTTTCAAGAGACCGTTTCTTTCACACGGACGGTCTCATCAAACGCTATTCTTATAATCACCAGGGTGAGTTTCTTCGGTGGATCATCATACTGTGGTCCATGAGCCCGTATGAGTTCCTCGCAAGAGCCGCAGCCCCTTACGCGTGCGTTGTTTTCTATATGGATTGCGCACAGGTTGCGATAGCGCTTTTCCCCCAAGTATGAATCATAAAAGCTCTGAACCTCCATGTTGGCTTCGTATCCTCTCTGGTTCCGGCGATCTTCAAGTTCAGATTTAGACAATGCCTTTACCTCGACGATGGTTTTGACGGCACCGGGATAACGTCTCTTTCATAGCCAGTCGCGCCGGTCATGGAGAAGGAAGTAATCTGCTTCCGTTTCGAGTTTATTATAGAGTGCGTAGTTAAAGCCTGTCTCCTTTGTCCAGAACAGAGGGTACTTTGACGCACATCGCATAAAGTCCAAGATATACTAAAATGCGTCTGGGTCTGCGTCAATGAAGTAAGAATCATCCTCATGTTTATCGCTACAGTGGTCCCATCTAGCCAAGAGGTTACGGAAGTATGGAGAGGCTTGGAGTGTAATCTTTTGTGTTTTATATTTGCGACCGGAGACGTCAAGAATGATGAGGTGAGGAGGCATGATGAGGCTCGATGAGAAGTGTGACCGCGTCGTTAGCGACGGTTCAAGCAACCTAATATACTCCCCCATGTGGAAGAATGAACAGCTGTCCACGTCGGGCAGAGAAGAAGTGGCACCGCGAAATCGACCCTGCACGCCCCTTTTTAACCACTATCAGCTCTATTATCACCACCACATAGTTAATTATATTTAAGCAAGGCTTAAATACTTCTAAATAACTCTCTATACCTTAGTATAACCTTTAAAGACTCGTCTAACACTATTTAATACTAACTAAAGCCTTAATTTAATTAGTCTGCAAGTTTAATAATACGTACTATGTACTATATTCTATAAATAATGATTTTAAGTATTATAGCGCTAAAAATAGATTAAGCTAGAGAATACTAAGTATAAGGCTACTAGCTCTAATTACTATCGACTAAAGCCTAAAAAAAATCTTTATAATTATATATAAAAGCTTACTTCTAGAGATATCTAATATATAGAGAATTACTTTAAATAAAATAATATCTAGACTTAAAGTCTCTCTTAGCTAGTCTTAGCTATAGAGACTAGTAATACTTGTATCTATTAGAAGACTCTATAGTAATATATAGCGAATCTTAACTACTATAAATATATTACTTATAATAAAGTGTAGCTATCTTAGAGTTACTACTAGATAAAATAAACTAAGCTAGCGAAGTACTTACTATATAATATTAATAGTAAGTCTAGATTTTTATATAGTTTAGTAATAAATACTACTTTTAGCTTAGCTCTTAAAAAGAGCTTTATGTTATTTAAAAGCTTATTGTATAGTATTATAAGAAATATATTAAAGAAAGAGCTAAACTAGCTAAGAAAGATATAATAAGAGTATATATATAAGTAATAGTAAATTATAACTTTAAGTTAAAGCTAGTATTCTACAAGTTACTAATAAATAATAATAGTAATATAAACTAGATAGTCTATATTAATAAGACTCTAAAATCTTATATATTATCTCTTTTTTAAAAGAATTATAGGCTAGTTCTTAAAGAGAATAGTAATTTAGAATATATAAATAAGATAGTAACTAAATTTAAGTATAATAGATACTATCTCTAGATAATAATACTACTACTAGAGTATAGTATAATCTTGATTAAAGAATAGAGAATAGTATAAGACATAATAAAGATAGATTAATATTACTAGATTATTAATTAAATATCTTATAAAATGATATAATTCTTATTCTAAGTTAAGTATAAGATTTTTATAAGAGAAACTCTTACTATTTATATACTTAACTATACCTATAGTTTCTATAGTCTCTATTATTTACTATTATTAGAGATAATATAAATAGTAATACTAGTATTCTCTATTATTTCTATTATTAACTATTATTAGAAATAGTATAAATAATAGTAATTCTTTAGTAATTCTACTCTAGTCTAAGTAAGCCCTATACTAAGCGCTAGTTTATAAGATTAAGTAAAAGAATAATATTACCAATTATACTAACTATTTAAAACTACTTAATCTAGTAATTATTAAGAACTACTAGTAAGCTTCTAAGTAAATAGTTAAGAGAAGGCTATATTAGAACAAGTAGACTATAATTTTAGTAATCTAAGCTAGTTAGATTATAGTAAGCTAAGATTCGATTAATAAGTATATTAGATCTATACTAAATTGCTTGCAATAAGTAATTCAAATAGAGAATAGAATAACACCGAATTAAACAGAAAATTGGCTTCCAAAAAGCTTCAATTTCTAGTAGTAAATGAGGTGGTTGATGGAAACGTGATGTTAGTGGTTTTCGCGGTGCCACTTCTTCCCTGCCCGACGTGCTGTCCTAAGTGTAGCATTGTGGCGCATGTAGTAACCGGATTAGGAAAGACTGTGCACAGCCACTAAGTCTCAGTATCACTTGTGCGGAGTCACCCCTTGCGCGAAAAACGAGTCTCTGGTGCCCATGTTCTTGGAAAATGCTCAGCTACTGGGGTATCTTGTTGTTCGACCGTCCGCAGACCAGCCATTGTATGCCACCTCGCAAGTATGACGAAGTTAACGAAATCAAGCAGCAGCAGTCCCACGACCTCGTCGCTCAAACGAAACCTAGATCTCCTGCTTGAAATCCTGCTTTTCGTCGGCTCTGTTCTTTATAGGCGGCGACCCTTATTCCTTCAAAACAATGTAGAACGACGTCGAAGCATACATTCTAGGCCGGTAGGTAGGGTACGCTTATATTACGAGGTCGTAGCCCAGAAACTTCGGATGAGACTGAAAGAGAGAACAGCTAGTTCGAACGAAGATGCCCTCACATACGCCACAATCTTTCACTATCAAGCTGCATCTTCCCTTGTCCTCCATCCCCCTAACACCCTATTCAATCATATCAATATCATCATCTACATTGATCGCACTCGTCGCGCCCCTAATTTCCGGCGCCCCGTTCGTAACTCCACTCCCACCAACCATGCCACTGCCCGCAGCAGCCCCATCCGCGTTGCCCCCAGCAGCCGCAGTCCGGCCCCCCTCCGTAGTCCCCCAATAATCCGCCATCTCCGCGTCCAGCTCTTCAGCCGTCTTTCTCGGTCGGCCCTTAACCATGGGTCTCCCATCTTCATCTCTGTTGCCCATCCTGCCGCTCTGCTCGCGCCGGCCTCCAGGCCGACGACCCCCGTCGCGCCCGCCACCACGCGGAGGCAGCGGAGAGCGGCGCCGCGAACCGGAGCGCGAGTCCCGTTGGCCGGGGACGTAGCGATCGATGTGCTCCGGAGCGGGCTTGCTGACATCCGAGTGTCTGACACCGTCGTCACGTCTGCCACCTCGACGTCTACCGCCAGCCTCGCGTTCGCGCTCACTGCCGGGGCTCGCGCTCCTGTCTCTCTCGATGCGGTCGAACAAGCTGCGGCCGGGGAGGGTCACGCTGTCGAAGGGGTTGCGGCGCGGCTCGGGGGCTTTGGCAGGGGCAGGCGGGATCAAGGTTAGGCGGATCGGCTGGCCGTTGGCGTTGGCGCCGTCGAATTCGCGGATTGCGGTGCGTGCGTCGCGCAAGTCGGTGTATGTGACGTAGGCGATGCCTTTGCTGCGGTCGCTGCGGTCGTAGAGGAGCTCGACGGATTGGACGCGGCCGATGCGAGCGAAGAGTTCCTATGGGCGGGTTGCTGCGTTAGCGGACGTGAACTACGCGGTAGATGCTGGGGGGAATTGGAGGGGTGAGTTACCCTCAGATCGGACTCGGTGAGGTCGTAGTGTATGTTGTCAACACGGAGCTTGGCGCCGGACTGCGAGCTGGTGACAGTCAGCAAGACTCGAATCGGAGTATGAAGGACTAGGTAAGATGACCTACGGGTCGGTTTCGGGTGTATACCGCTCAAGCCTCTGCGATCGAAAGTTGCGAGACGGTCGTCGAGCTGCGGCCAATGAGCGAGGCCCGGCAAATTTGCAGCCACCCGTCACGTACAGTCGTTCTCATCTTCGTATCGGTCGTGGACCCAGTCTCTGCACTGGTCTTAGCCTTATAATACCACGGATTACAGGGTTGTTCATACCGGTCAAGATTCCGAGGTTCGTCTCTGGGATTCGGCTGTTGGTGGAGAGGATGCCTAGGTCAGCGAAGGTCTTGCTATGGTTATCACAAGCGTGCAGAAGTGTCGTCCTCGGGGCAGCGGCGTCGCAGATCGAAAAGAGGTGAGGCGATGCGAATGCAGACTGCCGTTGCGGACCGCATTGATGCGTTACGAGAGGAGGGATGAGGGACAACGAGGAGGAGGATGAACCTATCACGGTGGCATGGTTAGAAACAGATGATATCGGTCATAATTAGCTGCCAGCGACGAACAAGGCGCCTACCTTTCTTACGCCGTCTCGCGGCCCACTCTCCTGCCGACGGCCTCTTGGTCCACGAAAGCCACCGCGCTGTGATGTCGGTAAGCCGTTAGCTTCGAGCTCTGCAGGCTGTCGCGGAGGGCGGACCGCAGCGAGGCATACCTGGCGCTCATTTATGACATCGTCGAGGGCTCGATCCATCGTGTACGGGCGGCTCTGGTATCAAGTCGAATGTTGGGAGAGGTGGTTGCAGATAGGAATAGCCGCTCTGTGCGTGTCCGTTCGGCTGCTTGGAGGCTTTGGCTGGATGCACGGAGCCCTGGAGGGCAGGTGAGGGCTCAGTCGGCGAGGTGGTGAGCTCTCCAGCCGCAGACGGAGTGGCGCACGCACCATGCGACGTGGTGGGAAGCTACGGAGTAGGCCAAGCAAAGTCAATCGGAGAATACCTGAAGACACAAGCACGATTCAAGTCTTGCCAACAACGGCATCGCTCGAATCGCCGAGTTCACGGGACCAGAGCGTGACATCCAAAATGCACACGTAATCCTGCAAAGAATTGTTCAAGGTGAGGTTGGTCGACCAACGGGGTACGGAATACTTGCTTGCAGGCATGCCGCCTATCTCGACCAGCATTCTGCCCATTACCAGGTCATACCATGCTCAGAGGTGTTGGCAATAAACTAGACATTATTGCTTAAGAGGACTCTACGTGACCTGTTCCTGGTAACCCATGCAGCTCTGTATTCTGGCGCTTTTCGTAAAAGCCATGAATCGGCAGAATCATTACGCTCCGGTGCTACTGTACCTAGACCCACATTAGCTTTGAAGGACTCTCTCGACATGGTTGTGATGTTCTGCGCCTGTGACCTTGCTCCCAAAGGCCTGTGGCTTGCTTTTGAGTCTCTACTTCATGATGCGTCCCGCTTGGGGCTACCTGCATCGACCTGTGGATCTAATCCGCTGCACAAGATGATGCACGAGACCCGTCAGTTGCCTTGAACGCATCATGAAGGATTGTGCTGGTAACCGAGGTCGACTAGTGTATTGCTGCTGGTCTCCAACAAGATACGCCAGAATCAATCTCAGCCGCTGTCAGGTTGCTTTCCGCAACGGAAGCTTTCGGCTGCCAGGGTGTCAGACCCCTCATCGGCTTGCGAATCTTGGTTCAGAGAAATAAGGCCCCTGCAAGTCCAGCCGTCAGGCCGGCGTCGACATGGTGATGGTCTTAGCTTGGATAGCGAAGTGCGCAAGCTTGTGCCGCTCTACCGATGGCAATCGACTTGCACAAGCGAGAGGAGCGGGACGAAGCTTGCCATTGACGCCGCTCGGCTGGCGACTGCAGGGGGACCGCTGCCAACGCCTGCATTCTGTCGTCCTGTCAGCTGTGCAAGGATAACATGACAAAGGGAAACGCGGCCAGCAAAATCGATTCACGGAAAGCGGCGCTCGACTGCTGCGAAGGGAGCAATTGGCGGCTTTCAGCGACTGGAAACCCTACGAATCAAATCACCGCAAGGCTCTCTCACGAAGCCTCCTGCATCGATTGTCGATTTTGACAGGCAGTGGAGGCCGACGTGACGGGACGATGGCGGTGTTGGAGCGCCGATGGGGTCCAGGGGTCTTTTGAACCCATCGCTCGACCGGAGCGCATTTTGCATGATCTGGTAGCTGCTGCACGACATGGGCAGAGGATCTCTCCGCCGGTACTCGATGCCCAGATTTGTCATTGATCGACGGACAAGCTCGGTTGCAGGCATAAGTTTCCGCATCAGAGCACAATTGCGTATCACAAGATCTGAGTAGCCGGCTGGACCGAGATCGCGAGCGGTATCGCAACCAGAGCAGCGGTGGGAGAGTTTCAGGCAGGGTGAGGCGCGAGGGTCTGTGCAAGGTGTGCCGCACGCCAAGAGAGACGGATCTCTCCCGCGGGACAGACCGTCCTGACAAGGTCAGTGAGGGTCCAGGGGCATCCATGGCTTAGGGCCCGACTGCGCGATCCAGTGCAACCAAAAGATCCCTTGCCGCAGCAGTTCACCAAGCCGGGCAGCCTCCATGACAATGGCTCGCGGTCTGTGTCAGACCCGGTTGTAGGCCTGTGCGATGGTGGCGCTACCCACCAGCGAAGAAAGCACTAACTCTCCGCCCCGACGGGTTCTGATAGATCCAGTGGCTTGATTCCGCGTAATCGCTTGCTTCGGCTCCGGTCGTCACCACCAAGTGTCATCATCAAATGCCTGAGCTGCGCGTCGATGGGCTATCTTTTTTTGGAACTTATCCCCACTGACAAGCCTGCGCTTCTGTGGCTGCTGCAGCTGTATGTTGTAGCTGCCGGCTTGGCGCAACCATGTAGTGTGGTTGGCGTCGGACCCGATCTCTTTCAAACCAAGTACAGCCCTCCAGTCGAATCGAGCAAGGAGGGGTCATATTGTGATAGAGAACCAGATGCCTGACATGCCCGCCTACCAGGTTCGGCAAGCCATGGATGAACTGTGGCCCTTTCTCCCCTGCCATAATTGATAGCGCTGGCACGAGCGTCCTAGACGAGTGCCAGTATAAAGAAGGGGAGCCCTTCCAAGAGTTAGAGTCTAGAGCCACGAACGACGTTTGATCGGAAATTAAACTCGCTCACATTGCTTTTCAAGATCCTGCAGGTAGGCTCAGCCACGCTTGTCCGTCTCTTGTAGCTTCTCTTTGCGCATGCACGTTGGTCGAAGCTCCGAAGCCGCCATTGGATCCTCGATAATCATCTCCGAAGGTTAGTCCCGCCCATCCACTAGCTACCCGCTCCTCCGTGATGAGTGATGGTGCCAATTTACGGTTTGACGGCGGAACTACTGTGTAGTGCCGGGTGACAAGGTCAAGGCGAAGGCAATGCCAGCACCTATATATCGCCGCACCGCTCCAGTGCTGATCCGTCATAATCTAGACAGCAAGAGAGCTTCCGGAAAGTGGCATCGATATGATGTGTTCGAAGCTTATCCAGTAAGCCTGTAACACACTACGACATCTAGGGGTGTTTGGTTCGCATTGTGGCTACAACGCCCGCATCGCGCACGCACCTTCCGGACGAGACCAGTGCGCAAAGGCTGTCTGGCTAGCCCGCCGTCTCGGTGACAGCCGAGAAACCGGAGGGATCTGCGATTAGGTCAGCCTGTTCAGGGAGCCTATCAACGCACGACCGCCTCAATACAAAGTGAGTGGAGCCACCATCGTTTTGAATCAAAGTTCGCATCGCTCAAGCTGCGACCCAATGATTGTGGGGGGCGGCAGGACTCGCAACTATGTCTTCGGAGGCTGCAAAGACATCGACATTGGCAATGGCGATGTTCTTATCGGTCGTCAACCATGTTTGTCTCTTGTTCCGCGGCTCCCGGGCAAAATCTTCACACGGCTTCGAATTCTGGAGGAAGATTTGTATATTTTGTATTGAAGAGTCCGCAGCAGTTGGAGCTTGTCCCCGCTTGAATGTTTTCTTTTTGAGACTCAATGATCTGCTTTGCTCGTCTTGACCGCGGCTAGTGCCCCGCCAACAGCTCGAACGCTCGTCTGGCTGGGCCCCTTTTCCCTTGATTTCTTCAACGTCGTTTCATCGATCGAATCAAGGTCACGGCTAAGTGATCCTCAGGTCCGGGCCGCTGATATATGCCAAGGGGAAGAGCCCGGAGGAGAACACTAAGCCGAAGTAGCAGCACAAGACACACAAGCACCTCAACTACACGACAGCCGGCTTTGCGAGCGAGACCTGCTATCGGACCTGTGAGGCGCTCACTGCGCATCGCAGAACAGTTGTCAGCACAGCCACCCCGGCCAGAGGGTACCGAGATCATGGCGGATGTGGCTCGTCGGAACCTAGCAGCAGACCATGTGGGACTGAGAACTGCAGAAGCTGACTACGCCCGTCAGGTCGATCGACAGCGGTCAAGACGAGTGAGGACAGTTGAGGATGATCCGGGTCGCTACAGAGGTCGATTTGGGACTCCAGGACGAAGACCACCCGGATCGCTGGGCCGACATCAACCTTCGGCGAAACCCGAAAGCGGTGTCGGTGAAGAAACACCGTCGTACACCATGGAGGTGATTAACCAGCCTCCAGCTAGCGCTCGCGCCGGAATGATCCTAGGTAGCACGGTCACCGCTCGATTGCGCCGGTCAGATGGTAGACCGTACACTGAGGCATCCGAGCTTGCTGGGCTTTTCGCCGTTGCAACACTGGCGGTAATCGGACCCGACGGTGCTACTGAAATGGTAGCGCCTGGAGTACTGACAGGCCCGCGCTTAGTGGACTCGGTGCGTCGGTTGCCAGAGAGTGAGGGCGTAGCATCTGATACGGTGGGCTACGCCTCGTTTCCGAACCTGATTATCAGGCAAGAAGGGACATACCGCATAGTCATCAGCTTGATTCGAATGGGCGGGACCCCTCCGCAGATGCAAGGCGGCTCGAGCGTGCAAGCGGTATACACCAGGCATATTTCTGTCGAACGGAATCCTGCGAGTGGAATGCAACTTGGTGAGCAGTCCCTCATAACTTTGCGTTGGCGCGACAGCTTTACTGAATAGGCGCAGCATCTGCAGGCGACGACACGCCACACTCGCTGTGGAACAATTCGAGGCTTCAACAGGCGCATCCTGTTTGAACAGCTCTCCATACTGGCGTGAGCGGTTTACGAGTGCTTTTACGTATTTTTATCATGGGTCACTCCATCTCGGCCGGAGTAGTGAAACGCCCAGTCATTGTAATCTTATTCCTCGTTCCTGCAATAGATCAGAGCTTGTTTCGTGGTAATTTACGGACGTAAACGTAGAGATGTCAGTGTAGCTTGCACGGCCTTCAGCTTCACATGCGTGCTTGTTGAGCGCGACATTAGTGACGTCAAGCCAGCGGTCGGCCTGACTTTGGTACGTGGAGAAAATAGCGTGAACTAGGAAGAAAACGTCTAAGTATTGTCCGAACACTCACTAGATTGCGATGCTGGACTCAAGGAAGTAGTTGTTCGTGAAGGAAGTTGAAGAGGAAGTGATCGTCGACGGCTTGAACAACAAGCTCTGGCGGGATTAGCCGTTGACACGAAACGGCTACCGGCTTGGCCGTAGTCGGATGGACCCGCACCCGCCGCATTCGGTTGCTTAAGTACTCACCCTCATGGCCTTCGAAACGTCTTCTATCCATCTCTGGGGGACTGCCTAGGTAGGTATTCTTCTGTCCTGATATGATATGACCTCCAGAAATGGGTTGACTGCACTACATGGGTATCATGCCTCTCCCGGCTCCACTGTCACCGTCAAAACTACCGCCAAAGCCCGTATCCTCCTGCCGTAAACTTCCACAGCTTGATGGTTCCGTCTTCGCTGCCTGTCGCATACAGCTTCCCATCTGGACTAAATGCCACACTCCACACCGGGCCGTGGTGGCCCTTGCCCGTTTCTACCACCTCCTCGGTATCGAAATCCCATACTCTGACCCACGTATCCGAAGTGCTGCCTGTGATGAACTTGCGCTGTGACGAGTGGAGTGCGGTGGACACAAGCTCGTAGGGTGTTTTGATAGATTTGATCAACTCGCCCGGCCGAGAGCTGTCAAAGAAATACGCGGTTTTGCCGGCCGCTACGGACAAAGTGCTGCTACCGGCACTTCCAAGGGTAGGAGAGCCCGCAAACACCGGGTCTAACTCACAAGAGCCAGGCAGCCCATCGAGCGTGTATGTAGTTATCGGTGAGCGAGCGCGAAGATCCCACCAGCGGATGGATTTGTCGTCGCTTGCAGTAATCAGGACGTTCAGATCCGAAGCCCAAACAATGGACTTGATGGTCCCTTGGTGGACACCCGCTCCGATCTCGTAGCTGGGTGCAGCGGACGAGGTGTCTGTGGTGGAAGGAGCGGAGCCGGTGGGTGAAGGAGAGCCCGAAGACCGGGAAAGATCAAAGATCCGTAGCTTCTTTTCTGCCCCGCCAGTCGCAAGTATTTGTGGGGAAGGCTGGTTAGGGAAGGCGACGGCGCGGACGATGTGTGCATGTTGTAATGTGTGGAGAGCCACACCCGAGTGCGTATCCCAAACTTTGCTATAGAGGCTCATTGTTAGCTGACGCCCAATGGAATCAACGTCCAGGCTTACGCGGAGAAGTCCGCCGCTGCTGTTGCGGCGAGAGTCGCGTCTGAGGAGAGCCGAGCCTGCCAGACAGCGCCTTTGTGGCCTATGAAAGTCCCAATCCTGGAAGCTGTCAATATCCGGCGAGAGTATTGCAGCTATCAATGCGCGTACCAGTCGCCAGTGACACCATCGCGTAGCATTGGATTATTGTCTATGCATGTCAACTACGCTCTCCGCGGCTTGTACGGTTGCCATACCCTTGCATGCTGAAATAAGGTAGTATTGATCATCATCGCCCACTGACGAGAAGCTGAGGTGTGTGACTGGTCTCGAGTGTCCATGACACGTAAGAGGCACGACCTTGATGGTTTCTAAGTAGACAACACATCAGCCGTAAGCTCGCTGGAACAGAAGAAGAGCGCTCCATGCTTGTAGATTGCTCACCAGCCATTGTGAACTTGTACAGCTCGGCTCACGTAGGAGGCCTTCTCAGCTCAAGGATTGAGGATGGACAAGCGGAGGCAGTCGGCAAGGAGCGCATACGTAGACAAAGAAATATTGGAAGAGCGAAATGAGAGGGACTGAATACAGCTGGGAAGATAGGGGAAGTGGATAGCCTGATGCGATGAGGATTCAAGCTGGAAGAAAATTCGTTAAGATGGTCGTAAGTTCGTCAAGTCGTTTGAAAGGAGCGGAATCGTGTTTCTCGGATCACACGCGCAGGCAGCGCGTGGTTGGCAGGTTGACGGGCAGGTAAAGAATGCGGGACCAATTGAGCAAAACCTCATCCGTGAGCTGCAGCCGGGGAATTTGTCGGGCCGCTGCGGCAACTCCCGCGGAATGCATGAGTGCTCTCCAACACCACCATGCACCATCCCAACTTTGTGCGTAACCCGAATCTATTTCTCTGTTCCTGTAAAGCAGCGGTTGAGTCAATGTGATTATCCTTGGTTGAACAGCTACGCCGTCTCGAGCGCTCCCACGTAACAAGGCTCACAGCCCGCAAAGACTGCCGAAGAACTTTGATATCGATTCTCAGTTGCCAACGAACCCGCTTTAATCAAACGTCTACCGTTACGATAGCCTACTAGATAAGCCGACTTCTCTCGTGTTACAGTTCAGATACAGATGCATCGTCGCGGAGATTGATTGATATGCTTCAGAATGGAACGAGAGCTCTGAGCAGAACAATCCAAGAGATGCAGGGAACAACTGCAGAAGAGGATTCCTTGGTTCGGGCCACTTGACTTTGAGGTCCTGGATTTGCTGCGTTCGTCCGCCGATGACGTTTCGCGGTGCTGCACTCAGGACGTCAAACGTTCCAAAGAAACATCCAGATATGATGTTTCATGTAGAGCAGCTTTTAGCATCACCAGCCCAACACATGCATCACATTTCTGCCTCTCGCGCTTATCGGGTTCTGTATGCAGGTAGCACCTTATCTGTCCCTGAGACGATCCTATTGCTGTATCTGATGGTTGTGTGTCCGAGAGCTGCTTGGCGGCGTCATCTACACCACACGGAACGGTTCCACGACAAACTGTCAGCATCTGATGCCGACACGAGTGTTGGAAGGCTGTCTGAGGTCCTAGACGGTCGAACTAGCTCCATCCTGACTACTTCAACTAGAGAAGCTCGACTTCGATTCGCGAAACTTATGGCGGTGCTGGCTATCATCACAACGTGCTCGAGGATCCGAGGGATCCAGATATTGGGTCATTGGAGCGAGCTAGCATGGGCAACTTCCGGCGAATGTTCGGAGCACCCTCAACGGTGGCGGCTCATGCCCGATGTCGTGTTTCGTAACTTATGCTTTTTGTGCTCGACAGATATCTGATACTTCTGTGCAACCCATGCCGCTCGGTCTCTTCCAGGACTGGGGATAAGATCTCTTCACCTATCCTGACGGAACTCTTCGCGGCGAGAGCAATGCTCGACCAGGAATGCAAAGCAGAGGTTCGACTGCCGGCGTGCAGCACGAGGCGCGTCTAACCGTGCCAGAGCAAGCATAGCGTCGGCGTTCGCAGCCTCGGCGATAATTCGAAACGTCGAAATGCAGCGGTCAAGTGGAGAAGAGTGCGCAAGATCTGTGGATGTGTGGACTGACGCACGTCCGGCCCAGACGCTTGACGTCGCAGTAGTAATCGTCGCCTCTGATTTGGCAGTCTAGGCTCTGAACGTGAGTAAGCCCTTCCCCCGGGCTCGCAATTTGCCCTTGTCAACGTCACCGATCTGGCGCCGTTGGAGACGGGTTGTGCTGCCGAAACCCCGCATGGCAAAACTGGTGAGGCCGATATATTAGGGCTACCCCCCGCCTTGCGGCTCTTTTCTTTTGGCAAATCAGTCGAACCTTCCATTAGAGTTCACATTCCCACTCATCAACACATCTGCACAACATGGCAGGCTACCAAGCACACGCGGCCGACGGCAGGAAGAACGGCGACATCTACAGAGATTACAACGATGACCGCAATGCCTCTTCCGAGGACACCCTCTACTGCACCAGCAACGGTGTCCCGTACCCTCACCCGTACGAGACACAGCGAGTCGGCGAGAACGGTCCTCTGCTCCTCCAGGACTTCCACTTGATTGACCTCATCTCTCACTTTGACAGAGAGAGGATTCCAGAGCGTGTTGTCCACGCCAAGGGCAGCGGTGCCCACGGCTACTACAAGTGTACCGATCCGCTTGACGACCTCTGCTTGGCCGACATGTTCCAGGCAGGCAGGACTTGCCCCATTAGCATGCGGTTCTCCACCGTTGGTGGTGAGTCTGGCAGCCATGACTGCGCGCGGGACCCTCGTGGTTTCGCCGTCAAGTTCCGGACAGACGAGGGCAACTGGGACATGGTCTTCAACAATACTCCCGTCTTCTTCCTGAGAGACCCGGCCAAGTTCCCTCACTTCATCCACACCCAGAAGCGCGACCCGGCTACCCATCTCTCGGGCGCTGACGACTCGACCATGTTCTGGGACTATGTCTCCCAGAACCCGGAGTCTGTCCATCAAATCATGATCCTTATGGGTGATCGCGGTATTCCAGATGGCTACCGCTTCATGCACGGCTATAGCGGCCATACTCTGAAGCTCGTCAATAAACAGGGCGAGTGGGTCTACGTTCAGTTCCACTTCAAATCCAAGCAAGGCACTAAGTACTTCACTCAAGAGGAGTCTACCACAAAGTCACCCGACCACTCCCAGAAGGACTTATACTACGCCATTGAAAACGGCGACTTTCCTGGCTGGGACATGTGCGTCCAGACAATGAAGCCCAAGGAGGCTGAGGAGCTCTGGGAGAAGCAGAAGATCAACGTGTTTGATTTGACTCACGTCTGGCCGCAGAAGCAGTTCCCCCTCCGCAAGGTTGGCGAGATCGTTCTTAACGAGAATGCGAAAAACTACTTCGCGGAGATCGAGCAGATCGCGTTCAACCCGGCACATATGCCGCCTGGTATTGAGCCGTCTGCCGATCCTGTGCTGCAGAGCCGTCTCTTCTCCTACCCTGATACCCACCGTCATCGCATTGGCGCCAACTACCAGCAGCTCCCTGTCAATGCACCACGTGTGCCATACAGGTTCGCCAACTTCCAGCGCGATGGCCAGATGGCTTTCTACAACCAGGGCTCGCGACCGAACTACCTCTCCTCCATCGAGCCCATCACCTTCCGCAACCGCACCGTCGATCTTGACAAGGTTCACGGCCACTTCCAAGGCAAGGCCATCGCCTTTCTCTCGGAAATCAGACCCGAAGACTTCAACGCCCCTCGCAACCTGTGGGAGAAGGTCTTCGATGACGGCGCCAAGGAGCGCTTCATTAAGAACGTCAGCGGGCACATGTCCAATTGCAGGAGGGAGGAGATCATCAAGCGCCAGATCGCCATCTTCCGCGAGGTGTCCGAGGACATTGCGCAGCGCCTCGAGAAGGCGACTGGTATCAAGGGCTACGATGGTATCTCGGAGCTCCGGTTCAACGGCACGCACAACGGCATGGCCAAGGACAAGAGCCTGAGGAACGCAAACGGGATGAAGATGCAGGCGGGCAGCACCGTTCCGGACAACAATGGCGCGCCTACCTATGGCACTCACACGGTAGAGCAAACCAATGGTCACTCGAACGGTACCAACGGTGTCAACGGTTCCAAGTAAGCGTTTGATCGGGCGTCGAGTGGGTTTCTTCAGTTGCTCCTCTGGCGAAATTGATGAGTTCATCTATACGAAACACAAAACTAGAATGTACGAATATCATGATCATGTGATCCTCCTTGTGACTTGCCCGCGTCTCCTTCGTGACTGTTCATCCACACGCGTTCCAACAAGCCCCTCTGTTCTGCGCACGACTCTCGGAGCAGCCCGGCAGAAGGTGAAATGCATTGCTCTAACTACAACAGTGCTGGGTACAACGACTCGCCCGTTTACTCTACCGAGCATAGTACACGTGACGCCCTCGTTGCATTCGTCAACTGGCAACGGCGGCCTCTGCCAGCTTTTGGAGCGCAATTCTTGGCAGAGTAAGCGAGGCCAAAGCCCCGTCGTGGTTTCGAAGAGCAAGCTGGCAGCCCATCCATCTTTTCGACTGTTCGACATCACGACAGCGCTGTTTCACCAGAATCACGTACAGTCTCGCCCTATCTCAAGCTCTTGGTCGTTCCATCGACAGCTCCCAAAATGCGCGTCGCTCAGGATCCCGCAGTCGCGGTCGCACTTGGGGGATGTCGGCCTTCGGCTCGCCTGGCTTGCGGCGGTGACACGGGAGGGAGGAGAGCAAGAAGGCGCTAAACCGGAATGGACCACGTTTTGCGCGCTCCCACTTTGCCCGCTCAGGACTCGATTGCAGGCCTGCACACACCTTAACCAGTCCGACACGACCGGAACGCCGACCCTCTACGAGAACCAACTGCTGTGCGCTTGCTTGGATACTGTCATGATATTTGCCCGCCAGAAACTCGGAAATATCCTCACAGCCGGGCCACTGTGATCTCCTGAAGCTGGCTGCTGCTCTGACTAGAAGAATCTCAGCAGAGTCAGCCACCGCTTCACTTCTCCATCTACCACGAGCGAATCCGCGAACCCGCCCTTCTCTCAGCGCCGGAGAGCTTTTCCAATCGTCTGGCTCGCCGCGTTTGCACCTGCGCGCTTCCAATCGAACAATGTCGCCGCGGCGCTCCTCGCGGGCCCGCACCACCCAGCCTCCACCAAGTGCTCCACCTCACAGCAGTACCTCCTCGTCCGTCTCCTCAGCTCGCGATAGAAACGCTCGAGCGAGCGTCAAGCAGCAATCGCCCCGAATCTCCGCAACTCCACAGTCGCAGCTCTCATCCGAAAACGGCGACAACGCCGCTCTCGCCCCACCGACCCAGCCGCGTCGCTCTGCTCGCGGACAAGACGTCAACGAGCACGAGGCCGCGAAGTTCGATACCGAACTTGACGACGAGGAGGAAGCCGGCGACGAAGAGGAGATCACGAGGTGTGTCTGTGGCCACCAGGACTACCCGGGTCCGCCCTCAGATCCAAAGTCTCCGCCACTGGGGGGACTGGATCCTCAGAACGACGAAGCCGGCGGCCTTTTCATACAATGCGACGTTTGCAAGGTCTGGCAACACGGCGGATGCGTGGGCATCATGGAGGAGAAGGACAGCCCGGAAGAGTACTTCTGCGAGGAGTGCAAGAGGGAGCTACACAAGATCATGACCGATCACAAAGGGTACGTGCGACATCCTCTACTCTTTCAGTCGCGGCTTCGCGATGTCTGTGGATGCCCAGTAGGCGACTGCACCTTCGTGGAGTGGACCAGCCAGCTGGGCTCAAGAGTACAAGCCAATACTAGGTCGCGAAGCTCGACACCTAGAGTCCTTGCAAGGTGGCGACGTTGGAGTAACGTCGGATGCGTGGTTGAGGCCTCCTTTGTGGAGTCGCCACGCACCAATTTGCAGCAGAGGAACTTATTACAGACTCCAACTCTACACAGCTACCGTTAAGTTCACGACTTGTGAGACGCCTTGGAAAGCTCACGTAGAAGCAATGCTGATCTGTTCATCGCGTCCAGGCAACGATACTCTCGCTACTTACCTGTCTGGGAACAGCAGCACCCGAAGCACTCAGCCCGCAAGACCTCCGTATCGAAAGACGCCGATAAGAATCCGAGGGACAAGGACAAAACAACAGGTCGGGGCAGCGTGGATTCTATCACGAAGAGGCGATCGACCATGAACAGCAGGGCAGCCTATGAGGAAGACGAGATGCTACGCAAAGTCATTGAGGAGAGCAAACACGAAGGCGATGGAGTCAAGACCGAGAATGGCAACAGAAAGGGCAAGCGGAGCCGTGATGAGAGTGAAGAGTGCGTAACGTTATCTCGAGCTATATGATTCTAACCAGCAGATTTACTGCAAGATCTTAAGTGTCCGCTAACAACGCTTCGGCTTAGTACGAGACAAGAGAACAAGCGACAGCGAAGAAGCTCCAACTCGCCATCCCCACCACCAGCGTCCGAGTCAGAGGCCGAGGGTGAAGCGACGAAGACGACAGCGAACAGTCACAAGCAGAAACCGCGCGGCGCTGCGGCAAGAAGTCAGCGCGAGAAAGAGATGCGGGAGGCGAAAGAGCGCGAAAAGGCGGATCTGGCAAAGAGCCGTAAGGCACGCGCTGAGCGGAGGAGGGTTGGAGGTATGTCACCCTCTCCAACTCCCCTCAAACGCAAGAAGCCAACGCCAGCTGTTCTCGCAGAACCCGAAATGATAGAGAACAGCCCGGTGCCTAAGGAACTTGAGGACTACAATCTGCCCCCTGAACCTTCACCCAAGCATTTGCATACCCCAAAAGCCGCCACGCCCGTTGTTCCGGAGAGCAGGACAAAAGACAAGAAGGGAGGGACCACTGGGAAGGCGCCTCAAAGAAGAGGGAAGCTCGGTAGGAATCAATACACACGCGATCGAGACCCACCCGCATCTACACCACCTGGCAGCGGCAACAACAAGGACAAGGACAGGACCAAGGATCCTTCGCCGGCATCGCAAACTCGCGCAACGAACGGCGCGGACCACAATAAGACGGACAGCGATGGAACTGTGAGCGGCAGCATACACAGCAAGAACGGCAAAGCGAAGCCATCGAACAGCAAGCTGGAAAAGACGAGCTTCAACGAGATGAGGCGAAGAGCGTCCGGCATGCTGGAGTTCATCAGCCGCATGCAGGTTGAGATGGCAGGAGAGAAGACAACGACGACTACGGTGGCGGCGGCGGCAGTCAGCATGACGCTTAAGGTTGTCGAGGGCGCTTTGGGACCGGAAACAAGGGACAAGGGCTTCGAGCAGATGAGCAGCTTGGAGATGATGGACCATCTCACGAGGCGACTCGTCATGTGGCAGAAGGATTTCGGAACCTGATTGGCGTTGGGCAAGGAGAGCTTGCTGCTTCGAGGGAGTCGCCAAACTCTCATCTTCGCATTCCGTGGCATGGTTTTGGCGTTGTTGAGAAAGAACGACGCATAGGCTATACATTGCTTCGTCATGGGCCTTCCCTCCTACGCGGCTCTTGTTTCTCGCTGCGCACTTGTCTTGGCTGGTATGGGCTATGGGATCTCTGGATCAATGGTGTGCTCCACGCATGAGCTGGGCGCTTTTGGAAAGTCACGACCGGCGCGGGCTTGTATACAGCGCGGCTCGCTTCTCTGGATAGCTGATGGCAGCACATTGAGACCACTCTTGCATCAAGTTCTGCTGTGACATTAACGAAACCCTTTTCATGACGTATGTATAGATGCCTTGTGTTTGAGGCATCTGCATGACTCGAGTGAGCCTGAGGCTATCCGTCCGGACCCTGCTCGGTTAGCGCTGGTGGTCCGACAGCATGAGCCTCAATAGGGGTGTCGTCTGTAGAGAGGTAAAAGGAGAGGGATCGTAATCCAGCTCCGTTTCCTTCAAATCCAGTGCCCTCTTCGAAGCCATCACTAGTGACATCTTTGGAGATAGCGGGGCGAAGACGACTCGGCGGCGGGACAAGTCACACTCGGCGGGTGAAGTGGCTGCATGCCGTGTCTGAATAATCAACGACCCCGACCTTTTTCCATCGAACACGCTGCCGAGCTGCATCCACCCATCCTCAACCACCACCGCACTCTTCCCTGCACCGAGCAGCTGCGCATGCAAATGAGCTCTCTCGGCTTCTGGTAAAGGCCCGCCCGTTTTCGGCGAGATGAAGAGGAGGCAGAGTTGTGCTAATGGCCACCCGGTCACTCTCAGATATCATAGACCGCACTCTTGACCCTTTGTCCATAGACCGAAGCTCTAACGCACTTGCCTTGCGACTACGACGGCAGCATCATTGTAGACTCCCGAGTGGAAAGAACAACCACGGACATGGCAGCAGTTTCAACGGGTATGCTACCCTCGCCTGAACCCATCGTTCTAGACATCAATTTCCAGCACTACCATCAACACGGCTCATAGAGCCTTAGCTGCGCTATATCTGCTGACACTTACTGCTTCTCGCACAGCATACGGGTACCGTAGTCCCCACGCCCATCCTCACTCTCCTGATACCACGTCGCCCATGTACCCAGATCGACCGATTCGTCCGTTGCCAAAGCGAACGATCAAAGAACGCCTAAGCCCACAGCAGGCTGGCAGCATCATCTACCCACCGGCGCCGCCGAGCACCACTCCGCTACTCGGATTTTCTTACAGCCAGTCGGACAAGATGAATGCAAGTGGACAACGGCTGATGGACCATGGCGAGCACACGTGCGATTGTGGCGCCGACCACTCGGAGCCAGAGAGCGATGAGGAGTACATGATCCGCGGTCCTCGCCCAGCAGACAGGGGCGTCTACGGTATTTCTGAACTCGGGCCAAGGATGAGAAGTAATTTAGGCACTGCAGGTACACCCTCAAAAGTCGGTTATCCTCCACAACCGTTAAGTGCGGCGAGCTCAGCAGATGGTTATGAAAGCTTCGAGAACATGAGCAATAAGAAGAAGAGAAAGATTCCCAACCATGCAAATGGCAGCGGTGGGAGTCACGCTTCGAGCCTGGACAGGGACATGGCTAGTCTAGAAATTCAGCATGGGACCACAGTCAATGGTGAATCTAATGTTATAGATTCCACGGGTGGTTTACCGACCGTGAATGGGAACTACAACGGAGCTCGTGCTGCCACCGCGCCTCCTTCCGGGACAGGAATGGGGATCTCAGGACCGGGACGGGGACGCAACGGGAGGCCGGGTACTAGGAACAGTGCTGGTGAACGTAAACCGCTGGGGTCTTCGGCAAATGCATTGAACGCCTACGCTAATGGCCGTGCGAATCGACCGCGACGAGACCAGAACGGAACGGCCGGTGCAAACAAGGGTATGGTGGCCTCCACTAACAAGCGGAGAATAGTGTTACTAATGCACGAAATGTCCAGGTCGAGAAGGCATCATCAGCGCCGCTATAGCATCCGCCGCCGAACAAGCTCCAGTCACACCGCAGAAGGGCAACGAGAACGTCAGTTTGCTATCACAGCAAGCCCCGTCGTCATCTCAGCTACCTTCGCCTGCATCCTCCCAGAAAACGCAGTTTACATTCACTTGCGGCTCCGATTCCGCTAACAAGGTGAACTGGCCCCCCCAGAATGGCTCACCTCAGACACCATCAGCTCCGCAAAACAGGGCAGCTCCACCAGGAGACGTCCGGCGCAACGTTGCCACGCACTCAACCCAAACAGGCCATCAAGTATCTAACGGCACGCACAACCCCGTCCCGCAGCACTCAGGCCAGTACGCTCCGCCTCCCCAACCCGTCCCAGGCCACCCCAACGGCCAACAAGCCCCGCCTCCGCCGCCAAACCCCAAGCCCCGCCGGCGCCGCAACCCGGACGCGTCCCTGCGCGCAGCAGCCAAGCAGCGCCGCCTACAGCAAGAATACCAGAATTTCCACACCAAGAACGCCGAGATCTGGATCTGCGAGTTCTGCGAATACGAAGCCATCTTCGGGCGGCCGCCCGAAGCTCTGATCCGCCAGTACGAAATCAAGGACCGCCGCGAGCGCCGCCGGCAGGAGGAGAAGCGTCGCTTGCTCGAGAAGGCCAAGATGCGGAACAAGAATAAGGGACGCAAGGGCGCCAAGAAGGGCGCCAAGACGGACCTCACGCATGCGCCCCCGCCGACGCCGCTGGATAATCAGCAGTATCCTGACGAGGGGTATGATGATGTGGATGGCGAGTATTTCGACGATGAGCACGAGGATGGGATACCGCCGGTGCCGCAGCCGCCGCCGATGCCGGGGGCGTATGTGGGTGATACGGGCGGAGGAAGGAGTAAAGCGTCACTTCCGCAGGTTCCGGTCACGTCGGCGGGACAGCCGGGGGGTGGAGCGAGGGCTGTATAGCAGGGGGCTGGAGCGATGGGTGATGTCTTCGCTCTGGTTACCGTTGCTGTTGTTGTTGGTTTTGTTTGCGCGTGTGCGTGCGTTAGTTGGTGGTTGGATGGCGTGGTGGAGCTGGTGCGGAGGAAGCTTGAGGAGCTTGGTGAGCTGTGAGCTTGCTGATGAGCCGCCTTCTTTTCCCTCAAGACTCATCACGCCATTCGCCACGTCGTTTGTCGTTTCCTTTTCTTTCTGTTTGTACATTTACTGCACCCGGTTTCCCCTTTTGAGACGTACTTGGTCCCTCGCTTTGCATCTGTTGGAGTGAGCTTGGTCGTCCGCCACTGATCTATCATCACACCACCCAGTAGATCAGTCGCGGAACTCACTTTTGGTACCGTCTCGTTTTCGGCTTCCTGTTTTGTGGGCGCCTCTCCACTCTTGTAAATTTACTTGCATCTCCATTGGTATGGGAGGCGGAGACGTATAGGTGAGGTTGTTGTTCTGCGCTTGTTGCATGCATTGGAAGGCGGAAGGAAATGTTAGGTCGCATTGGAGACGGCGTGGGTTTGGTGCAGGGTGTGTTTAGAGTCCGTAGCTGAATGGAAGAGTCTTAGCACCTTAGGCCGGGTGGCCGTTTCTCAACCAACACGACTATACCACAGCTAGTGTTATCCGATACACCAAACTCCTGAGTAACAGTCCAAGTGAACGACTTATAAACTTATTTACAAGGACAAGAGAAATCTATTAGCAACAAGGATGCCTTCCTCAACTCAATGTCCACCTTTCCGACCAGCATAATGCAACACCCGCCACCCTACTCCTTCGGCGGCGTCCAACACCGCCTCGAACTCATCCCCCGTGCCGTATTAATACTCTCCTCCTAGTCCGACTGTACATCCGGCTGACCGCCCCACTACAATCCAGACCCCATCCCGCCCATCTCACCCCGCTTTCCCCTCGACCACCGCCTCCCAAGCTACCTCACGAGCGGACAGCACCACCCGGCGCGGCCGCCGTTCCTGCCGCAAGCTCCGTGCCGTGCGGCGGCACGGACCGCGCTTCGGCGGCCGCCATGCCATGCGTCTGCAGGATGGTAGCCTCGATGTCCGCGGTTTCCGCCGTGTCGGCGAGGTGCTTGCGCGCTGTGGGAGGAGCGGCGGTGGCCCACGGCCGGACTGGAGGGTGTTGGTTTCTGGTGCCCTGGGATGCGTGGTGGTGTGATGCGGGGAAGGAGGGAGGCGGGGATGGGGAAGGCGAAGGGTGGCAAGGTAGAGGGGAAAGGGGGGATGAAGATGGAGACTTACGCATGGGGCGAGGCGTCGCGGCCGTGTCGCTGAGCGTGAGCGTCGGGATGTTGCGTGGGAGGGGAGCGGCGTGGGTGAGGATGGGGAGGGAGAGGGAAAGGAAAAGGGCGGAGAGGAGAGCGGAGCGGATTGCGAGACGCATTATTGATTGAGTGTTGATTGAGCTAGGGGATGGGCGTTGTGGTACCAACGAAGACTGAGTCGTGGTGGACATGGTGGGCAGCGCAGCTGGACGATGGAGGCGTCTGACGGTAGGAGTAATTTTGGGATGGAGAGTTTGGGGGGTCGTCATGCGGGGAAGGCATGATGCGGGTATCACGTACCGTGGTCGTGTTTCGGGGGGTACCGTGGATACGAGGGATATAGGTTTGGGGTGGGACTGTGGGACGGCGGACATGGCTTTTGGTTAGGCTTTGCAAGACTCGGTACATCTCACACATCCGTACTTGACATCACATTTACTTGGGACGTGGATGGGCATGAGTTGCGTGTTGATATTACGGACACATAAGGACATCTTCATTTTGATATCAGCAGTTCTTCCTATGTCTTAGCACTCCCATCTCCGTTTCTTTCTCACGAACAGTGCTCCCATTTCTTAGATTCCAGACCTAAGCTTGAAAGCTCGTTGAAGGCGTTTTAGAATTATGAGTCTTTGTGCCATAAAACATCCGAGTGTATTGTACAGTGTCACTTAAAGCGTTGAGGTCCTTCATTGGCTGTATAAAATCTGAAGGAACAAGATAATGTGTTCAGCGTAGGAAAAGTCTTCCAGGCCATGATGTAAGCAATGGGCAGAAACGAATGGAAGTTCTACTACTGAGTATCAGAATATCCTAAACATATTGGTTTAGCAACATCCTCACTCAATCCAAGTGACTTGCAAGCTTCTCGATGTTGGTATCAATCAGATCATTCATTGCTATCTACGGCCAAGCGAGCGACTTTCGCCTGTATCCAAGCTACATACATGGGTGAATCTCATTTGTACAATCATTGCTACGCTCACTACCGTCCCAGTAATACTCATGATAGAGTTTCTGCATCCTCAACGAACGCCGTGAGGATCCAAGAGTATCATGCCATGCAACGCTGTACCTTCCCCGTCAAACTTCACGGTCCCGCTGCGTTACCTATTCTACTATCGCCAGCATGCCCATCCCCAGCCCTCCAACCCCACTCTCACTCCTCCCCAGAATCGCTCAAGCTATCCCTCCTCCCCCTTCCCCGGCCCCTCCGATACCCATCCATAACATCCCGCTGCCTCCTCCCCGGCGCCCCAACCTGGCTAATACTCTCGTCCGGCGCCAGACTGCCCTCGCCGCGGCTGCTCGACACGCCAGGGATGTAGCACGGGTAGCTCTTGGTGCCAAGATCGGAGCTCAGATCTGTACGCGAGCGGCTCGCGTGGCGGCTGCGGCTGCCTTCGCCGTGGTTGTGCGGGCGGGAGTGGTGTTTGCGCGGCGAGGACTGGCGCGAGCGGGATTGAGAAGTTCGGGGGGCTTTAGTGGGGGACTCGGCGTGCGGGCGATAGGAGCTGTAGTAGGAGTCTTGTTGCTGGGCGGAGGAGGCGTCGGTATAGGGGGCGGTGTAGACGGTGCCGGTGTCGTCACCAGTCGTGAAGGAGTAGGCGTTGCTGGGAGCGGAGCGGCGGGGACGGTCATTGGCCTTGGTTGGCGAGGCGGCGGTGTCGCGGCTGGGAGTGACGAGGTTTTGATTCGAGGGCGAGGATGGAGATGTCAGGTCCTTCGGCGCCTTGCGCGCTTTCTGCTGCTCCTTCTTCCGCTCCGCCTCGGCCGCCTTGTCTTTCTTTGCGTTGGCGGCGGCAGTTTTGGCGGCAACCTTGGCTTCGCGCCGACGTTCCTTCTCGCGCTTCTCGCGCTCTTTCTGGGCCCGCTTCGTATCCTTCGGAGCGCCGGCAGGAGCGGTCAGCGGTCGCTGCGCTTGGGAGAGGTCGGACGCGTTCGAGTAGTCGTAGTGGCTGCCATCATGCTGTCCATTCAGACCACCGACCCGAGCCGGCTTCTCGCGCTGATACTCGCGCAGCTCGCGGTCTTTCTGTCGTTCGGCGCGGCGCTGGTCGCGGTCTTTCTGCCGGTTGTCGCCGGTGTACCGCGCACCACCGCCGCGCATGTTGTCGCCGGTGTGCATTTCGCGCATCTCAGTCTTGGACGTGAAGGCGCTGCCTGTCTCATCTGTGTACCCAACGCTGCTCTCGGCACCGTAGCTGCCACCGCCGACCACACTACCTCCACCGAGTTTCGTGCTCTTCGTCGCGTTGGACAGTGTTTTGCCATCCGGGCCCTTGCGCCGCAGCACGGTAGACTTGTAGTCATCCCAATCCCCCTTCCGCCACACGAATCCTCCATTCTTGGCCCAGAAGAAGAACCAGATGGATGCCACAACCATGCCAGCTGCGATCAGGGCGAACAACGCGAGGAAGGCTTGGTTGTTGAAGGCGGTGGGTTCTTTGGCGCCTGAGCCAGGGGGAATACGCGAGACCGTGGTCGCTCGGCGGTGGAGGTCGTGAATGTACATTGGGGAGCGAGCCGCGTGTTCTTCAGGTTCGAGGGAGCTGACTGAGAGATCGGATATAGAGGTGGAGAAGCTTCGCGGGAGGAGGGAAAGGAGTGTAGCTGGGAGTGGTGCCATGGTGGGCGATATGTGAGCTCTAAGGCCTGAGCCGGAGCTGAGTCCGTGAAGTTACTCTCTGTATGGAACGGCTGGGTAGGTGGTGGTCGTGCTTTGAACGGCGAGCTAATAGCTTATTCCAGCTGTGGCCTTTGATGATGGTCACAGAGAAGACTTTTTTGAAGATGGGTTACGTGTGACTGTTTCTGCGATTTTAGAGAGCGACGAGGGTCGACATGGCGTTAATATGAGGCGGTGCTAACTGCTGGTGAGGAGGCTGGTGGAAGAACTCGGCGGCTGGGGTTGACGTACTTTGTTTACGCTGCAAAACGAACGTGGCGGGTCTTCTCGCCTAAAACCCCTCCACAAGCCCGCCGTGCTTTTTTTGAACCCGTCGCGCGAGCAACAATCTCACATCTTATCAGCGAAACGCGACCGCGATTCACCTGCAATTAATGATGATGAACGCTGTTAATAATACGGTGAGACGACTATGAGTTGAACAATAACTAGACGTATGTAAACCTACCGCTAAGATTGAAGATGCGAACGGCCCCTGTTTCCCTAAAACCACCCTGACAACTGACCGTTTCAACTCGAAGGCCTACCTAGGTACTTTCCGTGCAAATAGCTTCACGATTTTAGATATCAGACCGTACTGCCGATACCACGGACGTTTTGTGCTACCAGTCAACCTCCTTAAGCGTGGATAATTAGTAGGTCCGACGTGCTCGAGGCATGCGTACGTTGAGCCAAAAGCATATTCAACAACTCCCCTAGCGTTCTTCGCAATGGGCAGCAAGCTAATCTTTCTGTACTCTTAACTGACTCAACTCCCTACCTCTTGTGCTGTCTCTATCGCAAAATGCCACCTTGACGGATAGATGTTCGTGTAAGCCGCATCACCAGTCGGATTTTTTCTCAACGCTTAGTCGTTTCGCCGGCAAGACCTTTCCGCATTAGACTTATCGCTAGTCACCTTAAGCTCAGGGCGCCTTTGACTACTACAAACGCTAAGATTGAAAAATGGGGCATACGTCAAGAGCTCACTCAGCCTACGAACAGCAGTAGTGAGCGACAACCGAGAGGGAAAACCGGTGCAGCATGGCATTGTAAAGCCGAAAGCTCCATAGAACTGGGTGCGACGATTTGGTGCTCGTCGGATTTGGATATCATTTCCGAATTCATCCAGGAAATCATGAGCCCCGGCCAGCGTACGGTTCACAAATGCCATGGTAAGCGCGGCAAACGCCGCCAATGTGCCTTCGAGGTTGGTCTCGTCGAGTGACAAGGGATTGAGGGCGCGTGATGCGGTTCAGATAGCCGCAGGGTTTGAGAGAGCCGCAAAGGCGGCTGCAGGGGCGCTATACCAGCATGATGATACGGAGGAAAGTGAGTCGATTACTCGAGTATCACTGCTCTAGGACACTCATGCAGGTGCACGGTTGATGATGGGCGATCAACGGACATACATCCAACGAATGGCGATACTCGCATCCGACGAAGGATGAGCGGTCGAGGTTACCAGAATAACCAAATGAGAGCCCGCTTGTCTTTCTTGAGTGCCTCCAAGCTTCGAGCGGTCGAAGGAGGCTAGCCGGCTTGCGTATGGCTTGTTCAGATGATGCTTCGGGGTGGTTGCAGTCCGCTTGTGACCTCCATTTTCCCATGTCGTTTGGCTGGCGGCAAACATCCAAAGACCATCAACCTCCAGGCTCGCCATGGCTGACCAAATGCAGCACAGCGAGCAAGGGCCGGCAAACACTCGCGTTGAAGCCGTCTGCATCTGGCCATGCCAAACAGGTGTTCATGCGGTCAACGCCGTGCTTGCGTTGGCGAGTGAGCAGACAAGCAATCTGCGCAGCGCAAGTCAGCCGCCTTCCGGAAAGCCTCCAGAATGCGGCCAAGCCAAAATCGATCCTTTGTCAAGGCAGGCGAAGGAAGCTGAAGCCTGGATCTGTCTCAGCTCCGGTGCATGATTCATCAGCTTCACTGGCCTATTTTTGCGCCGCCAAACTCGCCCCGCACAACGTCTCCTACACCCTCACTCCCCACACGAAGATCAGCCCACGCAAACTGAACCAGCGCCGAGACTCGTCAACGACTTGCCTCAAAAGGTGCTGCAGAGCGAACATAATACACCACCTTCTTGCCTGTGTTGCATATGACCGCCTTCCCAGCCGGCCAATGTCCCCGCCGCAATGCTCATCTGCAGGAACTCAAGCAAACGCGTCTCCGTGTGACCTATGCTTGGCCTTCTCAGCACACCACCACAGGAGGCTGTCAAATCGCTGCCTTGATCTGCTTCCGCCAAGTTCATGCTACCTGTCCTCCATGTCCTCCGGAGCTTCCACCGAGATGGTGTATGAGCAGTAAGCAGAGGTAAGAACGAGGCACTCTTATTCTGTTCACATATTCCACTATCTCCTCTTCATGGCACCACTGTTTCAGTGTATGATTCATCGCTGTTGTACGTCTCCTATGCTGCGCCTCTCACGCGGATCCTCCTCCGCGTACTCATATGCCCCAGTCACGTATATATAACCGTCGCGTGCAGCTTTCCTGCACCTGCGTACAAGTACCTCCGCGCCACTTTCCCAGCGTCTTTCCAGAGTCTCTTTCCAAACTTGCTCCCTCGTCCGCTCCAACCCTGACGTCCCTCATCATCGACCGGCCTCGGGCCGGAGAGCCCATCCCGTTCCACACCGTCGTGACATCCGACCGCATCGCCTCGCCCTCCTGGTTCCGCAAGGAGTCAGTCTCCCTCTACGACTTCCTCGCCCGCCTCGAGCCGCTCAATATCAGCACACGCCATCAGCCATGCCCGCCTTCACCACCCTCACCAGGAACTACTCCTGGCCCCCGCTCTTCAACCTCATCGCCGCCGATCCAGATTCCGGCGCGCATGAGCCCGCGCTACTCCCGGACATGGACGAGGACCCCTTCGCCCATTTTCTGACCCCGCTACGCGAGGAGGACGATCCGTTCGACGGGCTGGCGCTGAGCGCGGGAATCCTGCCGGGCGAGACTGCCAAGGCATCGGCGTCTGCATCCAAGGCCGCGAAGTTCTGCGAGAGGCTGGCGAGGCGGTGGGAACGCTATGTCGAGCGGTACCATGCGGACTTGCACGGTGCCTACCATGAACCGAGCGACGAGCCTCCCTCGTTGATACCGCCCTACAGCATCGACGCTACTGCTCAGGCCGATGCCCGTCTGGGCTCCGAGTGGGTCAAGGTGGAGGTCAGGCAGCCGCGTCCGGAGCCGACGCGTGGCCGTGCTCAGGAGATCATCGGCGCCGGCAAGCGCAACCGTCGCGGCCGTCGTACCAGCCGTACACTTTCTGGGCACCGGCACTCGTGGCGCGAGCCGAGTGTTGATCTCTTCACTGTCATGGAGGAGAAGGACATGGGCACGGAAGCGGTGGCTCGGGACGGTGTGCCGGCGATCGTTGTCACGGCTCCTTGTGACGACGACGACGGGCCCGAGGATGATGATGGCCGGAGGTTATCAAGTAAGAGATGGAGCGCAAAGAAGGCAAGACTGTGAGCGCTTTGGGAAGTATAAGATGGGAATTGGAGGAGGGCTCGGGAAATTGGCACGCAGGGATCGCAGACTGGTTGGGAGTTCACTAGCATATCGCATACCCCTTTGGCGTTATTTGGTTTACCTCTTCCTGCCACGGTACATACTATTTGGTCCGCGGTTCTGTTGCTTCGGCGCTAATACCTAGTCACACCTTGCGTTGCTTCGAGCCTTATCGTTTGGCGCATATCTTATTGGATTACAGCATGGGCGGCGTTCCGCGGAATACTGATATGGTAGCTTCATTAGCTCGGTGTTGTTACACATCTCCAGTGCCGCTTCTGGCACGGTAATTACATGGAAACGAGTACTCGAGCAAATAGTCCGCTCCGTACTTTATATGCTGGTTGTGCGAGTTCGAAGTATTTGAACAAACCCATCAGAGTCGCGTTCTCCTCGCAACAACTCTCGAATCATTCTCCTATTTCAACAATGAGGTCTGTACATCTCGCTACTCGGGGTCTCCAGCCAGGTCCTCCTCTCTCACCATCCCCGGATACTTGCCCGTCTGTTCAATCTCCTTGACCTTCGCCTTACCCTCCTCAGTTGTCGCGTCAATAACGCCCTCCTCAATGCTCAGCATACCGCCCATACCCAACTGCTCAACGACCTCCTCCGCCTCCTCAACGCTCATCTTACCCAAGACCTTGTTGACCTCATCCAGCTTCCCCGTCTCCAACGCCCTCTGCAGCCCCGGCGGAAACGCCTCAAATATCTTCCTCGCCTCCCTCACAGCCTCACCCTCCGCCCCAGCCGGCGGCACCACAATATTGATCGAGGTATTCGGGTCCACAGCATGCAGCTGGATCTGCTCGACGTCCTGAGTGACGGGATTCTCCTCCCTCTCGCGCTTGATCTCCGCCGCGCGCGTCCGAATCTTCGCATACGTGCTCTGCACGTCGTCCAGAAACAGCTTCTGCGCCTGGTGCTCCTTGGTCATGATGCGCTTGAAGAACATCGCCACGCCGTCACGCCCCAGCTGCCGACAATACTGCAGCAGCAGCGCCTGGTGCACGCACTGTCGCGCCATGTTGTCCCTGCCCTCGAGCTGCGCGTTGAAGGCTTGGATGAGCAGGCCGTCGGTGTTGCGCTCGGCGAGCACGGAGGGGTGCGTGGAGATGAACTGCAGGCAGGCGCGGTAGTCGCCGATGGGGAGCTTGCCGAATTCTTTGCCTTCGCCGGTGGGCTCGATGTGCTCTTCGTCGTCGTCGGCGGCGGTGGTGGCGTCTTCTTCGACATCGGCCTCGAAGCCGGAGGACTCGCCGGTGTCGGTGCGGGTTAGGGTGTCGCGCTTCAGGGCGCTGGGGTTAAGGACTTCGACTGTTTCGGCCGGTTTGCTTTTGCTGGACGCGGCTGGGGTGGTGGCTTGGGGTTTCGCCTTGTCGACCTACGAGGGGAGTCAGCGTTGCGTGCTCTGTCCTAATCACGGGCGTGCTTACATGCGACACGTTGAAGCCCTCGTGTATGTCGTCGCTGGTGATATGCCTCTTCTCCTCTCTCTCCAGCTCGGCCAGCTTGGCCAGCAGTTCCTTCTGCAGCCCCTCCACCTTCTTCCTGTGCACCTCCACCTCCCTGATATACCCCTCGTACCGATCCCCCTCTCTCTTCTCATCCACAGCCTTCTTGACCTGATCCACTAGCGCAGCCATCATCCGCGAATACGTCGGTTTCTCATCGACATGCTGATGCACACCCTCGGGCGGCGGGGGCGGCTGGTCGTCTTCAGGATCGCCCGCTGATTCGATGAGAGCCTGGAAGACGAGCTCGTCGGCACTCTGTGAGGCAGCGACCGCCTTGTGCGATTTGAGCGCAGTCAGCAGCCGGTCGATGCGTAGCATCAGCCCATCGTTGATGATGCGCTCGTACTTGAGCGTCTTGATTTGGTGGCGCCGCCGCTCGCGCTCTTGGTGGATCTGGGCTTGCTTTGCGCGGATGAAGGAGCGTTTGTCGACGTTGGGGTGCACTTCGATGTCGGAGTCGTCGCTGAGCTCGAGGGCATCCTGGGAGGGGGTTAGAGGGGAGATTGAGGGGGGGGGAGGATGGCGTGCTTACCCATTTGCTGTAATCTACTGGCATGGCTGTGGTGATGTGGTGGATTCGGGGGCTATGGTGGGGCTGGCGGGGGGGGTATTGGCAGGTGTCAAGTACTCGACTCGAGATGAAGCCGGCTCAATGAGGCGGTGGACTGATCAAGTTGGCTCCCAAGCAGAAAAGATCAGGAGACAATGATCTCGAATATAGTGGTTGATTGTCCAGACCGAGGATCTGACATGCGAAAGTTCTGTGGAGTTCTTCACCAGGGAGCTTGGACCCCAATTCGGTGATGTAGTGCATGGTAGGGTGGCCGGCCTGGGTTGGTCTTTCTCTCAGCAACATTTACTCGTACCGGACCTCCATCCGCTCTCAACTGTAAAGCCGTCAACACGACGCATCCAGCGCTCCCAATGTCGTCCAGAATACATACGAGGTAGCTCGACGGATCCATCTGGCAGCGTGAGGAACAGGACGCTGCACCGGGCCGCTTCCGCACCTTGGGCGCGCCGAGCTATGCCCGGCTCCCAGATCGTCATCCACCGGGCTTGGAACAGCGCTGGAAATGGAGCTCTGTTCTCCAAGATATGGGTAGACCGGCCTCTACAGCAATGCGCCCGTAACGTCTCATCCATCCGAGCACTCTCGAGCAAAACACTTCCGCCCGTCCGACGCACGTATCCATCCTACGCTCCGCTCATTGCAAGGCCAACATCGAGGACACCGCAGACTTTCCAGGGGCATTGGCTGGGGACGCCGCCACTGAGTAAGGTCTTCTCGGCTTCGAGAGCCCTAGCGGAAGCTCGGCAGGAGCAACAACTGCAGCAGCAGCCGCCACAGCAGGAGAAAAAAGAGACGGACGTTCTTCAACAGGCAGAAGCCGAAGGGGATGAGCAAGCGTTCAAGAAGTCCGACAAGGCCAAGCAGGCTGGACAGGTCAACCTCAGCGCAAAGCTCAGCAAAGACGGGTCGCGCGGTGGGGACAAGCCCGGAGGCTGGCAGGAGGTATGGCGGTTGATCAAGATCGCACGGCCGGAAGCCAAGACGCTGAGTATAGCGTTGGTGTTCCTCCTGATCTCGAGTGCGGTGTCTATGTCGATTCCGTTCTCGATAGGCAGGATACTGGACATTGCCACTAATCCGGAGAGCAAGACCATGCTTTTTGGACTGGATATCAAGACGTTCTACCTGGCTTTGGGCGGCGTCCTTATCCTGGGAGCGTCTGCAAACTACGGCAGGATCGTCATACTTCGCATTGTCGGAGAAAGAATAGTGACGCGCCTGCGGTCGAGGCTCTACAAAAGGACTTTCGTCCAGAATGCGGAGTTCTTCGACGCCAACCGAGTGGGTGATCTTATCTCTCGCCTAGGGTCGGATACGATCATCGTTGGCAAGAGCATCACGCAGAACCTCTCTGACGGCATGCGGTCCTTTGTCAGTGGAGCTGCTGGGCTGGGTTTAATGGGCTACGTCAGCCTGAAACTCACTAGCATCCTCGCAGTGATGTTTCCTCCGGTTGCCATTGGTGCGTTCTTCTACGGCAGAGCCATCCGGAACCTGAGCAGGAAGATCCAGAAGAACTTGGGCACCCTTACCAAGATCGCAGAGGAGCGGCTAGGGAACGTTAGGACCAGCCAGGCGTTTGCTGGAGAGGTGCAGGAAGTAGCTCGCTACAATCGCCAGGTCAAGAGGATCTTCGAGTTGGGCAAGAGAGAAGCGTTCATCAGCGCGACTTTCTTCGGTGCGTCCGGCCTCGCGGGGAACCTGACCATACTGGCTATACTGTATGTCGGGGGTGGCATGGTCAAGTCAGGGACCATCACCGTCGGCGAACTGTCATCCTTCTTGATGTACACAGCCTATGCCGGCTCGAGTCTTTTCGGCCTCTCTGGCTTCTACTCGGAGCTGATGAAGGGCGTGGGAGCAGCGAGCCGCCTGTTCGAGCTACAGGACCGCGAGCCGACTATATCACCCACGAAAGGCAAAAATGTCACCACCGCGCGCGGCCCGATTGAATTCAAGAACGTCTCCTTCAGCTACCCTACCCGACCTGCAGTCACCATCTTCCAGGATCTCACCTTCAGGATCGAGCAGGGCACTAATGTGGCGATTGTCGCACCCAGCGGTGCGGGCAAGTCCACGGTTGCCAGCCTGCTCCTGCGCTTCTATACTCCTAACAGTGGCACAATTACCATCAACGGCGAGGACATCACGCAGATGAACGCCAAACGCCTACGGCGCAAGATCGGTTATGTAGGCCAGGAGCCCGTACTGTTTTCCGGCACCATCGCAGAGAACATCGCGTACGGGCGCCCCTTGGCGACCAGGGCAGAAATCGTGCAAGCAGCCAGAAAGGCCAACTGCCAGTTCATCAGCGACTTCGTAAGCCCTCCCCTTCCCCTTCGTCCCCTCCCTTCCCATCTCAGAACTCCGCTAACCACCTCCCCACCCTAGCCCGACGGCCTCGAAACCCACGTCGGCGCCCGCGGCACCCAGCTCTCCGGCGGCCAAAAACAACGCATAGCCATCGCACGCGCGCTCCTCAAGAACCCGGACATCCTGATCCTGGACGAAGCGACCTCGGCGCTCGATGCCGAGTCCGAGACGCTCGTGAACCAGGCCTTAGCCTCGCTGCTGCGCGGCAACAACACCACCATCAGCATCGCGCACCGCCTCTCCACCATCAAGCGCTCCGACCGCATCATCGTGATTGGCGGCGACGGACGGGTTACGGAGGAGGGGAGTTATAGGGAGTTGAGTCGGAGGAAGGATGGCGCGTTTGCGAAACTCATGGAGTGGCAGCTTAGTGCTAGCGAGACGGCTGGGAGTCGGCCGACTGCGAGGGGGCCGGAGCCGACGGAGACGGAGGAGATTGAGGCGGAGTTGGAGCAGGGGAAGGAGGGGGAGGGGGAGGAGGCGGTCGAGGAGGAGGGGACGAGGGTTAGGAAGGGGGAGGTTAGTAAGACGGAGGCGGTGGTTGAGAGGGTGGGGACGGGGGATCGGTGAGGGGGGTGTAGGCCGCTGCAAAAGCGTGGGATCGGCTTTCTTCGAGGACGCCGGTGCGGCAAGAGGCATGTCCTGAGGACAGGAAAGTGGCATCGGATGATTGTGTAAAGAGGGCTGGTCACGGCCCGTCGCTGGGTTGTGATGACCACCGCGATGCAGGCTCAGGCGTTGGGGCGGTGACTCGCAAATCTTGGAACTGTATCCTATTTATCCTCAACCGAACATCCTCCTCCCCTGCTGCATATCTCTTATGTCCGTTGGATTGAACTTGACTCCTTCTACAGACTTCGAAATAGCAAGATCTCAATGTGCAACTGTGCAATCTGACTTTTCTGACTTCTCTGCTGGTTGGCAACATGACCTTTTACAGGACTCGAACACACTTAGTTTAGCGCCGTGCCCGACGTCTTAAACACCGAGCTGCCTACACCAAGAAAGTACAAAAGGAAGAGAACGGTACGCGAGCGGCATCCTCTATCGGAAAACAAAAGCGACCTCGAGCAGTAACCTTCCTCTATAAAATCACCTGATACAACCTCGAGACGCAATCCCAGAGAGTGTGTCTTTACCTCGAAGGAAGAACGAGAGTACTCTTAGAAGAGCTGCTGCACGTAGTAATGCTGCATGTCCGCGAGGTCGTACTCGTAATCTATGCGCTGGGCTGAGTGTAGGGCTAAGATGCTCGACGTCATGTGCTGAGTTGGCTGTCCGACACCCTCCAGGTATCACTCTGCTAACTCGGAATTCTCGCATAGGAGCCTGTCGCAGCATAATGGAGGCAGCGGTTGCACAAGATGTAGTTGTTTTGCGAGCCATCCATACGTTCCCTTCTTCGAAACATGAGAACGTCTTGCATTTGATGTTGAGATGCGGAGCTAGCGGTCGTGTACAAGCCACGGCAACTCGGGCCTATTTTTGAGTGTTGCTGGGGAAGGTGGCTTGCCCAGCCGCCAGACCACTGGCAGGGAAAATCGATCACCACTTTCATCTGCACGCAACACACGCATGAGCCACGCTCGGCTTGTTGTAACCAACACCAGTACACATCGACGTTTGATTTCTGTTTCTACGCCAGCAAACGATTCCCCTCTATATCACGCTTAATAATACTCTTGACACGCCTGTCCGGAGCCCCGTACTAGCACCCTGTAACCGCCGTAATCTCGCCCGTTGCTCCAGAGATCGTACCTTTGTTCATCAAGAGGAAAGAGAGGCCATCACCTGTTTGGAAAGCGAAACACCTAGAGCCCGAGCGCTGGTCGTCTATCCAGTCGCCGAGACGCAATGTCTCAACCTCAACAGAGCTACCCGCTCCATAGCCGCGACGAAACCACGCTGGACCCACGACGACAGTCGCAATCGCAACAGTATGGCCAGGACCCAAGTATCACACCCATGACCTCGTATGAGGCAATGCGAGAGTACGACAGCCCCCCCTCACCACCGCCGCATTTTGGGCACTCTTCGAACGTCCCTATACCATCAGTACCGCGCCGCGCGGTCGGCTCTCCAACCCGGCACGAACTTCCGCAGATTCCTGGGAGCACGTACAGCGACGGGAGGCAACCCGATACTCGATACTGGGGACGGGATACCGGTAACTCTACGCAACAACAGCTTCCTCGAAGAGAGTCGGATACGACGCCGGGCATGGATAACCTTGGCGAACGGGCGGCAGGAGGCGGAATACCTGGGCTTGCACTTGGCGTCGCAAACACAAACGAGAGGGATAGCGGAGTTCAAGCGCTGCAAGGGATTGACACCATAAGCCGCAGCGGTAATGGATATAGGGGTGCCCCTGGACCAGCCGAGAGAGACATTAACAACGGATCGGACCTTAGCTTACCGTACCCAAACCCTAGCTTCTCAGGCCGGCAGGGTCTCCAATCGAATACTTCCTATAATTCGTACGGCTCCGGCGCACCGCTGGCGGGCGCGGCCCCTGGACCTCCATCGACAGCTATCGGTGGTAACTACTCAACCGGCAGTCTATCTTCTGGAAGCCGACATGTCGACTCCAGCTATGCCTACCCCGACAACCCATACAACATGTACTCATCTACTCATCTAGCGACTGCCTATCCTGGAGGGCCTATCGATCCCATGGACATTGCAGATGACGGCGACGATGATTTGAGATCTCAAACGCCCAATACCAAAAGGAGGTCACTGCTCAGTATAGGGCGGAACACTCGAAGTCGAGAGGGCCTTCCCATCGCTGCCGCTGGCGCTGTAGGCGGAGCCGCAACCGCAGGAACCCTGGCAGGCTTGAGCAACCGAGACGGCAGCGGCCAATACGCCCCCGTGCCCGCTCAAGCTGACGGCATAGGCAGCAACGGCAGCGACGGCGGTGCGGAGAAGAGCGAGTGGCTGAACCGACAAACCAGCGGCAACAAGCGATTGAAGTGGATAGTAGGCACAATAATCGGCATCATCATCCTGCTTGCGATTGCCGGCGGTGTAGCTGGTGGTGTCCTCGCCAATCGCAACAAGCCCGCAGCCTCCCACGGCCAGTCAGCGGCAGACGACGCAAAGTCGAATGGCGACCTCAGCGCCTCCTCCGCCGAGATCAAGGCCCTGCAGAACCCGGACCTCAAGAAGGTTTTCCCAGGCATGGACTATACGCCGCTAAACTCGCAGTACCCAGACTGCATGCACAACCCGCCGTCGCAGAACAACATTACCCGGGACCTAGCGGTGCTCAGCCAGCTAACCCCTGTAATCCGGCTGTACGGCACCGACTGCAACCAGACCGAGATGGTGCTCCACGCCATCGACCGACTAGGCATCCAAGACAGCATGAAAGTCTGGCTCGGCGTCTGGCTCGACAAGAACACGACGACCAACGCGCGGCAAATCAGCCAGATGTGGAGCGTGCTGGACACGTACGGCTCCAGCCCGTTCGCCGGCGTGGCCGTCGGCAACGAGGTCCTCTACCGCGAAGACCTGACCAACCTCGAGCTGGCGCAGGTGCTCGCGGACACGAAGCAGAACTTCACGGACCACGGCTTCGCCGACCTGCCGCTCGCAACGTCGGATCTGGGCGACAATTGGACCGCGGAGTTGGCGGCGGAGGTCGATGTCGTCATGGCGAATGTGCATCCGTTCTTTGCGGGCGTCACGGCGGAGGCGGCGGCCGGGTGGACGTGGAATTTCTGGACGACGCATGATGTCGTGCTGGCGCCGAGCAAGGAGCATGTGGTCAGCGAGGTCGGATGGCCTGGCGCGGGGGGGAACAACTGCGGCGGCGCGGTTTGTACGAGCGATACGCAGGGGAGCATTGCAGGGATCGAGGAGATGAACACGTTCATGGAGGAGTGGGTGTGTGAGAGTTTGACGAATGGGACGAATTACTTCTGGTATGTTTGCCCGCCTTTCATCCTTTTCAAATCTGTTGACGGAGATCACAATCGACGTTTCGGCGAATGCTAATCCATCATCCTGCTACGAATAGGTTCGAGGCGTTCGATGAGCCCTGGAAGGTCCGCTTCAATAAGGGCGATCAGAACTGGGAGGATCAGTGGGGGCTTATGGATGTGAATCGCAAACTCAAGCCTGGCGTCAAGATTCCGGATTGTGGCGGCAGGAGGGTGGGATAAGGTGATGGGATGCACTGTTTAGCATATTTTTAGAGGGCGTTATGTGCATAGGATATTGTTATGTAGGGCAGATATTCGTTCGACGAATTGCTATATTGTTGGGCATAGGGTTGCAAGCCGTCTAGGTATCTACTTTGATGATGCAATTAAAGCGAACACCGATTCCTACTCGTTACAGAGTCGGGATGGACTAAGTGCATTCTAGTCTTGACTATTCTAACATCTTGCGAAGTGGTAGCTAGATCTAATCAGATTGACGATTGTGCAGTACTTGCTGACGTCACCCTCAAATAATCACGGCCATCTAGAGCTGTGAGACGAGAATCGAGGCCCTTGAGATCACAAAGCCGCGCAGGAAAACCCTTACCGTTAATTCCACCTGCCCGTGACACACGAGCCCGTCAATGCTCAAAACCGCTCCTCTCCGCAGCTACCGAAGCCTTTCTCGAGCCTCACCGTCCAGCATTACTCTCAGAATCACCTCCACAAGACCGCTGTCTACCACCCAACCGCGCCGCCGCAAAGACGAAAACATGGCTTCCGGCCCGCCCAAGCACGAGATGGTGTATCTCCCGGAGCTGACGAGCAAGATGCGCAGTTTCGGCGAGTTTAGGAAGGTCATTCATACGGGGCTGTATAGCCAGTTGGTGGCTATGGAGGTGCCTGTGGGCGGGGATATTGGGGATGAGGTAGGATCAATTCTCACCCTTCCTTCTCTTGGTTCCTTAGCGCCGCAGCACACATTGACTTAGGGGATAGGCAAGTGCTGACAGGGAGATTGTGAGTATAGGTCCACATGGTCGACCAGATCCTCATCTTCACATCCGGCCAGGGCCGCGCGACCGTCGCGGGCAAAGACCAAGACATCAAGGCGTCAGACGTCGTCATCGTGCCTGCGGGGACGCAGCACCAGTTCGTGAACACAGGGGATAAACCGCTCGAGCTGATCACGGTGTATGCGCCTGCGGAGCATGATCCGCGGACGGTGCATAAGACGAAGGAGGAGGGCGATGAGGAGGAGGAGAATGGTCAGGACGAGGCGCCGGAGTGGAGCAGGCGAAGTATGAAGGAGAATGAGGGGGACGGGTTGGTTAAGATTGAGGGGGGGCCGTATAAGGAGTAGGTTGTAGATTGATCGGGTAGCAATGCAATATCTCTCCAAGATACGGACGTGGCAGCTAGTCTGACATACAATCCGCTTTTCGAGCAATCTGTCTTGCTTCGAACGGTGGTTTGGTGTATCGGAATCGCTTCATCTTCTAACAATCGTTACACCAACGAGGGGCACGCTCACCCGGAAAAGTTTGCCGTCTGTGGCCAGAACGAGGCTGAGACTTGGCGATGCCGCAAAACCGGTCGCACAGTCCGACATGGTTGTGATTGGGGCCATTCACAGTCGTACCTCGCATAGGGCATCTTTACGTGCGAAACTCAGTCGTACGCAGAAATCGAAAAGTGGTAAGCAATTGCAGGTGCATGGTGTATTGCTCAGCTTGGAGAACCGCTTAGCAGATGCCAGCCTGAGATGACACGATCAAGGCCTAAGGCTGACAGAAGTGGATGGAAACGCGACCGACTTGAACGGATCGGGAAAATCTGACGGTGGGTCTGGTTGATCTTACGTTGGGGAAGCCCGGAAGACGCCGGCCCAGCATGCCGGGTGCGAAAGTCGGCGAAGGTTGGTGGGAGAAACAGCGGACGGAAATGCGTGGTGGGAAGTGGTGCACCTTTTGTAAGGCTTTGATAAGCCCCCGGAGACGCTGGACGGCAGTGAGGAACAAGTCGGAAAAGTCAGGCAACTTCAGGCAGGCCTCGACGCAGTTGGGGTTTGCCGCAGCATCTTGCCGTTAGTTTTGTTCGTGATCGGCCTCTGGTGGATTCGTTCATCGTGCGTGTGGTGAGCCAGTGTGTTCTGCCGACCGCGCTCTTCAGCCTTCTCCGCCTCCGCCGACCTTGCACCACGTACCTGGACTGCTCCCATCAATCACTCCACCTTCCCTGCGCTCGACCTAACATACTCCAATTACTCAATCACTGTGTGCACGACACACTGCCCTTTCACACCTCATCCACCGTGTCGTCCTTAATAATCGCTGTCTTGAGGAGGGGGCGACGGTCGTTTTTTACCACGCGTCTCACATCGCATCAGTTTGATCAGATAAGACCGAGTATGTACCTCCCCACACCCCCCGGACATCACCTCCATTCCTCGTGTCGGCCTCTTGGCCACGGCCGTTCACTGTCGGACGCGTTTTTCGACCTCTCGGCGGCAGAAGCTCCTTTGGCCTTTGTGTCGTCACGTTCTTTTGCCACGCATCTCTCACACTCAGGAGCTAACAATGTCTTCAACTGCTAGACAGCGTCTCAGCACGCGCGAGCGTTCCCAGACCAATACACAACATGTTAAGGCATTACTCGCATCAGCACGCCGCTGCCACACCGGCCACTCAGCTGGCTGACCCGATCCCTCACGAGCCGGTCGGCGTACCCACATACAGCATCTCACCCCCAAATCAAAGCACAATTTCCAGCGGATCACCGCGGTCATCGGGCGAGTCGCTAGCATGGTCCGACACTGCAAGCGAGTCGTCTGCTCCCCAGACACCACCGAGCGAACCTGAAGCCGAGGTCGATGATCTGGTCGAAAAGTTGCGAAACCTGCCGGCCGCGGCGGTAGACTTTACTGGCAATTCGAACAAGAGGCCACGCCGGGCATCTACAACCCTCATCGCCCAGAACTCGGAGGATATCAGACGGATACTGGGCGATTCTGCGACCGGCACCCAGCTGATCAAGAACTGCTGTGGTGGAGGCTGCTGCTTGGTTGAGACCGTCCAACCGGATCGAGAAGCCCCAGGACTCGTGCCCGTCGTCCTTCCAGACAATGAAGCCTTCCGAAGCCTGAAGCTCAAGTTAATACCGCTCAGCTTGAACACGGAGCTCACGAATGTACCTGAATTGCCTCCTGTCAAGGTGTCTTTCGAAGGTGTCCCCGCATCAGAGCCGAAGCACACTACGGCTGTTTTCAAGGAGCCTCCTGCTTTCGTCCAGCCCCATCCTCCGTATAGCGTCTTCTCTGCGCCGGTACACCATGCGAGAGAGTTGACCAAGCCGGGTGCCGAGAAGAGGACGTACCATTTCGACCTGGACGTGACGGATTATCCGGATGAAGGCGGCGTTGACTTCAAGGTTGGCGGCGCAATCGGCATCTGCCCGCCAAACGACCAGGTGCTGGTGGACGACATTTTCGACATGCTGGGCGTTCCCTCGTTTGTTAGGGACAAGCCGGTGTTGATGAAGACAGCGAACGGACGCTGGCCAACCATCTGGGGAGACGAGAAGCCGAGGGAGCTAGTCACGACCCGCAGAGAGATTCTCACATGGTGTTCGGACATCCAAAGTCGTCCGCCTACCAAGCAGCTGCTTCGGGTTCTGGCCGAATATGCAAGCGCCGAGAATGAGAGGAAGATCCTTACATACCTCACATCCGCCCAGGGGCAAGCCGCTTTCTGCGAGTAAGTCACCCCCTAACCTCCTCATCCCGAACACAACTAACCACACCATGAAGCCTCCGCACCGGCCCCCATCTCACCGTCAACCAGCTCCTCCACGCCTTCCCCTCCTCCAAGCCGCCGCTCCCGGCCCTCCTCTCCGTCCTCGAACAGCTAATGCCACGCTTCTACTCCCTCTCCAACGACCCGCACGTCTCTTCGGCGCGCCACGGTCTTCAAGCCGGCCGCCGCCTCATCGAAGTCGCCGTCTCCGTGCATGAAACCGCAGACTGGCGGCACGGCAACCAGCCACGCACGGGCGTCGGCTCCGGCTACCTCGAGCGCATCGCGCGCACCTTCATCGAGGCAGAACAGTCCGGCATCACGGCCCCGCACCAGGTGCTGGATCTCCGGGTATCGATGTTCCGCGGGCTGATGGCGAACCCACTGTCCCGAGAGTTCGGCGGCGATGGGCCAATGATGCTGATTGGAGCCGGTGTCGGCATGGCGCCGTTCCGGGGCTTCATTTTGAACAGGCTGCGCAATGCGAACTGCGCGAACAAGATCTGGCTCGTGCAGGGGGTCAGGGATAGTCTGCTGGACGAGATCTACTCCGGCGAGCTGGGCGCCCATGAGAAGAGCATCAAGAAGGTCGTTCAGAGCCGCAAGGCGAACAAGATCAAGGGCGATGCGAAGTATGTACAGGACGAGGTTAGGCATCAGGCTGACGTTGTCTGGTTCGTCATCAACGCTGTCGATGGGCGCATCTTTGTGTGTGGGAGTAGTAAGGGCATGGGCGAGGGCGTGGAGAGCGCACTGGTCGATGTGGCGATGGAGAAGGCGGGGCTGAGTAGGGAGGAGGCGGAGGACTTTTGGAAGAAGAAGAAGGAGGATAATCAGTATATTGCTGAGACGTGGTAGGGACCGCGTAGCTCGTGAAAGTGTAAATACTGGGGTGGAACTTTCTTTTACGCATCTGAGCTGTTTTTGAGGGTGGCATCGTACGGCGTCTGGCATGGGGGTTATGGTTGGATCTCTGTCGGCTTTTTTACTTTTGTAGAGGAGAGCGTGCTGCTCGCGCGGCGCTTTCCTTGCATTTTGTTCTCTTCTTCCGGCATATGCAGTTCTGGCGTTTCCAGATTCCAGCATGGCGTTGTAGTTTTCTTTGCTTTCGACCGAAAAGAGAGCCTGCCACTAGGGCATGAACTCGCTCGATTGTACAGTCGGAAAACCAGATAGGTAGTTGGTCCGTCTCTTGAGCGAGTTCGAAGTCCCTAACTGTCCAACTCTTGGACATATGTCCACGTGCCTTCCTCGTCGATCTGTGAGGTATCACCTGAGAAACAGGACCTGAACAGTCGCTTTGAGTCTCCAACAGTTCAGCGCCACACCAAGCGTCTCATCGTCTATATCGTACATGCTATTTGCTGTTCAGTAGAGGAGCGCGCAACGAGCCCAAGAGCCGGTGACCGAAAACAAGATATCATCAATGGATGCTACAGCAGCTGTGGAACACGAGCAACGACAACAGCAGTAGATGATAGCAAGCCAATGCGATTCGCAGCAGGATTCTTGATACGAGCTGCTGTGGCTCTCTATTCTGGCTGTTTATTACTTCAATCCCAGTAGACCAGTCACCAAACAACCCGAGAAGGGACCGCCAACCTGTCCTTCCAGGAGATCAGCAGAACTAAGAGGAGAGAATGCTGTCTCCAGTCCCTGCGGAGCCTCTCCATCGTGACTGTTTCCCACCGCGGCGCCTGTACCGAAGCAGCTCTCATGGCACTGGACTTTGGTCTCGGCGTCAAGCTTCGACAGCTTGAAAACGCAAAAAAGGTCGGCGTTCGCTTGCCCGTCGAACGACTGAGTAAACAAGACGGTCCAGGGATGTCCTTAAGGTGGCGGCTTAGCCGCGACACCGTTCCTATCGGACCTGACGCCAGTGTCTCCTCTCCCTGGACGCCCTAGTCAAGACGGGATGGACGCGGTAAAGAGGCTGATAGCTCGACACCTGGAGGGGACCTAGTCTGTTGACCAGAATGGGCAATTGTGTGATTCTTCCTTTATCTCACGAAGGTGGACAGGACTTCGCTCGCTCTCATTACCTCTTCACGTTTCGTTCGGTTTGATCGTATAGCACTTCTGTCACGCAGTGGAAATGTTTCGACATCGGCCATGGGCCATAAGCCATCTGAGGCTATCTACAAAATCCACTCTCTTATCCGCCTCAAAGCCCGGTGAAACGACCCTGTACCTGTACTCAGTTTGGGTGCCGTGGTACATATTCTTGCCGGTACATCCAAGAGCTTCAAACAGCGTAGACGACCTTCGCTCACGTATGGAGGAAACCAAGGCGAATCTCAAGTAGACTGAGAACGCACTCTTCGTATGCCGCGCCATCTTCCGCACTCTCGCCAATCTGGATGAGACGCGTGATCCTACATCTGAGCTTGAGTGGGGTGTCGTCCTCGGTGGATCAGACCAAAGTCTTCAGTGCGTTTATTCAGACAGTCGTATGTGTCTGGAGCGCAGATCACTTTGTTGGTCCTTGACTCCGTTCGACATTGTCCATTGTGCCTCTGGTCTCATGGGACAACGATAAGGCTTGCCGTAGGCGTGCGAGAAACCACTGTTCATCGGAGATGTGACTGAGTGACAGACAGTTTAAAGCGGCTCGAAGTTCCGAGGCGTGATCTCGAAAAAGCACGCGGTATGTTCGTCGACCTGGATCCCACATGTCACCGATGTTCATGCTGTTGGATCCGAACTGACGGCGGGTCTAGTTTACCACGTGTGCGACGTAAACAGCTTCATTTTGGAGATGGGCGTTCTAGAATAACGAGATTGAAATCGGTTCATTGTCGTCTATGTCCGAAGACTTGTCTGTATACATGCTGCTAAGACGCTATTGCTCCACTTCCTCTAAACGCGTCCCTCCGCTTCGTGTTAAGGACCGCCATGCCGTTGTCTTCGGCCGCCTTGTCGTCAGTCGGCAGAGTCTATCATGTGCTTTTTGCGGCTGTTGAAGCCTGCGAGGCTGTCAAGCTGGCGTTGTGCTGGTCCACAATCATACGCGATGATGAGCTCTTCTTCATTAAGGGCATGTCTGTGTGCGTCATTCTTTGTAGTACACCTCCAGAGATCTACCGTCAGGTACTTACTGGGAGCTTGAGGTAATGCTATAGAGTGGCCTGCCGATATGGAGAGGGAAGAAGCCTAACCATTAAACATACATCGCTTTGCATTTGACGAAGTCCTAGGACTCCGTACCCCGAATCGCGATGCTGACGGGGGCAATAGTCTACGCCGCGGTACGCGAAATGAACCACCAGACGCTCATATGGGCGTGCGAGCTAGGGTCAAGAGAGCCGGTGAACCATTCTACTGTACGGAAAGGGATCTGTCGAGGAATGCTGAACACATCGGCGCACACGGCTGGTAACCTGGGTATAAGGCGAACTACATGAAGTGTTGAAAGACAGATGGATTGATAGCTCGCCTATAAGGTGTATGGCTCTCAAGAGTGGTTGATATCTGCAATCTCGACGCGGAGCGTGCGCTTCGAAATAGACTCCAGATATAAGGCGTTGGTATGGCTCCGGAGTGGGAAGCATGGTCATACCTAGTGGGCAGGACAAACTCCAGAATTCGATGCGGGCCTTCAATGTCAGAAGATCATGAGATGCTTCCCTGTTGGACCTTGATGGTAGATTTCCAATGGCACTGAACGTAACAATGGATCTGGGGAAATATTGAAAGTGTTACAAAATTGACGACGATGCGGCAAGGTTCCTCCAGTCTCTGGATTGAGATATCACCTGAGCAGCTTCATTGTGAGCCAACAGAGTTATGTGACACGGCTGTTGTGATATCAAAGCATGAGTCGGGGACCCAGCGAATGAGACGCGAGTAAAATAGATGCCTCTAAGCACGTTAAGCTGTTCAGGACGGCACGCAAATCTCGTGCCATGAGAAAGGATGAGATACCATGTTCGTGTTGTAGAGCTCGACAGAATACAAACGGGGATGAGACACAGTCAGGACGTCATCACCTACGGAATGCTAGTAACCATGTTGAAGTTCGGCCATGCATGCAGTGGGCTTGACGCAGCCCCTTGAAGTGGCACACGGAAGCAATTGCGACAAGCCGCGCTGCAATCTGCTCCCCTCATAGCCCGATGCGCAGTCGACGATGCAGCAAGCCTTCTGAAACATCCCGCTGCACTATGCGGACACGAGAACGCCACCGAACTTGCTTCGAGACCAACTTAGCGTCTTCTGAACTTGACACCTTTCGCGAGATGCCTATCTCAGCACTCGAGAATGGTGAAACGGTGACACCGGCCTGCTGATGGTGCTGTACCTCGGCGGCGTGCGCTGAAGAGGTGGGGAAACGCGGCTGGTCCTGAAGATTGGGGTTTTCGGTGCGCTGTTTCAAGCGGCTTGCTAGTTGAGTCACACAAGATCTGAAGTCGTGAAATCTTGAGACGAGCCATGGGTGGCACGTGAGGAGGCGGCTGAGCCGGCATGGCGGTGCGTAAGGCGTGTATTGGTTCATCGGCTGCCCGCTTCCTGCCGTGATACAATGAATGCGGTCGAGCAACGGGGTTGTAATTACGAGGTTTTTTGCAGCTGTTTCTCGATGAGCCAAGTGGCAGTACCTTGATAATCCAGTGCGAGCATCAAGGTGAGCTTGCGGACCAAGTATAAAATCGAAGTGGACCAATGAAGCCAGTCTCTACTGTTCTCCTTGTCGCTGCCCTGAAACAACACCAGTGATCTGGTTGAGCGGTTCCGACTCCTTCATCTAAGGCGGTCCCGTGGTCTGGCATCAAGCCGGTAGCTCGTGGAGCTGGAGAAGGTGATGCTTCCATATGTGCACCTATCCTTCAAAGTGTCACGGGCCGGAACAAACCTCGATTCGTGACATGTTACTGGAAGCTCCTGACTGGTTTGCTCATTCCTGTACCACAAGCGCCGAGTGCCACTGCGGCGGCGATGCCACGAGCTTCTCAAACGATGTTCTCTCGAAAGGACAGTTGCTTGGCCGATGGTGCTACAAGATACGGTGGGTCGTTGTGCGAGATGCTTGGGAGGGGGAATGTCACATGGTCGGAGCGAGACCAGTCGCTCGGTTTTCACTCGAAGCCTCGAGTCTTCTGGACAGTTCCCAGTGTCTGTATTGACCGGCGGTCGTTCTCAGAATCACCTCTGCTCAACAGGTCCGGAGAAGTCACAGATTAGCATGCTGGCAGCCTGGCAGCCGTCTCACCGTGAGACTCTAAGGGAATTTCCCACTTCTCTGCCGGGTCATTTGCTCGCTCGATGCTACGGATTGAACACTGCCTCGTCTCGGTATAATATCCGCATTGCAGATACCGCCTGATCTCACACTGAAATCAACATGTTTGGTAGTTGATGGAGGAATTCCTATTCAAACCTGATTGGCTCAGAAGCATGAACCGGGTAGCCGCGGAAAGTTGGGAGGTGAAGAAACGCTTCGCAGCTAACACTACGCCAAGTAACACATGCAGACTAAGACAACAAAGAGACAGGAATATCGACACCTCTGTATGGGGCAGTAGGACTCAGTGATCCGGCATTCGCCTTCTGTAGAGGAGAGTAAGCGGGAGGCGTAACAATCTCGCCTTGTGCAACGTGTGCCTTCCGACACGGATGGAGGCCCGACTAACCGGAATAGATTGCGACTCGCAACTCTTCTCCTGAAGGGTGCATCGAGAGCATTGTTCTGGGGATCGCCCGTGACAGAGAATGAACGCGGGTGAATTCTGCAATGTGCCATTCCATATCCCAAGGCGTCATTACTTGATTACCTAGTTCTGTTGACATCATGGATGCTGCCCGTACGAAATGCACTCATCAGCCCACATCCAAGCTAGAATGCTGCCAAGCCCCACCGTTGACCTGTCAGCAAGGTCTTTCCGGCATTAGCAGGGAAGGAACGGGAAGCAGGGCACTCTCCTTGATGGCCAGGTGATCTGGGCCCAGCATTGCACGTGCTAGCTTTGAACAACAGTCAAGGATTTCTCGGAGGAGCAAATCAAGGACTTGGACCGCATCAAGGGCGGCAGGCCACGGGCGCCAAGCGAGAACGCTTGTGCATGAACGTTGTGAATTCAAGCTCGGCTGGGGATCGAAGGCCAAACTCAAAATTGATGAAGGGGTGCGCCTCCTGCTTTCAAATCAGCCTGCGTAAAGAGGGGTAGACCTAAGGTGGCGAGTGCACGGTGAGTGATCAGTGGACTGACGCTTTTCCACCTTCGTTGGTTTTTTCAGCAAGATGTGTCGCATTTGCATCTTGAAGCTGTGCTGAAGGTGGTCGGTTGGCGATGGCTTGCAAACCCTCAAGGTCTTGCGGGAAGCAAGGTGAGGGATCAGGTAGATCAGACATGGGGGCCTGGAAAGGATCTAGCCTCGCCCACGGTTCGAAAGGCGTCAACAACAACCTTATTTTCAAGCCACGCATCACCCGCAGAGTCTCGGCCCTTTGAGTGAACCACAAGCTGTAAAGCGGAACCGCCGTTCGCATGAGTCCGACTGCTGTTTGACATTGGGCCTTCGTATCAAGAATAGGTGCTTTTTAGAGCCGGCTCGTTGAACAGGAACCGCTCGGCCTTGGACGTCTGTAGGCTCGCGAAGCGGAAAGATATGCTGAGGCAACTTGTTGGGAGGTAGATGCAGCTCTTCAGGTACGTGTAGTCATCTGCGATATGCCAGTACGAGCGATAGGGGCCATCTCGGCTTTTCGTCGAAGTTGCAGAGGACTCGGGAAGCCCTGCCAACTGGACCACGCCTTGAGGGATCGGCCGCCGTTACACTTAGCAAGGCCATTCATGCGAGGACCACCCATGTCTCCCATCACAAGCGCAACGGCTCTATGCTAACCGCCAAGGGCAGTGGTCGATAACGGCGTCCCCAACATCGTCTGAATGCCTCATGGCAGGATAGCCGCTCAGTTTAGTCCCGGCAGCCTCAGACCGTGGGCCCATATTTGCGATTGCGCGTCGAAGTCGCAATCAGTCTAGTAACAATCCATGCAATGCAGCTTGCCTTTGGAGCAGAGGCTTCGGCCTGTCACCGTCCATGCAATTAGCCTAATTCCTACAGCGGGCGTGTGGCTAAGACTGAAGAGTATCACGCTCGCCTCCATCCCGGGAAACTGACTCCGGAGAACGGCTACCCCACATGTGCTTCGAATTGCCGGCCTCGACGTTCACGGCCAACACGCGTTACTCGATGCGCGCTACTCAAATGTGTCAGAGCGATCATCTACAACTCAGCACGATTCTTAGCACAACTCAAGGATCCGGATCAAAACACAGCTGATTCCGATCCGCTACAATATCCTGCTGTCGCAGCCTGCGAGCATGGAACGCGACCAGTTGTGAGATTTCTGCCACCGCCGAAAACATTAGATTGAGGCGAGATTGCCGTTGCATCGATTATCAGTGGCGTCGTCCGGTTTCCGCGGCCAGATTGATTGCATTGACTCTAGCGGCGCGCGGCGTGTTTCAAGGCTCATAGAGTTCGTCAGCGTGCATTTTCGTCTTGGTTTTTGACAACTGCTAAAAGCGCGGCACTTGTTAGTGACCTGGACGAAGAACTTCGCAGCCATCGAGAGTGTGTCCCCTTAGTCCGCATCCTGTCAGGCATGCAGCGGCGGACGGTACCTGAAGCTACCGAACCATGTTGGCATTTGGTGGCTTGCCAGCCACGGCTCCTGCAAACATGATGCTTGATTTCGTCCAACCCCGCTTGACAGGTGAAGCAGTGCCGGGTGTCGTCGAGGATCGGGGATCAGCCCTGGACGTTCAGCTCCTTGCCGGCTCTCCGGCCTTCCAAGACAAGCCTGAATTGCCAAGTGGGACTTGCGCACGGCACATGACGATGATACAGGCATAAACCCAGTAGCAGAGAGACTTGAGAACCGCATGAGGTTGGCTTCTGACTTGGGTAAAACTGAACCGCAGCAGTGCGCACGCATGAGGGACTGACAAGCGTGGTGTCATATTCAGATAGCTCTCAAACCCATTGTTCTTCGTCCTGCGGTCTCCAGCTGCTCGGTTGTTGCTGGCCTCTCGCAGTCCTCTGACGGCTCTGGGAGAGAAAGCTCTACCTCAGCGAGCCCGTCGGCTGGATTCCATCAGGCCTGCTGGCGACTCCATTGTGATTTGCTGAGCAGACGGATGCAAAACACAAGCGTCTCTGAGGGAGGATGCACGGCTCTCGCATGGCTTGAAGTTCGCGGTGATCGTCTGCATGGGTTGGTCCACCAACGGCAACGCCTCTTCGACTACTCTCGCGACATCAGGCTTCAAAGGTCGTTTCTGTCACTCCGCAAAAGTGTGCTATTCAGTTGAGAGTGAGCATAGCCAAGGAACACATGGCTGATGCAAAGTAAGCGAAGACCAAGCGGCCGGAGGCTGATAGCCCCAGACACACTGGATCACTGACAGCAGAGCATACAGGATTGAGGCTGGGATACAGAAGGCAATGGTTCATCAGCTGCAAGATGAGGCTCTTCGCCGGGGCAGGCTTAAAAGAACGTTTACTTTTTGTGAGTGGCGGTGACTGCCGGCTCTTGAATATCTGCCCGAAGTTCAGCAGGTGAAGTCTATCGGAACGTTCCTGTGAGGACGCGGGACGACGGTTAATCTGGCCTGAGGTTGCCAGAATGGCTTAGTCCTTCACCGTTACGCGCTAGGGCGCAACGGCGAAGGCATGACACGCGTGAAAATTTCATCCCAGCTCTAACCGTCGCTGCTGGAACACCTCAATCGACGCCGTGGCAACACTCGAAGACATCGCGACTGTCACAAAAGACATCTCCGACTGCGCAGACACGGCGAGGACACCAGATCACGCGGTTTCCACGCCGCCGTATGCTCGTATCGCCCGGCCCTTGGGAGCTACGCCGTGCCATCCACCCGAAGAGGGCAGAAACCGTTGCACACAAGACTGATCCGCGCCCGAGAGCCGCGGCCTGTTGGCGCTAAACGGGCAGTCGTCCCGCACTGCAGCTGGTGCGTGCAGTGGTGGTGCATCTCGGCCGCAATTGGACGAGGAGGATCGAGGCGGGCGGGGAGCCAGGTTTCGGCCCAGCAGGCGACAGGCCTCCCATCACAAGCGGGCGCTGCTTGGACAGGCGAGAGGCGTGGTGGCTTCAGCGGCGCGCATTAGGCTGTTTGACGTTTATTTCAGTGCCGGTGGAGCTGCTCAGCTTACGATCGCATCGCTCTCCGCCGGCGCGCGGTGGTGTGCTGGAAATTGCGCAGCTCGAGCCTTCCACTGCAGCCGGCACGGACGCTCACTGCCATTCGACGCTATTCGACCGTCCTGCTCATCGCTGTCCGCCATCTCCATCGTTCGAGGTCAGAGCGCGAGAGCAGTCCTCGACAATGTCGCATGCAATGCATCAAGATAGGGCCAAGTCGCCCCCGGACTTTAAAGAAGAGCCGGCCCCTGTGGCCGACGATCTGGTGAGTTGGCTCCCTGCTCCTTGACACGTTAAACACTGCACCCGCGACCGTTTCTCCCTCCCCTTCCGCTGCCCAAGACGAAAACCGTTGGCTCCGGCCGTCCTGCCTGTCCTTCCTGCATGCATCAGGCCTTCTTCGCGCGTCGTTGCTGCATCGCCACATAACGGCCGCCCGATTTACCCCAGTTCACGCACACCTTTGGCTACATGGTAGGCCCCTTCTCGCCAAGATGCTGGCTCAACCCTACCCATCAACCCCGTTCCCTTCTTCGTTGCTGGTTCGCTCGTCCTTTCTGCTGTGAGGCGTTTCCTGTTACAGCGGCATCCATGTCGTCCACCTAAATCTTCCGGTGTACATCGCCCCGGTCGGGTCTGCGATAAACGCACTTGTCACGTCTCACTCTCGTACACATCGTCTTGTTCTCTTTAAGTCTGCGTATGTACAGCTCGACTCTAGCTATCCACGCTTGCATTCGCTGCGCGTTCTTATCTTGTAGTCGTCCTCACATCTTCGTCATTGTCGGAGCTTTCTCCACTGTCAAATACCTCAGCATCTCAGTGATGAAGACCGCCTGCATCTACGCGCGCCCATAGTACTAGAGCGCCAGCCACTCTCCTTGAAAGAATTTCAAAATCCTGCCTGGGGGGCTACCTCGTACGCCGTAGACGTTGCACAAGGCCCTGAGAAACCGTCCATGTACAACAGACCGCACCGCTTGCTTTCTAATCGTTCAAAGCTGCAGGAGCGTTACTGACGTATCGTTGTTGCAGCATCACCCTCATCCTTCCCCGCAGGGACTGCCTGCCTCTCACCACCAACATCAGCGGGGTGGAGTTGTTCAACAACAGCGCCAACCCGACTCTCCTCACCAGTCTGGAACCTCCCATCCGGCAGCTCAGGGTCCTTACGCTTCACCGCATCCCTCCCAGCACCAGTCTCCATACGTAGGGTCTATACCAGGACCTAGTGGACAGCTCCCGCAAGACCATCCTTACTACGCCGCACCGAGTCCATATAGTACTGGCAGTGCTGCCGGTAGCTATTCCTCTGGAGGTAAGTCTATATTGCGCCGTATACGGAATCCTTGAACGTCATGGACGTGTCATTTGTTGTTTATCATTTCCACCAATCCCAGCAAGCACATCTTTTATGGCATACCTCTCCTAACGCCAGCAGCAGAACAGGGTGAGCTGGGTATGGCAACGGCAACCATGAATCGCGCTCAATTCCCGCCGATCTACCACACACCGCAGTCCAATTCGCCTTCCTCTGTACAGTCTCCCCAAGAACAGTATGGCCGACATATGTACGGTCAGAATCCCGGATCAATTCCCCAAGGAATGTATCCGTACCCTCTACCGCAGCAATCGCCATACGGGCAGCATCACCCAGCCCAGCAGCATCCGCAGATGCCTGCAAGCTTTCTGAATTCACAGCAGCAGGGTCCGCCTCTGCCGCATCAGACGTCTCATCCGCACACCCCAGGGATGACTGGCAGTCCAAAGTCGAGAATGTCAAGCACACCGATGGCACGGCCACCTTCGGGGGTGGGCCTACCTCAAGCTGGACAACCTGGACCGCCGACAAGCGCAGCTGGTGTACAAGGACCGCCAGGAGCCCCGAATGTAAACCCAAACGCAGCACCTGGTCCCATTCCCGCAACCACGCCGCTCGTTGTAAGGCAGGATCAGAATGGCGTCCAGTGGATTGCTTTCGAGTACTCGCGGGACCGCGTCAAGATGGAGTATACGATTCGGTGCGATGTTGAGTCAGTCAACGTCGACGAGCTTCCGCAAGAATTTAAGACGGAAAACTGCGTGTACCCTCGGGCATGCTGTTCCAAAGACCAATACAAGGGGAACAGACTCTTGTACGAAACTGAGTGCAACACTGTGGGTTGGGCGTTGGCTCAGCTTAACGCGTGCCTTAGAGGCAAACGAGGTCTCATTCAGCGAGCGGTGGATAGCTGGCGGAACAGCAATCAAGATCCGCGGCTACGGAGCAGACGAGTGAGGAGGATGGCCAAGATCAGCAACAGGAAAGCAGTTCAAGCAGCGCAACACGGCACGCACATGCCGGGCTCCGGTGGTCCAGGAGCTGCAGGGGTTTCCAATCCAGCTGGAGCTGGTCTTGCCGCAGGTCCTGGTCCCAGGCAACCTGGTATGAGCATGGGCGGGCAACAATTACATCATCACCACGAACATCCGGGCGGCGGGGCACCGGGCAGCAACGAGGATGTCAGTGGTATGTTCAACCACCAGATGTGATTGCTTTGCGAAAAAGGCGAGCGTGCGATGGGTATTGAGAAACGAAAATGGGTCCTGTCATTTCTGGGTGCATGTACATTACTTGTGGGCGTAACACCTTCCCCTACCATCCACGGCGTATGCAGATACGGATACGAATACGACGGACGTTTCAATGCGGCGGCTAATTTCATTTTTCTCTCGTGTAGCAAGCAATGACTACAATGACGGACCGCAAACCCACCATCATCAAGCTCCGAACGGCCAAGGCAGCTCCAGCGATGTGCGACCGACGCACAACTTCTACCCAACGTATCCAACGCCAGCCAGTTCAGGAAACCCTTCCATGCCGTCCCTTCATAGCACGATGGATCAGCTAGGCTCGCACGCGTCTTCGCATTCTGCTACCGTCGCCACTGCGAAGCAAGAGGAAGGCGAACGCAACATCGCGCTATTCGGCGACCTGCCAGAAGCCAAGCGTCGCAAGTTTATCCTCGTAGACGACGCACAACGAGGCACACGGGTGCGGGTGCGAGTGATGCTTGACCAGGTGCAGATGGAGGAGATGCCTGATTCCTACCGCAAGAGCAACTCAGTATATCCGCGCTCGTATTTCCCAACGCAGATGCAGTCACCGCCGACATCACCTCGCGGCTCGCGCTTCTTCGACGATCCGGAAGACGACAGTGAGGAGGGTGGAGTTGCTGGAACGGCGCCCACGACCGGCAGGACGCTGGTATCGGTGCCTATGATGGATGGCTCGGAGGCCAAGGTGCCAAAGCCAAGACTGACGCGGGCAAAGCGGAGGAAAGAAGTCACGCTGAACGACCTTGGCTATCGCATGAGCTGGAGCCAGAGCCGGGTGTTCTCGGGGCGGACATTATTTTTGCAGAGATCTCGTAAGCTCATCTAGACCCGACTGTACTATTCTGGCATTAGCTAATGGCTGCGCGAACAGTCGATGCATACCGCAACAAAATGCGCAGCACCATGATTGCAGCGAGCCAAGATGTAGGCGCCGTAGCACCACACTTCGAGACCCGCGTCGGGAAGCGCAAGTGGTTGGAGAGAAGCAAAAGGGCGAAGCGTGAGCCCACACCTTAAGTACCTCATCGCATCCTCTCGTCTTCTTGAACAGTGGTTCGCGGCGCAGTGGGGATCCCGTATTACGGTCATGTTCCACGGTTCAACAAACTCGGTTATGCATGCGCTTACGCCATCTCTCCTCTCAAGCGGCAGCGTCTGGGGTTCTGGAGACCTCCTTCCCGAAAGAGATGTGATTGCATATTTGCGATTCAGCTTTGCTATTTATTTTGCTGTTTATTTTGCTTTTCCTTCGTAACATGTGCTCGTCTACTTCATATGGACCCTGGCGCTTGTTCAATGGCTTTGTTGCGTTTCCGCATGAGTCGTGCCCATGTTTCGGTATATTCTGTTTCGCTTCAATGTTTTTTGTTGCTTTTGTGGGTGCTCGATATATCCCGGCGCGAATACACGGCGCTTTGTTACGGCTGTTCATGTCATGGCTGCTTTTGTCTATTTGCTGGGATGCGCGATATACGGGAAGACAAAGCACGGATTCAGCAACAGTGGTGGCTTTCAAGACCAAGAGAAGGCGTCTCTGATATACAGCAATGTAGGGCTTAGCTAGCGTTTCAAATGACGAGTCGTGGATTGCATTGCATACACGACGTCAGAAGCAAATGGCGTCGCTTGCTGAAACTTGTACGCGTGCCTTGTCCAGAGTCTCAGCGCGTCCAGAGGCCTTGACTCGAGAAGGCCTGAATGCAACGAGATCACCTACACAAAACGTTCTCGGCTGCTTCTGCCTCTTGTAAGCCCACATCACCTGACACTACCGTCTTCGAGCCATGTTCTGTTTGGCTGCGTCACTTTGAACACATTCTCCATTGCCAGCCGAGAGCTCGTCCCCGAGAAGCATCGCAACGCGTTGCCCTAACGCAAACCACGTACCTAGCAGTTCAAAAGAGATCAACAGTTCGCCCTGCCGTCACCGCGCTCGACGCGCGTGATTAGCGCCTTGTGGTTGTTTCACTCGGGTAGACGTGTTCTGGCTCTTATGTGTTGAAGGTCGCTCGAGGTGCTTACGCCTGATCCAAGGAGCGTAACTTGCGCGGCGTTTGCTCAGCTGTGAAGTGGTATGGAGCGTAATCCTGGGACTTGGCGGTAAAGTCAGAGTAGTGTGATAATTGTTTGCCGTACGCGCACCTCCCATCAGACACAGAACCATAAACCATTGAGGCTTGTACGGCTGTAGCGAATGCCATGTCTATCAACTGGAAGAGAGGGTATATATACATTCTGAAACCCACCACCCTCCATATCCCCAACGCCCAGAACGCCGCCACCGCCGCCGCCTCTCCATTCTCTCCACACCGTCTCCCCCTCACAGCCCCCTAACAACCACCCCACCCTCCCCACCCCGCCTCAACACCGCAGCCCCAGGCGGCGGCTTCCTCTCGCCAAAATTATGCAACCTCTCGCCAATGAGATAAACCTCATCCCTGATCCTGGCCCTCCACCGCGCCGTCGCCCTGACCAGGCCCCACACGGCCCAAGCGCCGACCGCCAGCGCCAGAAGCGCCGGATACGCCATCCTGTAGAGCCGCTTGCGCGCCTCCTGGTCCGCGGCCGCGAAGTAGCTCTTGTTGAGCGCTGTTGCCAGCAGCCACGGTGAGCAGATTGCGGCGGTGAAGAGGAGGCAGAGGGGCAGGACGAAGCCGCGCGTCGCGAGCCGCGCGTCCGGGTTGAGGTAGCCGTCCCTGACGACGGCGCGGAGGGCGCGGGCCGGGCGCGATGTGCGGTCGAAGAGCAGGATGCGGGCCGCGATGCGCGCGTAGAGGAAGCCGAGCGTCCAGTCCTGGATCAGGTGGATGATGTGGGTTTGGTTGGGCGCGAGATAAGCATGAAGTGGGATGAGGAGGTAGAACTCCAGCAGGAGGGCGAAGGCGAGCGGGAGGAGCACTAGGAGGGTTGTGTAGACGTAGAGGATGCGGAGAGCGCGGGAAGTGCCTGTTGCGACGAGGGTGAGGGTTAGGCGGGCCGAGGTGGTTGGGCGGCCGGTTAGGGCGGTGAGGTGGGTGAGGAGAGTACGGTGGCGCGTGGTGATGTAGGCGATGCTGCCCAGGATGTAGCTGCCGACGGAGTAGGCGTAGATGTCGTTGATGCGCACGCTGGGTGGGACTAGGTAGGAGAGGATCGCGCGGCCGAAAAGTAACGGGACGATGGTGCAGCCCACGCCTGTGGCGGCAGCGAAGGCCCAGATGGTTAGGACGAACAGGGCGATGCGGGCGCGGAACCATGGCGGGACGTAGATCATGGTTGTCATGTCGGATTTGCGGGCGTGGACGCCGCTGTACTCATCCTTGCCGTCTTTTCTTCGGTTGTTCGCATCTACTTCCACGAAGACTGGCTCGCCTTTGGGTATCCTGACTTGGTCCGAAGCTGGCGCCCTGACATATCTGCCGTCCCATAGGAAGTAGACCTCTTGTTCCCGATCATCCGCGAGCAGCTTGCGGTCTTCGCCGATGACGGGCTCGTCGACGTTGCCCTGTTTCCCCTGCAACCAAGTGGACCAGGTTCTTCGTACATGGTGACCTTCTTCGTCAGGCTGCCTTTCGCCAAACAGGAATTGAGACAGCCGAAGAATACGCGCGCATTTCCGGAACCACCACTCGTACATTGTGTTGAGGCCATCCGCGGGTTTGAAGATCTTGATGACGAGAGGCGTGAGGAAGTTGAAGAAGAGTAAGTCCAGGGGAAACTCCAGAGCAGGGTCGTTTGATACCCAGTGTATCGGGAGGACGCTGCTGGCTGCGTAGTGGAGGCTCCACACCACGCCACCAAGACAGACGATGACGAGCGCACCGTAGACGAGGGCGCTGAACGCGATCTTCCTGAGCTGCGACACGACACTGCGCTCGAGGACGTCGCGAACGGGGTGGAAAGTTGGGTCGTCTGGGTCGCGGATGAAGTAGAGGACACCCCGGCGCATAATCTTGCGGCACATTGTGACGAAGAGCGCGAAGTGGAACATGTAGCATGTCCCGACAAACCAGTGGACGAATGCCGAGGTCCAAGGGGATCTCATGGTAAACTCAAACCTGGAAATGAAGGACGCATTCTCGAATACTGGTAGAAGTGCGGCGTCGAGTAGAAGGCCGCAATAGAGAGGAAAGGCTAGCATCTCGATGCTGATGATCAAAATGACCTTCAACACGCCTCCGGCTTGCTGCAGAATGTCGGATAGGATGTCTTCGATCTTCCTACCCTGCTGCGAGTTGGTGATGGGTCTGCCGAGCCTCAGGTACCCAGCGCCTGCCAAAGCAATGCTGGTATAGCCTGCAAACACTGCAAAGGATCGATCTGTAGCGCTCCAGAATCCTAAAGAAGGATCTAGAGTGATCCTTTCCTTGGCAGCAAGAACGATAGCACGCTGGGGCGAGAGACTCTTCAATGCCTTCAACGGCCCAAGCATATATCCCAGCTCGAACATCATGGAAAACACAAACGCGTTTACCGCCTGAATCGCTTGCGGTATTCTGACCAGAAACTCACGGACTACATGTTGCGGAGTGCAAGCGTCGAGGTTTCTAAAGAAGAACAATGCGGTTTGGACGACAAGCTCCATGCCGTATGATGCTTGGCTCTGGACCGCTCGCAAGGCTGTGTGAGACTTGAGAGACAGCTCAAGGAGGTCCAGACTGAGGCTTGCGCTAGCTGCGTTAATGGTCCTAAACGTGCGCAGAAAGGCAGTCTCAGCGGCCGTTTTGAGCGACTCAGCGATGGTATCAATTGAAGTACCCTCTGAAAATAGTGACATGAGATGTGTCAGATGTGGTGCCAAAGGACGGAGCGCAAGTGTCAAGCCGTAGGAAAGCGCTGCAGCAGAGAACAGACACACGTCAAGAATGAAGTCCGCGCTGGCAGAAATGACCTGAAGCGGCAATTTCACCACGACAGCTGGATTGCCCAACACGATCAGCGCGGCTTTGCCGAGCATGTATGGAAGCCAAACAGCTCCAGCGACCGACACTGAGATCAGAACTGCACTGAACATGGCGTTCTGGAAGAGGCCCAAGATAGGACCTTGCATGCCGATCAGCTCGAGAATGCCCTCGAGATCTTCTGCGTCTTCTATAGCATCCTGGTCGTTGATGTCGATGCCAGCTTGAGCAGCAGCAGCTGCAACCTCTGGGTCCTGAGCAGGGCCATCTGCAAAATCCGCCGCGCCGTCGAGCGCTGCTGGACGTTCTAAGGCGACGAACGGTGCTTCATCGGCAATGTCCTGTACTATATGCTCGTCGTTCGGTGCAAGCCGAGCATCTTCATCTTCTCCGGGAGCGACATCGCCCCACAGCCAGTCGAGCAGTTGATCGAGGAAGCCTGGATGCGGTACATGAGGCTGTTGTGTTGGGTTTTGCTGCATGTGCATAACCTCATCCGCTCGTAGCTCCTGCTCTTGGGTCGCCGCAGGAACAGAGTCGAGCGGGGTAGGGCTGGGCAGAGTGCTGTCATGTGTAGGATGTGCAGAACTATCCGCGGCCGTGTCACGATTCCCATCATCGAGTCCGCCATGGGATGCATGTTGGGCTTCAACACTACGTTGTGTTGGAGACGACGAAGAATCTTCAGTGTGCACTGTCATCCTGTGCTCCCTAAGCTCAGGAGTATGTTCTCTGCCGTTCAGCTCGTCGCTTGAACCATCCGAATCGGAGTACAATCCGGCGTAAGACGTCGCGTTTCGGGCTGAGGCTTCGAGTAACTCGCTGACGCTCCCATACTTCATGGCTTGAGCGACATCTGCCTTCCCCTTCCCCTTGTTCTTGACTTCATCTGATGTCCGGTTGACTTCTTCATCATCACTGTCGTCATCTGACTGTGACACGTCTTGCCAGCTCCCCTCACTGTTCCGATCGACTTCGACCGTCTCCGGTAGAGAGTTTCCCACACCCGAGCTTAGCGTATCTTCCTCAAGGCCCCGCTGGATTCCGGTCGCCAGGAACGACTTTTCTCTTGTTGGCATGCTTGGTCTGGAGGGCGATTCAACGCGGGTCCGCTGCTGTTCTGCAATGTGGTCTTGACCATCGCCAACGACTGGGGCGGTAGTGTTACTACCCGCTGGTACACTGGGTCCCTCTTTAGCAAGCTGGCTTAACTCTGACTCGGATGGCGCTAGACCTCTCGCTGTCATGATCCTCTTGACACCGTCGAACCATACACGTTCTTCTGGACCTCCCCGATCGACGATATCAGCGAGTTGTGAGTCTGTGAGACCTTGACGTATGGCGTCGCGGAGGTCGGGCGGTAGTGCATGCATCAACTTCATCAACTCTACCGATACAACATTGTCTCGGTCTTCAGGTTGCATGCCAGAAGCCGATGCTGCCGGAGCCGCGTCATCTCTACCGCTTGGTTGTTGAGAGCCGTCAGAAGCCGTGTTTACTGTTCCTGGTCGAGCCTCCGAGGAGTCTGTCGGTTGCTGTCCTTGTTCAACGCCCCCAGATTCCGCCTGTGATTGCGCCTCGTCTCCTTCATTCTCGGCTTGCGCTGCTACGCCGTGGTTATCTCCCTCTGCTGGAATTGGTTCCGCAGGCGCCTCTGCAACTTGCGGAGCATCACCTGCGTTGAGTGCAGCCAGATTGATCGCCGGCTGTTGCTGCACCACCCACTCACGGATGAGAAATATGAGTATGAAGGCAACCACTACAAAGAGCGTAATAATCTGGCCTTCCAACACGTCGAGGATCAACCGGTTCAGTAGGGGCGATGACGATATGGAGCTGAAGAAGGATATTTCTGACAGAAGCGAAGAATGTTTGCGTGCGAGCAGCGCGCCGGTGGTGGAATTGGCATCGATCGAGCCCAAATCAGAGCCGTAATGGTTAAGCCATTGTGGGTAACCGATAAAGAACTGCTTGACAAAGGTGAACGCGGTCGGCTCCCCCGCACTCATGTTCAGCGTCTGGGAGTAAGGCCTTAGAAAAGATCGTAACGATGGAAGTCCCGTGATATTGCTTGACAAATTCAAGCTCATGGGTGATTCAGGAGCGAGTAACTCGGAAAGAGGTTGTCCGCTGGCAACCTGTGCTGCCCGTACGTCCCGCACCCAGCCTGCATCACCGAGCCAGAACAGACTTCGCCAGACGATGCGCATGCACCACGGTAGCCACAGCAGCCAGACAGCGACAACCAGCAAGCCCCGGCTCCATGCAGCGATGTGTCCGAACATGTGGATCAGCGCTCTTCGAAGGAACACAGTCGTCGGCAGGCTGCTAGGCATATGTGGATGGTAGAGCTTGGTGAACCTGAAGGGAGTCTTGCATAGCTCGCAGTGTTTCTTCTGGGAGTGCGACAGCCACTGCATCAGACAGTCCTGATGGACGAATTTGATGCTACCGCTGCACTTGCAAGGGTAGAACAACGGCTCTTCCTCTGTGCCTTCGCCCCTGCAGACCCTGCACACGTCTGGCTCATCGGGGGCCTTTGCAGACGGCTTGTTCGGATCATAGGCGGGGTCGTTCATGATATCGGGTTCGGTGGAGGGCCCTGCGGGCGGTGATGAAGGATGGTCTGATGCCATGGCGAGGATCGTTCTACAGGCTGCCTGGGGGGCGACGAGGATGGAACAACAGCGGCGTTGGTCTGAAGAAGGAGAGGATGCCCGCCGGAAAGGCAAAAAACAATGTCGGCATTAAGGTACCATGGGGAGCTGCAGCAAAGAGGGCGGTTGCGGAAGCCGGCGGGGTGACACGTGGGTGGTTTGCTTCTGGAAGGAATGCTAGAGAGCGAGATGGCAGCCGCGATAGAGTGTTCCCCTACGGTACCCAGTCCAAATCGGCGGAGGCAGGTTGATATCGCTGGCTGACGCTGTCAAAGGTGTCCGACTTTCTGGGGAAGTGACAACTGTGGCGCACCGTAGTTCCGCATTTCACCCGATCAGGCAGCTCTTGCACGTGAAGCTCAGGGTCCGATGCGCTCGCGTGCGCTGGGGCTTGCAGCGGAGACGCTTCCCGGTGTAGAAGAGAAGCTTTGGAACTGCACGAATGCTAGAGACGGTGCGCACCATCATGATGCCTCAGAAGACCGAAGTTCAGATCGGCATTCACGTCTACCATCGGGCGTCTGTTTCACAATCTCCGGACACCGAACAAGGGGCTTTGAACAAGGGAAGCTCGCGTGAACTGCCCTGCCCGTTCTGCGCACCGCCATATGACGTTCGCTTCCGCCGGTTAGCGTCTTGCCCGGTTTTTTGGTGGTGCAACAGCCACAGGCTGGGGCCAGCTTCTTGCCAGCCAGCAGCAGCGCCTGGGAGCTTTTCTCAAGGCCGTCCATCAACAACACTCAACTGCAACATCTATCTGAGGCAGGCCTCGTAAGTCGTCGCCTTCTCACTTGCACCGCATGCGACGACGTGCTGATTGATGCTTGAGCAGAGTACACACTAAAGACACGTGAATCCTTGTCCCGGCTCGTGTCACACCGCCGTCCTTGTTCGAGGAGCGAAGCTGGGCTGCTTGTTGCAACACCTCCTTTCCAAGAGCCAGTCATGGCTGCGAGTGGGCGGGGAAAGAAGTCCAAGGCCAGTCAATCGACCGGACCAGTCGACACCAAGATGAACGGACACACAAACGGGCACGTCTCGCGGCCGTCCAAGCCGGTGAGACAGAGGAGGAGGGCAAGTGCATCGGGTCGGGGATTCAGCATAGTTGCCAGGTTCGTCACTGTCCGTAGCTCATCGGCAGTCTCCTCTAACCATGTCGTGTTCGTTAGATTGTTGCTCTGGTACACAATAGCCACTGTCCTATTCCGCTGCCCATCATCGCCCGCGGAGCTCACGGAAGACTCGCCAAGGGTCTGCAAGCCCTACTTTACCGTGCGGACACACACTTTGCCATACACACAGCCGTACTACGACGCCTACGTGGCCCCATACGTCCATCAGGCTCGTCCGTACTATGACCGCCTCGACAAGCAGATCATCACCCCTGCGACTGCCTTCACCAGCCAGAAATACGAAACATACGGCGCTCCTCGAGTGGCCCAAGCACAGAAGTACGCACAATCTCAGTGGGAGAAGAGTGTTCGCCCTCAGCTGCAAACAGCTCAAGCAAAGGCCAAGGCACAATATGGCGCCTCTCTCGCTCCACATGTCGACAAGGCGTCAGCTGCGGTACTCCCGTACTACGACAACGCGAGATCCACCGTTCTTGACACATACCAACAAAGGCTCCTTCCGGCGTATGTCGCCTCCATGCCATATGCTCAGCTGGTCTACGCTCAAGGCCACCACCTCACCGTGGATGTGGTGTATCCGTACTTCAGCATGGCCCGCCGGTCCTCCACCTCCTTCTTGAAGCGTACCATCTGGCCCAGACTCCGAATCCTGTATGGCGAAAACGTCGAGCCGCAGTTGATGAGGATAAGTGAAAGACTTGGTCGATACAAGGATAGCAAGAAGTTGGAAGCCGCAGTAGAGTCCGTCGACGTGTATGCCTGTTCCCATATGGCTATGTATCCAGCGTTACTGACTACAAGCAGTTCTTCGTCTCTTAGCTCCGCCACTTCCACGGTCGAATCCCTGACATCTTCGGCAGCCGGGACCATCATTGAAGCTGCGCAGTCTATTGAAACACCGACTGGCTCAGCCGTAGCCGAAACTCCGGACAGCAAAGATGAGACGCGTGAGAAGATTGAGAATGATCTAAAGGTATGGCAGGAGAAGTTCGCCAGGGCTGCAGACAAAGGCAGCGAAGACCTCGAAGGCCGTGTCAAAGAGATATCTGAGCGACAGGTCGACAGCCAAGCGCACGGTGTTGGCAAGGCGCTTGTGGTTGAACTTGAGGGGACAACGGAGGCATCTGTCCAGCGTGTCAAGGACACTATCGCGCGAGTGGTCAAAAGGCTTCCGGATAATCCCTCGGACGATGACTTCACGTCAGCCTATGAAGAAGTCAACTCGGCTACACGAACGGCAGGTCAATCCATCAAGTCGAAAGCACAGGCCATCAGGGCATGGAAGCAAAGCTTTGATGAGGAGACGTTCAACTTGGTTAAAGCCGCTTCTGATTCTACCCTGGAGGTCATCGATAACATCCGTGACCTCGGACTTCAGGAGATTGGTATGCGTTGGGCCTGGATGGAAGGCGTCACGTACAAAGACTGGGCGAAGTATCATGCTCTCAAGAAGACCTTCGATGAGTGGCGCGACGAGGTCCAGGCTACTGCCATGGAGCACGAAGGCCTCCACAAGGCGAAGCATGAGGGCCACAAGATCGAAGAGGAAGCCATGAAGATCGCGGAAGAAGCGGCCAAGGAGCTCGCTAGACTCAAGGATGTCGCAAAGTGGAAGATATACGCGCAGGACGACACCGACGACTTCAGCACCAAGATCATCCCTGCTGTGGCGGCTAACATTTACCAAAAGGTCGTGGGCAAGGTCAGTGATGCGAGCTCGGCCGTCGCCGGAAGTACACAAGGCACGATGGAATCCGTCGCTTCCTCAGTATCTAAGGCTGCCGCTGACGCTGTGTCAACCGCCTCATCTGCGGTAGTCGGAACGGAGACGGGCAGTGTAGAGAGCGCTGCGTCGAAGGTATCAGAAGCTGTTGTCGGCTCCCAGGCGGCAACTGACAGCATTGCGTCTGTGGTAAGCTCAAAGGCTAGCGACGCATCTGCTGGGGCACAGAGTGTTCTTTCAGCCGCGAAGTACAAGAAGGACCAAGCTAGCGCTTCCATAATCGGCACACCTCCACCAGTGCACGAGTCTTTGGCCTCGGAAGCTTCTTCCAGTCTGTCGTCCGCATCCTCGAAAGCATCGTCGAACCTGCACTCCGCATCGTCTGAAGCATCTTCCAGCCTCAGCTCTGCCTCATCTGCTGCGTCGCAAGCGTACTCATCCGCGACGAAGCCATCCAAGAAGGTCTGGGGTGGCGCTATGGCGGAAGTTGTCACCGTATCAAAGATCGTTATCGAAGACGACATCGTAGAGGATGACACCTCGTATTCAGAGAAGATTCAGAACATCGTTAGTGGTGCTGGCGACCGGGCAGCAGATCTCACAAGAGCCATCAGTGAGGCACTCATGCAGCCGGCGACTGCGACCGGCACGCAGGGGAGTGTCGAATCAATCACCTCATTGGCTAGCGAACAGTACGAGAAAGCGATGTCTGCGGCATCGAGCATACTTTACGGGACGGAGCAGGGCACTGCTGAGAGCCTGTCGAGTGTCGCAGCCGACAAGTACGCCCAAGCTGTTACAGCGTAAGTGAAAAAACATTCTCTATTTGTGCGAGGTGTTTATACTAAAATTCTTGCAGAGCTTCGTATGCTATCTACGGCACGCCAACGCCGGCCAGCCAATCCCTGGCCGCAGAGGCCAGCTCCCGCTACGACGACGCTGTCAAGCTTGCTCAGAGCCAATACGCCGCCGCTCAGTCCCGCATCTCGGAGCAAGTCTACGGCACGCCGAAGCCTGTACACGAAGAGATGCTATCCTCAGTCCAGCAAGCCTATTCGGGGTCTCTGTCAGCGGCCAGCGAGAAGCTCCAGGCCGCCTTGGCTTACACCGAGAGTGTTAAGAGCATGGCATCCAGTCCTACGCCAGGAGCGCTTGAGTCTATCTCTGCCATCGCCTCGTCGCGTCTTGCTGAAGGCTTAAGCCTTGCATCCGCACAGTATACGAGTGCTAAGATTGCCGTCGGTGCTCAGCCTACTCCCGCTCATCAGCAATACATGGCGGATGCGCAACGGCGGTACTACGAAGGCATAGGCATGGCACACGCACGCTACTCCGAGTTCGTCGACGCTGCCTCAAGTGCGATATACGGTACACCGACTCCCGCCTACCAGAGCCTCATGGACCGGGCTTCCAGTTCGGTGATCGGCACTTCGACCCCAGCATACCAGAGCGTGCTCTCAGCCGCACAGAACCAATACGAGGCAGCCGTTGACGCCGCATACTACAACTACCAAGCGCTCCTCCGCTCAGCCAGTTCGGCAGCCGGCAAGTCCCCGGCCCAAAGCCTCGTAGACTCCGCTTCCTCCCAGTATGACTCCGCCGTCTCCGTCGCTGCCGCCGCCCTCTCCTCAGCCTCCTCGCATGCAAGCACAGCCATCTACGGCACTTCCACCGGCAGCCTTGAATCAGTCGCGTCCGCCATCTCCGAGCGCGCCGAGTCCGTCGCCTCGGTCGCCAGCTCCGGCGTCGTGGGCTCCGAGACCGGCTGGACCGAATCGGTCGCCTCGCAGGCCTCGCAGAACTGGGAGGCACTGGTCTCGAAAGCCAGCGAACAGGTCTACGGCCAGCCAACCCCCTTCACGGAATCGATGATGTCGCAAGCCGGTGCCTACGGCGCCCAAGCCACCGAGGCAGCTGCGGCCCAGTTCGCGGCGCTGCAGGGCTACGTCGCGGAACTGGTCGCAGGCCGCGAACCAGACTTCACGGAGAGCGTCATGAGTCGCTTCAGCTCGGCGTACCACACCGGCTACGGCGCCATGGCCTCCTCGGCCAGTTCCTACGTCGCCGACACATACAACTCGGCGTCCTCGGCCGTGTCCTCCGTCTTCACGCCCCCGGCGACGCTCGAAGCCATCCTCGGCTCCGCGAGCGACCAGATCAACGCCGCCGTCGAGGCGGCCAGCGTCCAGATGTACGGCACTGAGAAGGGGACGATCGAGCAGGCCACCGAGGCCGCGGCGAGCGCGTACGGCTCCGTCCGGTCCAGAGCCAGCGAGGCGATGCACGGCACCCAGCCTTCCTACGCCGAGGCGGCGCAGGCGTCCTTCGCGGATGTTGCGGCGTCGGCGCAGAGCGCGATCAGTGCTGCCATCTACGGCACCCCGACCGGCACCGTCGAGGCTGCGACGAGTGGCGCCGCGAGTGTGTATTCCTCGCTTTCCGAGGCGGCGGGCGATAGTCTCTCTGCGGCGGGCGAGGCGGTGGGGGATAGTCTCGCTGCTGCTACGTCCGCGGTGGGCGACTCGTATGCCGCTGCCTCGTCGGCTGTTGGCGACTCGTACGCGGCAGCCAGCTCGGCGGTCAGCTCGGCGGTCTACGGGCCCGAGCAAGGCGCCGTGGAGAGCGCGAGCAGTAGGCTTGCGGCTGCGCTGGAGAGCGCGAGGGCCAGGTTGGCGGAGATGGCGGAGGCGAGTTCGGGGACTGTGGGCCGGAAGCTCGAGGAGGCGAGGAGTGGGGTCGAGGAGATGGCGAGTAGTGTGAGCAGTGCGGCGGCGAGCGTTACGGGCAGGGCGAGGGACGAGTTGTAGATGAATGACGGGGGAGTGGGGTAATTGGGGAGGGGGGCAATGGGGAAAGGGGGCCGCTGATGCCCTAGATTGAAGAAAAGGGGGGACTTGGCGGGATCGGTGTGGTTGTGCTTGTGCTGATGGATATGGGACGGAGATGCGGGTACGGGCATGCGTGATGAGGAGATGATAATACTGGCTCGGATCGCGGCTGGGTTTTGTATTGGCATCCTTTCGCGGGAGGATACGGTGGGGGGTTTTTTTTCTCTTGTAGGCTATATTCCCCGGACCCGTATTTAGGATCACATAATTGTTCGTGAGATCTGCTGAAGATGGTCAAGGTGTTTTTGATGGGACTCGGGGTACTTGTTCAGACGCCTCAGAGTAATGTGTCTTTCAGCGCAACCTAGCGCCACGTTCTTGTGGCTTGTTGGGATCGGAAACAGGAAGGTCAGCCGGCATACCTTTGGTACAAGGAAATCATTTGTGATAGCGGCGGGTTGAAAGTAAGGCAGGTTATCGTTTCTCATGATTTCTCTGACAAGTTCCCTTAGAGTGTCGTCGACCGAACACTGTGGACTCACGAGTGATAAATCCGCCAGTCCACCAACCTCGAATAGTGTGCTATGACTTACCATGGGGATAAACTGCTAGCACTGTACATTAAGGGTTCAGACTATCTACGAACTCTGAATTGATGGTGTTCTGCTGTGTTTACTGGATCTGGCGTGTGAGGAGGGATCTCGCAAGAGCCAGTTTGGTCGACTCGGATTAGCGCCTGTTGGTACGCCTCACAGTATTGCGCATCTTTCGTAGATCTGCGCTGCTGATGTTCACTCGGCTGCGCTAGTGTTGCCTTACCTTTTTATATTGTCTCGCTCTTGTACTGTAGATGCTTTTATGCTGTATGCAACAGTGCAATACCACTTTGGTTACATATCAGGAGCCTCAAGCAGCAGCTGCAACGGCCACCCAGCCGGGAGCAGTGGATGCCGGTCACTGACTCGACGCCCGTCTAATCCATGGATGGGCTGAGATTGGGTTTCGCATGCTGCCATCCGGTCCCGTCGGGCATCGAAATCTCGGAGCGGGACGAAAACGCCTCCTTGGCTTCACCTGCAGCCTCGTGATTTATCCCTTGCTCGTGATCTTCCACGGTGCCTTGGCGTGCTCGTCATCGTCAGCCCGATGTTTGACCAGCGCTGCCCGACTCCAAGACTCATCTCACTTCGCTGCAGCTGCACGTGACGGTTTGCGAAAAGGCCGACTGACAGAGATCCGGCCGGCGGTTCAGCTCTCATCGCATTAGGTTTGCTGAGAGCAGTTCTACATCGGCTGCTGCGTGCCCGTCCCCTGGTTGATAGTCGACCCTGCATTCAGCCTCCCACCCCACCAAAGCCTCGAGGAAGTCATAACTCATACGGACGATCTCCCATCACACCACTCCAAGAGGCCCTGCAGCGTCGCTCTCCAACTGCCCAAGATCTGCAGGGCTCCGCTAGAACGCCCCATAAACCTCGACAAGATACTCGTGGAGGCCCTCGGGTAGCGGCAGACCATGAAGCACTGGCCGGCTTAGGCATCGACGCTGTCCCACGAGCCTCGTCCTACGCTGCAATCTTCACCGGTCCGAACACTTCCCCCCGCTGCTGAGAGCCCATATCCAGAAGGTACGAGAACAGGACACCTCCCGCTCATCCACCGACACGCGGCCGCTTCTTCGGTCTTTGCGAACGAATCCTCAGGTGTTGGTGCTGACATCATGGGTAGCGTCTTGATAAATAGAACACCGCGGGGCCCTCTGCCGGACAAGGCTGCACAGAACGTCACCAGACGAATCTTGCCCCCGCATCTCGCGATACGCACGACAGGTGGGTTAGAAGCGCCTCTGTTCGTTTCTGGATTTCTTCAGCAACGCTTGCGAGAGCTTGCGCTGCCACGCTGAGAACATTGGAAAGGCGCCTGCCGGGTCAGCGTGGTGAAACACGCCAGCGACACCGAAAAGAGCCTCTTGCTTGCCCTATCTACCGGGCGTTGAGTCCCAGGGGTTTGGAAGCGTTCCTGGCACCGAAACTAATACCGGCGTGGCTAACGTATCACAACAGGACTCATTCCGGCCATGGACTCGCGCCACTACTACCGTCCAGGCTCGCCGGGTAGCCGCCGGTATGCCGCCCCAGAAAGGTCGTCAACCGGCACCCTCGGCGCTTACGATCCCGCGTACTATACGCGAAGCAACCGGGATGCCTACGCTTCACCCAGATCAAGCGGAGAGCGAGTGGGTGGCGGAGTCATACCGATATCAACCACAACCTACGCCAACCCTCCAGCAAGCGCGTCAAGCAGGTCAGGCGCTACGGCCTACGACTCCTACACCGGTCGAACACGAAGATCTACCTTGACCGAGACAGACGCCGCTGCCATCCCGCGACAAACCGTCAGCGCTCTGACGCCGACCGTTTTACCCGTCCGTTCGTCTGCCACACGTGCAGCCATCCACCATGCGCCCGACAGACCGTCTAGCCCACTTGCGCAAACGTGGGACTCACGCGACGCTTACATAACACCGGCCTCGTCTGTTCCCAGACAGCATAAGACAACTTACAGCGTTGACGATGGAAAGTCACGGGTCATTGATGAAAGGGACATAGGAGGTCGTAGAAGAGACAGTGTGGAAGGTCGTAATCATGGAGACTCCAGACGTGAACGGCATAGGGCCTACCATCTCAGCGGCTCAGCTGCACGACAAGATTTCAATGGCGAGTCGTATTCATACACAGACCCTGCAGGCATGTATAGAGACACAGAGCCTCGCTGGCGGCAACGGCGCGGCAGTGTTGACAGCGGAAGGAGGGAGAGGCCGTCCAGCATGATCGAGTCCTATCCTCCGCCGCCAAGGGCGTCTACTACCAGAGACATGGGACCGCCTCCAAGCACTCGCGGATTCGACAAGATCAACGCTGGCATTGCCAGGAGGGAAAGTTTACGGGACCCTGTCCGGTCTCCTACACGAGGATCGTCCGGCGATTCATACGCCTCGTATTCCGACCGAGATTCATATGGAGCTCCATCGAGGACTGACTCGCTACGATACCCAACTGCTATCCACCAGGGTCGTGACGCTAGAGATTATGCTTACCAAGATGATTACGACGATGACCGCCGCGGTTCCATCCGCCGTCGCTACGAAGATCCGGATGTCGAGAACCGCGGCTTTGGCATCAGGAGCGGTAGCGTGGACCGCTATGGCTCTTCTCATGAGGATAACCTGCTATCTCGTGACGACCGAAGACTCGCGCCTACTTATGCGATTGAGCCGGCGGTTACAATGCCGACGTATCATGACTACGCTCCCGAGCCAGGCGTGGAGGACACTAGACGGAACCAGGATCTGCGGGATAGGGAGTACATTGTGGAGCGGGAAAGAGATCGGGAAAGGGATAGAGATAAGGACAGAGACAGGGAGATGGATTATGAAAATGAGCGTGAGCGGGACCGGGACCGGCCTAAGGAACGAGACTACGATCGTCGAAGAGGCCAAGACCGCGACCGGGACCGCGACCGGGACCGCGACCGGGAACCAGGCACAGAGCTCGATCTAGTAAGCGAACGGCGGCGGCGGGAGCGGGACCGAGAACTCGAGTTCGACGAAGGTAGTCACCTCCCTGCTGGCGTCGTTCCAGCTGGTATCGCTGCCACTGCTGCACTTGGCGCTAGCGAAAGTCTCCACAAAAAGTCTCGGGATCGCAGATACGACGAAGACGATGACAGATCTCGCCGGCACCGCGAAAGGGACCGGGATCGTGAAGATGTAGGTCAGGTCCCGCCAGGTGCACTGCCAGCCGTAGGTGCGGTAGATCCTACTTACGCGGCGGGTGAACCCCTTGACAAGAAATCTCGAGACCGAAAGTACGAAAATGATGAGGACCGAAGTCGGCGCCAGCGCGAGCGTACGCCTGGTGATTTCGAAGAGGTCGAGCCGCGCGAGCGCCGTTATGTAGATGAGCCTCGCGATCGGGATGATAGGAACAAGGACCGGCGCGACAAAGCCCCTGCAGAGGTACTGGATCCGGACGAGGAGTATCGGCGTCGCGTACAGCAGGAACTTGAGCGCAGTGGTCAGGCTGCGGCAGCCCCGAGTGACTTGAATCGGGATAGAGAGCGACGTCGCACAGAGCGGGAGCGGGAGCGAGAGCGAGAAGCAGAAGACCGGCCACCGCGGGACGAACGCGATAGAGCTATTGAGGGCGCTGCCATGGTACCTCAGACATCTCGAGCCCGTGAACCGGAGCCCAACATCCCTGCAGAGTCTGAGAGATACCGCAATCGCAACAACGGCGTTGCGGGTCAGGCCCTGTACGACGAGCCTTCTGAGATGTTCGACACGCAACCTCGCGAGACCCGCGTCCAGATTGTGGAACAGTCGTCCAAGGATACTTCACCACCTCCGCCCGTCAAGAGCATTCTCCGCAGACCTACCGAGAAGTTCCCAGAGGACCCCAACCCCATCCGCGAAGGCGTGGCCCCACTCAAGGACGCAAAGAAAGGCAAGGACATCCCGCCCGGCGCGCGGTGGACGAAGATTGATCGCCGGCTCGTCAACCCCGAAGCTCTCGAGGAGGCAAAGGAGCGGTTCGAGGAGCGCATGGACTGCGTCATCGTGCTCCGGGTGCTCACAAAGGAGGAGATACAGAAATTTGCGGATCGTACCACGGAACTAAGAGGTAAATACTTATCACCACCCCTCCCCGACAGCTCACGTTACACCGCGCCAGAGGACGGCGGGGATAGAGGCAGGCACGGTGGGCCGTCAGGCGGCGGCGAGCAACTAGGGCGTGAGCACGTGTCGCACGACAGCAGAAAGCCGTCGTCCCGCTCTCTAACTGCCTTCCTCGGCTCGGTGTTTGGCAGCACGATTGATTCACTGACACATTCTTATCAAAGAGCGGCGCTACGACCACGACCGCGAAGCAGACCGTAAAGAGCGGCGGCAGCGACGTCGCCGCGACGACCGAGACAAAGATCGGGACTACGACAGCTACTCCGACGACAACGACAGGCCGCGGAGGAGCGAGGATGACAACAGGTCGCGGAGAGTCATTGAGGACAGGCTCGGCACGCATTAGGGCTTGGCACGCGGATAGGCGGCTTCCAGGCCGGGGCGATGATCAGGGTCTAGCACGGAGGGCCGGGAAGCCACAGCAGCGGCAGCCACGCACTGCGGGGAAGCGGCGGCTGAAACATCTTAACCGCTGACCAACCTCTCGGGTGAGCGTGGCAAGTTCCGCAGTCGTACTGTACGAGGACATGGACATGTGCGGTAGGCCTGACTGCGTATTAATGTTCCTCATCTCAGAGCAGCACACGCCGAGGCTGCCAGTTGCGACAATCACTACACCTACGTGACATTAGTGAAGCAGACAAAAAGAGATATTACATTATACATGGATCATCAGCGATGCACAACACACGCCAATAACGTTCTGCAGCCATCACACTTTCCTCAACACTCAGCCAGCGCAGCGAATTAGCGTGGATCATTTCACGTGAAACCGAATGGATCGGAGCCGAGTAAAGAAATCAGAAGTGGTCCACGGCATCTCCCGCAGCTGTCAACCGGTGTGCCGGCGCCTGTGCGGCTCGGAGGCGGGCCATATCTCCCCACCGCCTCAGCACCCCTGACAGGCAGTACCAAAGTCGCCAACCTCGCGGCGACGGTCTCCAAGGCCGACTCATCGGAGTCGCGACAGCCTCCTGCTGTCCGATCTTGGGGTAACAACCACCGGGCAGGCTCATGGCCGCGGAGTAGTCTAGAACGCGCTTTCGCGCACAGTTATACGATTTAATCGCCCATTTCTAGTATCATGCCATCTGCGCTTCACTCCCCGCCGATTCTGTAACCTTAGTCTCTGCAGGATATCTTGCTACCAAGGTCCAGCATTGATTGACCTCTCCACTTCACGCCTACTTCAGCTTCAGCTTCAGCTTCAGCTTCAGCTCCAGCTCCAGCTCGAAGCTCCCCCCTCTTGCCCATGACGTGTACTCTATACCTTCCGGACGCGACGCCCAACATCCTCCTCACACACACCCACACCCACGCCTCATCCGCGCACCCTCTCTCCTTCTCCACCCAGCGCCAACAATCCATCGCGCGCCTCGCAAAGCGCATCGAAATCTGGTCGCGCAGAGAAATGGTCCGGAAGAAAGCGGTCCCCACCCCTGACACGGCCGACACACCACTCAGCCACGCCCTGAGCGGCCTGAGCCTCTCTCCCGAAGAGCGCCCCGCGTCGCCTCACCGCCGCGCCTCATGCTCTTCCAGCTCCGACGACTCGGACTCCGACGATGCGAACACCCCGCCAAGCGGCTCGGACATCACTCCGAGAGAGGCGAAGATGCTGGCGCACCTGCGCCGGCCGGACCACGCGCTCATCGCCATGGGGCACGCGACGCTGCGGAGTCTGATAAGGGAGGCGCGGGCGAAAATAGCCGATGTCGAGACGCTGCTGGACGCGGCGGCGGGGCCTGATGGGCAGGAGGCTGCACGGCCGCCGGCGCTGGAAGGAAACAAGGCGGGTGTGAAGACGGATGTGGACGTGGATGTGGAGAACAAGCTACAGGAGCTGCTGGATCTGCTGCACGAGTTTGACGAGAAGCTCGGCACTTGGACGGACGTTGTTACCGGCCGAGACGGCTTCGGCGAGTCCCTGGGGACCACGGGGCAGGAGATGGAGCGGATGAACGAGAGGGGCGTCAATCCCGGCGCTGCCGCGATGTCGGCTGCGGCCAGAGAACCGAGAGTCGAGCTGCTGAACCTGAGACGAGCGAGGGGGGAACTGACAATCGGCACGGAAGAGCTGCTGGAAAGGAGGAAGGAAAGACGGAACGTGGGAGAGAAGGTCGAGGGGTGGTTGGCAGAGCTTGGGAGCTAACCTGCTGAGATGGGTCGGGAGCTTCAGGACTCGGTTCGTGGCTTGGAGGATTTGTGCTGCTTCGGCACGCTAGGTGGCTGGCTTGACGGATGAGGTGCCTGGGGGACAGTGATCTGGCTAGGGAGTTGCTTATGCGCTACGAGAAAAGTTGTATGATACCCCTCTTTGCATGGCTTCGGCTGCGTCGCAGCGGTGGATAGGGCGCATGGATATGATAAGGAAAGCCTCGCCGGGATAGAAGGACTTTGGAATGGAATATGGAGCTCAGCTGTTCAGAACGCTTTTTCTTTGGCTTGACTTTTTATTTCCGAATTGGCATTCGTAGCTTGGTCGGCGCCTCTCAAAATCCAACGCCACTACGGTACCAGCGCATAGAGGCACACGATTGGCACGGTATGGCACTAGACTTTGCCGTGTGGCCTCCAAATTGCATATGAAGCCGCTGTGGTACGCTTCGAAATGAAAGCGAAGATGATTCAATAAGAAACAGAAAACTCATCCAGTTAGCTCGTCCTGCCCCGAACCGCAAACGCCGCCAATGCTTTGTACAACACTATACACACCCCCCACACAACCCCCAGTCGCCGCTCAGAAGTTCAGTAACCCGGCGGGTTGAGTCGCTGCGACACCCTCGTCCACTTTGGTAGTTCTGCACACACACCGCAAAGTCAGCCTCTTCCTCCAATGTCCACCAGCTTCTGCCCAATCTATACTCCACCAGCCAGCTGGCTCGGAAAACCCCCTCCCACGCCCCTGCCCCAAAAAAAGCACCAGCAAAAACGTACTATGAATCCCCTTCCGATACTTCTTCGCCTTGCGGTCAAAGATGGTGTATTTGTCCTTGGGCAGCATCTCCGCCTCGGTCGGCATTTCCGCCTTCCACCGCTCGAGCCCCTTGGTGCTGAGGAACTGCTTCGCGAGCGCGCGGTCTACCGTCGCGACCACCGCGTCGACGTGTTGCAGGCGCTGCCGGTGGCGTAGTTTCTGGGGGCGCGAGAGGCGCCAGGGGATTTTCCTGGGGGTGGCAGTGTTAGAAGCTGGCTATCTCTGGCTGCGAATGGTGGTAGGAATTTGGGGGGGCTTTTCGGCGGCGGATGTAGGGAAATGTAGACGATGCTGGGGACGTTTGGGCGGAGGGCCGGTATACCATAATAGGCCGCCGGACAGGGGCGAGGTGAGCTTGAAAGGACCGAACATGGTAGCAGCGTGATGTCGGTTTCGAATGCGCTGTTGTCGTGATGAGCGCGGAGGTTGAAGTTCTTCGCCGGGAGAGCTCTCGGTTCCTTCCGAAGTTACGCCGGACTCTGACATCGCGAATTCAACCTCATCATACTACCCGAGCAGGTGTCCGCCCATTGCGACCGTTCAAAGGCAAGCTTGGGAACAGGCTGCGTCAGGCTCTCGGACACCAGGGAGGAGAGAAACCATGTCCTACTACTTCACCATTATCGGCACAAAAGATAACCCCCTCTTCGAGCACGAGTTCGGCACCTCGAAGCAAGGCGGAGATGGCGTGGCACGTTTCCGCGAAGAAGCACGGCACATGAACCAGTTCATCGCGCATGCCAGTCTAGACATTGTCGAAGAAGTGCAATGGGCGAGCGGCCAGATGTATTTTCTCACCATCTCCCCTCACCACAGCACCGGACACCAGCTCCCCCAAACTCCTGACACTAACCACACAACAAGGTACCTCAAGCTCCTCGACCGCTTCCCGCCCGCCACCTACATCTCAGCCTTCATAACCGCCAACAATGTCAAGTTCCTCCTCCTGACCTGCCCCTCCGACTCCGCCCCGTCCCGATCTTCCATCACCTCCGCCGCCTCGGCCCGTTCGTCCAGCTACCCCTCCAGCGCGACCTACAACCCCACTGCACCGGCTACCGAAGAGGCGGTCAAGAGCTTCTTCTACGAGGTATACGATGCCTGGCTCAAGACGCTGATGAGCCCGTTCTATCATATCAATACGCCGATTGGGAGTCCGGTATTTCGGGGCAGGGTTGCGGCGGCGGCGAAGAAGTATCTGTAGGACTAGCTGACGGGGTTACGGACACCGACGAGTTATGTAGCAACTGGTCCAGCGCGGTGACAAATGGGGAACGGAGTGATCCACGGACTTCGATGCCTTGCCAGGCATTAGCTGAAGGCAGAAGTTGATGTGCTTAACTGGTCAAGAACGGCTTCATAGGCGACACAACGTGCCAGGGGCTCACCAAGGACGCTCGTGGAAGACGCCGTTTCACTGTCAACCAGTCTCAAAACGTCAGGTTGAGATCCCCAACATCGAACTGCCCAAGGTCCCACGCGCTACTGGCCTCCAGCGGCAGAAAGCCGTCCCACAACCCGTCCTCCGCGGTGCCAGAGGCCGTGTGCATATTCATGGCGAAGTCGCCCACGGCGGGCAGATTCGTCCACGACCCAATAAAGTCGCCCGCCTGGTCGCTCAACGCCGGACTTTCGGCGATACCCGAGGAGGCTACAGAGGGGTGGTTGATCGGCGCAATCGACTCCCTCCCAACACGGTTCTGAGGACGGGTGGTTGGCCTCCGGGTTCTATCGACTTTCTTCCACAGCAGTTTCAGTAGCTCGGAGTAGCGGCTCCCCAGATGTTGGATCCCGACGCTCGATCTCTGCAAGCGAGAGACTGTCTCGGATATCATGGATCGAATTGCCTTTTCCTCTTCGGGACCCATCACGCCTACGCAGTGGGCCCTATAGAGGAAGACGCCGCTGTACACTATGTAGAGGTAGAACCGAAGCGGCATGAACCTGAGAGACTTTTCCGGGTCAACGAAGTTGTTGGCTGTTGTCAGTAGTGACTTTGCTGCATCGAGGCCTTCGTAGATGAAGCGCGCATCGCCAACTGTTGCGACATTATTGAAGAAGACCCGCCGTGGGGATTGTTGCATCTCGGACGACGAGGCGTCCTCTTTTGACGGCAATGCCCGCCTGATCGTGGCCTGGAATGCGAACGCGTTCGTGTACAGCCGCAGATAGTCGTACGACATGAGCATCATGGCCTTGAGCTGCGGCGAGCAGGTCAAAGTGCCCCAAACACTCTTCCACCCGTATATGGCGGACCTAAAGTCGTCGATGAACTTGATGTACCCTCCGCTGAGATGAGAGCGAAAGCTAGACCCAGGATTCGAGTACAGCACGTCGTGGACGTTGCTGAAGAGCGCTGTGAGCTCCAGTTCGGCCTGGAAGATACTGGCGTAGTCTTCATCGTTCGGATTCTGTGGCATGAGAGACGGATAGTCCTCCCGTCGTAGGGATGTCATCGGCCCTGGGCCGCGAGACCAGAACGCTTTCCCGACCCTGATAGATATCTTCCTGTCAGATATGTAGCAAGCCGTCCAGACGAGGCGCTTCCGGCTAAACTGGGCATCGACGTTCTCATCAACCACCCTGAAAGATGTCCGGTCCAGGCCGAGGAAGTAGCCAATCCTTAATGCGAGCCCCACGTGCATCCAGCATTCCTTGTCCTCTTCTCCTCGCCCAACCTTGCCTGTTTGAGCGGCTCTTTGCGTGTACGGCACCCACTCCGCTAGCAATAAGAGTGCTTCGACAGCCTCTATGCCGCCGTCGCCGCCAGATGCGAGATCAGAGACTAGCATCTTCATGTACGCAGCGCAAAGGTCGTACAAGTGAGGTTCTTCTACGAGATCTTTGGAGGAGATCACGAGTACTGCCGTGAGTAGATGCGGCTCTTCGCGCGCCGTATCCGCCAGGCGTGCAATGTGGAATGTCTGCGGAGGCACCAGCGGGAAGTAAGGATGGTAGAATGTGTGATATCTTTGCAACAGCTCGGTGACCTTCGACACGGTCAAGGATCCATTCTCGACTAGATGGTACGGTAAGGCAGCTGAACTGGGGATGCTCGTAGTCGATTGTAGTCCGGGAATGGCGGGGTGTATCATCCGGCCCTGTGCCTGACTTGAGTGCCGATTCTGTACTGATGATGCCGGATTGTCCTCCTCCGCAACCTGTGCCAGGATACCCAGCGCATCCGAGGGGTTCTGCAGCGTGGGGAACTGCAAATTGTTCTCAGACGACGACGAAGATAGTCCCATGTTCGCATCAGTGTGATCACGCTGTTCTTGGCCTTCTGAATAGATCGGTGGGCCCCATGTGCCCACATTGCCCGTACCTATTCCATGGAAAGCCGTGGTTTCTTCCTGCTGGTTTGTCTCGAGCATGCTGTGCTTCTGGGCAAAATCTACAGTCTTTCTGCGCACGCGGCGCCCTCCACGGTTGGAGCCGCCAAGTACACATTCGGCACTCTCGCGCTTGCAGCGCTGGCATGGCAGTTTAGGGGCGCCATCTTGAAGGTCTCTGCTCACAGTCAGTGAATCGGCTTCGTTATCAGGTAGCGGGCCTAAGCCCAGCACGGCACGGGACTCGGCGCCCCAGCAGCGCCTAGAAGCATGATATGCGTTGTTTCTCGCCCTTGTGGCAGGTTCAGGGCTATGGTCGCGGCATGTCCCTTGTGGCAGATCAAGCGCCGGCTCCTCCTCTCTGTTTCGACTGACAATAGTAATTGCCGGTGTAGCGCTGGATGCGCCTTTACGCGGCCTCATTCCCGTCTGCTTAGCCGTATGGGTTTTTCATTGAGCGTATCTAGTATAGCCGGCTGCAGAGTGGGCTGCGTGTCGGCTATTGAATGACTTGATGAAAGCGGGCTTACAGATGACACTTTGACTTTCGTTGCCGGCACCTCAGGCAAGCCCGGTTGATACGACTTTTCGTCCCTTCATCGTCGCCTCTGGGCGACTGAGGCGCGGCCGACTCGGAGGATATTCGTAGAGAGCTTTCCATGTCGTGCTTCTGGTGGAGAACCACGCGAGTCACAGAAATCGCCGGACTTCAAAACAGATAGGTCTTCAGTCAGCTAAGGAAAGGTCACGAATAGAAGCAACTCCTTATAGTATACCACCTTAAGAGTGTGTTTAAGCTACAACTGGAGGTGGAACGGCTACGGTAAAGGTCTTTAGGAACGTAGTGAGTCTAATAGATTTTAGGGATTTAGGAGTGGATTGGAAGTCCGGCGATTGGCGAGTCTAGGCGTTAGATTCACCGCGTCTCTAAAGATCTTTACTCTAGCTATCCTGCTTCTAGGTATAGCTTGCACATGTTTATATGGCAGTATACTATATAGATTTGCGCCTATTCATAACCTCCCTAAGCTGACTAAAGACCTATCTGTTTTCCGGAGTCCGGCAATTTCTGTCACCCAGGTGGAACAAACGCCGAGTGGTGAGGAAGTCGGCAAAGCGGGGAATGGGGTCCCCGCGTTTCCTGCAGGGCTGTCACAGAAGCTCGGCCAAGCTGGTGCTGCTCGTGCGAGAGTACTAGAGATCCGACACCAATATGGGACAGCCAAAAACATTCGTTGCCCGTGAAAGGACTCTGGACTCGTTCTGTCCAGCAACCATCGCTCCTCCTAATATTTGGCGCTAAAACCTGTCCGCATAGTGAACAATGGCTCCCGACAACAGCCTGAAGGGTAGACTTGCGCTCATCACTGGAGCATCTGGAGGGTAAATCATCGTCCGATCCAGACCGTGTATTGCAGCTTCTGATAACCTACGATCAGTATCGGCGCCGCATGTGCGCGCAAACTCGTGCTCCACGACGTCGATCTCGCCCTCACCTACTCGTCGAACCAGCTGGCGATCGAAGAACTGGTGGCTCAGCTGCGGAAGGATCATGACTGCGAACGGCCTGATGCTGGGCATCTGCGCATATCTACCCATAAGGTCGATTTGTCCTCCGCGGAAGAGACCATTCAACTGTGTGAGGAGGTGAGGAAGGCGCATGGCCGGCCGGTGGATATACTAGTGTCTAATGCAGGATACGGCAAGCGGATACAGAATGTCTGGTTCGTCCAACTCTCAAACCCTCTAAACAGCCCCTCTTTACTGATATCCACTTGTTAGGGATATTTCTTTGGAGGAGTTTGACAAAACTATCAATATCAACCTTAGGTCATCGTTTCTACTCGTCAAAGGCGTCGTAGAGGGCATGAAGAAGCAAAAATGGGGCCGCATAATATTCATGTCCTCCATTGCGGCCTACGGCACTGGGCTGAACGGATGCCGTAAGTTCTTACGCGCCTGCATTGCTGTGGTATCCAACTGACAAAATGCAGATTACGCAGCATCCAAAGGAGGTCTGACGGGCATGATGAAGAACCTATCCACTCGTCTGGCCGAGTTCGGGATCACTGTCAACGATGTCGCACCCGCGATGATAGGTGCTACAGGCATGATTCCTGATGGAAACATAGTCCCAGGTTTGGTGGACAGCATCCCACTCGGCCGCCTGGGTATACCGGAGGAAGTGGCGAACGTTGTCTTCATGTATTGTACTACTGGGTATGCGACGGGCCAAAGCTTCCTGCTCGCTGGAGGGTTAAATCACAAATGAACAAGATGAAGCTCGACAAGCATACAACGGCATGTGATCCACAAATTCAACCGCGCTTGAATCGCAACAGATCCTCGAGATGATGGTAAAAATATGCCAAGCTGGACAAATTTGCTTCCACATCACAAGCCTGGCAGACTCCAATCCGGGCCGCTTTGTTTCTCGCATTTCTCGCATTTCAAAGCCGGTGTCGGTGCCGGAAGCAGCGGGAGAGGTGCGGGAAGAATACCGTTCCGGCAGATTTCCCGTCCGCCGTGCCGCCCCACGTTTCCCCACACACCGTGGCTGACAGGGATTCCCTCACCGTCGGCGTTTGAATCGGACAAACTCAATCTCATGTCAACAGTGACGTGAAATCCCAATGCCGTTCACGATGCTGCTCTCACACACCATCAACACCTGCCTGCACAGCAACCGAAACCTATCATTCCACAATGTCGTCTTCGAAAGCAGCTCTTCTCATCGGTGGCATAACCCATGCGCGTAAGGAGTGGGAGGAATGCGGTTCCCTGCTTAGTCTGAAGGTAGATTGCCTGCGGCTCGTTGCCTAGAGAATTGAAACTGATAGCCGTACAGGAATACCCAGAAGGCTCACGAGAAGACTTCCTGTCAAAGTGCCGCAATGGAGACTTCGACAATGTCTTCGTGATCTACCGAAGCAATGATTCCACATCTGTACGTTCCCTCTGTACAGAGGCTCCATAAACGCATTCCGCTGACGAACCTCGAGGTCACTGGTCCGTTCAACCAGGAACTCGTCGATGTCCTTCCAGAAAGCCTCAAGTTCATATGCCACAACGGCGCGGGGTACGACAACATAGATGTCGAGGCGTGCAGCAAACGGGGCATCTCAATCGCCAGCACGCCCGTCGCCGTCAACGATGCGACCGCCGACGTCGCCGTGTTCCTAATGCTCGGCGCGCTGAGACGCATCACGATACCGTTCCAAGCCGTCAGACAAGGTGACTGGCGAGGCAAGAACTTCAAGCTCGGCCATGACCCTAAGAACAAAACGCTCGGCGTGCTGGGCATGGGAGGTATTGGCCGTGCTGTCGCGACGAGAGCGAAGGCGTTCGGAATGAGGATCCAGTACCACAACCGCAACCCTTTGCCGGAGGCCGAGGCCGGAGGGGCTGAATACGTCTCCTTCGACGATTTGATGAAGACGTCGGACGTGCTGAGTCTGAACCTTTCTCTCAATGCATCAACAAGGCACATCATCGCGAAGCCGCAGTTTGACATGATGAAGGATGGCGTTGTAATCATCAATACCGCTCGGGGGCCGATCATCGAAGAGGCAGCCCTGGTTGATGCGCTAGAGTCTGGCAAAGTGTTCAGCGCCGGATTGGACGTATATGAGAAGGAGCCAGAAATCCATCCGGGTTTACTAGAGAATGAGAATGTGGTCCTGCTGCCGCACATTGGCACTGCTACACTTGAGACACAGGTGGGTTCCTACATCGTGTCAAAAGTGCTATCACTGACATTCTTCGAAGCGCGATATGGAGCTTTTGGTGCTCGACAACCTTAAAGAAGCAGTGAGGCACAACAAACTCATCACACAAATTCCGGAGCAAGCCAAGAAGTAGATTTTCGTACCAGTGTTTGCATCGATAGAAAAGCACTACCGCAGCAGCGAGAGACAAGGAAATATGGGAGTTAGAGATGCGCTAATGAGTGGGCCTCGCTCATGGGCAAGTCTTCGGTAACTGGTCCGGTGGTGGCCCAGACTTTGCTCTCCTTTAGAACGCTCGCAAAAACATCTCTGGCTAGACTTTCTTGAATCATTAGACGCTACGTGCTTAGCCGTCAGGAGCTGGCATGCCAACTTACTTCACAATAAATCAGTATGCCGCTTGTACCTTCTAGGCAGTGACTGTAATATAACATTTGCCCCGTCTCCAAGGCATCTGACTAGGAGCTGCAAATGGTGCGGTCTGCAGTCATATGGCAAGAATCCGATAGTAACTCATGTGGATGATAGTTGGAACCTGAAGCTTCAACATCCGACGCAGGTAGTAGTTCACGATGATGAAGGTGATAGCTATATAGGAGCATCAAGCTGTGGAAGTTACATTAAGATCACCAGCACTCTCATGCCGGCGACTCTAGAGGTAAGCTGGAAGTCTAGCTACGGGCTCGTCATCACAAGAGTGCAACTCCGTGCTGTCTGCAATCCCTTGTTACTCGCTTCAGTCGGTTGATTTGCACGCGAAGCCGAATGGCTGAGGACAACCTTGTGTGGAAAGGACACGGAGGTCCCGAAGATTGTCGACCCCTCTGCGCCAATTAGTGTGACAATTGCTCGTCGGCTTTTCCAAACCAAAGTGCAATCTGACGCTATCTGGCAGCGCTTTCCGGCACCTTGATGAATAGTCGAAGTCTTGATCCTCACGGCCACAGAACGGTTATCGGCCTTTGAGAGTGATCTTCGAACGCCGACGGCACCCGGAAGCACTTCCTGACTAGGGCTCCGATTTGGGCAGAGATGCTCAACTCCAAACCCTGTCTCGACGCTCTCCCCACGCACACGTCTCTAGGATCAGGCGTGACAATGCGGAGAAAATGTCTGACAGCTTTGTCCGTCAGCCCGCGTCTCGGTGTTTGACGAAAACTCTCATCCTGATGCACGCCACGATGCGCGCTCATGATAAAAGGACTCCATATCCTCCTCAATCAATGGCATTCTTCAGACGCAAAGCCAACACTTTAGTCCTTACCGATATCTCTTCAAGAGAGACGCCTACTTGATCAGCAATCTAGATCGTGATACTTCTTACCATTCTCCCGAAGGCTACACTACTCGCAAGCCTGCCATGGGGAAGACCACCATCCGCGGCATGTGGGCCGATATCAAGGCATATCGACAAGCCTACATCCTCACGCTCGTTGCATCCTTCGGTGGCATGCTCTTCGGCTGGGACACAGGACTTATAGGAGGTGTCCTTACGATGGACGCTTTCCAGAACTCATTCAACCTCGACAAAAAGAGCAAAGATTTCGCCAATCTGCAGGGGAATATTGTTAGTGTACTCCAGGCAGGATGCTTCTTCGGCGCGATGAGCTCTTTCTATGTCAGCGACAAGTTGTAAGTACTGTCCCCAGGTGTCACTGCTATTGAGAGCTCCTCACACCATCTACGCCGACCCCTTTTGTCCATGGTACTGACGACTTCTTGTCCCTAGTGGCCGCAAGACTGCTCTGATAATAGCCGACGCTATCTTCATCATCGGTTCGACTATTCAGACGTGCTGCGGCATCGGCAACACCAGTTTGATTCCACTCTACATCGGACGGTTCATCGGGGGCTTCGGTGTTGGACTAATATCAGCCGTGGTACCTACGTACATCGGTGAGAACGCCAATAAAGAAATTCGAGGCCGCTGCATTGGATGGTACGTATCTCCCCGTAACAGAGAGTGCCTGGACATGGAGCTGACAAGAAACAGCATGCAGCTATTCAATGTCACCGGTATCATGTTTAGCTACTTCGTCAATTATGGCATGGCACTAAACATGGAGGGCAGCCTCTCAGACCTTAAGTGGAGAGTGCCATTTGCGTTGCAAGTCCTCCCGGGCGCCATCCTTTTGGCTGGCATCATTTTCCAAAACGAGTCACCCCGTTGGCTGGTTGAGAAGAATCGCCACTCAGATGCCCAGACTGCGCTTGCTAAAGTTCGCGGCAAGGCGGAAGACGACCCGTCGGTCCTTCAGGAACTCAACGAGATCATTGAGGACTTCCAAGGCCACGAGCAGTTACCTCTCCTTGGTCAGCTCAAGGCTGTGGGCGAGAGCAAGCGCGTGTTCTATCAGGCTTCCTTCGCAGTTATCCTCATGGTCTGGCAACAATTGACTGGCACCAACAGCATAAATTACTACTCACCACAGATCTTCCAATCCATTGGGCTGCAAGGTACCAACGCTGGCCTCTTCGCAACAGGCATCTACGGAGTAGTGAAAGTCGTGGTCACAGCGCTGGGCCTCATGCTGGCGACTGAGCAAATAGGTCGAAAGTGGTCGCTGATCAGCGGAGCTATCGGCCAGGCCTTCGCCATGTACTATATCGGTATCAACAGCGCAGCTCATCCACCGAGCATCTATGGCCTTGACGGCAACGGCATCTTCTCCATCATCTGCGTCTATCTCTTTGTTGTCTTCTACTCCTTCGGCTGGGGACCGACGCCGTTTATTCTGTCTTCCGAATGCTCGCCCAATCACGGTAGGTTCTCGCCCACACAAGCACAGATCAAGCACCTTACTGACGCTGTCCTACAGTTCGGAGCTTAGTTATGGCCGCCGCGCTCATGACACAGTGGCTCTTCAACTTTATCATCGCAAAACTGACCCCGATCATGCTCGCGAAGATAACTTATGGAACCTTCCTCCTTTTCGGCAGCTTTTGCATCTTGATGTGCATCTACGCCATCTGCTGCGTCCCGGAGACCAAGTCGGTGCCTCTGGAGAGCATCAATTTGCTTTTCGAGGGAAACATCATCAAAGGATGCATTCGGGACACCATCCCGCGGCACTCCCGAGCGAATAAGCTGAAGAATCACCACATCACCGACGATACGGAGTCGGAGGCTGGCTTCGAGGGAAAGGGTGGCCGTACTAAGACCAAGGCGATTGAGCGGGTTGAGTCGGCATGATCGAGTAACGGTCTTTAATGAATTGGAATATCAGTCGCATTGCTCGATTAACACCCACATTGAATGGATCAAATACGATTCGTGGCACAATCATTAAAGCTGGTTTAGTTAAATGAGAGCTCTATATCTAGAACACCTTGAATGATTAATGCAGGAGTATGGTGAGCTACCGAGTGACTGATCAAATGTCATGGTGTGACGTTAATCCTGCGCGTTGTCATGGAATGGTTGCAAGTCCAGCTGAGGTGTGATATTCCTCTCAAGTATTTACTCGCCTCTAGTATTTCACTCACCACCAGTCAGGCTTTCAGACACTTGTCATGGCGACCTTGAACAGAACAGGAGTTCCTTTTGATAGCCACGTGATCTAGCCCTGCGGTAACAACGATCTTGCGCACATCTACTCCACGCCCACTCTCGCTCACAACCTCAGTCATGGACCAAACGCCGGTCTTGGACTGATGCCAGGTGTGCTAGAAGCGGAGGAGCAACAAACACACTACGCAAGAGGTTGGTCAAAAAGCAACACCGCCAGCATGCCTTCCAAAAGAATCGAATGTGCCGGGCACCGCTTTTGCTTTTACTTCAGTGACTGATTAAACGGAGCTTTCAACTGACGTTATGCTAAGAAAATCTCGTGACTTGACATGAACACGGCACATTTCAGGGGTTCAGAAATCCTGCACCGTGAATCTCACTTATCCTGCTCCCAGTCCTGTCGACAGCACAATTGCTCGAGACATCCCTCGCGCATGCTTCGTAAGCTCAGGCTCCAGAGGGACAAGGGTTTCGAAGCTCTGAGCATCACTGAGGCAACTGCCGAGGGAGAGCTTCAAGAGCTCACCCCGGCTAATGGAGCGCAAGCGGCCGGCCGTGCGGCAAGCCACCCAGCCTCCCGCTCAGAAACCGCCAAATGAGCGTTGCGATGCTGAGAATTATGCTCATGATGTGAAAGGAAGCCTCGTTGTGCATCCGCTGTGGATTGTTCGCATCGAGCGGTAGACAAATCAACCTCTGGGCCAATGGCCTCACACCACGACTGATGCAGTGGAGCAAATCCAGCCATTCGAGTTGTCCACAGGTCGGATTACGAGTAAGCTCGATGCACGGCCGCGACGACGACTATGCACGCACGGCAGACGTTGATGCGCATACTAGAAGGCGTCTCCTGTGTGATGGCATGGCTCTGGCATAGTTACAGCAGTGTCAAACTGATTTCTCAGTTCAAAAGCCTAACACTAACGATAGAAATCAGACCCCAGGCAATTACATAAACTTGTGCCTGAAGCTAGCGGACGCATGTGATTTCAGGGGGCCGGACTGTTTTGCGCTAACCGTAGATCATCACAATAACCGCAGCTGGAGCTCCCAAAAGCCCGCACCGTACCCAACCACCTCCAGCGCTCCCAGCACTCCGGTCGCGCCCACTTGACTCGCCCACTTCCCCCAAGCTCCTCCTCTTCTGCCGCTTCCATTCCTCGTCAGAACTTCTCCATCCACAACCATTGCCCACAAAGCTCACCAATTGCGCTTCGTCACGTTGCAATTCGCTTCCCAGAAGCTCCATCTTTAAAGATCGTGACGCTGGCTCTTTAAGTCGACTCACCCTCTTCTCTACTCCTTCCCCACTCGCCAAAGGAGCCAAGAAGTTCTTTCTTGTCTTCCTTTCGAATTGTTCCTGTAACGGTTCGAGAGGCATTCAAGAAGGAACGCCGCGACTCCGCCAACCTGGACTTTGACGCCCGCGTCCCGATCCCCTTCAGTGTCTTCCCGTCCTCGTACCGGAGTGACGCTGTCACAGCAGAAACAACTCACGTCAAGGTAGAAGGCACAGCTTCTACTTCTTCGCGCGTCGGACGGGAAGGTCACGAAACTCACTTCACTTCCGTCTCCGCGACCCTTCCTGGCCGCAAAGACCGCAGAACAGAAGAGGAGGTCCACATCTACGAAGAAGACCGAATCCGCCATCCTGCTCGCAGGCAAGGGGAGGTCCACATCCACGAGCAGCACCGCTACCCCAAAGATCACGTCTCGCAAGTAGGGGTCACCAGAGAGCGGTAAGTGGATCCGTGTGCGCGTCATGTTTCCGTCTCGTACATGTGCATAAATCATCCACAAACGCCCCCTTCCCCTATGCATTGGACAATGCAAGGCTAGTTCACCCTAAGGATTAGTGCTTTACTTTTCTGTCGTCCAAGCAACACGCTTTCTCCTCTTTCCCACTTCTCGATTGTCATCCATCCCATCTTCGTTCATCCTTGTTCGGTCACACGACTGACAACCTTCTTCCACCCCAGCTACCACGAGCCTTACCGCCGGTACGCCGAAACTCAGATCGACGTCGAGGACAAGACCTACGAGCGAGGCTACAACGCTGCCCAGGAGCGTACTTACGACCGCGAGTTCCGCACCGTCCACGGCCCAGCCACCCAGTACGCCGAGTCCCAGATCGACGTAACCGAACGAGACTACCGTCAACGCACTCAGCCAAACTACGACCACCCTACCCAATACACCACCGAAGCCCGCTACACCGGCCCACAGTACTCTGAGGAACGCTACGGTCAAGCTACTCAAGACTTCGCTGAGCAACGTTACTCTCAGCCAGCCGTAGGAGTCCAGATAGACTCCCGCACCACCGTCGACCCTCCCAAGAAGTTCAAGCGTGATATGGGCTACTACGACGAAGACGGCCACTACCACTCTTTCCGTCACGGTCTACACAGAGCTGCTGACCGTATCCTGCATCCCATTCACGGAGGCCGCCATCACCACCACGACGATCGTGAGGAAGTAGTGGTCAAGGAAACTCACACCACATCTTCTCTCCCACGCGTCTCTGTTTCTGCCCCAGAGCCGGCTAGCTACGTCCCGTCTCGCACCATGACACCCAACACCATCACCATCCCGTGTCACCACATCCGCATTGGCGATCTTCTGATCCTTCAGGGACGCCCTTGCCAGGTCATCCGCATCACCACCTCCTCCCAGACCGGCCAGCACCGCTATCTCGGTGTTGACCTCTTCACCAAGCAGCTCCATGAGGAGTCCAGCTTCATCTCCAACCCGGCTCCGTCAGTCGTCGTCCAGAACATGCTCGGCCCTGTCTTCAAGCAGTACCGCGTCCTTGACATCACTGAGGGTGGCCGTGTCGTCGCTATGACCGAGACCGGCGACGTTAAGCAGGGCATCCCTGTCCTCGACCAGAGCAGCCTCTTCAGCCGCCTGCAGGATGCTTTCGACAACGGCCGTGGCAGCATTCGCATCCTTGTCATCAACGATGAGGGCAGGGAACTTGCTGTTGACTACAAAGTTGTCCATGGCTCGAGGTTGTAGATGTTTCAAAGGTACAGAATTCTTTATCCATACATCAGAACACAGTCTGACATGATCAGGTCATCCGTAGTATACATCTTATCCCTGAATAGCCTGCATCTTTTGGATTATACATCTCCTCAGGTTTTGTCGATGTTTCTTCCTGCTTGTCATCTAACTCAACGTCGGACGAGATCCTGCCACGCCAACTCTCCATGATCTCCGTTCCTTGCTCGAGGGTTCTGTGGCTACCGGTCTTACACTCAGGTCAACCCTGCCATCCTCAACGTCATGTCGGCGCTTAGTCCAGCCATGTCGGTCTAGGCGTCGGTAGTTGGACGAATACTTGATGGCTGAGGCCAACTGTGTAACACTTCGTAGTTAATGGTACCTGTGCGTTGTGCTACTCTTTGATCCTCTATTGCTACTGTGTGACGAAATGTTTCATTGATCGTGCATCACTGCCGGCGCTACCGTCTGCCCTGCATCTGCCGAGATCCGTCTCCCGTCGCGGGGTATCCTAGCTTTCCCCTACCCCACACATCTAATTCCGAGGTGAGTCTCCGCCGGCGTCATGGCTTCCAATGTCTGGTTTCGTCTTTCACGTCCATACTTGCGCTTATCCACTTGTCGTCTCCTAGTTTTCAGTGCTCAGTGGGCTTGCTTTCTTTCCTTCTGCTACAAGCAATAACTCCATCATAGTCCACTCTTGCACTGTACCTTAAGGGCAAGCTGCCCAATCCAGCATTCCCGTTACTAGCTTCTCTAAGAACTTAGCCATAAAACAAGGGAGCTGTCACCTTGACCCTTCTTGACGTCGACTACGCCACCGTTGACCATCAGTCCCCACACGCCGACAATGTCAAGCCCAGCAGAGCCAGCCACCAACGGCAACTCAGTCCTGAATGGCGACTCGTCTCATGATGGATTCCCCGGTCTTCCCCCTTTCCCGGACGATGTGCCGACTGCGCCCCTACTCCGCATCTCGCTGGCCAAGCTCCTCGCGCATGACCAGGACGAGTTGAATGCGTTTTGGAAGGCGTGCTGCGAGCTCGGCTTCTTCTACATCGACCTCAGGACAGGCAGTGGGCACGATGACGATATCGATGGTGAGGCACTACTCCAGGACGCAGAGAAGCTTTTCCAGGTGCAGGAAGAGTTCTTCGGCCTGCCGGTGGAAGAGAAGCTCAAGTACGATTTCAAAGAGCAAGGGAGTTACTTTGGGTAAGGTCGCCTCCCGGAATCCGTATCCCCAGCACCAGCACCACCCTCGTCACTTTGGAGTAACGGCGCGCAGATACAAGGGCTACGGCGGCGGCCTCGTCGACAAGTCCGGCACCCCCGACCGCAACGAATTCTACAACACCTCCAAAGACGACATCCTCGGCCTCTCCTCGCCCCTCCCCGCCCCCGAGAATCTGACCCAATACCGCCCGCTCTTCGCATCCTACATGCGCCGCTCGCACGCCGTCGTCGCCCTCGTCCTGCGCATCCTGAACGCCCGCCTCGGCCTCCCAGACGGCGAGCTCGAGAATCTGCACAGGCTGAACGCGCCCTCGGGGGACCAGGTCAGGTTTGTCAAGGCGCCGCCGCAGCCGCCAAGGGATCGGCGCACGGCGCTGGGCGAGCACACGGATTTCGGCAGCGTGACCGTCCTCTTCAACCGGCTGGGCGGCCTGCAGGTTCGGCTGCCGAGCCACATCCGCCCCATCGGCCCCGCGACTTCCGAGCACAGCAGCAGCAGCAACGGCGATGCGGTCAACGGCAGCGTCGAGGTCGGCGGCGCGGCGGCGGAGAACTGGGCCTATGTCCGCCCGCTGCCGGGCCACGCGATCGTGAATCTCGGGGACGCGATGGTGAAGTTCACGGCCGGGGTGCTGCGGTCGAATATTCATCGCGTGGTCAATCCGCCCGGGGGCCAGGCGGAGAGCACGAGGTACAGCCTTGTGTATTTTGCGAGGCCGGAGGATGAGGTTGTTTTGAGGGCGTTGAGGGGGGGAAAGGTGGTTGAGGAGGCGGTGAGCAAGAAGCTGGGGAAGGGAGAGAAGTGGGAGGAGGAGGAGGTTAGTAGTAAGGAGTGGGTGTTGAGGAGGGCGTTGGGGAGGAGGGGCGTGGGGAGCTGGGAGAAGAGTGAGGGGACTGAGGAGGTGAGTTTGAGGAAGGGGCAGGATGTTGGTGCGTAGCTACGCTTGGATGTAGAGTACACTGAGTACGCCTGCCTTCAGTAATGCATCGATCGAGCTAATTTTAGCTTAACATACTTTTATTGGTCTTACTGGGCAGTAGATTCATCGCTTCTCGGTGGAGCCTCGCCGCCTACGAATTATATAGTGAAGTGCTGCTCAAAGTGACAGAGTTGCACAGATGTTGGTATCCCATTATACATTCTGAAAGCATATATTGCCGCACACCTAGACTGGTGATAAAAAGCTCATGGTAGATACCGTGAGGGACACCACGACTTTCGTGAGTTACGGTGATACTGGAGTCTGGCAATCTTCGTGAACCTTGTGCCTTGTCACTTTCCGTATGAACAGCTCCACAATCTCATGTATCAACATTCGGCCCCCAATTTCACATCCTCCAGCAACGCCAGGCAGCAACAACATCATCATGCATACCTGTATTATAAAACAACTGCACGGTAACTCGGAGTCTACAGACTGCCATTCAGAGCCAGACTATACTTCCATTGAATCCTCTTACGCTGCTTGGCTCGTTCTTAATACTCGCAATCACGCTTAAAGCTGCTACTTTCCAATCCGAGCCATGAGATACCTCCTACAACTCCTTACGCTCGTACTGAGCCAGACACTCACCGCATCATCCCAATCTCCACCTCACAATGGCACATTCACACCCTTCCCTTATCCCTGGCCAGTTTTGTATTACAACTTCACATCCCAGCTTCAGAACCACTCCATGGCCTACATGGACGTGTCCCCCTCTCCTACCCACTCGAACGACCAAACCGTAGTCCTCCTTCACGGCAAGAACTTCTGCGCCGCAACCTGGGAAGCCACCGCGCGCGTCCTGCTCTCCGCAGGCTACCGCGTCGTAATTCCCGACCAACTCGGCTTCTGCCGCTCCACCAAGCCGTACAATTACCAGTTCAGCCTGCACCAGCTGGCGCTCAACACTCACGACTTGCTGCTGCACCTCGGCATCGACACGGCGATAGTGATGGGCCACTCCATGGGCGGGATGCTGGGGGTGCGGTTTGCGCTCATGTATCCCGCCACTACGGCACGGCTTGTCCTGGCAAATCCGATCGGGCTCGAGGACTGGAAGGCTCTTGGGGTCCCTTACACGCCGATCGATGTGACGTATAGGCAGGAGCTGGCCAGCAATTTCTCCAACCTGAAGGCGTATCAGCAGACGACTTACTATGCTAACACGTGGCGCTCCGCCTACGACGTCTGGGTGCAGATGCTCGCAGACGTGTACGCCGGGCCTGAGGGGGAGGCATTTAGCTGGAACGGCGCGCGAGTAACTGATATGGTGTTTACGCAGCCGGTCGTGTATGAGTTTCCGCTGTTGACGATGCCAACGCTGCTGCTCATTGGAATGAAGGATACTACGGCTGTTGGGAGGGCGGCTGCGCCGATGGAAATCAGATCACTGCTAGGAAGGTATGATCTGTTAGGAAAACAGGCGGCTAGTGTTATTCCGAGAGCGGCGTTGGTGGAGTTTGGGGATCTGGGACATGCGCCGCAGATTCAGGATCCGGAGAGGTTTCATGAGGCACTGATGGGCTGGCTTGGATGAGGGAGTGGGGGGAGGCGGTGGTTGATAGCTCGATGATGAAGTGCAAGCGGGATATGCAGATACTTCTCAAACGGGAGTAAACTGATACGAGCTTACTCCAGGATACGCAATCGCCCTTGTTGATAGATATGATATCATTTTTGCGCACTGCCTCACTACTACGCATCAGCGTCCGGCATCGTACCCGCAAACAGACTCCTAATCTTCTCATTGTCATATCCAACCTCGATCGCCAACTGCAACATAACCCGACTCTTTTGTGGGTTCAGAGGCCCACTCCCAATGATCCATCCATTACTCTCACTTATCGGTGCAAAACCATCGGGGCTCCTGTGAGATGCGACCATCGGGATCCCAGTCGCATTGTACAACTCCTGCGCAGCCAGCGAGTATGCAGGCGTCAGCCCACCGGCCCCCACGCCCGCAAACACGATGCCCTCGGCACCGCTCTCGTATGAGGCATTCACTAGCGCACCGTTGGCCTGCTGGTGTGCGTAGAGAATGTCGACGTGTGGAAGGTCTGTGGCACCAGAAATATTGAAGAACGGCTTTCCTGTTGGAAGCGCGTGCTCATAGTAGAAGTAGGGTACTTGGTTGATGTAGAAGCCTAGCTGGCCTTGTTCGGTTGCGTAGAAGGTATCAGGGGCGTTGGCGTGCATTTTTGTTGTGTATAAGGCGCTGCCGATGCGACTGGATACTCATGTCAGCTAAAATAAACCATGGAGGTGTACTCAGAAATCTTCTGATCGTTACGGCGGAACTCACTCATTCAGTGAAATCATGACACCCCTTCCGCGAGCGACCTCCGATGTTGCAAGGGTGACAGCTTGCAGCAGGTTAAGCGGGCCGTCTGCGGAAAGAGCAGTTGCCGGCCGCATCGCGCCAACTATGACAACTGGTTTTGTAGAGTTGATGGTGAGGTCCAAGAACATAGCTGTCTCTTCCAGAGTGTCCGTGCCATGAGTAATCACAACGCCCGCTACGGTTTCTTTGGCCAGCTCCGCGTTGATCAATTGCGTGAGGTTGAGCAGGATGGTGCTGTTAATCCTTCCAGAATCAACATTCGAGACCTGGTAGCCATCAATGTTTGCGATGTTCAGGATTTCAGGAACGGCGTCGACAAGCTGTTGGACTCCAAGCCCGACGCTGTAGCCAATGGTTTGTGTATTCGACGTGCCTACGCTCGCGATCGTCCCTCCAGTTGAATAGATTGTGACGTTTGGCAAGCTGGCGTTTTGTGGAGTGTCGACATCTTGGCGCCGAAGGAGAGCATTCAGGTCTACTGGGGAAGCTGTAGTGAATAGAGGCAGCGCAAGCGCAAGAAGGGCAGAGAGCTGGCAGAAGCGAGACATCCTGACTCCAGGGCTAAGGGAGAGGAAGAGGAGGGAGGGAGGGAAGCAGAGATGCTGGATGCATCAAGAAAAGCGGAAAAGGCCATGCTTTTGAACCCAATAGCTGCCAGATACTGTCTCTGAAGGAATGAACTCAAATTGAAGCGTGGAAGCGAAGCCACCGGCGTTTCTGCGCGCCATGATATATCTAAATCTAGATAGCTGCAAGATCTTGGTGCTCCGGGGATGAGATTTGCAATAGCTATTACGACGGGACTTCTGCAACTCTACTCCAATGACTGAGGCTCCTCGGGCCGTCAGGAACTACGGTGGTGCGCGGTGTCGTCGTCGGAGCTGCAGGTCTGGGCCAGACAGATATGAGATACGGGAAGATAAAGAGGTTCTTGGCACCGCGGCAGAGATAACGGTAGACCTCGAACGCGGCTCACCATGCACTTCAAGCGCCTCCCACCATCTAGGACGCATCTCCAAGCCAGCATCAGTGCAGAATACGGCCGGCAGATGTACACTTCCGATTACGGGGAAAAGAAAATAAGACGGGGAGATAGGAACCGGACGGAAAATGGTACCGCCGCTCCGCCATGTCGCTGTGCTGCCCTGTCTGATAGTGACCAGGTTCACGGTATCCAGCTATTGAGGAATTAACAGTAACATACTCCAGGCGCTATTACTGTACGTATTGCTTTGTAGAACTCGTCCCGTTCGTCTCGCCCTTTTTCACCGCCGGACTCGCCTTCACAACCACCTCTCCAACAGGATCATCTTCGTGACGCAGGACCCGCCACTCACCCATACCAAGCTCCTTTGGAGCCTTCCTAACCCCTCTACCGCCTCCTCCACAAATCAGGTTCCCGGGACGATAGCTGGGATCCGCTTCCATTCTCCTCAAGACCGAGCCATGCACGACCACATCCTTCGGCATGTCCCTGACCTCGCCTTTGGGTAGCGGCCACGTGATACTCTTCCACGATCCGTCTGCCTGCAAATCCATCCGTCGGAAGGGGAGGTACTCCATGATGTTCCACGAGATCACGCTTGCGGCTGAAAGGCCGTTGTTGAACTGTAGCACGTCGTGGATCTTACCACGGGTTGCGGCTGAGTAAATAGTCCGATGGAACGGCGAGAGATCCTGGTCAGCGTCATCTCGAGCGAGTGCTTTTTCGGGATCGCAAGCAGGCTCGCCGGTTCTGCCGTACTGGGCGTCGCTTTGGCTGCGACAGGCTGGTTCAACTTCGATCGTAGGTATCGCGGGCGCCGTGGCCCTGCCCCGACTCCTGTCTGTCTCCTCGTTCGGGCAGCAATTGAGTGCTCGCATCTTCACCTCATCAAATTCCAGGCCGGCACGCCGAGCTTCGTGGACCATCCATACAAGGGGCACATGACTAAGAGCGCTGTCTTCTCCAGCCTCGAGGGGCCACCCGCCTCCTATGTCCTGAAGCCAAGCTATTAGCAGTGACTCTCTCCGGGTCTCTTGTCAAAACTCACAGCATGACAGCCGGCGAACCAGACTTCTTGTATATCCTGCTCCCCGTCTGAGTCGTCATCCTCAAGTCCAGGGGGTGGTAGTGACGTTTGGGAGACAGGTGTAACGCTGCGCCCATCAGTATTAACACCCCTTCCTACCGATAAACCACGGCTGCGTGAGCGGATCCCCGCCACCTCGGAGCGGTCGCGGAAGGTTTCCGAAAGCGGCATGAGACTGGCCCTGCGCGGCTGGTAGCGCTTCGACTCTGACCGACTGCGAGCATGGACGTTATGACGCTCCTCCATAACATGGGTATCTTCTTTCTTTCCTTTCGCATGCTGGTAATGGAAATGGTGATGGTGACGATGCTGCCTACGCTGTCTGGCTTGCTTAACCTCCGATATTAGGTCTTGTCGGAATTTTGCTCGGCGTTCGTCTATCGCGACTGCATGACGGATGACTTTGGCTGAACTGCGAGCAGTGTACGGGAACTTGCTGCGCTCCATCCACGCATTCTCGAATCTTGGAACACTATTGACGGTGTCGAATAATCCCAGGAAGCGTATGCGGTGGACGGGCCGGCTGAAGGTCTCTCTGAAGGCACACATGAACTCGAGCAACTCTTTCTTCTGAGCTTTCTCTTCTGCAGTTCTCTCCTGGCGTATCTGCCACTTCTGGAACGTCTTCCATGCGAAGAAAGCCATCTCCTCATTCCCAGCGGACAGCAGGCCGACGTGGTCCAGCATCTCCGCGAGGAATCGAGCTGTGTATGCTCCCCTGGAGAAGCCAAAGAAGTAAATATGATCGCCTGGGGAGTAGTATCGCATAAGAAACTAAAGCAAGCATTACTCCGCGTACAACGCACTACACGATGGGCGAGATTCTTGAGTACGTTCAGATCTTACCTTGTACCCTGCCATTACATGCTCGCCAAATGAAGTGCCAATAGCGGAGTCCTTCGCCTTTGCATACCAGGACCTGAATCGAGCGAACCCGGTTGTGTGCGACAACGAGTTCGTGTTGACGTAAGTACCGATACCAGGCTGATAATAATGGAATTGGCTGCCATCGCTCCGGTCCAGCATGCGATAGATCTTGAGGATGTTTGAGTCTGCATCGTTTCCGCAGAATTTGTTACCGGTCCCGTCAAAGCAGAGGACGAACCTCCTGCGCTGTCTCTGAGGCCCGGCAATTGGTCGTAGAGCTTCGAGCGGTGCAGGGCGGGGGCTGGCAACTCTCTCACTCCCCTGCCGGCTGCTGGCAGCTTCTCGTGGACCTAAACTGGACATGATCTTTTACCAACTGAAGTAGAAGACAGACGAAAAGCAAGCAGAGGGTCTCCTGATAATATCGCGAGCAAGAGAGATGGAACTGATGAATGGCAATATGGGAGAGAACTCCAAGCGGAGAAGCACTTCAGCAGTCAAGTCAAGTTCACACAGCTATTGGAAGCGCCGGGTCCGCCGCAAAGACGAGGCCAACAGCATCAATGCCCAGTTGGTGTCCCGATTAGGGTCGGCGCTCATGCAACGGATCGGACTTCATGTACTTCTGCATTGTGGGCTTATGCTGATGCCACAATGGGTCTGAGTCCAAGCCTAGTTACCCCTCCACCGCTGGAGTCCACCTTCGAGATGCCACCAGCATCCAATGGCTAAGTACAGCGGTGAAGGAGATTCCCAAACCCCAAGGGCAACCAATGGCGGTGCTAATTCGGCGGCGTTGCGATCTGCCTGCAATGGTCGACCAGCGGCGTAGCCCACTCGAGATGTGTAACAGCTCGAAACAAAGGCAATCGCGGTAACACGTCTGGTTGAGAGCTGCGTCGGGAAGAGAACTGCTGCACCTGCATGCTAGTTGAATATGAGCAACAACTCAGGTGCGTTAGCGGTTAAACAAAGAGGTGTCATCTCATGCATTGCTTGTTACACAGTCTTGTCAACGCTGTGACCAGCCAATACAGCGCCCAATGGCCATGGCCATTCGAAGTGTCTGTTGCCGCATGGAAAGCTACTCGTGGCCCTAGAGCTGGATAGCCTAAGCGCATAGTCCATAGATCAAAGAGGCTTTAGGTGACTGGTGCAGTAAAGAGTTAAATTGCTGAACATCTTTTGCTTTCTATCACATGAAATCGTCTAGCTGCCCTAAGATTGACAAGATCAGGAGGCCAGTTCGTTCGTGAAACCGGTGTTAAACAAGCTGGGCATAGCTGCGGCAACGGACTTCTCGGGTGGCCCTTGGCTTGCGGAGAGGACGCGAGTCGATGTTGGAGGGATCGATAACCCAAGTGGGTGCAAGTCTTCAGCTGGCCCGAAGTGCGCCACGAGCCTAACATGGCTCCCTCCCGAGCCGCTCCGAACCCAAACCCGGGAGAAATGAGAGACTATCGCCAACCTGGCCCGGATGGCGGCAAGTCTAGCGACCCTGCTCGTACACGGATCACGAGATGATTGGTGAGTTGGTTCTCTGGCCGAAGATGCACAATCCGAGCTGTTCCCACCAGGCCTGTTCCGAATTCTTCGGTACACTGCTGCGGCAGCAGGGTCTTTCGATGAGAGATCGGTTCCTCCCGCGGTGCACGGTCAATGCCAAGAAAAGGTAAACTCTACAACGATCGTACCCAGCTCAACCTCATCTTACCTCTTTGAGCACTACAGTATGCGGGACTATCTCGTCCGATCAACACCGGATAGACTAAGTGAACCCTGTCTTACTGCGCTTGTTGCAACGCCTGCGCCATGACGTGCTCAGGCATCGGGAATGGTCGAAGGCCGATTTTACCTCCAAACCGCTTGCGTCAACTTTCGGCATTCAGGAGTGCCTTTCTCAGATTGGTGTCGGCGAGCATTGTGGCTGTCCTAAGCCTTGGCTGCATTGACGGCAGCGTATGACTGGCATGAGCCTTTCAGCCGTTGAAGCCGATTTGGTACAGCGCCAACCACGAGTGGATGGACCCTTCAGGTGGCATCGACCAATGAGGGCTATATCCACAAACCCACTCCTTCCATGGTGAATAAATGTCGTGTGTTAGGTAGGTTTTGACAGGGAAGCCCTGGGCATGCTACGGTCGTGCGGAGTTGATACACTCGCTCAGCCGCCATTTTCCAGCTTCGATGACTTGCAGCGTTCTAATCTTAATAATCTAGCACAGTCTTGGTGGGATATGTACATCCGAGTAGCTCATGCACTCAAGCCATCAAATCAATAGTCATGGTGTGCGGGGCGCTGCACGCTGCACTTCTTCTGCACAGTCCTTCAATCAGTCCGATACCGAAATACCACCAATGATTGGCGGCCACATCGGGCAGGAAGAAAACCTCACCGCGCAGAGCTATCCAACGCTCTTCCACCGTCAACTTCACAAGGTAATCCACGATCACCCGCTGCAATTACTCTCAGATGTGAGTGGAACAACGACATACCTTAGGTTAGCTATTTAGACGCTTTTGTGGAGCATTATGGTGATTGTAGATGGGGTTTTATTGTTGATACAGTCCTGAAGTTCTATAGTCGCGGTGAGGCTTTTTTCCCGCTCGACGTGGCAGTTGTGCTGACCGTTGACAGCATCAAGTGACAAGCGCCACTGCTGCGTTGCAACAGCTGTGTTATGGCGATCATCGGAGCGATTTGGCCTGGATAGGCATCCAAGACAACCACTACCGCGGACCCTGGTGGGTAGTACACTGCCGTCCGTCTCCTGTATCCGCTTCACCATTCGATTCTGGATAGCGCCAGTGCACTCCGTGCCAGCCACATGTTACATAGGAAGACGCCCCAGATCCGATTAGTCCAGCATGCAGGGTCCGCTCAGCTCGTACACGGGTCAGCTCGTGCATCCACTTGGTCCATTGTTTACGTTCTGCATCGACATGCTTTTACCTTGACTCGAATCGCCAATTGAACCCTCCTGGCGGTGCACTGCGGGGAAAACACTCTTGCTCCTCGGTCGAAGGTCCGTGATTAGCCGCCGACGGCGTTCCTATACCTTCAGGACTGTTATCGAGCTGAAAAGTCTCCTACTTGACCTCGTTGTCTTCTACTACGCCCATCGTTGCATCCCCCCATTTGGCCGGCACGCTTAACAATATGCTCCGAAGGCTCTCATCTCAGTTCCGCAAAGACAAGAACAAAGGGAAGGGCCAGCCAAACGGCTTTACTCCAGACGAGAAGAAGGAACGACGGAGCTCAAAGCACCTGGTCAACGGCGAAACGCATAAGGAGGAACCGGATCAGAATGCAACGCGTCAAGACGTCAGCGACACGTTCGAGCAGTTTGCGCAGCTAATTCACGCTTCTCAACGACCACTGCCTACACAATCCGGCAATGGCACCTACATTGATACAGAGGTGCCGAGTGGAATGTTCGCCGATCTTCGAACCCTGGGCTTCAAGGACGTGAAGACCTTGAAGGATGTTATGACCACCAAGGCCGCTGGCGAGCTTGCGGACGACAAGACGTATCTCATGGAGCGTGTTATCCAGGTAATGCTGAACAGATCTCTTACGTTAGTGCCCGGGCGGCTTGGATGGCAGTATACAGCGGTGTAATCTTCTTCTTCGTATTAAGCACGCGTTCTTCCGTATTTCGGTCAGCTGCATTGCAGCAGCTGTGATCTTGCTATGTCTATGCATCTTCAATACGTAGGTGTAAAGAACAGTCCGGTACGTTACTGACAACACTCCTCCAGCTCGTCAGTGATTTGCCCGCGCTCTCGAAGAATCGAGTGGATCTCACGAATGCCTTCATTGATGAACTGTGGGATTCTTTACAACACCCACCGCTCTCGTACGTGTTACTGTCCTTCGCCTTGAGTAAGGGCGATACTTACGTTTGTTTGTAGGTATCTGGGTGATCAATTCAAATACAGATCGGCTGATGGGTCGTACAATGTAAGGCGCTTCCTTCGGACCCAAGCCGCAGCTGCTGATTATCATAGAACATCATGTATCCCCACCTTGGTGCCGGTAGGTCCGAGCAATCCAGTTGCCATGTGCATTATCACTGACAGGCACTCTAGCAAATACCCCATATGCACGAAGCGTGCAGCCTATCACGATCCAGCCCGGCGCGCTGCCCGATCCTGGCCTCATCTTTGACAGCCTCTTCGCGCGGAATACATACACGAAGCATCCCAACAACGTCTCCAGCATTCTCTTCTACTGGGCGTCGCTGATTATTCACGATTTGTTTCAAACGGACCACCGGGATATCTCAAACTCGCAAACATCCTCGTATCTCGACTTGTCTCCCCTCTACGGCGATAACCAAGACGATCAGGACCAAATCAGAACGTTCGAGCATGGCAGACTGAAGCCGGATTGCTTTGCCGAACAGCGCTTGTTGGGGTTTCCCCCAGGCTGCGGTGTGCTTCTCATCATGTTCAATAGATTCCACAACTACGTGGTCGAGCAACTAGCAGTCATCAACGAGGGCGGCCGCTTCACGAAACCCAGCGACAACCTCTCTGGGGAGAGAGCGCAGAGCGCGTGGAAGAAATACGACAACGACTTGTTCCAGACGGGCCGTTTGATCACTTGCGGCTTGTACATGAACATCACGCTACTCGACTACCTGCGTACCATCGTCAATTTGAACAGAAGCAACACCACCTGGACGCTGGACCCGCGAGTGGACATGGACAAAGTCTTCGGCCAGGATGGCACTCCTCGTGGTATCGGCAACCAAGTCTCAGCTGAATTTAACCTCGTCTACAGATGGCACTCGGCGACTAGCTTGAAGGATGAGCAATGGACAGAAAACATGTATCTGCAGATGTTTGGAAAGAGGGCTGCTGATGTGCCTATGCATGAGCTGGTGGCAGGCCTTGGGAAGTGGTACGCCGGGCTTGACAAAGATCCCGCCAAGCGCCCGTTTGCAAATCTGCAGCGAGACGGTCATGGAAAGTATGACGATGGAGACCTTGTCAAGATCATTACAGAAGGCATTGAGGATTGCGCAGGTGAGCAAGCCATTTAAAGAATCATGTCGGCAGTTTCTGACGGTCAGCCAGGCTCTTTCGGCGCCAACAATGTTCCCAAAGCCCTCCGCGCTGTTGAGATCATGGGCATGATGCAGGCGCGCAAATGGGGCTTGGGGACGCTCAACGAGTTCAGGAAATTCTTCAAGCTGAAGCCGCATGACTCGTTCGAAAGCATAAACTCCGATCCCAAGGTGGCTGAGCAGCTCCGCCATCTCTATGAACATCCCGACCTCGTTGAGATGTACCCCGGCATCGTCTGCGAGGAAGCGAAGACGCCGATGGTTCCAGGAGTCGGAATAGCCCCCACATTTACCATTTCTAGGGCAATCCTCTCTGACGCCGTTTGCCTCGTCCGCGGTGATAGGTTCTACACCATCGACTACCATGCGAAGAATCTCACCAAGTACGTGCATTCGGATGCTCGCTGAACCAATGCTGACTTCGTCTAGCTGGGGCTACAACGAAGTGCAGTATGACTTGAACGTCGAGCAAGGTTAGTAAAGCAGACCTTTCCTCGTCACAACGAGACACCATGCAACTCCGTTAACCCACAACTCTATACCCAGGTTGCGTCTTCTATAAGCTGTTTTTGCGGGCATTCCCCAACCACTTCCAGCCAAACTCCGTGTACGCGCACTACCCGATGACCATACCGCTTGAAAACCGAAAAATTCTACGGGATCTAGGGAGGGAGAATCACTACTCATGGGACCGTCCAGCTTTCATCCCGCCGCGTGTCAATCTCACTACCTACATTGGAGCAAAAACGATCCTTGACCGACAGGATATCTTCAAGGTTACTTGGGGGAAAACGCTCGAGGAGCTGATGGGCAAGGGTGGAGCCAACTTCATGCTGTGAGTCCTAGAGTCGTCAAGCGAGTGAAGCAGGTCTGACAGACGAATGTAGCTCCGGCGACACCTCCCTGCATGCGAAGCAGCGGCAAACCATGGCCAAATCTCTGTATAGAGAGAACTGGCATAAGCACATCAAGCAATTCTACGAGTACATCACGTTGAAGCTTCTGCACGAGAAGTCATTCCAGATCGCCGGCGTGAACCATGTCGACATCACCAGAGAGTAAGTGGGACGGAAAACCAGCTGGAAATCAACCCTGCACAAGTGTGACTGACTATGCGCAGCGTTGGTAACCTCGCACATGTACACTTTGCCGCCAACGTGTTCTCGCTGCCGCTCAAGTCGAAAGCGACGCCACGTGGAATTTTTACAGAGCACGAGCTCTATATGGCTCTGGCAGTCATCTTCGTCTGCATCTTCTTCGATCTAGATCCTGCGAAGTCATTCCCGCTTCACAGGGCCGCCGCAAAGATCTCAAGCGTTCTCGGCAAGTTGATCGAGGCGAATGTCAAGTCAGTCTACATGACCGGCGGCTGGATCTCCGGCATTGCGGATAGCTTCCACGACAACGAAGATTATCTGACCGACTACGGCGTCCACATGGTGCGCCGCCTCCTAGACAGCGGCTTGAGCGTTGAAGAAACGGCGTGGTCACAGGTCTTCCCCACAGCGACCGCGATGGTACCTAACCAGGCTCAAGTGGTAGGCTCTGAGTGGTGCTCCTTAGACCCCGGTGTGTTGAAGCTGACGTTGTGACAGTTCACCCAAGCGCTCGACTTCTATCTATCGCCTCGGGGACAGAGATTCCTTCCTGAAATCAACAGACTTGCCAAGCTCGATACGCCCGAAGCCGACGACAAGATTCTGCATTACTGCATGGAAGGTATTCGGCTCAACGGCACGTTTGGCTCCTATAGGGAAGCGACGGGCTCGGCGACCGTTGACGATGGTGGTCGGCTCGTACACGTCAAGCCGGGCGACAAGGTCTTTGTGTCGTTCGTTGGCGCGGCCAAGGACCCGATCATGTTCCCCGACCCGGAGGAAGTCAAGGTCAACCGGCCTTTGGAGAACTACATCCACTATGGCGTGGGCCCGCACGCTTGTCTGGGCCGGGATGCGAGCCGTGTCGCGCTGACTGCAATGTTGAAAGTTGTGGGGAGATTGGACAACTTGAGAAGGGCGCCCGGCCCGAAGGGAGAGCTGAAGAAAATCCCTAGGTAAGCGAAGTCTGGCTCAATGAAAAGCGAGGTTTGAGTGTTGACTTAGTCATAATAGACAAGGCGGCTTCTATGTCTACATGCGCGAGGATCACGGTAAGTTCATTGAAAACAGCATTTTGTTGCAGTTCTCGGCTAATGTCTTCTTAGGATCCTATTTCCCTTTCCCCACGAGTAAGTCAAGCAAGCTAAGGCGGAATCGTATCGTTGATGCTAACGCTGCGCAGCCATGCAGATCAACTGGGACGGTGCACTGCCACTGCTGCCAACTCGGCGGAATTAACGGTCTCCAACTGAAATTGAAAGGATGAGGATACCGAGATACCCGGATTGCACAGCGGATGACAGTTCTGATGTAGTTGGCATGAATAATCGTAATCGTTGCTTATGTTGCTCTAGATAGTTTATGTAGCGATGCAATTGCAAGAGAATGCTTTCCGCCCCCTACTCCCAGGAAACATCTCCGAGCGGCATCCCCATCCCACCCTTCCCCCCGTCATTCTTCCCCTTAAGCCCCTCCAAGAACCCCAAAATCTCCTCCAACACCCTCTCCGGCTGCTCCTGCTGCGGCCAATGTCCCACGCCCTCGATAATCTTCACCCCCCTAAAATCCGGACAGCTATCCGGAAACCCCTCCAGCGCGCCGGGCTGCTGATAATTCCCCCAATCCTTCGCCCCCGAGATAAACACCGTCGGCACCTCGATCTTCTTTCCCGCAAACAGATCCAGATCCCGCATCTTGGCTGGATCGGTCTGGCTCCGGTACCAGTTCAAGCCGCCTTGGAAGCCTGTGCGCCCCCACTCCTGGACGTATATGTCGAGGTTCTCGTCGGGGAGCCAGCGCTTCGTCAGGCTGGCGTCTTCGTTCTTCATGTTGGAGGCCACGACGGCGGGCATGCTGCTTTGTAGCGGCATGATGTAGTACTCGGGCATCTTGGCCAGCTCCTCAGCGCTCCACGCTTCGAGCGCGTGCGGCGTGTTGCCCGCCCAGTCGGCGGACTTGAGGTGGATGTAGCCGCGCAGGAACTCCTTCAGGCCTTGGTCTGGGCGTGCCCAGTCGGAAGCGGCGGGGGCGGTGCTGTTGTACCATTTGTAGTGCTTGCGGGGGTTCGGTAGGGTTGCCAGCTCCTCGTGGATGTCGGGTTTGTCGGGGCCTGAGGCCGCTGCTTCTTCTGGAGCGCTGTGCGCGGTGTCGAAGGGTAAGGCGGGTGGCGGCTTGAACGGATGCGACATCAGCACCAGCGCGCGGAACATGTCTGGCCGCATCAGCGCGCACATGGAGGCCGAGACGGCGCCGAAGTCGTGGCCGATGATGCAGTGGACGCGGTTGTGGCCCAGCGCGTTGACCAGGATGACGATGTCGCGGACGAGATTCGTCATGGTGAACTGGCTTAGGTCGACCTCGGCGTAGGGGGAGGTGTCCCAGCCAGTGGTGCGGCCGTAGCCGCGCTGGTCGAGGGCCACGACGTAGTAGCCCGCGCCTGCTAGGCCGGGCATAATTTTTCGCCAGGAGTAGGCCAGCTCGGGGAAGCCGTGGCACAGGATGATGAGAGGTTTGGAGCGGGAGGAATCGTAGCCGGCTTCGAGGATGTGGAAGGAGAGGCCGGCGGCGGGACAGGAGACCTGGTTCTCAGTGATGCCCTCGGGCAGGGGCAAAGGGGGTAGGGATTGGTTATCTGAAGCCATCTTGCAAGTTCTAGAGAACTCTGGATTGACGTTGGCTTATACAGGGGATGGTCTGTATGTAGATCACGTGTCGGCGGGAAGCGGACTAGGACGCGCGATGAATCGCTTGACGAGAAGGAAAGTTTATATGACTCAAGGAAACCGCCTGGGACGAAGCGCTCAGTGTCTTGCTATCCGGCACTTGCAAAACGGCAAGGCGTAAGATGCTCGCGGGGAAGGAATATAGAACTTGCTACACTGTCCCTGAGACTGGCCAAGAGGTCCTCGCAACTGGCTAGGAATAATGGAGGCAATTGAGGAAGCTCTTCCTGCCCATGAGGAAGTGGAGAAGTGTCTTTAAGACATCTCGGGCCCATCTAGACCACGAGAATGTACGTATACAGTATGATACGGGCAGTCAAGCGGAGCGGAAGCGGCACCCTCGGCTACATCCGGAGTGGAGATGTTGGAGGGGCTGCCGCGATGCATGTCAGTGACTCCGCAGAGACTAAGATGAGTCTATCCATTGCAGGTTTCTTATTTGGCCATGTGCCGGCTAGCTGCGTTTATTTATTGTGTGTAGCTAAGCCGGCAGAGGGTTCTGGGTCTCCGAAAACTCCACTACATTGATAGTAGGATAGTAGGATAGTTGGGCACACAGATTATCGCTTGCGTGCACGAAGAACGATGGATGGCCTGAAGGATACATGACGCCTTGTCGACGGACATGTCTCCTAAACCATGCCCTAAAACACAACGCTCTGAGGAGAATCTGTCGTGGCGCAGGCTGCAGTGGTTGTTGAGTGGTGTCCGAGGAGTCGTTAATTTCTGCTGTGGCGCTAGCTTCAATCTGCCAACCCGTTGACGCCGCATGACGCTGCGCGCCAAAAAGTGCCTATGCCCATGCCATCTCCAGCCCGTTCCATTGAAGGACTCTAGCTCTTGGCTGGCGCGACCCGTCCAACTATCCAAACCTTCTGTTGACGACAACCCTCTGTAATATCTGGAACTCATTCGTCCCTCACCCGTCCCGTCAGCTGATTGTGCGCTGGTCCTCGTTTGACCACCTCATCCTCAACGGACCTCCCTCGCTCGACTGGCCTACTTCCAACTCCCAGCTTCCAGCTCCCAACCATCCTTGCCCTCCATGACATCAGCCAGCAACCGCGCTCACCATCTTTCGCATTGTTAGGGGGAGAGCAACTGTCATTTCCAAAACGGTATCCATAGCTAGAGCGCGTCAACATGTTCCATCGGCGTCGAGCATCCTCGAATCCTGTAGGTAACCCCCTGAAGCGCATTGTTACCGCGCACCGAAAGCACGCTCCGCATCTCAGCTCGACAGCTAACCACTTCACGCGCAGCCTAGGAACAATGCGCCGCCGGCCACTGCGGCTACGCTTGCCGCCAGCCAGGCTTTTCTGAAAAACGCGTCCTCTAATGCCTCGCTCTCCTCTGCCGCAGCGGCTGCCGCCCTGCGGTCGCATACAACCTCTCCTGAACCCATCGGAAATCTACAAACGAAGCGCACGGCACGGAGGGGTTCGCTGTCGTCGCAAGCGGGCAACGGCGTTGGCAGAGGCACGCTACAAAGAAACAACAGCTCGGGGTCGATGACGGAGAGAACGTTCAGGACGGATTCGCCCAAGAACACACCGCCAGTACCAGCCATACCCCAGCACGTACGCGCTTCGAGCGTAGAACCGCCGCCGCTGCGCGTGAACTCGCCTACGGCCAGAGGAGGCAGGGGAGTTAGCGTTGATAGAGGGACGCGACGAACCTCTGCGCAACCGTATGGAACACGCGCTAATGGCCTGTCCGAAGTATCCGAGCTCGAGCGCGACGGCAGTCAACCATCGGTAAACTTTTCATACCCCAGAGTTAACCAGGCGAGCCCTCCTCCCAGCCCAAGAATCAGTTCGGGGCGGACAGGTTACAGTGGCTGGTACACGGAACCGATCGCAAGCGGAGCAGCTCCGAGGGCTGACCTTACGGTGCGCGCGCCTCAATCGAACACGCTTCCTCCTAACGAGGTGTCGAGTATACAGCAGGCGATTCAAGATGCTGCCAACAAGCCTGTGGGAAAGAAGAAGCAAAAGGCTGTCCCAGGAGAGCCGGGCAGTTACCTGGCAACCGGGAGCATGGTAGCCAAACCCACTGGAACCGCCACCCAAGGCGATTCTACGGAAAGCTACGGACACGCCGCGCCCGGTGCCAACACCGGTCGCAAGCTAGAAACCGACCAAGGTGCTCGTATATCCAACCCGGCCGCCTCTACCTCTGTAGCCCCGGCGAAATCCTCCGCTCCACCTCTGCAACGTCAACGCTCCTCCAGCCTCACGGTCCCTGCTCGCTCGTTCGCTCAATCGGATGCAAGGGGAACGGGCCGGACCGAGCGAGCAATGTCATTGAGCCCATCGAGGTCGACGCATTTTGCAGCTGCTCCTGAGTTACTGAGTGGCATCAAGCATCAGCCACCGCCTCGTTCGCTGTCACCGGCCAAGTCTGCCCTGAAGCACTCACCATCTTCCTCTGCCAGGAATGGCTCTCCAATCCCAAATTCCGCAACAGGCAAACCCAGAGCTCCGCCAAGCGACGTGTCGGACACAATGTCGGATGATGGAGCGAGGCCAAAGAAGAAGAAGGGTGCAAGGGTGAGCTTCGACGAGGACACGGTTGGCTTTGACAGAGGTGACGATTCACCAACATCTTCTCGAGGGGGAGGCATGGAGTCTTCTCGGTGGAGCGGCACAACAGCTGCTGCAAACGAACAGGACTACGGCTTGAAGCCAATGCCAGCTCTACCTTCTTTTGGAAGCATCCGCAGCCAGAGGAGGCAAGAAGAACCGGAGATTATCGAGAAGGTCACCGAAACAGCACCATCATCCATGTCAACCTCCATATCCACACTGGCTGAGCCCATGGGACCTTCAAGTGACCATGCAGTGGGTGGAATCTTTGCTAGGGACTACGCCACGAAGCAAACTACAGAGTCGAAGCGCAGAAGCGCCGAGCCAGCGAATGCTGTATCGGTTAATCCAGCTCCAGCGACGACTTCCAGCTCAAGCTCTACATTCGACTCGGACCAAAGCCGTGACAACACTGGAAGTAAGCCAAGTCCGCAAGTTGAGCCTCAACGATCTTCTAGTGTTTCATCGCATACCCTGGCATTCGCTGCTAGTATTGTCGGTGAAGCTGAGTCGAACCCCTCGCATGACGATGGTATACCATCAATCTCCCTTGAACCTCCTACGCCCAAGGCCGAAGAGTACGACGAAGCGCCGGACTATGTCATGCCTGGAGGATGGGACGAGGATGCATTTCACCGAGCCAGAACCGGGCCTGTGGAGACGCAGCAATGGATTGCTGAGCCTACTGCTGAGCCTAAGTCATCAACAGAAACCGCTGCAGAACCGGTGGCGGTCGAGGCAGCGCCAGTTGCCGTCACAGATGTACCGCCAATTGCACGTCCGCAACGGGGGAGACAACTGACTGCTGTCACTGAAGAAGCATCATCCGACGACGACGATAGCATCTATAGTGACGCGGAGGAGAATCTCGACGAAGATGACAGAGGGTTCAGTTCCTTGAATGCCATTGCGAATAGCCCTATCGGTCCATCATCGCCGCGAATGGCAGTTGCTACTCCACCTGACAGCCCGGTAGTAGCCGCGCCACCTCAGCAAGGAAGGCTATCAAATTGGCTGCCAAGTCAGAGCGTCGAGTCGTCACCTTCCGATACTGCTGAAGATTGGAATCAAAGTAGGGCATACTGGAGCAGCCTGAATGAGCAAAGAAAGCAGCAGCTTGAGCATGAGGCTCTGGCGGCTAGCAGTCCGTCGGTACAGCCAGCCCTCAGCGAGCCAGCTCCCAGCGAGCCAACTCAAGCTTTACCAGCGTCGAAGCCGAAGAAGAGGATAAATGCTGTACCGCAGCAAGCCCCTCCGACACCGTTGGCTGCTTCCAAAGCAAGCGCGCCACGATCCCAACAGCCATCTCAGCCAAAAGCACCAGCTATGAGGCAGAGCCTGCGTGCGCCTTTCGAGCCCACCGCAGCAGAACAGCCGGCAACCCACATGCGGAAATCTATGAGGGGCGATGACGCTGCACGGACAATGAGAGGAGGTAATACGATGCGCACGTCCATGAGAAGCGTAGAGCCGGAGAGTGCAAGACCCGCTAGTCCGCCAGCACAAGCCCCGGCCGCAAGAGGAGCGCTACAAAAGAAGAATATCCCTTCTGCGCCTACCATGAGAAGCATTCCGCCACCACAGACTGCTACAGCGGCCAAGAACAGAGCGTCCGCCATGCCTGCACTCGGCCGGAAGATGTCTGATGACTCGGTTGCCTCGGCCAGCAGCTTCAGGAAACAACGTCGGCGTACATCTGACACTGGCGGTGCAGGCGGGTATACCATGAAGCGGAGTATGAGGGGCTCCTCTCAGCCAGCGCCGATAGAGCAGCGACCAGTATCACCAACGCCGCCCCCTACAAAATCGTCGAGATTCAGTATCCGATCTCTGTCGCCTACCGGGTCTTTTATGCGTAGACCGATGACTGGCAGTGCAATCCGAGCTTCGCTTGACACCGGCGCTCCTACACTTCGCCCGCAATCCGCAAAGCCAGAGAAGGCTTCAAAGATCTCCGGCTTCGGCAAGTCTTCGAAACCAAAGGCACCCGCGCCGAAGGCTGCTTCGCGCTACGAGTCTCGCTTCGGCGACTCCAGCGACGACGAAGACGCCCGCCCTACATTCCGCAGCCGCTTCGCTGACTCGGACGATGAGGACGACGCCCCTGTCCCGACCGGCCTGACACCAGTCCGAGGCATTCCACGACGAGCCGGGGACGAAGACCGCGATTCCACCGACCTCTCCGACGAAGAGAGCGACAGCGGGCGCCGCCCCAAGCAGCACCCTCCAGTCCCCACATCCGCCGACGTCAGCCAGGCTGCATCGGCAAGGCCCATGACCAACGGCAACCCCCAAGGCGCCGCGCTCGCTTCCGGTACCCTGCGAGACTCGAGCAAACCGACCGCCGAGCTGCCCAACGGCTTCCCCGGCACCAAGCCCAAACCCAAACGCGGCTTCTTCGGCATGGGCAAGAAGAAGCCTGCGTCCGAGCCCCTGGGCCGCCCCATCACGCCCATCGACGCTAAGCAAATGGCCGATAACGCGATGGCGCAGTCGCCGTCGGGTGCAGCGTCCCCGCGGAGTCCGCGCCTCCATCGCAGAAACACCCCGACGATGCAGCGCATGGAGAGCGATACGTGGCCGCTGCCTGCGCCGCCGGCGATTGGCGGGGAGGAGAGGCCGGCGACGGCGGATGGGGCGCCCGTGGTCGTGAAGCCGCAGAGGCCGGAGATTGGGGCCAGGAGGAGCACGTACGATGAGAAGGGGAACGTGTTGGGGCGGAGTGGGAAGAAGAAGAAGTTTCAGTTCTTGAGGAAGGCATTTCGGCTGGATGATTGAGTCTGCACGTGGAAGAGGGATGTTTTCTGGGCCGAGCTATGCTTTAATCAGATCGATGTAGTGCGATCCTTGAATTTTGTTGCAGATAGGGATGGCGTTGATGGAGTGGAGAGGATGCAGTCCTCTTCTCGTTACCGCCAAGATACGGCCCTTACATTTATCTAATTCTAGTGTTCCTTTGTAGACTAGATCCTCTTCGAGCATGTAGTGTTTAATGCCGTTTGCTACGAGTCCCCAGACCCGACTGTTTGCGGATCTCTACAGTTCCTGAGCGCACAGCGTCTCCTGCTACTTTAGATGCCCTTCAACCTGAGACGAATCAGGTACTGTCAGTTCAACCAACTCCAAAACCTGCATCTAATTCTGAAATGTGAGATCTGGATAGAATCGCACGGCTAGGTGGTGCACGAGTCGCTCTACCACCAGGCCAAGCTTTCTGTCACCGCATCGTCAGCCACAAATCCTGTACCACAGCCCTTTATGATGCGGGCAAGACTGCGCCCTCCATCTCTCGAAGCATTTTAAGGTTATTAGAACGTCACAGGTGCAAGTACTCGAACGTTCCACAGCTTTATATATTGCTCATAGCGAGATGGTGTTCGTTTTCGCTACTTCTGTCATCCGCTTCTTCTTGATCTCTACGCTCTGAGTCATGCCATCTCAGATGTAGATCACTCCTATACATTTACAACACTCGTGCTCATTGTCGTGCTTTTGTCCCAGAGTCACCTTCAGTTCAAACGAGATACCGTTTCTTCTCCAGTAAGATGGCATCAACAGTACACCTCGACGGCCGAACCCTTGAAGGTGGCGGCCAAATCGTGCGCATAGCTTTGGCCATATCGGCTCTGACTGGTATACCAATTCGGATCACCAACATTAGAGGCAACCGGACCGACGGCGGGGGCCTCAAGAACCAGCACCTCGCGGCAGTAGACTTCTTGGCCGCCGCGTGCGATGCCACTGTTACTGGCGCGGAGCTCAAAAGCAACACGCTTGAATTCAAGCCCAGCTTCTCTTCCAGCAACCTGGCAGCAAGCCAGCAGCAGCCACACCCAGACCTAAAAATCAAGCAAAAGACGGTTGGTAGCATTGCCCTGGTGCTGCAGGCGATTCTTCCATTCCTGCTTTTCTCCTGCGGAAGCGCGCCTGGACCCGCAGGCTCACAGCCAGATCATCCTGGTCTTTCCGTTACTGTCACCATCACGGGTGGCTTAAACGGATCTACCTGCCCATCGCAAGACTACATCCACGAAGTGCTCTTACCGACTCTATCCCGCATCGGCCTCCCATCTATAGCCACTCTCTCCGCCCGCCGACACGCACACGACAGCAACGAAGGCGGCGCAGTCCAATACCACATAACCCCACTCGGCCCCGGCACTTCCCTCTCAGGCTTCCGACTCACAGACCGCGGCAAGATAACGCACATCAGAGCGCTGATACGCGGCCGCAGCACCCTCACAGCTCGCGCGCGGGACGAGCTGAGAGCCCAATTAAAGAAGTTCGCGGACGCCTCACCTTCCCACTTCGCGGACCGCGCTCTCGCTTTCGAAATCCAGAACACCAACTCCAAACACCTCTACGTTCTCCTAGTAGCTCTCAGCACCAACGGTCACCGCCTCGGCGCCGACAGGCAGAGAAACTGCGTACGGCAGACCGAAGGCCTTACGCATCGCAGAGTGGCACTGCTGGTTGAGGAAGTCGCGACCCAGCTGTTCGGGGAGATCGAGCGTGGGGGCTGCGTTGACACGCATATGCAGGACCAGCTCGTTATTTTCCAGGCGCTAGCGAAAGGCAGGAGCGTGGTTGACGGCGGGCGGAAGGAGCCGAGTCTTCATACGAGGACTGCTAGGTGGGTCGTACGGGAGATGTTGGGGGTGAAGTTTGACGAGGGAGATGGGAGTTGTGAGGGTATTGGGCTTGTTGCTGGGGAGAGATTCGCGGATAGGGCGATAGATGGGGTGGATACTGAACTCCAGAAAACCTCAATAAAAGGCGGTTAAGGGCTCGTGCATTACAGCATCCGAACCACTGCTGGAGATGGGAATCGTGGCAGGCGACCTTGACGGCGCGCAAGCCACAGTGTAACGAGACATCGGCGACACATCAGACCCGTGCGGCCCTAAGAGGCTTCGGGATAAGCTGATAGCATGTTCAGCAGACCTAGAGCTTGGCTTGGAGGAGGTGTGGCCGACCAAAACCTCAGGCGGAACAAGCGAGGAACTGTCTATATCTTCATCATCTAGTAGACGCCAATGAAAGAACTAGAACGAGGGAATACCGACCTGCTCTACAAGCAATACCCAAAATGCAAAGTCCCCAAATCCGTCCCATCCCTAAACCCCTCGGCAGTTGCCATCTCATCCGCGCCATTCTTCGTCCTCTCGGTAACACCCATCTTCCTATCCCGTCTGCGATTCTCTCAACACATGTGCTGCCTCAGGGACAGCGCAATAGTAAAGATGCCGCAGTAGCAGACGATCAGCCCCGTCAACGCGGAGAGATACCGCGGCGCCTCACGCGCGAAGAAGACGTTGGCGCCAGCAATGTTGCCCGCGGCGTCGAAGGTGAATTAGAGGCCGTTAGCGATGGAGCGTTTGGTGTGGCTGGTGATGTTGGACGTCAGGAGGTTCAATGAGAGGGGGAGGGAGAGGACGTGGAAGACCCTTTCGCGCCGGCCATATTGGGAGTGACGCAGTTTGAGGAAGAGATGGTAAAGATGATAAACTCTGAAAAGGAGACGGAATCGAGAGTTCTCAAGCTCGTACATGAGCTGTACTTACGTACTCTTCTAGTCCTACACGACGGCTGCGCGCCTGGCGAGATACAGCATCACCTGACGACAAGAGGGTTGCATTGGTGGGTCGACCAGTGCTCTTGATAGGTCCTCGACTGATAGGACATCGCACCGCAGATGAAAGATCACCGCCATGCGTCCGGCGTTGGAAATACTCTCGCTGCCGGAAGTTCATTAGATCTGATATAATGCCAAGCTTGGCCCAAATCATCATCATACTCCTCCAAACTGACTGCTACATACAGGAACCATCTAAACATGGAGAACAGCCTCATAGCGCGTACCTGAACGTAGGAGATCTATCGCCCATCGCACTCATCTCGTCTAGAGTGAATCCATTGTGTATCCCCTCAGCCATCTGTCTGTCTCTCTTCTTGTTGATCCTCTTGTAGTTCAGCACCAGTACCCCAACAGCTATGATACCTGCACAAATGAAACCCAGCTCCAGTGCATGGCCGAGGATGTAGCGGGGTCCGTCCCTTGCCCGGTAGAAGTTCGATGCCATTGCACCTGCCAAATTACCAACACCGATCTGGATGGCCATGCCGACAGCGCGCTTTGAGCTTCCTGCAAGGTTACTCGAAAGCCACGTGATGACTCCTGGGAAACTTGGATAGATGGCGCATGCAGAGATAAACACGCCCGCGTAGACGACACCAGGTTTGCCGGAAGAAAGACACATGATGAATCTGAGCATGTCAGTAACGGAGCAAGAACTGCCTTTTCGAGAGTGCTGCGAGGGGAGACATACCCGATGCCCGAGATGCAGAGGAAGGTGAAGATGAACGGGCTCCGGACGCCCTTACGGTCACTCAGCCATGCGATGCCAACAGCCAAACAGGCCGCAGTGATGTAAATTGGCACGGTGAGCAGCTGCGCCGTCGAGCTTGTGTACCCCAGCTCCCGGATGATGGTGGGCAGGAACAAGCTGATGCCGTACAGCGGACACACAATGCCCCAGTAGACGAAGATGTTGACCCAAATTTGCCAGTCCAGGAACGCACTTCTCACGTATTTCCATTTGAATTCGTCGGTCTGAGCAACGTGAGGTGCCGAATCTTGAGAAGTATCTCCATTCTTTGCAGCGGCGATCTGCGCTTGGTACTTGAGGCGGTAGACCACGAAAGCCTTTTCCTCTGCGCTGAGGAAGCCAGCAGTCTCCGGGAAGTCGTAGAGGGTGAAGAAGGCGATGATGGCAACGATAACTGTAAGCAGTCCTTCGAGGATGAAGATCCATCGCCACCCTTCCTGACCGCCAACGCCGTCCATCTTCGCAATGGCGAAGGCCAGAAGTCCCGAGAAGGCACCCGCAATGCTGGCAGCACTGAAGAAGAGGGCTTGTCGGAATTGCGCTTCGTGGCGGCAGTACCACATGGTAATGTAGTATGCCACACCAGGGAAGAGGCCGGCTTCGGTAACGCCCAGGAAGAAGCGTGTGATTAGTAGGCCCTTGTAGTCTTTTACAAGGCCCATCAGCGTCATCACTGGAGGTCTTGTCAGTGTTAGAGCCTAGGGACTGCTTAGATAGGATAATACCTGTGCCCCATGCAACCATAATCGTGGGCAGCCAAATGCTAGGCCGCAGCTTCTTGAGCAACAAGTTGCTCGGAACCTCAAAAGCCGCATAGCTGAAGAAGAAGATGGTGAGCGTCCAGTTGTACTGCGGACCCGTCATATGAAGATCATCCACAAGGCCTTCAATGCGTGCATTTCCTATGTTTCCTCGGTCCAGAAAGGAGAGCAGGTACAGGAGCGCCAGCATGGGGATCAGATGAAGGTCCATCCGGCGGAGAATGGCCTTCTCGTCTAGATGCTTAAACGAATCCAGTGTAAGGCCAGGCGCGGTTGCAATGGCATCGATGGCCTGGACCTGCTCGGACCTGCTCAACCTGCGCCCTGGAGAATGCTCCAGGCGCTCTTGGAGACCTCTGCCATCAAACTCGGAGGCATTGGAGAATTTCTTCTCGTTCATGTTCACGGATGATCCACGGCGCATTGTGATACCCTTCTCTTCTTTCCGAGGCAGAGACCTTGCGTTGCGTGGCTATTCTAGACAAAGGCTGCTCCGAGAACCTTTCGAAAAATGGAGAAAATATTCACGAGTGACGCGCAAACCCGTATCAGGACTCAAAACTGCAGAAACACCGAAGAGACAGAATCACAGAAAACGGGCGGTGTCAGACTATGTAGGCACGATAGGCTTTGACACGAGGGACCCCACATTCCCCTCGTGCTCGCTAGGCTTGCCCCGAAACACTCGAAAACACTCCACATTTCCCCAGGAGCTCCTCCACAACAGGGTCTTTGACTGGGCCCCCTTGGTCGTCAGAGGCGTTGAGAGGTGTTGTTCCCTGCTCTCGGCGCATGTCATTGGCGATCAACGCTTCGACCGTTGCGCTTGCTGCTCTTGACCTCGGTAAAGCGAATGCACATCCGGGTCGGGCAGAGGCGGCTTTCGCGCGAGAAACGCGAGACGGTAAAGCTTGATTCGACGTGGAACGATTTGGTAAGAATTGGTGAAGTGGCGAAGCAGCCGTAAGCAGGGTTACATCGGGAGCTGCAGGAGGAAAGTGGAAGATAGTCCTCGCGCAGGGGCGACTTATCACCAGCGCTCCGACGCTCTCCGCACTCCTCACTCCGACATCCTCCAGAACTGTTTGTTAAGTGCGGTAGACGAGGGAACCAACACACAACGGGGTTTATAGGTACATAGCTAGTCACGTGATATCAGTTTCTTACCAACAATCCGCACACACTACCTCCTTCCCCCGCCTCAACCACCTCTAACCTCATACTCCTCCCCAATGCTCCACCCCGCCAACTTCTCAATCAAGCCCTCATCCCACACCGGCTGCAAATCCCTACCCTCCTCATCCAAACACCCCAAATAATTCGTGATATCCCTCCCATCCTCCTCCCTAACCTCAAACCCATTCCCCAGAAACGCAAACCTATTCTCGTCCCAATAGTCCATTTCAAAATCCTCATACCTAGGCGCCTTCATAATCTCAAAGAAGTGCAATCTCGACCCCGGCCAAACCGCCGCCTGCCCATCCTGCTTCCCCTGCTTGAACCAGCTCCGACACGGACTCGTCCACGCCGTGCGCCTCAGAAACAAATCCGCGTGCTGCCGAAACTGCCGCGCGAGCTCCAGCCGCGGTGCCATGGATTTGATGTTCTCGACCTGCGCCTTCGTGATGCAGGCGAACATGTACTGCGTCCAGCGCTCAATCAGCGGCAGGAAGCTGCCATGCCCCAAGGGGCCATACGGGCCGCAGAAGGAGAAGTGGTTCGGGAAGTCTGGGATCATGATCGACAGGTAGGACGTCACGTTATTCTCGCCGGCCCAGATCTCGCGGAGATCGCGGCCCGAGCGCCCGATGAAGGGGAAGCGCGGGAGCCAGGAGGTGTCGAAGCCGGTTGCGCAGATGATGACGTCGACGGCGTGTTCATGGCCTTCATGGTCGGTGAAGCCGGTGGGGGTAATGCGGCCGATGGGGTCGGTAAAGACGGTTGTGTTGGGGGCGGTTAGGGCTTCGAGGTAGCCCGGAGCGGGCGTAGGACGTCGGCAGCCAGGGTTGAAGTTTTTGGGGATGATTTTGTCGACCAGGCGAGGGTCGTGCTTCAGTTTGCGAGACATTTGGTCGATAGAGAAGGCGCGGGCTGTGCGGGACTCGGGGCTGCCTTTGATGATGAATTTGAAGCGTTGGTTTAGCTCGTTCTCCACCTGCTTGCGATACTCCAAATAACTGCGGGAATTTTTGGAGAGATAGTCAAGTTGGTCCTTGCTGTCTGTGAGCGAACGCGATTAGCAAATAGAGAGAGAGGAGGCAGCGTGGAGAACTTGCATGCGAAATTTGCGCCATCTCGACCGGCCCAGCCTTGCGCGAAGCCTGCCGTTATCCAGATTGGACTTCGGATCCAGTGATAGAGCTTGTCCACCTTCTTCTGAATGGCTGACACAATCTGCACACCGCTGCTGCCAGCTCCAATGACGGCAACTTGTTTGCCATCAAGATTATACCCCTCCTCGTACCTGGCTGAATGCATCAGCTTCCCTTGGAAATCCATCAACCCGGGGATGTTCGGCCATTTCCAGTTGTTTAGCACGCCTCCGGCGTTGATGAAAAACTCCGCCGCATCCTCGATTACTTCGTCGCTCGCCAGATTCCGAATCTTGAACCTCCATAGACCGGCAGAGTCGTCCCACTGGACGTGCTCGATCTGATGACGAAGCTTGATGTACTTGGCGATAAAATCGTTCTCAACCTCGATATCTTTAAGGTATTGCCATATCTCGGGCGAATAGGAGTAATAATGCGACCACAACTTGATCTTCCAGGAGAATTGGTAGTTCACAGAAGGTATGTCGCAGGCACAGCCAGGGTATCTATCAGCATCTCAGCGTCGGACATATGCTTCATCGCCTAGTCATCTGTCTACTTGGTAGGCAAAAGCACCTACCTGTTCTCGAGCCACGTCCCACCGATGTCGTTGTTCTTCTCGTAGCAAACTATCTCGACACTCTGCAGCTGCTCTTCGGCGTGTTTGAAAAAGTTCAAGGAGGAGGCACCGGCGCCCATTAGGATGACCTTGACTTTGCGCTTGGTGCCCATTGGCTGTTCACGTATACGATATCCATGCTCATCAGTCTCTGGCGTTGGCTCTTCGTACCCGTTGACGGGTTCGTTAGCGTCGAGCCTATTGCCGTTGGTGGCGTAAAGATTCTTGGAGTCGGACTGTGAATCCGAGTTTACGACCATATTGAATTGCTGGCTTATGTTTCCTGTTGTGGGCTACGACTCATGAAACTTGAGGGTTCGGCAAACGGATCAAAGGCAAGGGTATACAGTTAAAATGATAGGATTGCTGGTGACAAGACTACAGGAAGGGCATAAAGCGGATGACACTGGACGAGTAGACAGGAAAAGGCAAAAACGGCTTCGGTATATAGAAAAATCGGCAAGACAATCCGTATATATTCTTACTCTAGAAGTTGAGGCTGCCCCAGCACTGCAGACAGGATAGAGTACTACTAGAGCAAGAGGATAATGCGGGGTATGGCTAAAGCGGATCAAATCATGAGGGGCAAGCTCCACGGCTCTGCCGAAAGGCAAGAGGTCTACCTAGGCTCGGAGACGGACTGAGAAACGCTGATGTAAAGTCCTGCATCCTTTCCCATGGTCTACGGAATGTGAAGGGCGGACGCGATGAGGATTTTGAGGGCGCCGTAGGGCTGAACGACCTTGACCTCCCCGGATCAGACCCGCGTTGCTCACCTCACGTCTGCACGCGATGCACGTGTCTTGTCACGTTGTGGCACAGAACGCACGGGTACTTGATGATGGTGCTCCGGAGAGAGGTCTTCATATGTTGCCCGACAACGCCCATCTACTCGGCTGGGTTCATGAAGCGATGCGTTAACAAGGTGGTTGGATGCCGAAGAGGAGCAGCGCTGCGGCGCCCGTCACAACACCGCAAGAGCACAACGCTGTCTGATGCTGATGATGAGTATGATTGGGATTGCGACGATGGACAAAAGTCTCCCCTCGCCTTCTCCGTGATTGATCATGCTCAGTTCTGGGGGCCGTCCAATCACCCCCCGCCTCAGCTGGCACGGTGAGTGGGTGACAGTGGGTGACAGCCGGGAGCACCAGCCTCAGTCTCAGCCTGAGCACCGTCATACACCCACCTCAGCCCGGCGTAAGCTGCTGCGGCCGCCGTCTCCAATAGTTATCTTCATCCAGACCGGGCTCAGCGCTCGTCCCCTTCATGCGCATCGCATACGTGAAGCCGCCCTCTTAATACCCCTCCGCAACTCTCCCGCACACGCCAAGCCAGCGAGACAGACGACACGGGAACACTGCTTAGAGCGAGCGCCCGCAGCTCTCCCAAATCATCGCGAAAAGCCTTCGATTCGCCGGCAACTGTGCATCTCCCGGCTGCGCGAGGGCATACCTAGGTGTTGTACGGACGGCCGGCAGATGTGGACATCCGACCTGCCAGAGATCGGTTTCCTGCGCCGGGCGCTGCCAGCAAGCCGTTTGCCAGCCTCGTACATGTTAGACTTCGAGACTGAGGAGCCACATACTTTGATTGCAGAAGACGCGGTGCTCGGTCGCCAGGATGGCATACTACTCGAACGGACAGTACTACAACACCGCCGCTCAGCCGCCGCAACTTCCACCAAGCCAGTACCAGAATGCCTACGCGCGGAGGTCGCCTAGTTTCGACGATGGAGATGACGCAAGCCCCGGACTGAATGGAGGTGCAGCCGACCAGTATGAGTATCCAACGCCGGAGCGCAGGAGGAGTAGTGCGCGACAAACAGATGAGCTGTTCATGGGCGCCTTTAGCACAGCTCCTGCGCAACCCATCGGCTCACCCACCGCTGCGGGGATCCCGTACCAGCAACACACCTCGCTCGGCAGACAACAGTCTGTCTACAACCCTCAAGATTATGCGTCTACAGAATCCCCATCGAGTCCGCTACCCTACAGTGTGCCCGCCAGGACATATAGCACTACATCACATCTGCCCTACAACCCAGCTGCGTACAGGGAAAGCAATATTGCTCCGCAGTCTGCGTCGCCCGGCTATCCGTATGCCTCTTATCCTACGACTATCGCAATGCCCTCCCCACCACAACCTTATTCTCCAATGACACCACCAACAGCACAGCAACAATTTTCTGGAGGCCGCACGCAGTCGTATAGCCAGAGAGCCAACGCTTATCCTTCGGCGAACATGTATCAAAATAGCGCTTTGTCTTCGCAAAGTTCGTTTGCGTACTCGCCGCCGGCACCGCCGCCAGTGCCTGCCGTGGCAGGGAGCGCAATTTCTCCGAGCGACACCTGGGACCATCTGCCAGCACGTCAGCCATCCGAACGACAGAGATATCATTATAGTCGAGTTTCGGACTCGAGTCTCTCGCCCAACAATTTACCTTCACCGCCAATGCCAGGCCATGGCAGGTCAGCCAGCCATATCGAAAACCACACTTCTCCAACATTCTATCCGCCCTCGAATTCGCTTCCCCCTACTCCAGGACCACCGCCACCGCCCCATACGGTTGCGCCGCAGAGGACGGACACGTTGAACCGACATCCAACGCAGCGTGCGCTACCCCCACGGCCGTCACCTGGATCAGACAGCGAACCGGACTACTTCAATCGCTCCAACGGGAGGTTTAGTCCAACGGCAGAGGCTTTGATGCAGGACGACTTATTCCATCAACTTGAGACCACCTTGAACGCACGATCTCCTGTCATCCACGTCACCGACGATGAGTCGACGACGCCGGTTTACGCGTCAGCGGGTCGGAACGGCGACGTTTCCAACGGTCATCTCACACCGGATACAGCAGATCAACGTTACAGTACCTATAGCGACGAAAGCGACGCTGAGGCAGCCGCTGGCGTCGCTGCCATGGCGATGGCTGACGAGCAGGACCGTCTCGATGCGGAAAGGAGGGAGAGTGGAGGCCCGAGCGGGTTGTTTTCTGCCTTTGCACCAGCTTTACCGCCGACACCCGAGCAAAATCGCACAGAGGGCGGAAGCCAAAGCGATGACAGCTATCCTGCTGTTGACGTGGGTATATATGGTGGCAGCTTCCTTCCTGACTTCTCCTACAATGGACGATTGGGAACAGGCACAGGCAGTCTGCGCGAGCACGTGAATCGAAGTGATCCTGTGTCGTCGTCCGGGTCACGAAGATCGCAGAAGACCAATGACACTGGTACTATCTACGACTTCGACACGATCCACCCATTCCCTCCCTTCAGAACCGACGCCCGCGTTGATACCTCCGGCACTGGTGGACTCGCCGATCCGAGCACACTAAGAAGGCGGTTGAGCTACGATGAGGGCGACGAAACTGGTTTCGTGGATACCTCAGCTCCGGCCGCAAACGAGCCAGCTGATATGTTCTTCCATCCGGGGATGTCCACACGTCGGCCGTTGCCGCCTCCTCCGGCTGGCGAGCTACAATTTAACCGGACTACATCGTCACCAGGTCCTTACGCTTCTAATAGCTACAGCATCTCAACCTATGCGCACGGCCGTCCAGTCTTTCCAGCAGGGCCGAGCGATTTCACACTTCTGCAGAGCCCTGCTGGAAGCGTCCCCAGGTCCACCTCCCTGCTTAGCCACAGCAGCACGCCACAGATTATACAACCGATGCGCTCGAAGACCGATGCTGAGGAACGGAGATTGAGACAGCAGCAGCATCGCCAGTCTACGGTGTTTGGTAACGATAGCGGCACCGAGGGCTTGACTCCTCCGAATGCTAGCGCTGTCGCCCTGGACCTACCTGCTCTCCCGGCAGGGAAGCGCTTCAACCCACACAAGCTTACGCCGAATGATTTCAAGAGGTGTACGGAGCCATGGGCGCTGAGCTCCGTCATCTCATGGCTCAAATCCATGACCGAAGGAGAGCAGGACCTCAAGCAGCAAGCGATTGTTGACGGCTTGGTGGCGCTCTTTACGCACAAAGTCCCAACAATGAATGTTGCGGACGCAGAAACCCTAAGCGCTCGTGTCGTGAACGACATGTTCAAAGCCGGAACGCTGGTGCATGAAGAAGAATGGCTCAAGTTCAGTACAGCGACGATGACTGGTGTTATCTACCAGCTCACCGGATCTGGGTGCTACTCTCCGAGACTGCATGACTACCACTATCCGGGACGATGCTACGCTCATCATTGCCAGCGGACATTGAAGAAGATCGACCTGCAAGCACAGTCATCAGCGAGGCAGTCAGGTACCTGGGCAGAGTTCTACAAGCTCAAAAAAGAAGACATTGAGGGAATTGATGGAAGGGAGGTCGAGCGGCAGAACGTCCTGCATGAGATTGTAACGACCGAAGAGAATTATATGAGCAGCATCGACGTCCTGAGAGTGTTGTACCGCGATGCGCTCATCAAATCTCAACCCCCTGTCATCGGTCCCACGAAGCTGAAGAAATTCATCAGCGCCGTGTTCGGTAAAGTGGATGTGGTAAAGAAAGCGAATGAGGAGCATCTTCTGCCGCAACTGAAGTACCGCCAGCAAGAGCAAGGGCCCTGGATTATTGGCTTCAGCGACATCTTTCGCGAGTGGATACGCAAAGCTAAGAGCGCGTACATTGAGTACGCTGCCGCCTTTCCATACGCTACTCTCCAGATCCGACAAGAGGCGGAGAGGAACATGTTGTTCCGTTCTTTCCTGGAACAAGCAAGGACCAACAAGATGTCGAACAAGCTTGACTGGACTACGTATCTCAAAGAGCCTATCACCCGGTTACAGCGCTACGGACTTCTGCTGGACACCGTGCTCAAGAGGACTGTGAAAGACAGCGACGAGAAGCGCAACCTTGAGACCGCTATTGAGGAAATTAAGCAGGTTACAGTTGAATGTGACGCGAGGGTAGCTGAGATGGACCGGAAGCTTGAGATCACCGACCTTCAATCCAAACTTATCCTACGACCAGGCATGCAAGCGGACCTGAATCTCGACCATCTCGGCCGTCAACTTATTCACAAGGGTGACCTGCAAAGACAAGGAGGAAGCCGATTCACTTGGCTCGAGACGCACGCGCTGCTTTTCGATCACTATCTTGTGCTGGCGAAGACGGTGCAGCAGCGAGATGTTGACGGAGGCGTCAAATACGAAAAGTATGATGTTTCAAGGCCGGTATGGTTCCTTCTTGCCCGATGAACTCGATATCAATTGCTGATTTCTTTCGCAGCCCATTCCCATGGATCTCCTCATCCTTGAGTCAACTAATGACGAGCCCGTTGTCCGATCTTCCATGAAAGGCATCTCCACCGTCACAACCGCCACAGTCCGAGGTAGCACGCCCGCTGACGCGCGCCTCGGCGGCCGCACTACTGCCAATACGGAGCGACCCACTCCAGGGCCTCTTCAACATACCAACACATCCTCTTCCATCAACTCACAAGCATCCTCCTCAGCCTCCACCAGGACTCTGGTCACGACGACATCCCTCGATAGTACTAAAGACGACAAGATACTGTACCCTTTCCGTATCAAACACCTTGGCAAGGACGAATACACCCTCTTCGCCCCCAACCCGCAAGTCAGACAAAGCTGGTGCGAGAAGATCATTGAAGCCAAAACACGACACGCAGCAGCCCTCTTCGCGCAGAACGCGGAACCCTTCCGGTTGCGGGTGATGGCCGACAGTGCGTTCGCCTACGAGGGCGGTACAGTGGGCCAGAAGAGCATCATCATCAAGAACACACCGCTTGACAGGGCCATCCAGGATGTCAACAAGATGTTTGCGAACACGGCTCGCCCGGTTCCGATTTGCCGAGCGAAGGTCAACTGCGCGACCACGTTCATGCAGCCTTACGGAAAACAGATGGTGGCGGTGGGAACAGATTTTGGGGTATTTGTCTCGGAGGTGGACAACCCTCGAGGATGGTCACGAGTGCGTCTCTTCCTCCCTTGCTCTCATATCACACCACGGGGAACGACTTACTAACAAAATTGGTAGGTGATTAATAATCTGAAAGTCACCCAGGTTGCGGTGCTCGAGGAATTCAGCCTCTTCCTGCTGATCTCAGACAAGTCGCTCATCGCTTACCATCTGGATCTCATTTGCCCCGTCGGCGGCGCGCCACCAAGCAGTGACTCCTCCAGACGCGCACCGCAGAAGCTAAGCGGGTCCCGGGACGTGGGATTCTTCGCCGTGGGTCGGATGAAAGACCGCACGCTCGTCTTCTACAAGAAACGAGAGAGCTTGTCGTCCACCTTCAAAGTGAGTTCACCTTCCTTACCCGAATCCCAGCTCGCCTATCTATCCTCCCCGGTTTGGAGAGATGAGAACACTTCCAAAGATCATCTGCTAACCGCTCACCCTCACTTCAGGTCCTCGAGCCCGTCTACCAAAAGTCCACCGAAAAGCGCGGCCGCCTCCTCCCCAAGCGCGGCACAACCGACTTCTTCCGCGAATTCGACGAGTTCTACATCCCGACCGAATGCACCTCGCTGAACCTCTTCCACTCCTCCCTCGCCGTCTCCACCGCAAAAGGCTCCTTCGAAGTCCTCACCCTCGACAAGAAGCAGCCCTGGAGCGTCCCCGATCTCAAAGCCCCCCACGTGGCCCAAATCGCGGCGCGCCTGCAGGGCCAGGCGACGCTGGGCATGTTCCGCCTCTCCGAGGGCGAGAGCGGGGAGTTCTTGTGCGTGTTTGAGGATGTGGCGGTGTATGTGAACAAGCATGGGGACATTAGTCGCAGTGTTGTGATGGAGTTTGTGGGGAGGGCGAAGAGCGCGGCGCTGTATGGTGCGTATGTGCTGCTATTTGATGCGGACTTTGTGGAGGTAAGGAATGCGCAGAATGGGCGCCTCAGGCAGGTTATTGCGGGCAGGGATGTTAAGTGTCTCGATGATGGGGCGGGGATGAGGAAGAGGACGGTGAAAGTTGCGATGCAGCATCCGGAGGTGGAGAGGTGTCAGATTGTGGTTGAGTTAGTGCTTAATGAGGGGTTGAAGGAGTGAGCGGGGTGAGTCAGGGGTGAAAATATACTTGCTTGGTGGATTGGTTGGTGGGGCTTGGGCCAGTCCGGCTATGATACCTACGTACTTCTTGGATATTGCTTGGGTGTTTGCTATCTACGTCTTGGTTCTTTTGGGCATAGCGAGTGCGGTTTACTTCTCTCGACACGGCTGTTGTGTAGGCTTGTCACATCTTCGGGCAGCATACAGTGCGGTTCTTCTAGTTGGAGGACTGTATATTGGAGACTTCATCTCATGAACGCAGCAAGGCAACAAGCTAGCACCTCTTGATTCTTGGATGACCGGCCGGCTGTCACCAAGATCGAACCGTCCCTTGGCTGATTCGCGTCGCGCCAAGACATGCGATCTCAGCCTTATGCTCAGCCCCATGTTGATACGCAAATAGCCCGACTCCATGTCCTTCATGACCGTAAGAGTGTTCCACCTTCTCACTATCGAGCCTAAATAGACGACCTTGGATACACCCTCCTAGATCTGCAGTCTGCGACAGCTCGCATTCCGGATGCTCCACGGATGTCGACTCCAGAGGCCCAGCGGGCCATTAATCGGGGGGCGTCCGCCGTTATACCATGTCTGTTGATAGGAACGGTGGGTGTCGCGACGTATGTGGTGGTGGTTAGGCTCGGTGGTAAGTGGTCCCACGTAGCTGCTTCAATCCCACATTATGGCGAGGTTCTCAGCACGAAACGCTGACTCCAACATAGTCGACTACCTCCTCAACCCTTCCCCAGACCTTCAGCTCACAGCCGCATACCCCGTAAACCCTCGACGCAGCACAGCTATCGCCATCATAGTCATCTACTGCATCCTCCTCGCGCTCATGGCAATACCCTATTTCCGAACCTTCCTCGTCATCCAAACAAACCCCGGCTACATCCGCAAAGGCCCCCACGCCCAACACGTCGCATCCCCGAGCCATTCAAGCACAGAAAAGCAGACCTTTCAGCGCTCCTGCGCCCCTACCACCATCGAAGAACGCCCCCCCAAATCCCCCTCCCGCACCCGCACCCGCACCCGCAGCCGCAGCCACAGCGCCCCCCGCCTTGACCTCGACCGCAAAGCCATCTTCGACGGCACCGTCGCCGCGCCGCCCGGCCTCGAGCGCTTCTACACCAAAGACGCCTTCGTATGCGATATGAGCGGCCTCCCCATCTTCTGTCCGAAGTGCGATAACTGGAAGCGGGATCGGACGCATCATTGCAGCGAGGTGGGGCGCTGTGTGAGACGTATGGACCATTTTTGCCCGTGGATCGGGGGCATTGTGTCTGAGACGAATCTGAAGCCCTTCTTGCAGTTTGTGATTTATGCCGCGCTGTATACGCTATTTTTGTTGGTGGTGCTGGCGGTGTTTGTGGCGGAGCAGGTTAGGATTGGGTTGGGGAGGGATGCGTGGTTTATTGGGATACTAGTTACGTGAGTCGGCTCTCTCGAATGCGGGAACAACTTCACGGACTAACAAACATCCCAGTTCCGCGACGTTCTTCTTCTTCGCCGCCGGCATGTCCGGCAGCGTCATCCAGATGTCCCTCGGCAACTACACCACAGTCGAGAACCTGTTCAAAGGCAACAAGACCTACTTCATCGCTGTCTACACGGGGCCACAAACCCCGCAAACCGCTCTGCAAAGACCACTATACCCGACTGTCACCTATCCGCTCCGCCCAACCTCTGGCGCCGATATCCGCCAGTTCGCCATACTGCAGACCAAGCCGGGCGAGAACCCCTGGGATCTCGGTGCAACGGCGAATTGGCAGGAACTCATGGGCTATAGTTTGCTCGAGTGGCTGTTACCGATCAAATACAGCCCCTTTTGCAAGCATGGCGCGCGTTACGAATATCCGTTTGGACCTGTGCTGGATCGCATGAAGCGTGAGGCCGGGCTGAGCAGCGGATGATTGTCCCCGCGCGGAGTTTCTCATAACACAGAATGGATCAATAAATGGATGCAGGAAGCCTCGCGTCCGGATTGAGGCGGGAGGAAACAAGGCTAAGAGTGCCGAATAACCCATTCGGGGCTTGTTCGGCCAAGGCTCGTAAGGATTCATGACCTGGCGTGGTGTGCAGGGTTGATGGACGCCAAGGATCTCGTCAGATTTTTATCTTGACGTTGCATCTCACTGCTGCGTGTAGGCGACGGTGGCAGTGTGGAGCAGAGACGCGCACATCGCGAACTTCGCTGCTAGGCGAAACTTCTGTAAGGGCGTAGAGGTCTTTGTGGCTCGAGAGCAATTGCCGGTGAGTTAGTAGTGGAGTGTGAAAAGCGCTGCTAAGCTTGGAGACCTTCTCCCACCCGAAGCAGAGGAGGTAACGGATGGCCCTTGAGTTCGAACTGAGGGTTTGCCGTCGGAGGAACTTGGGTTTGAGCAAGGTAATATGTAGTAAGCTAGGCGGTGGGTTAGGTAGCCGAAGCATTACACGGAGTTGATGGTCGATGCACTACAAGAGTTATGTTTCCCGCTGCTCATAACATAGGAGAATTATTGGAGACGTTCCAAATGTGCCAGTAATGCCCCCAAGCGACGATCTAAGTCCTCTTTGATAGACAACGATAAATCATGCATTGGATTTGTGAGTCCTCCTTAAATTACGGAATGTTCTGGGCGGCCGGGCCGGGGAGGTTGCAAACTGGCTCGATCAACCGCTCAATCGCGGCTTGGATTTCATTTCTGCGAAGGGTTTACGAGCGCATTTCCCAAGTTCAAATACACAAGACTACGGAGCGCGCTCATGGACAAAAGTGCACCAGACGCGGAAAACGTAACAGTGACGATGGGAAATTGCAAAAAGTATGCGATTCTATTGTGGACACACGAGAATTGAAACCTGTCAGTCAATCGAAACGTCTTTGTTCTGAAGGAATCCAGACAGGACAGAAGGTGATGAGAATGTTCAGAGCGGAACAATCTATTTTAAACGTTGAATGAATGGTTTCCTCTTGTTTTAATTCATCATCCGCCTCGCTTATGGTAGCCTACCAGCAAGTAGGTTTACCGTTTTGCGGCTTATGCACAGGAGAGCGGCACGTACTTGTCCGATGAGACCACTTCAGCAATGGAAGTCAGACCTGGCCTTCGCAATTGATATCTGAAAACGCACATCGCGCCTCTTGCGAGAATCGGGAGCTGCAGAACGACTATGAGGCTTTGCGAGGCTATAAATACCCTTCTGCATCCACCAAATTAGATGAACTGCATGTATCCACTCCCCCAGCGTCCAACCACCGCGGAAGCTGGTCAGAATGGAAGTAGATGTTTGAGGTGGCTGCCAAAATCGTCTTACCCGATAGGGCTAGTTCAGGTACAACTTCATTTGCTGACCTCACTTCATGCTCTCTGCCGCTGGAATCCGACGTCGACAATAGTAAACAGAGACTCACCGCAGCATTTCTCTGTTGCTTATCAGTGCCCGGAGTCATCAAAATGCCCTTGACACAGCCAAAGTCACCCTAGTTCCAAAAGGCTTTCAGCAATGCCACATGAGCGGGCGATACGCCCAAGGCAACCTCAGAGCTGCGCCCATATCAGTCCCCCGCTTCAGGCAACTACGTATGGACACTCAATCTGTTCTGTTCTCAAGCCGGATGCAGCCTCGCAAGGCATGATGACGCGCTTTTTGCCTCTTCTATCACGGGGCAACAAGGCTGGTGCGGCTTACAAGGCTTAGAGCTCACCGGTTTCCACAGCCGGACGTCTCAATACACTGGCCAGCTACCGCCTTGTCACACGCCCACCCATAGCATCTCGGACTTTGTCCACTCCAGCAGGTAGTTGCCTTGGTATCGCCTTGCTCACCGGTCACGCCGCAGTTGGATGCAGCTTCACCAACAGGGGTGTAGCGCGAGAGGGTGTAAATCGTTTACACAGCAGCTGCATGAAACCGATCCTGCGTCCTGAAATAGCCCATACCGCAGATATATTGCTGTGGTGGACGGACGTAGCAACGATGTGGATGGGGGCTGGAAACTGAGTAGAGCCTTCAGGTATAAAGGCAGTTCGCCCTTCCGCTGCTCAACGTTAAACAAAACTATGGCCTTCATTTGTATCGATCTTAACCGCTAATTTCTCCCTAGACTGCCTTCTCAGGGCTAAGCCATGCTGCGGATGGCCGAGAAAGTCAGGTGTCAACGACAGTGATCAATCCTCACACTTCTGCCTAAGGACTTCTAGTGGAGATTGGGCTCTGGTTCGTTGTAGGCTCTCCGGCTCATCCAGCACACAGGTCTGTGCCCGACCTCTAGTTGCCCAGCATTGCTACACCTGACTGACAGACCCTAGGTTCACCTGCGAGATGCAGAGCCTGACAAGCCTTGCGCGAGAAGATGCTATGCTGCAGCGGATTTGGCTGCACAGCCTCAGACGGCCACCCCTTCTTCCGACGTCGATGTGGAGCGGGTTGAGAGGCCGGCAGCTCACATCGTCGTATCGGAGAGCGGCTCCTGCCACCACACGCTGCTTCTGAGCACTGCCCCACACGTTTTTCTGGTTCGATGATCACTTGTGCTCGCTTCTCTGTCACTCAAAGGAAATTTTCATGCGGCCGTTCATTTTGCGAACTCTCGCTTGCATGTCCTGCAGTCGCCAGATACATACCAGTTATAGCACTATGCAGATTTTAAGCAATATCCTAAAGCCTCTCAGGGAACCTTGCTTCGCTTTCTGCCTACTTAGTCGGTGGTGTGCTTCGCTACCGTACAATAGCCTCATTCCGGGTTCCCTCCACAAGTGGTGGCAGTGCTCTCTAGTCTATCCCACCTTGGTTCTCCTAAGTAGCTTAGAGTTGTATCTGCGAGGGGTTTGGCCTGCCTGGCGCCTTGCCATCCTCTTCGATCCTCTTTGATGAGACTGCGATCGTAGAGCCCCAACGTAAGATGTGCGGCTCGCAGTAAGAACTTAGTCAAGCAGTAGGAAGGCGTGATCGAAGCAAGTCGACACTTCCAACTCGTGTCTTGATTCTGGGCATGTTCTTCATTGGTAGGTCACCGTCTCACGCTAGTCATTCAACGGCTGAAAATTTAGTTCAGGCCTCCCCACGGGCCTCCGGCCGGGCGACGAGGTAAATCCGCTAAAGTCGTGTTACACAGTCTCCATGCCCTGTTCGCATCAGCACCTCGCGGCAGACTTTCAACCCACTGACCCGGTTGACGAAAAGAGACAGCGCGAAAGAGTAGAGTTCGCTGCGGCTTCTACCAGGCCGAAACCGGCATGAACCGGGGCATATGTGGCGACAGCATCCCCAATGAGGAGTGCCAACGTCCCACTCACCGTCTGGGGCAGTGTTTGCGGGAATTAAGTCCAGTCTGAGCTTCAGCCACGAGAACGTTTCGGCCGCCCTGTCTTCTAGAAGCCGCGGAACATCTCAGTGTTTACTGCCATACTGTGGCAAGTAAGGCGAAGAAAGCCTCCCCGCCGGCGGCCACCTTATCCTTGACCGACTTGCTGCTCCCCTAGCATGGTGTCTCGTTCTCTTTCGGCCAGAACTTCCTGACAGAGACTTGGAGTAAGCGGCTGGTGGTGCTCATCCAACGAGTTACGCACCAGCAACGCAATCATCGCACAGCGCTTGAGCTTTCCGTCCAGGGCAGTGCTTTGCCCCAGGCAACTTTCATGGCTATCCGTATACATCTCTGCCCGGAGGCCCTTTGCTGCCACCACTCGCTGGTCCTCTGAGATGTGCCTCGGAGGCTTTGATACCGCGTGCGCCTCCTGTCCTTTCACGTGCTCTTGTTTTAGGGCTGTGGTAGATTGGGCGTTGAAGTGCAAGTAGGGCTGCTATGTCCAAGGCAGCAATCAAGGCTTGCTCCTCCCCTTTGCACCGCCATCTGTGGCTCAAGAAATTTAAAAGGAGTGTTCCGTCTGCCAGAATATTCGCCATCAATACAGACCTCCTAAGTTTAAGCAGCACGAACACCGATAGTCTCTCTTCTGAGCTCCAGAGTCCAAGAGAATCGAGGCCGTCTATTAAGACCGCAACAATTCCGAAGCTTTTCCAGTACATTCCCCACTTCCACACACTCATCCGCCGCGTTCATCACTAATGGCTTTCAACAGCAACTCGAGAGCCAACTCCAACACCAACAACCCCTCCGGTCGGCCCCGCCCTACGACTCTTCCCAGCCCAACTCACTGGTACTGCCACAAGTGTGAGTTCGGCCCGATGCTCACCAATCTCCATGCCGCGTGCATAGAATGCGACCACCACGGTTGTGGAAACTGCACCGGTGTCACTATTGGACCGAATCCAGCTTCGACCCGCTCGAGTACTCAGCCTAGCACGGAGCGTTCAACGCAGGGTGGCCAGTACGGAGTCACGGCACCTGCTGAAGGCCCGAGAGAGTGTTACTGGTTTTGCTGCCGCTGCGGTGATGGACCGGTATCGAAGGCCAACCACGAGGCTTGCGTCATATGCTGCCATCACTTATGTGGGGAGTGCAAGCGTGAGTGGCATTGAGGGGTTGCCGGAAGGTTTTGGGGGAGGCGGATTGACGGTATGTACGGTAGCTTCCGGCCGATACAATACTGTACGTCGCTAACGTCGAGGTGCGATAGAGATGGTGTCCACTTTATTATACCCTCGGCGTTTAGACAACTCGGGCTTCGGCGGCCAACTACGGATACTGGGCACAGCGCAGCCTCCGGTGCATCGGGTGAGACATTGGTGGAATACCTCTTCACGGCGTTTGGTGCGGTCTTCCTATGCATACATGGTTACAATCTCACTCTAGAACCTAGATCTCTTTCGGCTCCCGCTTGCTTTATTGGCGTTTACTTCGGTGGCTCGCGATACATATTTGTTGTTCGGCATAGCATGTAATTTAGTTTTGTACCCTGATAGCAGAACGCTCCAGACGCTGATCAACGCTATAAATTCTTCTGAGTCTTTGTGCTGCGCTCGTAGC